TTATATATTTGTCTTAACTACCTTTATTTGGTCTTGAATTCATTCCGGCTACCCCCCCCCCCCCCTTTTTTTTTTTTTCTCTCTCTTGTGGCTGGTAGGTGGGGCACGCCACAGACGCAAGTGACCAATCACATCATGAATCCAGAATTACCCCGCGATTTTGCAAAATGACGGCTGCAAGGAGATCAACCGCTGCCATCGCCAATGCCACCATGAAATGGTCTACACATTGCATGTTTACAGTCCTCCACGGTTATTCTTCCCTTGTAACTACTTCTCGCTATCTCTAGTCCTATCCTTACTGCTGTTAGCTCTAGTGTTCTCCTTGATATCCGGTGTTACCCCTGAAGTATTCGACCAGGAATAATAACCGTGGAGGGGTGTACGCATCGCAAGGTCCGCTTCATCAGCCACGTAAGAAAGCTGCATTGCTTTAGATGCGGGTGGCCAACTGCTGCCATCACTTTCTAGGTTTGCATTGTTCGGCTCCAAAAGAATTCTGACAATCTACGATTCCAATCTAGTACACGATTTCCCCCTTTCCCTCACCCTCAAGACCACGAACATGCAACCACCCTCTCCTCATGGGTAGACCAACCTCATGATGAAGTCCTCCGGATCCGCCTGCTCTACCACTTCCGGCTCGGCATCATCCTCGGGGCACTACGGGGCCATCATCTGATGGTGCACGATATCAGTCATATCATCCCCGACCATGGGTTGATCGGCAGACGGAGCAGCCAGCTGATCCTTGGATGGATCACCTGTCGACTTTTCAAGCTCCTCGGGGCAGCCACCATATATCAGGTCGTACTTTTCATCGAATGCTTGCGGTTGTCCGGATTTCGCAGGTTGCTTGGTCGATGGAGGCCTGTACTCGCTGTGATCCGAGTCACTACGCCGACTGCCTTCGTCGCTGTTGGAGCTGGCCGGGTCGGAAATCACTGATTGTGGCCGCAGCCTCTTCGAAGCCCTTCTCGTGGCAGGCGGCGAATCGGCTGATCTCTTGCTTCCGGTACTTTGCTCTGGCGGCTGGTTGGCATGCTTCTCGAGCTCGTCGCGGTAAAGCCTTGCCTGCTTCTCCAGCTTTCTGCAGTAAACTGTTGCAGCCTTCAAGCGCTTCTCGCGGTACGAATCACTCATGCCCGTACACTTCATGATGAGATCCTTGGTGGCAAGAGTCGAGTATTCCTGGACTGAGCTGTCCTCGCCGTCCTCGCCGATTCGTCCAAACTCAAGCAGAAGCCATCCTTCATACATGAAGGCATTCTCCCTCCGCCTCCACTCCTCGGGAAGCCAGCCAACGAGGTCCGAGATGAAATCCCACGTGCAGATCTCGAAGGGGTGCAAAGGCTTATCAAATTTCGCGCAGGGATTCTCAGCTGACCATTCTTGCATTCTTGCCCATACCGTCGCAGAAGACACCCTCGTAAGCTTGTGTCGGAGCAGCATCGGTCGGGGTTGGGGCAGCTTATTTCCGTCGTCGTCGTTCAGAGTGATCATGATTTGGCGAGCCTGCAAACCAGTTCGCTTAACGCCAGTGCGCAGGAGCTCGACGTAATCGTCGAGGAGGTGCTTGAGAATTCTAAGGCGGGTTCGCTCATCCACAACGAGCGGTTCGGACTTGTCGTGGGCGGTTGGCAGGTCTTGCTCGCCAGCGAGGGGAATCAGGCAACCCTCGCGGCGTTGGTAATTGGACAAGAACTCAATGGAATGGCCCCAGATGTACTCCGTGAGTATGACACGGATATCTCTCTTGCTGTTGCCCTCTCCAGTCTCGTGGACCCATGTACCGTAGAAACGGGGGATGATGTGCGGAAACCCAGTGAACTCTTTGCCGTGCAAATGGCGGAGAGCGGAGGCTTCTTCAACGAACCTCTCATCAGCTCTCTGAGAGGCAGGTGTCACCATATAGGCGTACTCTGGGTCGACTTGGAAGAATTCGGCGTCGATGACCTTGACGAGAAGGAACTGGCCCAAGTAGATTTTGGCGCGATCCTTGGAGTCCACATTGTGGGCAGCCGACGGCGTCTTGATGACTTTGCCCAGGAAAGATTGAGTGGCGCGGTCCGGCCCTCCATGAACACGCTTCTCGATTCGGACAATGACGTGGCTGTTTTGATCCGAACGATCCTGAGTTTTGAAGTTGACGGAGTGTTCAGCAATGGTGTCCTCAATCTCTGCCTCGGGTTGGGGCAATTGTGAGCTGCCCTGGGGATCATCTGCTTCTAGATGAGGTACGAGATTGAGTTTGGGCTTGTCTTCGTACCACCGAAGAGCGGCGGCGACGGCTGGTCCACTCATAGTGGTTGTTCAGCGTCGGAGTTCTGTGGGTGGTATGAGACGGAGGGCGATTATGATGATGCTCGAGCGGAGAGGCCTGAGAAAAGTGTGCAGAAGATGAGTCCTGACAGGCCTACCATGCCCCAAACAAAATATCTCGTCAGGAAGATGCTAGAGGAGAGGTAGGCTAGGTAGTCTAGAGCCAGCTAGTAACCAGTCACTTTTGCTTCCAATGGCTTTTTACCCGTTGGGTTTTTCGGTACTTCCAAGCTCTTTGCGGCGTTTTCTTCTTTCTTTCTGAACAGTCAAAGCGGAGCGCATCAACGGTTGGCTGCAGCTAAAGTTGGGACGGCACACAGCACCTTGACATCAGACACAAAAGTTAGGACCATTATGCCCAGCCACCCCACACTAAAGACAGTTATGCACTGGAAGGGCATACAAAGAAGTTGATAAAATGCACGGCAGTCGCTGTGGTACCTATCCGACTTGTGTGCTTTCCTTTACTTCCGTTTCTCTAATGAGGTAATCTGGTCTCCCTTGCCCATGTGTTAGTTGATCTTCAGAAGCACGCCTCATTACCCAATGTTGCCCATGGTTCCATAGCAATATCATTCTACATTGTCATAGGTAAACAGAAAAGTTTCTCCAGCCAATAGGCCTATGACTTTGAGAAGTGCTCCAAGGTTTGCTCAAAGATGATTGTCTGGGAAGAAAACAGTGTATACGCTCAATCCAATACCCCAGATCTCTCGAGATCTCAGTCTATTGTAAGCTCTCACCAAGACAAACCGCCCATGGCGAGACTCTTTGGGGATGGTCGGCAGGAGATGACAGAGTAACAAGCAACTTTTCCCCCCTCAACCTAAGAACGCGAACATGCAACCACCCTCTCCTCATGGGCAGACCAACCTAATGATGGAGTCCTTGCCATTGGGCCTGGGGGACGTAAGAAGACACTGTGCTGCGGAAGTCAAAAGAAGGAAGATAATGTGATGGCCTAGGCTACGAGACGGTCATTCCCAAGGCTTCAAGACAGTGAATAATCGGCGGACAGAGACGAGAACTAAGAGTGACACTTGAGGGATGAGAGAATATTCTATGGGCAGAGACAGAAAGGAACAAGAGTGCTGGGCACGTGTCCTCAAATCTTTGCTCTGGTGGAATTCTTTCTGAAAGCTGCCGTGGGATATCACAGCCCGTCAGTCGCCTGGAGCGGGATACAACCTGACCTTTCCAGTCTTTCATTTTCTTCTGCTGACCTGGAAGCAGATCCCGGGACGTTGACTCCACCTCGTGATGTTGTCACCCAGACATGGCGTGGAACTCATCTTTTCTGTTGGCCTCATTAAGGTAGGGATTCAATACCAGCCCATGGAGTACTTAACAACCCAGGAATCGTTCATGCCACGATGAGCTCATTGACATCAATACGTACTGAGGCGAAGATGATACCTTTGCTGGTATGAAATGAATTTGTCTGGCTTCTTGGATGTATTCCAAGATGATATGCCGTATGGCGGATGCAATTTGCGGTCGTCTGTCTGTCTGTTCGCTCCCGGGAAGACATTTGATTCCACCTTTCAGCTCTGGCCGTGTCTCAATGTATCGGGAGCCAGACGGCACTGGACTGTAGGTGATATCCGCAATCTGCGGTTATTAGAAGCTCTTTGTCAGGCAGTGGCAGGCCAGTCAATCAAATTATCCCAAGAGTTGAGGTGAGCCTCACCTGGACCGGGGTCACACCGCTTCAGCCCAGTGCAGTGATCGAGTGTCTGCAAGATAGAAGACACAGGTTGGGTTTTGGCTTATTATGTTGATATTCCTGGGGGAAGAGAATGAAGCGCTTCAAACCGGGGGTTGTCAAAAGCAGTAGGCGAAGTCTACCGCCCACCCACCTTGTGGTATACAATAAGCCAAAACAGAGCTGCAGAGACGTGCATGTAGGCAAATGTATATTTTCGGCCAATGTTATTTGCAATGTGAAGGTTTCACTGGATGACCGGTTGAATGCGCTGAACCCAAATTAGAAAATGCCTGCCTCATTGGGCCTTTGTGCGTGTGACAGTGACAAACTGCTGCCTTCACCTTAACCACGGTTCAGGCTTTTCCCAGAGTTTTCCAAATCCCCCCTTCCTCCGAGGTTTTCTTCAGCCTCAAATGCGACACTTTCCACACAACTTCGGTTTTGCTCTCGGCATTATCGACATAGTCGACCTCATCCCAACCATCACATTCCTTTCCACGGTCAAGCAGCAATCATGAGCAAGGCGGCCAAACGCGCCGCTCTTCAGCGGTTCAGCGATAACAAAATTTTGGATCTCATACCTCACCCGAATCTGGGTCGTCCCCATGGCACCAACGACTACTCGCCACTGCCTGAGGAGGACAGCGACGGCAACTCAATCGAAGAAACCATTGCCAAATACCCCGGCGGTTTCGACCCGGAGCAACACACCGACAATCGCGAGCACGCCCGCGTACAGATCCTGAAGCAAGTTTATGGGGGTCTGGGCGAGAGCAACGTCCAGTGTTTTCTCGGCAAGATTCTAGTCGAGCCTGCCAACGACACCACAGCTGTTCATGCTCGTCTCGAGGAGGGCAGCCACGTTCTCGTCAAGGTGATCGACCACGTCTTGTTCGAGTCAGACGCTCTGCTAGCGGATTCGCAATTCACCCGCGAAGGCGCTGCGCTCAATCACTTCTACAAGAACAAGCTCACTGGCCCCGACCACATCATTCCCGAATTCTTCGGCACGTGGGTCCTCAAGGTTGAGGAACGGCGCAGCGTCAGATGTGTCGGGATCGTTCTCACGGAGTTCGTCCAGGGTGTTTCCATCAGAGCCTTGTCCACCTTTGACAAAGAATCCGAAATGTTTCTCCCCAAGGAAAACCCGGTTTCCGTCCCCAAGGTTGACGGCGGAACGATCTCGCTTACGATGAAGGCCAAGACCACCAGACTGAGATTTCTCAAACAGCTCCTCGGCGAGTCTGTTAAGCACTTGAAGGCAGGCATCGAGCGCGACTCTTGGTGCATCCATCGCATCCTCGTCACCAATCTTGAGAAAGGAACGGTGCTGAGACACCCGCGGCCTGTGTTGCTGCATCTTTCCTTCAGCCAGGTGTATTCCCTGACGAAATGGCCCAGGATGAGAGGAGAGCCGCCGACGCTTCGCTTCGAGGAGCTCTCGAGACCCATCCATCCCTTTGAGGTCTTCGATCTTGACAACATTGCGAATCTCGAAGGCTGGCTTCCACCCGAATGGGTTAACGAACCCTACAAGTATGACGGATGGCTGTTGCTTGAGTTCGGAGTACCTGGCCAGGCCCGTCGCCACGAAGCAAGCTACAGTACTTACGACGAGAAACCGGAGCTCCTGGATGCTGAGGAGCATGCCAGACGAAAGGAGCGCCTGGACAAGGCGATCGAATACTGCGACAAGCTGAAGCAGTATGCCTTGCAACGGCCCGGGACCCGATACCCGAGCCGCAAGAGACGAGGCCCTGAGCAGGAGCCTCAAGCGGCCAAGCGCATCCGCGGCGACGAATCGAGCCATGCCGGCAGAGAATCTCTCAGACCATCCTCCCCGTCTCAATCACCAATGTCGACCACGTCTTGCTTTGAAGTTAATGACCCGCAAGACGGCGACCACCCGCCAGGGGTGGGACACGAGCCTGTCCATGACGAGTGGTTTTTGTTCTACAACGGCGGTCCAAAGGAGCGATCGCAGAGCGAGTAGGATTCGCCTAGCATTGCGTCTCATGAGGAAGAAGTCGATAAGATCCCCGAGGACCATTCATTGAGCGGAGGGAAAGGGACAGTAGAGAAAAGTCTTCGTCGACACGGTTTGCAATTGGACTTATTCGGGCCTCATACTCCGCGGACGATGACGTGCAGTGACAGCGACGGCGGCGACAGTAACAGCGATAGCAGTGACAGTGACAGCAATAGCGGTGATGATAACAGCAATGGCGGTGACAGTAACAGTAATGGCGGCGACAGCAATAGCGGCAACTGATGGCAAAAGTCGAACGGCCGTGATACCTCGCCCGCTTCGCCCTTCAACTCTCGCAACCTCGCGGCGCGCACGGCCGCGACCATCGTGAAGCTTCAAACGGAGACAGCAAGCGGGCAGCCACATCGGCAGCAGCAGCGGCCAGAAGTGCCATCAGTCGCGTCGCGACATGGACCGCAGACCGCAGCGTTTCCGCGTCTCAGCACGCCACGGGTTCGAAGCAAGCCCAATCCGTCCAGAGTATCTCCCCTCACTCACTCACTCGAGTTGCTCTCGCGGCGTCTCACGATGGCATCGACTCATGAAAGGGCACTGGCAATGGAGATTGTATTCATCCAGAAAGGGAGTCTCCTACACACGCAACGGGTATAATAGCCACTCCCACCACACCGCGGCCGGTCGCGGGTCTGGCCTCCATCGACAGACGGGGCCGGGCGACCGGCCAGCGAGAACATGACGGCAGGAGAAGTGAAAAAAAAAAGGAGACCAACAGAAAAAGCAGTAAAGCGAGTGTAGTGAGGTTCCCATACCACCACCCAGAGAGAGGCCGTTTACCCGGCGACCCGATGCAGTTCAGCCCAGTCCTGTCCCAGAAACCCCTAATTACGCCGTGTCCCCATGTCTCCCAAGAGTCGCATTCATGCTTTGACAACTAAACCGCCGGAAAAGCCAAATAACAAATCGCAAATATTCGTGAGGATGACCGCGGCTACCTGTCGCGGTCCTCTTGCGGCGGCCGACTGGACCGGGATGAGGATGCAAACGAGCTTGACAGCATGCCCAGCCACCCTTCCTGTCTGCTCTGGCGGCCTCTCGGTGCCGGGGAGAGGATGCCCTGCTCCACGTCGTCGTCTCTGTCTCGTGAGCCGGAGCCTTCGGCTTCAACCTCTTCGTCGGAGTCGTCGTGATAAGGTTCGTAGCGGGGGCTGGATGGTGAGCCGCGCGCGAGTGATCGAACGACGTCGCCCTTGCAGATGGGGCATGTACGACGGCGTGTGGTCAGCCAAGGCGTGCTGCGATTGGTTAGTCAGGTACCACAGACGAATAACACGGAAAACTCACATGCACTCCGCGTGGAACTCGTGGCCGCAAGGCAAGCTCATCACGCGGCTAACGCCGTCCACGTACTCCTCCAAACAAACCACACACTCGACTTGACGGCCCATGTACTTCTTCCACTCACTAGAGTAGCTTCCGTTAGCCTTCTCGTGTTCTGCACGCGATGGCGATCTGGGCATTTGCAGGGCAGAGTTGACAGACAAGAGACTCTCCGACTCGGGGATTCCCGTCGTTGTTCTAGAGCGAGGTCGAGGCCGAGAGGGAGTCTGTTGAAGAAGGGGCGTGGTGGGGGTCGCGGTGGTCGGCGAAGGTATTCTCGGAGAGGGCACCGGCGACGCGGCGACGGTGTGGTACGTCCGCACGGGCAGGCGCTCGACGACGGACTTGGGCGCCCTCCAGCGTCTTCTGCGGATACGCGCGCGGAGGATAAGTAGGGCGTAGACTACGCTCAATGTTATCAGAGGGCTGATGACGAGCACCAGCAACGTGTCAAAGAATGGACTAGAACTGCTGGAAGGAGTGATGGTCACCCAGAGACCGTCATGGCCGACGGGCTCGTCGTCGTCAGGGATCGGTTCTTCCGGCCTGGGCGGTTCCTTGGTCTTCTCCTCTTTGGAGAAATCGGCGCCGTCGTCGTCGCCGAAGATCTTTGAAATGAGGCCGCTACGCGAAGACGAATCCTTTCCGGGAGCAGAGCCCTTGACCTCGACTGGTGGTAGGTCGGGGTTGTACTCCCCACTGCCCGGGGTGATGCTGCCTCCCTTGGGACCGCTGATATCTTTCCCGTTCTTCGCGTTAACCTTGGTCCCCGTCTCCACCTTGAGGCCGTCCTCCGTGTCCTTGGTTCCCGGGGCATCCACGAGATCGGGATCGCGCCAGTCCTGGACGCCAATCTGGAAGCTGTCCTCCGCCTTGCGAGAGTCGGCGGTCTTCCCCTTGCCTCGCTTGGCAGCCTTTCCAAGCCCATCGCGAATGATCTTGTCCTTCTCCTCGCTCCAGTCGTCAACGAGCACCCAGTTATGGCGCCCGCTGCTCGGAGGTTGGATGCTGTTGTCGCCAGACCCGCTTCGGCGGCCCCAAGTAAAGAGCCACTTGAACCAGCCAACTCGGGGCTTGTTCTCTTCGGTCTTTGCCGGCTTCCCCTTCTTGGGCGCCTGAGCCTTCGGGGTGGTTGTTGCCTTTGCTGTTGGGGTCGGGGTAGTCGCTGCGGCTTTCAGCTTGTTCTTCCGGTTCTTCCGGTTCGTGCCGTCCGACTTCAAGACCTTCAAGGCGGGGCGCCCATGCTCGTCGATGGTGTCCTCGATGAAGCTGCCGGGCTGGGTGAGAGAGGAAAGAAGGTGGGCTGTGGTCCGTGCGGTAAAGACGGAGGGGATGGAGACGTTGGAAGTGTCGCCTCTGGCGAACATTTGGATCAAAGGGCCGCCCTTCTGGTTATCGCCGACAATGAGGGCGATGGCGCCGCGTCGCTGCGCCCATTTGACCTTCTCGAGGAAACCGCAGCCGCCACGGCTGAGCAGCACAATCTTCCCGGCGATCTCCGCGGCCTCTTGTATCGACTGGATATCGGCGTGGGTCGACTCGGTGGACAGAGCGCTATCGTGGTTCGGCTGAGGCCTCCTGGCGAGGCCCTGGTGAAGGTAGTCGTCGGTGCCGTCGTCAAGAGGACGGATCTTGGACTTGAGTCGGGTCCCTGGCGGGGGGACGGTATCGTCGGGGACGGCGTCCTTATCGGTCTTGTCCCGCTTGTGGTGGCTAGGCTTGCCAGCAGCAGTGGCAACCTTTGCGTCCGCCTTCGACACACCCTTGGTGGCAGACTTGAGGATGGGATTCGACTTGCCGTCCTCCCAGCCGGGGATGTCGCTGCAGCCAAGCTCGCCCTCGCCCTCGCCTTCCTGGAGATTATCGTCGGCGAAGCCGCTGCCAATCCATAATTGACCGCTCAGACCCTTGGAGGGAAGGTTCGGGCCGAAGGCGGCGGGACGAGCGACGAAGGAGGTGCTGTTGTCATCCGTCAGGCTGATGGCAGCATTTGGTGTGAAGATTGAAAAGGGGGCCGTGAAGGAGAAGAAACTGGTGAAGCGCGATGGCGGGACGACGGCGGGAGCGACGACGGTGTTGGAGCGGGCCAGCGAGGTGACGGATCGGCATAAGAGAAAGAGGGAGGCGACGAAGAAGAGGACGAGGATGGCGATTCTCGGGGTACGCATGTTTGGTATCGTAACGGGTCGTAATGTTGTATAAAGGGAAAACAGAGACGGGGAGCTCTATATCGTGAGGTATGTAGGGTGTCGGGAATCGAGATAACGGCGGGTTCGGCACACGGCACGGAGGCCGGTCAGTCGGTCGAATGCGGCGATGATTTGACGTGACAGAGTCTGTAATCGTAGTCGGAGTCGAAGTCGAAGTCAATGGTCGACCAGCTGCCGACGGTGGCTCAGCGGCGGACTGCAAAGGTGCCGATCATGCGCGAAATCATGCAAATCGAAACAGTCGTTTCGGTGAGCAGAACGAGGCTGAAGGCGACGGTGGGAGAATCGTCGGTCGAGGGGCGACAGAGGAGGAGGTAGGAGCGACCTCTCGTGTCTTCGGGAAGAGTCGGTTCAGGGAAGGGAGGGAAGGAAATGCAGAAAAAGAGACAAAAGGAGGCCACAAAAGGGGGAGCAAAAGTAATGACGAAGTTGGTCGATCAGCAGGTTATTGAAATGGTGGAAAGTGCATACAGCGCGGAGGCGGAGCGGTGCATCGGCGCCATGCAGACAGACAGAGTCAGAATGGACGGAAGGCAGGAAAGGACGTGGACGGAGAGATGATCAGAGACTGAGCCAGGTGTGTCGGGTGGCGGGGCGGTCCAAAGTAAAGGGCCTGGTAAGGTACTCTTGTCCCTGCCCGGTACATCGTAGGCACCTAAAAAAGGCCCAGAAAAGTCACCTCACCATTCCGCAGTTGGCTGTGACCTCTCCTCCCGGTCGGGCCAGTGACACACTGAGCGGCCGGCGGGGGGTTAGGGGCCCTGTCTGGCTGAACTTCTGAAGTCGGCTGTGGTGGGCGCATCAGGAATGGACGGGAAAGATTGAGGTCTCGCTTCGGGGCTTCTTTGTTGATACATCGTGGCACCATTCACACAATGAGCTTATTCAACTCGACGCGGGCTCGTCATCAGCCTCGCCAGTAATGGCTATGAGTAAACTCCTCTCACAGCATCATCATATTCATCAGTCGTCTCAATGAATCAATGGATCAATCATCAACGGATCCTCAATGGTCGTGTCATCGTAACAGGGGCAAGCCGTCCGCCGACCGGCTTGGGCGGCACATAGCCCACGCTTAGCAGTAAGGCAACCTCGCAGCCACACCATAAAAAGGGCTTCAAGGTTTGCTGCTGTTGGTCGGATGGGCCACCGGTGCCGTCTTGGAATGCGGTCCATGTCTTGGTGGAGGTCTTGAACCCCACATGGAATGCTTCCGGTCTCAGTTCTGATGGACCTGAAGTGTGGGTGCCGGTGCCTGTCACCATCAGACTCGTTGACGCCGGCCGCCCGTGGTTGAAATTTGAAGCCGACGGGTGACTGGACGTTTCTACGAGCGCCAGTGCCGACGCTGGTGTTTCTGTTCCTTCGTTCATATCGATGTTTGTCCTCACTTGTCATCGTGCTCATCCTCGCATCTCATGCCAATCTGTATAAAATATGCAACCATAAACACCTTGGCGAAAAGATGAGAAACGAGGTGACGAATCTGTTCCGCGTACCCAACGCAGCAAAACTCACCACCAAAAGCTTCATTCTTCGAGGCTGACTGCGTTGACCTCACATTTTCAGGCGCATCTTCAGCTCCCCCTCCCTACCTGCCTTCGATGACCTCACGCCAGCGCCGGCGCGCATGGACAACCCCTCGTGACCCCCAAGTTTCACTCGTGTGGTGTGTGAGGTGTGTGTGTGAGAACGAAAAGACGACTCGTCTTCAGCGCATCGAAACAAACACCCCCAGGCGCGGCCTAGCGTCGCTGACTGACTGCGCACGCGAGAAACCTAACCTAACCCAACCCAAGTCCGAGCCGACCTGAGTGAAGCCGAGCCAACGACCAAAGGAAAGATCTGGTCCTTCACATCGGATCATCCGCATTCTGATAAGCACCACGTCAAGATTGACGCCATCGCGAGATGCGATTATGAATTTCGCTGCTGACCTCTCCGTTCGTAGAGGCCCGACTGAGAGTGCTTGCATATGTTGTAGACCCCCAGTACCACCCAAGACAATAGATAAGCTTCATTCACGATGATCAAGCCCACCACTCTATCCCCTCATCGTCCAAATGACACCGCACGCGACAGCAAACACGTCTCATCACCTCCTGACTGCCTACCTCACCTATCCACCCTTGCAGCTACGTCCTATTGATGAAATATCCGCGATAACAGCTGCCTTATGAAATCCATCTCATCCAACGCCGATCCTCAAAAATGCTCCTGCAGAAAATGCTCACAGACAGCTGGGGTTTTGAAGCTAGTGACCCATGCCAAAACCTCAACGCTCGGCCGTGAACTCAATTCATCGCCAAAACCCCAAGCAACGCGTCCGCAGCCTACCATACTCTCGTTTCCACGACTGCCGCCAAAAACCCAGCCCCGACCAACCCAGCCGCCAAAAGAGTTGCAGCATCTTCACCACCCTCAGCCTACACGGAAAAGCGAGCATCTCGTTCATAATCTCTCGGGAACTCGTCGTGAACACTACCACTGTCTCTTCGTCCCAGAATCCCTGGCCTGGATCTGCGACGCCGTCTCCACGAACAGAAACATTCGACCCCCCCCCCCCCCCACCCCCAGCTCCTCCCATTCCGCCGAAGCATCTACCTTACCCATGCACTCAATCAGTGACGACCCGTCCGTGGCAGTGCCGTCCAAGGGTCCCAGTATCGTGGCTTGCGGCGGGACACCCCACATTCCTCACCTTCAACCTCAAACGCCGCAAGCACTCAGCTCGCAGCTCGCGATTGCTTCTCGGGGTCGGGTGAGCTTTGAATGCGGCTTCGCGTGGTCGACACGTAGTGAATTTCGACTTCATAGAGAGACAATTGCATTCCAACGCGTTACTCCGTTCGCAGGTTGAAAGCTTTGGGGAGTAGAGAAAATCAACTAATAATTCCTTTGCACATTGTTATTCTCACACCACTCACTTCTCTGGCTCGATTCAAGATACTTCCCCAACTGAGTACTCCGGATATCATTCTGATGAATATACTGCCATATTCTCACATGTCGATACGTCTCAGTACCCTTCCCGATGAAAGCGTTCGAAATGATGAATAAACCCGGACCCGGCCCTGTGCTGAGATCGATCCGGATCGTGTAGCTCTTGCAAGAACCCTTCGCAGGTTCATCAACAGTCACGGTCGCGGGACATCGAACCGTTCGTTATTGACAATGTTCCCGGTATAGAAACAACATCAATCAACATCGCTGGTCCTTTTCAATGAAAGCCGAGACGAGACGGCAGCACCTTTGGCAGCATCAGCAACCCTCCAAACCGCGTCCTCCATCAATAACTCCCCCAAAGCCGACGATAATCGGAGCTGTGAAGTCAAGTCATCTCGATAATTCCGTGAGAAGCGCGTGTAGCATGGCAACATCACTTTGTCCACCACCAACTGCGCTTACGAAGAATGGGTGAAAAGCCAATGATTCTCACAGACAAGATCTGACAACTTTAAACTCTCAGATATCTGCAAATCACCCTCGCATATAATCGAACTTCTACAGCCACGCTGAGGCGGTTAACACTTTCTTCCAAGCATTCGCCTGCTTATCAGCCTCAAAGCTGGAAAACACCGTCCAATTCCCACTCTTCAGCCACTTTTCCGACATCCTCATCAACCAGCAAACGGCCTTAAACAAGTCTCCAAAGGCCGGTTGGAATGAATATCGTAAGGCACGCTGCAAGTTTGGGATGAACATGTGAGATCTTGAGAGACTCCCCACCCGCTACGTACCGTTTTGTTTCACAAACCCAGGACGTTGGATGCTGAAACGCCGTTTGCATGCGTGTCCCACCAAGAACGGGGGGTCGGTGACATTCCCTGTCACCAGCCTCAAATCGAGGGTTTTGGTTCTTCATGATAATTTCACAGATGCAGTGATGGCGGTGCAAGCGAGGATTTCGAGGATTTCAATAGCTACGAGTAAAGTACTTGAACCGTGTTGATAGTCAATACTGAGGAAATCGTCACGACGCAATGCAAAGCCCAGCCGAATCGTTATGCCCAAAAAGACCCGCCATGCCATGAATTAACCAACACCACCATCAACACCGCTTAAACACAAATGATCGAACCACAGCCGCCGGACGAGGCGGTCGGTCACAGGTCAGTTAAACTCGGAGAACAGCCCACTCATCCCGCCCTCCTTGCCGCGATCCCATTCCCGCTTCTCTCCGGCCTTGGCCCACCGCACATCCTTCTCGTCCTTTTGCTCGCCCGTCTTCCACTTCTTGATCATCTCCTCGTCGTACCCGGCCGCCCGCATCCGCTGCTCCTGGTTCTGCCGCCACTTCTGCCTGTCCCTAAAGGCTTCCACGGCGTCGTCCCAGTTCTCCGCGTCGCCGGCCGCGCCACTCTCCATCTCCACGTCCATCTTCGGGTCGTAGTCGGCCTCGAAGCGCTTGTCGATGCCGGACGACGCCGACGCTGCTCCGCGGCCCCGAGAACGCACTGGCGCGGGCGGCGCGGGGCCGATGATGTCGTCGAGCGGGTCTGAGTCGGATGCGGCGGCGGAATCGTGCTCTTGCGCCGCGCGCCGGCTGCTGCTGCCCTTGATCGAGAAGCCCTGTGTCTCCCTGCTCCTGTCTGTTCGTGCCCGCCGACCTTTCGACATTAGGTCCTCGTCGTCGTAGTCTCTGCGCTCCTTGTCGCTCCGATGCGATCTGGACGTCGAGTCCCTTCCGACCGGCGACCGGTGACGATGTCTCCTAGACCCGTCATCAGGCGATCGTGATCTCCGCCGGCCGCTCTTATGCCTCCGACGATCCTCGCGCTCGGAATCCGAGTCGTCCCTTCTTCGGTGGTGTCTCCTGTGCCCACGTTCGGGCGACTCGCTTCTACGGTCTCGATGTCTCTGGCGCGGCGACGAAGCGTCCTTCTTGTGCGACCTCTCATCCGTCCGTGTAGATCTCTGCGTGCGTCCGCCCAGTATAGCCTTGATGTCTCCCATCTGCCGTTTGCGAATGTCCTGCGGGCCCGCATGTTTCCTTCGCTCCTTCTCCTCGGCGTTCTCGAGCACCTTCAGTCGTGCTTGCGAGTCGGCGGCTTCCTTGGCCAGGAGGTTCTTGTTGTGGGTGTCGGTGTCCTTGATGATGTGGCGCAGGAACCGGGTGTTGGGTTTCGGCATATTTGCTGGCCTGGCGGGTTGGTTAGGACGATGGAGGGCCGTGGTGAGGGGAGTCGGAGGCTATCGGACGTACTTCTTCTTGGTGTTGAACGCCTCTAACCCCATGCTCGAGTATTTCAGAGAGCATTCGTTTGCTTCTTTGGCGAGGAGATCGGCGACGTAGTCGTCGGGAATCATGTCGTAGTTCGCCATATTGCCAGTCGTTCTATCCAAAAGTGGTCGAGATAAAGCGGGTATATCGCAAGCCTTCCAGGAGAGGCGCTTCAAAACCAAGCCTGCATCGAGCGTGCCTCGACGGGTCGTTTGCTGATTCCTGCTGGCGGATGACGTGCGCTCGGGTGAGATCGTAGCCCTCGCGAGCCTGGCCGAGGTGAGATGGTTTTGATGTCAAGCTCTATTGATCAGTCGGCTTATTGAAACGATTCGGAGAGACTGCGGGGTACTGGATGATTGAAGAGGGAAGATGTAGCAGTTGTGGCGGACGGACAGGACGATCGACAAAGCGCAGAAGCCTCGCGAGGGGATCTCCGACAGGGCCCTGACGCCTACCTTGCGATAAGATAAGGATTGGGTACGATAACGATAAGGAGGGCGCTTCCCCTTCTGGACCGAAGTAAACAAACGTCACAAGACATCACAAACATTTGCAATTTGTCGCCAGCTACGCACTTCCTCCCAATTTCGCGACCAGGCTGAGCGTGTCCGAAATTTAGTCAACACCACGAAACGAGAGTCAACCACAGAGACGCAACGCGATGAACACGGAAAAGGCGGCGCAAGTGCTGCGCAAAATCGAAGACCTCAACGCGAACCACGAAATCTCAATCATCAAGCTTAGCGAGCCGATATTGAGCGCCGCGAACCAAGAATCCCGACAGCGAACATCGGACGCCTCCAACGCCTCCCAAGATGCGACCACGCCAGACAGCCTCGACGCCGACCTGGCGCACTACAAGGAGCTCTTCGCGAAGCTGCGCTTTTCCTACGTCGAGCAGGTGACTAAGGAGAAGTTCATTCGCGCCATCGTCGGCGACCCGCCCCTCATCGTCACGCCGCAGGAGAACCTCGAGCTCGAGAAAGCGAACCTCGAAGCGAAGGCCGAGCTCAAGGCGCTCAAGGTGGAGGTCGCCGATATGGTGGCGGAGCTGGAAAGGAGGGGAAAGGAGCTGGCGAAGCGATACGAGAGCGTGCAGTTAGACACCGCCAAACTTAGGGAACTACCCGACAAGATCATCGAATTGGAGGAGCGTATCGCGGGGCTCAAGGAAGCGCAGGCGCCGGGACAAAGTCCGCTGATGAATCTTCCGCTGGCGAAGACACTGGAGTTGGTAGACGAGAAGAAGAGGCAACAACAGCAGCTGGACCGTGAATTGGAGCAGCTGCAAGCCAGGGTGCCGAGGAAAAGAAAGGAACTCGAAAGACTGCAGGCTGAATTACAACCACTTGAGGTCAAGAGACAGAACAGCAAGACCGCAGCAAAAGAAGCGCGCAGGAGGAAAGACGGCGCGGGCGGTGATGAGGATGACCTGGAGGAGCGCGGGCGGTGGTTACGGGCCAGCGAGGCGGCGTTGAAGCAGATGCTTGATATTCAGGGTTGAGCATGATCTTGTGTGGGGGGTTTGAAGGCTGGGGAAATTGGTGGACGATGCGATGAACTTTTTCTATACCCGCGCGCGAGGCAATCTGGAATACTACCGAGAATGGACGGCGTTGGCTGATTTAGAGATCAGAATAACCTCAATGACAATGATTCGATGCACCACGTTAAAATGCTGCCCTTGCTCGAAATGGGAGTGACAGTTGCCGCCAGTGCAGCCCACTGCCCGCTGCTGCTGCATTGCGGGCCGTCCTTGTGCCCCACCAAAATGCAATGGCCCCTGCACGCACCCCAACCGTCCTTTCCCTCGAGAAAGCCCGAGTCAGGTGACCTGCAATTTCCCCCGAGATTCAGCCGGGCAAAACGGCAAATTGTGTGCGCTCGGCTAGGGTCACGAATTTTTGATTCCCGCGAGACCATCTCAAGATTCCTCCGCAAACCAACTAACCGACCAGCAACCACCGCACCACCATCGTCGACCACCGAACACCGCCAAGATGAGTACGTACGCCCCGACTGTCGCGTCGTCGAAATCATCCGCCCGATGACGAGAACCGCGATCAAACCGAATTTTTCCATCTGTCCTGGGGGAGGAAATTTGCTAACGACTCCGTGCAGCGAAGGGTACCTCCTCGTTTGGTAAGAGACACAACAAGACGCACGTTCTGTGCCGTCGTTGCGGTAAGTCCATCCGGCCGGGGGAAAGAGCCGATGCGATCGAGCTTTCTCCCAAAAGATCTCGACATTCAGATCCGAAATACTGACGAACGATCCGATGCACAGGTCGCCGATCTCTCCACGTCCAGAAGCACACCTGCTCTTCTTGCGGTTACCCCTCGGCCAAGACTCGCAAGTGTACGTTCTCTCCCTCCGACGACGACCTCGAACCACACGCCATCAACCCTCCCTCCCCGAACTACTTCCTACTATGACTATCGTGGACCGGAAATGCTGACGCAGGGCGATACAGACAACTGGTCCGAGAAGGCCAAGCGGAGAAAGACCGTCGGCACCGGCCGCATGCGCTACCTCAAGGACGTCTCCCGCCGCTTCAAGAACGGCTTCCAGACCGGTGTCCCCAAGGGCTCCGCCGGCCCTGCCGTCCAGGCGTAAACAACTCTCTGCGGTCTCTTTTTCGATGCGAACTTGGACGATGGGAATGTAAAGGGTGTCGACATGGGGGTATCTGTGCATTCGGGCATTCGGGGGGAAAAGGGCGTGAGAACCGGGAACGATTACACGAAACAACAAAATCACACACAATTTTTTTGTTAATCCTTTTTTCCTCCGCTCCCCCGCTCCCCAATCGCTTGACTGCGGATCAGCGAAGGCCAATTCAAAAAAAACAACACAAACCAAACGAGCATTTGGCATCTGGGTGTTTTGCGTCATCATCATCATCTCTCTCTCGCGCGTGGGCATATGGGGAAAACAAGTTCTTTTTTACAGGGAAAACGGATCCTCGATAAAACAATGGGCTGGCTTTTGGCTTCTTTCCACCACCTTGATTCCCTGCGGTTCAAGATATCCCCCGACGCGATGTCGCAATTCTAACGACATTCCAAGACGCGCTCTTGAACGATCGTGACGTGCTGATGTTTGCTGCCTCTGGTGAAAGGCAGTTTGGGCTCTCTTGTCATCGTCATCTTGAATGTTCAGCCTAAGCCCCAATTGTGACTTCACAGTCCTGTGGGAGCTATTCGCCATCCCAGTGATTCATTCTTCACTGGCCCCGTCCAAACACTTTGACACTTCCATCCCCGCCCACGAAATACAGCAGCTCCGTCTCCTCAACAGCCCTCTCCCCGTCCCCATCGCCTCCAGCAGTGATCCTCAATACGCCGCTAACGTCGCTCGCCGTCCCCGTGTCCAGCAATCGCAAGCTGACGACCGTCTCCGCGGCGTGCGCAAGCCCCAACACGAAGCTCGCTTGCTCCTTCTCCAGCGTCGTAGCCTGCGCAGCCACAAGCGGCTCGTCTGCTGCGACAGTAACGATCGAGGCGTGGACTTTCTAGTAACCGTCAGCATGACTCATCCTTGATACATATGAAATTCGTGCATGTGTTGCTGGATGGCCTGGCAAGGGAGCCGAGTTGGGAACATACCTCCTGTACATCAAGCAACAAATTCCTCAACGTCAGCCCCGTGACACCCTCCCCAGCTGCGGCGAGTAGCAGATCAGGCTGGTCGACAATCAAGACAGTCTTGCCGTCCGCGACGGCCACGTCCGAGACGGCAGCCTCGAGCTCGCGCTGGACGTCCGGGAGCTTCGCCCCGCAGAGCGTCCTCCTGCCCTTGGCCGCCGGCGGCGCGACACCCGTGAACAACCCACTCAGCCCGTCGACGAAGACGAATTTCCCGCTGCGACCGAGCGCCTCGAGATCCAGACCCTATTCTCCTCGTTCAGCTTCGGGTCCGGAAGAAAGGGGGGCCAGAGAGTGTGAGTGAGTGAGTGAGTGACATACCAATCTTCCCGCGCCCTCTTTCCAGAACGCAAAGTCCCGCATGAAACTCACGAGGACGACGCGGACGTCGTCGGCCGGCGAGTCTTCTGCCCCCGGGCTCGGCTTGCGCAGGTACGAGTAGAGGTACCGCAGGACGAGCCAGTTGGTGCTGGCGCCGAGGACGCTTGTGAGGAGGATCTGCGCGCATTCCGGCGGGAGGGCGAGGTAGGTCTCGAGGAGGTGCGGTATCCTCGTCGCCATTTTTGTCTGTGCTGTGTGGTGAGATGTTGCTCTCTGGGACGGGAGCGGATGTGTCTTGTAAGTGATGTTCGTTCTCTGGTAGTGCCCCGTGTGTTTTGCGATGGTGGTGGTGATGGTGGGGTTAGGTGGGTGCGGGGCACTCACTCCAGCTCTGCCTCACCCTGCTGGCTCAGCTCAAGACATTGCAAAACCTGCTCGGATCAGTCATTCTCATGAATGATTCATGAGACTTTGCAAAAATGAATGGTTCTTGAGTAACACTTATAAACAACTTGCAAAACTATGACTTTCGAGAGAGTATCATAGTGATCATTGAACGCTGGCGGAAAAAACATCAGCGCAATAGAAAGAAATCCGACGTCATCCAAACCATCCCACTTTTTCCAAAAGAAAATGAAAACAACAGCCAATGACCAAAAATGAATGTCCTCGGAGAGGCTCGAACTCTCGACCTTTGGATGTCTCTGTCTGATCACAGAGTCATATTGAGTAATATGAGACCAACGCTCTACCGACTGAGCCACGAAGACAACTTGTTGTGTTCGGCGGAGCTGTGGGCGACGACATGAACCGAGGGCACGTCGTGAGCGGAGAAGGTAGATGGGGCGGCTGTGAGCTTGTGGGTATTTTCTGCAGCAAGCAGTTCGCTGAGACCGAGACTTCGAGATTTCTTTAGTTGCGGTGGGTGAGTTGTGGAGCGGGAGTGGACGGACGGCGAACCACATTGAGACAGAGCGATGGCTTCACAAGGTACGAGTTTGAGGTGCCGATGGGTTTCTGAACAATGATGTGGCCTTGGGACACCCGTACTTAAACAAGATTTATCTATCTCCTCCTACTCAGTCAGACTGGACGCGGGTAGACTGGGGCGCGTTCTTAGATGAGCTCCATGCAAATAGTGCTTTTCATTAGCAGGGGAAACAGTTAATATTTTATTAAAACTTAGAAGACCCTACCTAGTATAAGAAACTAACATCACCTTCTCTCTCACTTATTATACATCTATCTCATTCTCTTAGCTCTCAGAACCACTAAGCAGATCACACAGCATGTGCACAACACCCAAAAACACAAAACCAATAGTCCACACATCCAAACGAACAAAAAGATGCGCCGAGGGGGAATCGAACCCCCGGCTCCCCGACGCTGCTTGATGGCAACGGAGAATTTTACCACTAAACCATCGGCGCGACAACGACTCGTGATGAGCGATACAGGATATCGCCGATGCTGGGCTCATGGATGCGGGATTTAGGGCTGTTGCGTGAGTCGGGGCCCGGAAGTGGGTCCGTCGTCTCCGACGTCGCGGCGTTTGCGCCGGCTCGGATGAGTCCGGCGTGAGAGAGCTGGCCGTGAAGGAGGAGGTTAGCATGAGATTATGATTTGTTTTAGTATGTGTGATGAGATGGTTGTGAGTGGTGGTCTGATGGGCGAGTTGGTTGTGTGTATGGGCTTGGGTTTGTGTGTTGGGGTTGGTTCGAGACGTAGAATACTACAACTTGGTCTCGCAAAGTCATTTATGTGAGTGTCTCCGGTGCTTCTACTTTATAAGAATGAGTCTCTGTAACGGGAACTTATGTTTTAGGTTCATTTCAGCTATCCCGGGGTCTCAATACTTCGTTGTGAATTTTAACAGTTGATTTTCAAATACTTACAAATTAGACTTATCCAAAGCTCATCAAAAAAAACTAAATATTGCAAGCACCATGTCTTCTCATCAAAACTCATGTCCTTGAAACTTTCATGCTCTTGCTCTAATCCGGGACGATTGTCTCTCAGTTCCGCTCGCCTAGACCCATGAAACCTCTCCCTCCTCGTCCAGGACTCAACCGGCAACGCAACCTCCTGACCAACTCGGGAGCCAACGCCACCACTTCTTCTGACTTTTTCCAGAGTACCACAGTGATATTATTGCGCCTCTATCAATGTGAAAGAATACAAAAACTCCGCTTCATCTCATCGATAAGGTCCTCGGCCATACCAACAGGCACTGCACCGGCCCTGATACCCCCCATCGCGTTACCCATCATCAAGACATCCATTCGGGAGCATCGTTATCCTAATAGGACTTCAACACACGCAGCCATATCGAAACATCCCTTAACTTGTCGGAAACTGAAGCTTTTCGTTCCGTGATCTACTCATCCAGGTCTAGTTATTGTCAAACTTCCAGACCTCATGGCATCGGAAACCCACAACAACAACTCCACTCCACACCAAACTACCTGCCCAGCTTCCTTATAACAAGGAAATAGACATTCTGCAGAACCGTACATCGCCTAGCGCTTGCATCTCACCACATCCAGACTACGTCTGCTGATCCAAGTCGGTGGTTTCCCCCTTTCCACTCCTCACGCAACCACCCACACATCACCGAGCTCTAGAAAACCAATCACAACGACTTTCTCGATTTCGCCCGAGCCGTTGACCGCCGGATAGCCGACAAAGCCTGCATATTGACCTCATGCAAGCTCCCGCTGCCCGCCAAGTACCACCACCGCTCCGGCCTCGAACGGAATCCAGATCCTCGACTAGCTCGGCAAACAAACACCGTGCTAGTCCCATGTAGAAGACTCCAGCTCAGAATAGTCGACAATAGAGTCTCGTGGCAGGGCACGACTCCCCTTCAATCTGGTCTCTTGCACGGGAAGTTGACTTCAACAGGCGCAAGAAACGGCCTTGCGTCGCCTCGCTTGCGTGCTCTGTGGGATTCTATCCGATTCCCACACACACGAGCTCATATCGATGATGGGTTTCCTACGAAGGCTCTTGTTCTGATGTACACCTCTAATGACCACCGCTCGTAGTCATCTCTCTCCACAGTCCCTTCCGTCACCTAGATCCTCTCATTTCAAAACTTATCTGATCTTCCTGCGCATATAACAAGCTCCCCATGACAAATGAGACTGATGTGTAAATCTCACTCCACCGACATTACCAAAACCATCCAACCCCATGCACCCCCTTCTCCCCTTGCCACCACCCGCCCTAGCAATCACCTTCTTCAAGGCATTCCCTCGCGCGGCCGACGTACCTCCCAAACCCCACCGCACGCGGACCGACCTCTCCAACGACCAACTCGCGGCCCGCAGCCCTCTGAGACGATGCCCGGCGAACCCTGCGGGCTTTCCTCGCCCTCCCCCGCCGCCGTTCGACGAGACTGGGCCTCGACGACCGGCCCTTAAACCCGGACCATCGCTACCCCCACGTCTAGGTTCACGACCCCGTGCGAAGACGGTGATGTGGTGGTAAGTCGCACACACACACACACCCTCTCTCCCTCCCCAATCAATGCATTTCACCGCCTCATCTAACGCTGGTCCAGGGGGGCAACGGCGTGAGGAAGGGTGCGGGCGTCGATGCAGGCGCCCACGACTTCCGGCACCCGGTGTTCCTGGCGTTCCTCTGCACTTGTACGATACGAAATGAGGGCTGGGCAAGAGTACGAGGTCGGCCTGTACTGCAGTGAATCGTCCTGAAGCACTATTGGAAACATAGCTCGATGAACAGAGTATCTCGAATCATCATGTAATAAAATCATGTTGCGGTGTGCCTGTAGTCTACGTGATCTATAGACGGCGCCGGTGGAGCCCAGCCTCCCTAAGGTATCGTGATAAAAAACAATGCAATGGCGTCGTGCGAGCCCGGCCCCCGTCTCCGTAAATTCGAAAACTCCTGAGATGAAATGCAGATGCGACGATGGGTTTCCCCATGTATACATGACGCTGAAAATGCCCGATGCTTATGATGCCGAAAGATGAACAAACAAAAATCCTGTACCCAGACGCCTAAAAGTTCTCCATGAAATTCTTCCTCACGGTCCACATGCGAGCGCGCTTGCCGTAGATGAACATGGGTATCGTGGCCAGCAGGAAGACGAGCTGGATGACGCCGAGCCAGATGAAGACCATCTTCGGCCCGTCGGAGGTGATCCAGTGGGTGACGAAGAGGCTGAAGACGAGGCCGTGGAAGATGTTCTTGCTGAAGTTGAGGGTGACGAGGGCCTCGCCGGCGTACTGACGGTAGCTGTCGACGCAGAAGGTGATGGAGGTGGTGGAGCCGAGGGTGCAGCCGAAGGAGATGAGGCCGAAGAAGACGGTGGGAACGATCCAGTGGTCGCGCTCCTCGGCGGACCAGCCGAAGCCCATGAGGCCGATGACGGTGGTGACGAGGACGGGGGCGGCCATGACGAGGCGGAACTCGGGTTCGTAGAGGCCGCCGTTGCGGCGGGCCATGGCCTTGACGATGATGTCGCTGACCTTGCCGGCGACGGCGGTGCCGAGGATGCCGCCGACGAAGGGGGAGAAGTAGACGAGGCCGGTCTGGAGGGCGTCGAAGTTGTACGAGTCGCGGTTGCGGTAGATGAGGGCGATGGACTCGGAGACGACGATGAGCCAGCCGACGGAGAGGGCGTAGACGGCGGAGGACCAGAGGACGGCGGGGTAGGCGAAGAGGATGAAGGGGCGGAGCATGACCTTGAACCACTTGTCGTGGTTGAGGCGGCCGTTCCAGGGCTTGAGCTGCTCGCCGAAGGAGAGGGCGGGCTGGTGGCGGAGGGTGTGGGTGTAGGCTAGAGCCTTTGGTGGGGAGTTGAGGTCCGAAGGGAGCTTTTCGCTTTCGAGGGCGGGGGCCTTTGCGAAGTAGTCCGAGTTGGCTGGCGAGGTGGATGTGCCTGAGGTGCGGGGTTCGGGTGCGGGGATGGGAGACGGGGAGATTGCGGGTGTGTTGCCGCCGGTGTTTTCGGGGTTCTTTTCGGGGTCGGCCTTGGAGGTGCTGCGTTCCGTGGTCGGGTCCGGTGCGAAGCCGACGTGGAGGTCTTTGTGGGGGTGGGACGGAGACTGAGGGGAGAGAGGCGCGGGGCTGGTGGCGGCTGCTGCGTGGGGAGTCTCGGCGTTGGGGGTCTTGGCTACCTGTGGAACGTCGTTGCGTGAGGAATGGCGATGTCTGAAGCTAGGTCTTCTCGAGGGTTTCCTGGACTTGGGGATGGGAGTTCGGTCCCAAAAAGTCTCCGGGACGAAGAGAAACAACAGAACGCCACAGAGGGCGACAACCATGGCAACAATCCTGACATTGTGTGAGCTCATGAATGCTGCAGACAGAGGCTAAAAACTTACCAGAACACCCATCGCCAACTGAGGCCCTGAATGATGACGGCGCTGACGAGGGGGATGAGGTTCTTTCCTCCCAGAAGTAGCAATGTGTAGATGCCGATGCGGAATGCTCTCTCGTGAAGAAAGAAGATCTCGGCAATCGTCGCCGATGGAAGACACTCGACGGGGCTGACCGAAATACCCTGGAATATCCTGGCCAGGATGAGGGACGGGAAGTTGGGGGACAAGGCCGCCCACACGGAGCTGAGGATGAAGATGACGGCGCTGAACAAGTAAACGGGCCTCTTTCCATACAAGATGGCGGTTGGCGAGAAGATGACGGAGCCGAGACCCATACCCATCATGTACAGGCCCGTGGTCAAGGAGACTGTCTCCGTCTCGATGTGATAGTCCTGCGCAACGTTGGTGAAGCCGGCTGCGAGGATGGGAGTCATGCCGCCACCGACCATGCAGTAGAAGCCGAGCGATAACAAAGCGCAATCACGACGCCATGCGGGCCAGTTCAAGGGGTCGTTGGCCGACTCTTCAGGTTGAGGGTTGAGGATGATGCCGTCTTTTGTCGTCTTGGCGGCTTCCGCGGGCGGGGCCGAGTAGGCGGAAGATCGGCGACCGGAGGGCGTCTCGGCCGGCTCCGGGAAACCAGTGGGGATGGACGAGTGGGACGTCCTGGCGGGCGCATTGCGTAAGCCCAGGGGCTCGTTACGGTTGCTAGCCAAGAGAAGCACCGAACCTGCGAGTGTAAGTAATGAAGTAGGTGAAGAGGAGAGTGAAGAAAAACTGGCTTACCAGGCACTTCGATGGTCTTTGGGTCGTTGAGAACTCCCATACTCCATTTTGGTGGACCGGCGTTCTCGTCTTCCGACCTCTCTCCTTGGTCGGGTTTGTTTCCGAAGACTCCGCCGAAACGGCTCTTCCATGTCAGGATGCCGGCCATGTTGGCGCTGCCTGAAAGCCTTGGAGAAGATGAAGAAGCGCCAAGACAGGTTTGCAGACGTCAAAACTGGTACGCGACGGTCGAGGTGTGCAGTGCTTGAGAAAAATCAAACAGTCTGGAAATTGGAAAACGGGAGAGCAGGAGTATACACTTGAGCAATAGGGCTGTAATCTCAAGTTCGGTCGAGCATGGCTCTGGGCTCAAGCGTGCATCAAAGATGAGATAAGGTTGCCGGAACCCACGGACGCGGATAGCGGAATTGCCAAAGTCGCATCCAACAAAGAATCGAATTTTTGTGGGAGCGTCGATGGGACACAGAGAGGTTCAAAAAAGTGTAGAGGGAAGAAAAGAGGCGCAAAGAAAATGAGGAGACGGAATTGGGAGTGGTGTTGTGATGAGGCCGTCGATGAAAACAGCGGTGGACATGAGAAAACCAACAACAGCCAGGTAGTAGCACGTTGATGACAAGCGTGCTTAGGGGGCGATCAAAGGCCGTGCAGAGCGATGGCGTCAGATGGCCAGCGCGACGTTTGACTGTAATGAAATGATGGCTGGAATTAGCGTCTCAAGTCGGGGCAGACGACCAGCAGACCAAGGATGACCCTCGAGCTTTATGGTGAGGGCAACGGCAGCGATAAGCTGGATTTAATGCCAGGTCAGGAGGAACGACTGCGGCGGCGGCGCGGCGAAAATGAACATGGGACGAAGTGAAGAAAAGAAGCAACCGTAGTCAGGATTGGCCGGCCACCGAGTCAAGAGCGCTGTTCGCGAACGACCAGACAGGGTTCTGAGATACGGGGGTCGACGCCGAGATCTCTCAGCTCGCGGAGGACCCTGCTCGTTTTCTTTTTTGCTTGCGCCTCGGGCGGGTTCCGTGTTGTATTGTGTATTGAGTGAATGCGAATGCCTTGGTCTGGGTAGACGCGACTGACAGATGATAGGCATGCAGGTGACTTGACGGCGGTTCCGAATTGGATGTCCAAGAGATGGCAAGTCTGGGCGGACAGGTAAGACTGATGAGCGTCGTTGGCCACATGGGAGAAACTAGTGTATCCGTAGCTAGAGAGGTTGCATCTCGTTTCTCTGATGTCGGCGTCGGCGCCAGATACGCAGCACAGATCCAGGACCCCTAAAACCGAGACTAGACGTCCAACCAGAACCCGTGGTCTTTTGTCTTTTGCGGGTTGGTGGATGGAGTGACGACCGGGTTGAGCCCCAGGCTCCACGCTCTTGTATGACCGACTTGGTGGTGAGGCGACAGTCGACTGCAGAGTGCAGAGTGCCGGCTCAAGGTTGCCCTCATATCTCCACTTGTCTGACGGATTGGTGATTGTGGGATGCGGCGAGGCGGTGACCGTGTATCCGTATCGGTAGTGTATTCAGTGGTCCTCCATCGCCTTCTTTTGATGAAGCTTGGCCAGAACATTGTCGCATTCGCCGCGATAGGCCGGGTCCGGTGTCGAACATGGTGCGGCGTATTTGCTGCTCGAAATAAGACAAAGGCAATCTACCTGCGAGAAGACGAATGGAAGATTGGATGTCAAGTTGGACTTGGAAGCTGAAAAGGCTCAATCAAGCCCAACCGCCAAAAAAGCAGCCTCCCGCCTGGGCGCCAAGGTTCATCAGACCGCTTACCGCACTTGCCGTCGCTGCAAAAAAAGGCACGACCCCTGTTACTGCCCTGAGTGCCCTGAGTGCCCTCCATTGCCCTGCCTGTGTCTGATTATGTCATCCGTCACCCCAGACTCGTTACGTCATCGTGCGCCCAAAAGGTGCCGTACCCACAAGTTCTCGACGCCTTACCCAATGGGGACATCCGGGATTTAAGCGTGACCGTGAAGAAGAAGTGGCAGGTGCAGGTGCTGGCAATTGCTTCTGTTCCATTCTGCATTCTGCATTTTCAAATTCCTGATGACACTGACTGACTCCAATCAATTGATTCCCATTTCAATTCATCAAGACACCAAAATAAACGTCCGGGGTACTACGTGCCTGAATCCGACCGAAACGACCTATCCGTCCAAAAACACCATAACCAAGACTACGCGCATTGCATCGAATCTATCTGTTTCCTTGGTCTTGTTTTCACAAGCTACCTTACCCCAGCTCGACCTCCTCTTCCCCGGAAAGCAATCCTATCTCAACCGCCAAATACCTTGACCTTGTCTCCCTGCTTGGTGCACGTCACGGGACACCACGAGACCGTCTCTGACGACGTCAATCGGCAGCACACTGCATGCATACGAACCTACTTGCTTGCCTTACCTTGCACAACACCACACGACGATGCAACTCTTGAGACACGCAGCCGGCTCCGCCCTCCGGGGCTGCGGCCGTCCTCTCGCCAATGGCGTCCGCATCCCGCCCTCCAAGCTTTCCATTACCGCCGTCGCCGCTCCCTTCTCCACCTCGGCCACCAACCCGGCCAAGAATCAGATCTACGCATCGTGAGTCTACTCCGCCCGTTCCTCCGCTCCTCCTCACCTCTACACGCTTTCTAACCCCTGCCATCAGTGTCCGCCGCCCCGACAACTTCCACACCTACCAACTTCTGTCCGCCTCCGCCCGCACACCGCTGATAACGCTATGGACCACCTCATGGTGCGGCACATGTCGAGTCGTCGCCCCGTTGATACGATCAATCGTTGAATCTGGCGTCGGCGAGGCGGAAGGCGGCGTTGCATACTGCACCGTCGAATTCGATGCTCCCGACGTCATGAGCGGGGGGCTCGGCATGACCTACATGATCTCCTCCATCCCGACCCTCCTGAGCTTTGATAACCAGGAAGCTCAGATTCAGACCAAGGTCCACGATGCAAAGAAGCTCGCAGACCGCGCTTTCCTCGAAGAATGGATCAGGACCGAAGCACGACGACGTGGCCAACGCGGCGGCGGCGGAGGATCCGGCGGCGTTTTCGGCGGATTGTTTGGGGGCTTCAAGTAATGCGCGCGGCCATTATCACACAGGTCACACACATCGCGTCTCCTGGCACTATCGTCCACAGACAAGACCACGAAATTTCATCCAAGCCGAGGCGCTGTCATTCGGTTCGTCGCTGACTAAAATGCAATACAATTCGATATCCTCTCTACCTCTCTCCGTCTCAAGCTGTGTAGAACACCTCCTCGACGGGCTTCCACCACGAAGGCGCGTCAACAGCCTCGCTGCTGACGGCGCCCGGAACGACAGACTCTTGCCAGCCGTCGGTCATGGCCCACCACTCGCGGACCTTGGGGTTCTCGCGCATCTTCTCCATGTCTCCGGCATAGTCGTAACCGACGTACTTGAACGACGCGAACAAGGTGCGAGACTCGGGGTCGTGGAAAATGCTGTCTGTTTCGGGTTAGCTTGTTCTCTCCCTCGTCTGAGACATCCGAGACAACGGCACGTACAGTCGACAATGTTGCACTCCTTGATCTGCTGGAGGACTTCGGGCCACACTTTGGCGTGGACCTCCTTGTACTTGTCGACGAACTCGGGCTTGAGCTTCACAATCTGGGCAAAGCGACGACCGGGGTTCCTCTGTCTGCCGGAGACGGGCGAAGGTGTGCTCTCCACGTCGGTTGGGCTATCGGCCGCGGGGGGAGAAGCGCGCTTGCTGGACCACATTTTGAAGGTATCGGAACGGCAATCTGTCGGACGTGGGCAAATTGTTCAATGTCGTCGATGGCGGGAGAGGTGAAGTTTTTGCTCGCGAAATGTGCTCGGCGAAGGGCTGACCCAGGTGCGTCTCGTGGACTCGGGCGTCGGCCTGTCGAACTGGGAGCGCCTGCTTAGAGCCGATCAGCGGGGGGGAAGCGCCTAGCCAGACCGCAGCGTGACAGGTGGGGAGACAACGGTGAAGCGCAGTGGAGGGAACTCGGGGCAAGAATGTCGCGAGGCGGGGCCGCGAGGGGTAAACGATGCGGGGATTGGGGGGATTTGTTTGTCCAGCACTGACAAACAACGACAGCTACGCAAGATCAACCTTGAAACGGAACGCAAACACAAACACACAAACAGTTGTTGCTCGCACACACAGAGTCCAAAGCACACCTTTCTGCTGCAGGGCCGTGATGGCCGTCTCGAGCGGTGAAGTCGCCAGCGGGTCACTACAAAGAGCACCGGAGACGGGGCTCTCGTAAAATGCTGCTCGTCGGGAATATCTCTTTCCCCACGGTTTACCGCCGAGATCTGATCCTCGCCAATAACAATCGCGCGATCCGTCGTACGGTTGGGGGCAGATGGGGTCGGTTGGTCAGCTGCAGATGAGATCCTTTTGCAGTTCGACGAGCTGATGGTTCGTTGCGACGGTACGACCGGAGCTTCAGTCCAAGCAGTTTCGACGGGCCAGGTTGTCTTCTTATACTTGCAACCAAACACTTGCGGGCTTATCTTTTACTTCAACCTTTCAACTTAAATTGGTTGCACAACCCTACAAAGCTCCGTCGCCGGGGTCCGCGTAACATGCCACACGGTGTCGCACCGTCTGAACTTGCGGTCACAGCGCTCTCCGGGCGCATACCCAGCACTCGAGTTCCCGATGCCATTTCGGGTCGCTGCGCTGCACCTCGAAGCTCTCTGCCATGGTTTCGGTGCATACCGCCGGACCGTTAGAGTTCACGACGTGATGCCGTCTGCTGCATGGAACGCTTGAGGGTGAACCCTGAGCCCAGCGGGAGAAGAACTGGCCGGGTCCGCGACCATGTGTTCCTCCTGACCTTCCAGTCCGACCGGGGCTCCGGTCTCCATGTGGTCGAGACCCTGCGAACCCCCCACACCCCGCCCGAGATTTCCGCTTTTAGCCTGAGACGCGCTTTCTTCGCCGGTTCTCTGCTCTCTCGTAATTGGGTCTTGACCGTTGGAGATTTCTCATCCTCTTCAAACAGTCGGTTTCCATACCTCGGCTGTTGCCGCAATGTAACCGAATATGATCACTCAACAGCCTATCGCCAGCTCCCTGGAACCTCGCGACATGGGTGACCGGAGTTGTCAACGACGGGTTTCCAGCGTGTCCGATAGCCGATGTGACTAATGGCCATGGCAGACCGACGTATCCCTGCACCGTCCGAGGTGCGATGCCACATTTGCTCTCGATAGGCGCTAGAGCAAGTGACATGACTGTGCGAAGCGGCTCCTCCTTGGGTGCCGGACCTGATCGCGGCTTCGGGCTGATAATCCGGAACCGCGGTCGCGCTTCCGACTGGCAATCGGCTTTCGGTGCCAGAGCCTCCAGCACGGAGAATATAAGAAGCGACACTGTCGCTTTTCTTCTGGTTGAGTAGATGTTACCATCCCACGATTCCTACTCAAGGGTAGGGACGGAGACAAATCTGCGTTGCTGACTGTGATCCGAACTACGCATCTTGGATCAGATTACCCGACGAATAGCTGCACCACCACTTGTTTTACGAGTTCTGGGCCTTGCATAACTTTTCCCAGACCTGACATGTCGACTTCCGGCTGGTCCACGGACTGCGTAATCTTGGAGATTCAACGTGACAGGAGAGCGTCGATGTAATCTTGACTTTCAATACAGGTCATGTAAAAACCTAAGGTGTTTCCTGGCGATGGCTATCAATGCGCCCACGTCCCGGCCGCTATCGCTTCCCAAGCTGCACCATCAGGTCGTCCTGGCCCCCGGTCAGCGTCTCCCGGTACCCATTCCCATCAACCGGAAAGGGCAGATGGCGCGTCGGCTGCCTCTGGTGCCGCCCTCCCCGTCCGTCCCCGTCGGCCTTGGGCACGTGGGCGGTGCCCCAGTCCATCGCCCGCATGTCCTTCACTTCCAGGACCCAGGTCCCGCGCCAGTTCTCCTCCTCCTCAACTACCTGCTCGAGTCTCCAGGGGAACTCGGCGTTTGGGCGGTGCTTCCACCCCTCTTGGGCCGCTGCTGGCGGTTTGTGGTCGGGAGCTGGGCGGGTTTCGGGGCTGTGGCTGTGTGTGCTGCAGCCGACGTTTGTGTTGACCTTGGCATCGACTTTGGTCTCGACTTTGGTGTCCATCTCGATGTCGTCTTCCGGCTTTTCCTTCTTGAGGCCGGTGATATCGACAAGCACGGCAAGGTATTCCCTTACACAGTCACTGAATCGTCCCATTGTCGAAGCCGTGCAGAGCCAAGTCCGTAGTGTCCACTGATCTTTGCTTGAGGTGTGCGAGGGAGATAGATAGATAATGGGGTAGAAGCAGTTCTGCCCTGTGTGCCTGGTCAAGGTAAGGGTGTGAGACGTGTCGGAAGCGTGGATATTGCGTGCTTACTATTGAGCTGGGAAACTTTCAGGGTAATACAAAAGTCTTGCCTGTAACCAAGTCTTCTCTGGTGGAATGGAGGTTGTCCAGAGTGACTGCGAACTGTGCCTTTGTTATATCACTTCGCTTCTGGGTATTTCCGATAGGTAAAAGATTTTGGTACATTCTGCACCTTGAAGTAGCAACCTGATCTTGATAAACTTGGTGTCCAAAAAGAAACAAGCTTTTCCACGCTGAATGATGAAAAAAGCGTAGCAGTAGTTACAGACTATTGTGCCGATATTACGCAAAACCTTGAATTTGAGGACTCAGAGGGAGCCATGGACGCCTTGTGAACCTCGATAGACAGCTGAACCTGGCCACATATTCTTCCAGTTCTCAAAAATTACACACATTAGTGTTCTATGGATCAGGAAAATTGCCCAAGTATATCTGACTTAGTGCCACATGGTCTATTCCTCGCTCCAGCAGTTTTGAAGTTCGTAGAAGGAGATGAATATGCCACAAGAAGCAACGTAAGCTCTGATTATACAACCTGAATACCTTCTTGAACGTAGCCCAAGTTACTGAAATAAGTACCCGTGTGGTTCCTAACCTTCTTGGCCGTCGAGTCTACGGCGAAAAATGAAATCGAGCAGTAACGCACCAAAAATAATCAGTACTATGTCCATTGCTTCCCACTCAAACGCGCGGCTGTTGTTTTGCTGTCATAATGAGACCAAAACGGTGTTCATCGACCTCGTCCGACCTGAACGCCAACCGAGCCGCGGCACAGCAGAACTTTCTCCGGTTCCCAACGGCCTCTGCTGCAGATAGGTAGTCAAAACCGACACGCGACTCTCTGGTGCGCAACGTTTCTGGCGCGCGCCCTGAGAAATAGCGGAAGTCTTTTTCGCAACGTAGCGCCGACTTCATCTCGAGCGGATACGGCCTGCAGGGGAGAAGCAGGCTGTCACGAATCCGGCTTGCCTAGTCTCCCCGACTTGCCACTTTGAGCTGCATCCTGCATCCCGGACGGTTCGTCCCTCTTCTCGCCGCATATACGGGGCGCACCATATTGAATCAAAAAAATGCTCACCCGCCGACCCGCTCGCAAGTAACGTCCCTGCCCAGCCGGCCGTGGCCTTTGGTCTTGATACCCGCGTCTCGTGCCGCTGATGGTGCCGCATGCCGCACGGCTAGAGCGCCCAGTACGGTCCGGGTTTCCTACAAGAGAGGGGGAAAGAGAGACGTTATACCCCACGTGTCGAGATAAGTGGCTGCTTATACAAGTATTGGACTAGGGTTGAGGTTGCAGCGTGGCTTGTTCTGTGCAACAATATTCTACTATGCGACCAATCACTATCAACTCCTTCGCGAGGGGTTTGCCCAACTTATCACTTGCAATGCACGAACTGCATTATCGACGACTATCGTGTAAGCAGTCTATAGTCTGAAGTTGCTACCGCTGCGAACTGTGGTTGTCGCTTTCCTGTCAGGGCATTACCTCTCGAGACGGTGCTCTTCATTTGTCTTCTTTGCAACAATTACCGGCAACTATGTAGGATTCAAGTCACTGGCCCCGTCTGACGAAAAAGCTACAAACGCTGAATGTAGGAGAGGTACGAAAAGAACGCATGAGAAACACACTCAGTGCTTACCGCAAGACGGCATACCTAGGCAATGCTGCTTGAGGCAGCTTTAGAGCCGAAAGCAGGCTGCAAACATGCACAGTACCAGAAGGCTATCTCCAGCATCCCCGACTGTGCAAAACTTCAGACTGTAGATGCAAGTCAGCGCGGGCGTTGCAATCCGTGTCGAAAGGAGAAGCTGGCTCTTGGTTGATGCGATGCAAGTCAGCACAATATTGCAGCTTGCGTCGAGAAAATGTGGGCGAGAGGCCATTCTAGACATCGTTGTAACGTGCCTCATGAGGCGGCGAGAAAGAATGTTCGATCTCTGGCTATATAAAGTAGTCAATCTGATGCTCTTGCTCACTCAAATTCCCCTCCATCAGCAACTACACTTTCCATCCTCTCCCTGCCAAGGTCCCACAGTAGCTGCCCCTTTCATCTCTGTAACCTCGTTCAGAACCCAGAGTCCAATATGCACTTCTCACTCGCCGCCATCACCGCCTTCGCCGGCGTCGCCTTCGCCGGTGTGATCGCCCGAGACGACACCGCCGGGCCCGTCCACATCCCCGTCGACAGCCCCGGCAACGCCGAGGAGGGTTCCCTCCAGGCCATCACTCACCTGTACATCTGCTCCGACGCCAACTTCTCCGGCCGCTGCCAGAACCTAGAGTCCAACACCGGCCAGTGCTGTAAGTCTTCCGGTGTGGACGAGATAAACGACGGAGACTGACCCCGCGCGTGTCTGCCTTGTACAGACAACCTCGGCAACGGCTTCAATGATGTCGTCTCGTCGCTCGGCCCCGATGCGGGAACATCCTGCACCATTTGGGAGTAAGTCCCTTCTTTTCCCAAGGCAATGTCTTAGGAACCTTGAAACCAGAGTTAATGCGCTATTGCAGGAACAATGGATGCTCGGGCGCGTCCATCGTCAACATTGTTAGCCCCGGTATTTACAACCTCGCCGACTCCATCTGGAACTTCAACGACAGGAGTAAGTTTATTGGGCTTTCTGTTCATCATCGACTCCCCCAGACATGCTTAACAGGACACTAACTGATGTATCCTTGCGATCAGTGAGCTCCTACCGATGCGTCTGAACCCCTCTTAGATAGGGTTTCTGGCCCTTGTTCCGGACGCGGAATTGCCTGCAAGGGGTTGCAGGCCAGGCCGCAGTAGCTTTGACATTTGAATTTCACGATGATGGTGATATCTTACTTTCAACCCGCCAAGAAGTGGAGGCGGGCAACTGATTAATGACACTCCTTCACCCAAATGTAATGAATGCAAGTACACATATAGCTCCTTGTAAATGATGACAATACACATGCGAGACCACAAGTGTTCGTACCCGGCGTGTCCTACATGAAAGCTTGAATATCAATAGGTAGCTACATGCGCACAGCCATTGCTTCCGAAGACCCTACAACCCACGAGTGTATACCCTCCTCCGTGCCCGTCCAAGCCATTACCTCGCCACCGATGATACCCCTACCACAAAGGAAGCGGGTTCGTCGAGTTCGGTGGCTTCGTCATGTAAACGTTCCAGTGCTCCTGAATGCAAGTCCCATTGAACCGAAAGAACTCCGCGACGGCCATCGTCTCCGCCCCGGGCACCTCCATCCGCTCGAAGACCCACGCGTGATCATTGTCCACGCCCTTGTGAACCGGGACGTACTTTACGGCCGCAGGCAGCGAAAGCAGGGCGTTCAGGGCGTTCCCGCGACCGGACAGGGCGGACGGCTCGTGCTGGATGTAGTCCTCGGCGAAGAACCTGGGGACGCCGTCGCCGAAGTTTTTCTCGATGAGGAGGGTTTGCGTGAGCTCTTCCAGGATGGCGCGCTGCTTCGCCGGCGTGGCTGGGCGGGGCGGGCAGTAGGATTGCGGTGCTGAGGGGGGCTCCGTGGCTGCGGTTGATGTTGTCAGGGCAGCCAGGAGGCCGAGACTGAGTTGGGGGAACTTCATGCTGGTTGGCGTAGAAAGGGTAGGTCTGCAGAAGGCCGGTTGAGTGTGCGATGATGGGGAGTCTGACGTTATAGCCGGGCATGGACGTATGTTTTATAGTGGCTTGCGGTTGATATTATATCGGCTGTCCCTACTACTTACTACCAGACTGTTGATGTATGTCTAACTCCGGCTTCGGCGTTGGAATCTGTTAGGGGCGGAACGGTCCCACGGCGGACTCTTTCTCGCTCTCGCTCTCGCTCTTGCTCTTGCCGCGGAGAAACATGGACGTGTTGACTACACGACTTCCTTCACGTTGCAAAAGTTTGCCTGGATGGCGGAAGTATAAGTGATTCCGCAGCTTAGGTTGTGATGACCCCAAGCAATCGCGCGAAGTCTCTTGGCGTTCTTCGCTCTGAGAGTGTTCGAGCATCCACTTGCGGTAGGGTTGTTGAATCGCCTGTATGAACAAGCGGAGACTCGGTCAATTCTACGAAGTGATTATTGACATGATAGCATCCGTGAGTGGTGGGTAGTACGGGACGGCATCACCGACAGTGGGGGCGGCGGACTCAAATCGACATTTGATTCCGCGTGTACACATGTAAGCCGTCAGAGTGTACTCCGGAGTTAGTGATCGATGGTCAATCCGGCTGCTGACTGCTGACAATCTGCGGAAATGACGAGATGTTCCAGGACTGGCTTTGTACGTGATGGAGTGGAATAAAGTTATGGCTGGATCGTGGAGTTTTTGACATCCAGCTGCCTTTGTCAGTGTTTCCCTTGATGACACGTTCCGTTCGCAATAGAACTGTTTGCACAAACGACATGGCCGGCTTGATAATAGCGGCACTTTCAGTTCGTACAGCTCTATGGGAGAGGAGAGTCGCCTGCAAGTCCTCAAGCACTTCCTTAAAAGCTACGTGAGACAGCTATTTGTTGGCGCCGAGCAACAATGTATCCGCCACAAGAACCTTCCCGTTGGTCAATCGCGACCGGAAGGTGACTCTATACCTCCCAATTTATGGGTTACACTCATTCATTATCGGGACTTCATTGTTGACTCAACGTGGAAAGAACCACCGAGAACCTACAGCGGTTTCACGGTTCCCCCTCAGCCATACCACATCTTTGGCTTATCAAGACGTTTGACGCTCCTGGATGGGGACCATACTGCCTCCCGAGAGCCCAATAAGGTAGCGATTGGGTTCTTCTCGCTGAATCAGGCGAACGGACGAGAACAATTCGTCTTTGTTTGCCTCAAGGTGTCAAAGAACGAGGTGTTTCCGGGGTAGGGAGAGATTGGATATGAAATCGGGGCTCGAATGGACATTTACGTGCACGGATTGCTTTAGTGCTTACATTATGCATTTACTGTTTTTCATCTTGGTTTATTCAAAACACGTCGCTGTAGCTCAAGACTGATCGAAGATCCTCACCTCATGTAAGTCTCCTGCGGTGATGCTGTCTCCAGTGCACGTGCCGTGTTTCCGAGCCGTGCCTGCAGATTGGAAAGAGCATTCGATGAGCAGTAACCTTCTTCTGAAGAGATCGCACGATGACTCTGTGGTGGTAAATTAGTCTTTGGAGCCAATCTGGGCCGTACATGTAGTCGATTCTCGGAGCTGATTTCATCAACAACGGCCGCATGGAGAAACAGGTGGGACAAAGAGGTACAGAAGTCAAGCATCGACGGGTTGACATCTACCTCCCTGCCCTTCCGCCGATTCGACCGATTAAGAACTGCTGAATGATACGTGCAGCATTCTCAAGGCGTACGACACAATGTTTTATTCTCGGAACGGTTCCGCTGGCTCAGGCACCGGAAGTTTATATTTTTCAAAAGTGAACAGCCATGCTCACAGCGTTTTTGCCAACTGAAAACCTCAGCACGCAAGCGTACGACAGGCTCGAAATCAATCTCCGTTTCCTCATTTTTATTGTTTAGAACTCGGCCCTTCACCCACTCCTTCCTCCGTCTCATCCCTTGACGACTTTGCACTTCAAAAGTTGACATCACGCCGTATTATACCTGGCTTGCGCGTTCATCGCAATCTCCGCTCGTTCACTATGCCCCCAGGCATTCTTTTCACTCTAAAGAGAGACATCCAGCAGTATGACGTGGGGAAAAGTCTTATCCTCGCGCCCCATTCGCCACCAGCTGCATATGGACTCCCGGGGTACCGTCTTCCGCCTGGCGTCACAACTGACGACCTCGTACCCTCGTCCTTCCCTGACGACCAGAATCTAGAACCGACCCAGCAGGCCTTCAAGTACACCCCCTTGAACTACGACCCTGATAAGCAACTTGTCGAAGAGGAAAAGGTTCATCTCAAAATCGTCGAGATCTTGAAGGGCGGCCTGACCGCTGGCATCCAGACGATCGTGTGTGAAGTGATCAAAGCCCCCGTCAACCCCGAGAAAAGCAGCCTCAAGGTGGAAGATCTCGTGGTTGCCAGGGTTCACGATCCTTTATTCTCTTCTTGGGATTACGATCCTTTTTTCCCGTGGAAGCCTTCCTCAAGAGCGGACGTCATCTTCGCCAACGAGGCCGGCATCTATGAATACATGGAACAGCACAACCTGACCGGTCACCCCCACCTCGCACCTCGATTCTTCGGAACCTGGACAGCGCAGATGACGAGCAGCAACATCGAGTTCCGCGGGAAGACCCGACCTGTATGCGTCACCCTGATCGAGTATATCCAAGGCACCCTCCTGTCGGACCTCCTCGCACGCGGCGACGGAGGAGAATTTATCATGGCCCCCGGACCGCTGCAGCTTTATGAAGGAAGCGAGACCCTCTTAGAACCCGACGAGACAACCCGCCTCGAGGTTTTGCGTCAATTGATGGACGGCGACTCAAGACATCTCCATCACGGCGTCAACCACAGAGAGATCGACCCTAGCAAAATCATGATCACCATGCGGAACGGCTCACAGGACTTGGAGACCCCGCGGGCGGTGTTGATCGGCTTCCATGGGGCCTACTTGGAGTCCTTCCTGAAGGAGTCCGATTCCAGACACGTCAGCCAGAAGTTGCCTCCTCATCCGTTCTTTCTGTACGATGTCACCGCCATGCATCCCTTCTTTCCTTGGGCGCCCATGCACTGGAAGGAATCTGAAGACGATCGCTATCCCATCAGCCTCGGATTTCAGGCATGGCTTGTCGAGACGTTCGGAAGTCTGAAGGAGAATGACACTTATCGAATTTCCCAGAAAATACCGGTGGAAAAATTACGACCCGGACTTTACGAGAAGATTGGTCCGCTGGTCGATGCCTTTGACGACCTTGAAATCGATGAATTCATCTAGCAGGTGTCTGATCGACAAGAGAACGGCGAAAGCTCGCATCGTGTGTCCCCAACCAAATTTTTCCAGAACCAAGCCATTCACGACATCGAAAGGAGGGTGGGAAAACGTGTCGACAAGATGATACGAGATTTCAAGGAAGATTTCAGATCTCTCGTCAACCGAGAAGTACCCGCCATGATGATGCTGGATATTCAGATCAACTTAACGTTGTATTGGTCGGTGCTTTGGTCGGTGCTCATCTCGGATGAAGTCGAAGCCCGAGCTGAAGCTCTGAAGGCCAGCAGAGTTCTCACCAAAGAGAACATACAGGAAAAACTCCAAGGCGGCCTCGAGGACATGATCATGGCAAAGACGAAGGAAAGATTCAGGGAGATATATGAAGAAATGCGAGCTGAGCAGCTTCGTTCGTTGGAGAAGGCGGATTCTGAGCAGTGAGGACGTGGGCATGTGCTGAATTTGTGTACTAGTACTGGTCTGAGAATTGATTTTTTTTGATGTTTTTGGTTTAGGCTTTTCGAGGACCTGGCCGTCGACTGTTTGTCGTAGAAGATAGATCAGTTCAGTTTGTGACGTACAGGACGCATCGCCTTTGATGGCAAATATACCAGTAACCAATCATCCACCGTCATCTCTCGGACTGCTCGTCATCGTCGTTGTCGCCAATTTTGTCATTGTCGTTGTTCGTTGCTTATTCGTTCATAACATGCCTGCCTGTACTGACGTTGTCCGGCTTAGAAGAGCATTGTCGGGCGGCGCGGAGTGAGTTGACATCCGCCGTCATCGCACTGAATTCTTGATTCTTCAGCAATATTCTTAGAACGGAAATAAGAAGTCGCCGGAAAATATTCGTATCAAGTAAAGATGATCTCTTGGCGGAACATCCAGGGTGCCGTCTTACACCAAACGAAACTCGCCGGGGTCCTTCCCCGGGAGGATCGGACCTCGTTACCGCCGACCCCCGACAACACACGTGACGATCGTTCCCACCAGCCACCGACCGGCCCCGTCGTCCTCCAAATCTCCAAGCTACCTACCTTACCGCGTCTACCTGACATACGTAGCTCCAACCACCACCAAAAACGCATCCCGCATTAACCCGTCCAAAAACCAAGCCCGGAACGTTTTCCTTTGCAAAAAGTTAACACTTCCTCAAGCAAAAGCATGTAGTGGCTCAGCCGCAATCGATCCTACTCGGCTCCGGCACCTTGCCCCCTCGGCTGACCACCCCCACCAGCTCATCGAGGCGCTTTAAGCGTGGCAGCGTGGCATGGCTACGTCTTGTCTCGTCGTCGGTCAATCCCTGTCCGCGCCGACCTTCTTCTTTGCCCGCTGAAAGCTTCTCCGACTGCTGCGAACAGCGTGGCAGCCCTACGCTTATTGACCATGCGCCCTCATCCTTGCCCAACAACGCCCGGGCGCGGAGCTTGTGAAGGCGAGGCCCCGATGGGCTTGCCCGGCTGATGTCGGGCATGGAAACTCTGAAGCATATCGAGTGTTTCTTTACGACGGAGACGATGACGGATACGACAGTACTTAAGCTCCCATGCCCGTCTCCCCAAGGGCCGGGTAGAGGGTTCGTTACCAGCAAATCATCAGTCAATTGACACGACGAACACCCATCGCATTATCAGAATCAACAACAAACGAACATGTCGTCAACAGACGTTCTTATCATCGGCGCCGGCCCGACAGGTCTGACCCTGGCCCTCGAGCTTTCCGTCCAAAACGTCCCGTTCCGAATCATCGACAAGCTCGACGCCCCATCGGACAAGTCCCGTGCTCTGGCCGTGCAATGCCGCACGCAAGAGCTTCTCAACCGTCACCCTACCGTCGCCAAGGAGATGCTCGAGAACGGCGTCCAGGGCCCGGGTGTCAACATCTACTGCAACAAGAAGTTTCTCATCACGGGGACCTTCGACGACCTCGGCTTCAACGACACGCAGTTCCCTCTGCCGATATGGATCCCGCAAGGCGACACCGAGGCGGCTCTCACACGGCAACTCGAGGCCTACGGTAGCAAGATTGAGCGGGGCGTAACGGCGGAGAACGTTAACCAAGACGCCGGCTCTACCACTGTCACTCTTGTCAAGGATGGCGTGGAGGAGCACCTTACGGCAAAGTACATTGTTGGCTGTGATGGCGCCCACAGCATCGTACGCAAGAGCACCAGCCTGACCTTTGACGGCGCCCAGTACCCTCAAGAATTCATTCTGGCTGACGTCAAGATCGCCGGCCCCTACGACGACGAGAGGGTAACCATGTTTCTCGGCAGCCGCATCATGGTCATCTTCCCTCTCAAGGACGGCGTCGTCCGCATCGTGGGAGAACGATCCGCGTACAGCAAACACTCCGGCGACCCGGATGTGCAAGAAATCCAGGAGTTCATGGAAGAGATGACGGGCCGAAAGTACGACGTCACCGACCCCATCTGGCTCACCCACTTCCGCTGGAACTGCCGCGGCGTGAACAACTACCGCGACGGAAGGCTCTTCGTGGCCGGCGACGCCGCACATATTCACTCCCCGGCCGGAGGCCAGGGCATGAACACGGGCATCCAGGACGCCATCAACCTGGGCTGGAAGATGGCCGCCGTGCTGCGCGGGGAGAAGGACGACTCCTTCCTGGACACGTATCAAGAGGAGAGACACCCGGTCGGCGAGCACATTCTCCACGGAACCGACCGGATGTTCAACGTCGTCGCATCGCAGAACTTCATCTTCACCTACATCCGCAACGCACTGATGCCGTGGATCGTGCCCTACGTCTGGGGCGACAAGGCGCGACGTCTGCGCGTATTCACCTTCATCTCGCAGATGGCCATCAAGTACCGCCGCAGCTCGATCGTGCGCACCGCTACCGGCTTCGAGGGTCCCGTCAAGGGCGGTTGGCGAGCCCCGGATGGCGAGCTGCAGGACGAGAGGGGCGAGAAAGGAAAGTGGCTGCTAGACTTGACCAGCAACAAGGAGCACACCATGGTGTTGTTCTCCGGCATGATGGGCGACGAAGAGGAATTGAAGCAGGCCGAGGAGAAGATTCTGGCGGACAAGCGATACAGGGAGCGCGGGGTTGTCAAGATTTTCGGCGGGCAGACGATCGGCAGCGGGGGATTCAGGGACAAGGACGGCACGCTCCACAGGCGGTACGGCTTCGAAAAGGGGGCGGGCCTGGTGGTCGTCAGACCGGACGGGTACGTGAGCTTTATCGGGCCGGCGGAGTCTGTGGAGGAGTTTCTCTCAACCTGAGAAGCGCCCGTCTATGCCTGCGAATTGTGTTGAGTGTTTGGTTTCGAGCGTTGGGAGTTTGGCGCGGGGTACTGGTTGGCTGGGATAATCACTCTCCTCTACAAAGACAATCTAGAGTTCTTTTTGGAATGAAACAAAGACGTTCACAATACTATTCCAACACTATGATAATCGGCATGTCCTCCGGTCGCTCATCCGAATCAAATTGACGAGCTGCAGGAAGAAAGACCTCAACAAACGTCCGAGGTCCCGGAGACTCTCCGAGCCAACCACCGAGGAGCAGCCATGTCCCCTACACCAAAGAGCCGCAACACGGGCAAACCAATGACAAGGACGGCGGTGCTCCTTTCTCCCAAACGTCGTCCAAAACCAGACTACATCAGACTGACAACTCTGCGGTGTCTGGCCGTGGCGAACGTGGAGTCCCCGCATCAACTTCACGATGTGCCATTCGGACCGACCTCCAGTGTTTTTTTACGTCTCTTCCCCCAACGCCAAACCCCACGACGACAATGCAAAGAATGATGGATGTGCTTCAACCGGGCAGAGGCGAGCGACTGACTAAGTGACGACTGCGGATTCCGCACCCCGAGGTGGTTTAAGCTTCGACGACAACGATGGCCCCGGCACCCGTTTCAGAGCCGCGGCGGGTCCTCGACTCCCCAGGACGACGTCATCGCGCGCTAGTTCTGCCATTCGAGAATCACGAATCCAAGGATTTCCGCACTCGAGAAAAGTGGATGAAGAATGATTTGTTCTGCCATCACGGCCTTGCTTCGCTGACGGGCTCTCGCCTGGCTATCTCCGTCGAGTGACGATCGATCATGCGGGGTGCAGACCGAACACCACGACGTTCGAGTGACAACACCAACACCCTGCGCAACTCCAACCATCCCGGTCGAAACTTGTCATCATTCCCATTCCGCCTTTTCACCAAATCCCCCCCCTGAACCTGGCACCTGCACCCCAGATCGAGCCGGCCGGGACCTGGGACCTGGACCACCTTCAATTCGGCCCGTCCTAATGAGCGTCGAAACCAGCGGTCGCTCGACACACTCAAGCGCACGCACACACGCAACGCCGCTACGTACCCCCGTTGACGCCGTCGCACCATGGCGATGACATCGTCTGTTATCCACACATTGTACACCCCGAAGAAGAATGTGCGACAGATTGAGCGGCGTCTCCGGGGTTCGCGCCGGCGGGTGCGGTAGCGGCTGCGGATACGCGATGGCGCCGAGCGGGTTAGCTGACAGACGAGGCGAGGCAGATCTCTTGGCTATATAGATCCGTGTGACGCCGCACTGCTTCTCCAGATTCACGGCTTTGGTCTAGTCAGGGCCTTTTGACATCTGGTACCTTGAGACGCATCGAACTCACCGACTCACGGCCCCCTCCCTCCAACTCCATCTTCAACCTCCTCAAACCATCACCGCCGCTTCTCGCTTTCCATCATGGGCTACTTCGGCCTCAAGGGCGGATGGCTCACCTTCTGGGTGACCATCGCCTGCGCGACGGACATGACACTATTCGGGTACGCATGAACCACCCCCCGACCATCTCATCCCATCAAACTCTAACCAAACGCCAGCTACGACCAGGGCGTCTTCGGCGGCGTGATCGTGACCGACGACTTCCTCGAGACCATGGGCATAGTCGGCAACGACAAGCTCCAGAGCACGGTGACGGCCATCTACGACATCGGCTGCTTCCTCGGCGCCATCTCGACCATCTGGATCGGCGAGCGCCTCGGGCGCAAGAACACCGTCCTCGTCGGCACCATCATCATGTCCATCGGCGCCGTCCTCCAGACCGCCGCCTTCGGGCTCCCGCAGATGTTCGTCGGGCGCGTGATCGCCGGCATCGGAAACGGAATCAACACCTCGACCGCGCCCGTCTGGCAGGGCGAGACCAGCCAGGCGAGCTGGCGAGGCAAGTTGATCGTCATCGAGTTGGTCATGAACATCTTCGGGTTTTCACTGAGTAAGTCGCTGTTTGGACGTTGTTCTCGTGAGGATCGGTGCTGACGGGAGCGCAGGTAACTGGGTCACTTTCGGGTTCTCATACCTCGGCGGCTCCATCTCGTGGCGCTTCCCCCTCGGCTTCCAGTTCATCTTCATCTTCGTCCTCTTCGCCACCGTCCCGTGGCTCCCCGAGTCCCCACGGTACGTACATCCCCCACTCCCCCTGACTCCGCGCCGGACTAACGACCTCCCAGCTGGCTCATCGCCAAAGGCCGCGTCGCCGAGGCCGAGCAGATCCTCGCGGACCTCGAGGACCGCCCGGTGGACGACGCCTACGTCCAGACGCAGTCCAAGGAGATCCAGTGGGCCGTCAACTACGAGAACGAGAACGCCGTGCCGTGGTCCGACCTCCTCCGCGGCAAGACCTCCAAGGCCGGGGCCACCGGTACCATCCGCCGACTGCTTCTCGGTATCGGTACGCAGGCTGGACAGCAGCTCAGCGGTATCAACGTCACTTCTTACTACCTCCCAAGTGAGTTTTCTCGCCTCGTGGTATGAAGGTTGCAGCTAACATCTTCATAGCCGTCCTCATTCAGTCCGTCGGTCTGGATAACAGAACCGCCAGATTACTCGCGGCCTGCAACTCCGTGAGCTACTTCCTCTTCAGCTTGATCGGTATCCCGAACGTCGAAAGATGGGGACGTCGAAAGATGATGATGTGTAAGCCCTGACCTCTCGAAACCACCCCCCAAAACAAACTAACGAAGAATAGACGCCGCCGCCGGACAATTCGTCTGCTACCTCGTCATCACGATCTGCATCCGCTACACCGAGTTCCCCGGCCTCGCCCCCGAGACGCAGTCCCAGTGGGCCAAGGCCTCCATCGCCTTCTTCTTCCTGTACTACGTCTTCTTCGGTATCGGCTGGCAGGGGGTCCCCTGGCTCTACCCGACCGAGATCAACAGCTTGTCCATGCGTACAAAGGGCGCCGCCCTCGGAACCGCGACCAACTGGATCGTCAACTTCATGGTTCGTCCCCCTCCCCCTCTCGTTCACCCCGCCGCCGCAATATCGCTAACACCCACCAAAAGGTCGTCGAGATCACCCCGCCCGGCATCAGCTCCCTCGGCTGGAAATTCTACATCATCTGGACCGTCTTCAACTTCTCCTTCGTGCCCATCGTCTACCTCTTCTACCCGGAGACGGCCGACCGCACCCTCGAGGACATCGACCGCTTCTTCGCCGAGAACGACGAGCTCCTCGTCTTCCGCAACCCGGACGCCACCTCCTCCAAGCGGCCCCTCAAGTACGTCGCCCAAGAGGAGGACCAGATCGCCAAGCGCAACAGCGGCCTCGTCCCCGGCGAGGTCGAGGACGTGCTCCGCAAGCGGGGCGTGTCGGACCGCGCGAAGAAGGGGGAGTCGGACGAGGAGATGGCGTTTGGGGAGCACAAGGAGAGGACGTCGGGGGTGTGAGTGGTGTGATGGTGTGTTTTGTTGGTGGGGAGGTGTATGATATGATGATGTTCATGAGCGATGGTTTTAGATTATGATACCTGAATGCATTTTTCTTACTTGATCAGGCAGTTCGTTTTCTCTTCGGAGATCGTGGTTGAGTGCTGCGTTGGGCCAGTTGTGACACCTTCGTTTCAGTCAAGAGATCCTCGACAAATGTCTTGCCGACTCGAGTGTACAACTCCATTAGAACTTCATCCCAGTCTGCAGGGTAACCAGTCGATTCGCTCCATGACAGCAGCCAAACCGACGTCCATCGTAAACACCCAGATAAGCAGGCTCATAACACAATAAACAAGCTTCAAAGGATGCCTCCAAGAAACAAAGAAAAGACATACAAAACAAACGCTCATTACCACACATCCCACCGAGAACAAAAACAATCAAACCAACTGTCCGTAATCAAAGGAAACAAAAGATTGCGCCGAGGGGGAATCGAACCCCCGGCTCCCCGACGCTGCGTGATGGCAACGGAGAATTTTACCACTAAACCATCGGCGCAGTTGGTCTCTTTTTGAATCCTTGACGTCTTCTGGGCCGGGAGATGCTTATGCTGCGGGCTGTGAGGGATTTCCGTCGATTTTTTTTTATGGGTGAGTCGTGCGCGAAAAGAAATTGCGGACATTTTTTCTTGGTGGTGGTTAGCTGCGGAGTTGCTGCATGGGGGTCCCGGCTTTGTGGGGAAGGGTTGCAGCTCCGGTGCCGTGGGCCCCCGGCTCGGCGCGGCTTTAATCTGACTTCGTTCCGTTTGTCTCGCTGTTCAGCTACACGTTGCGGCTTGGCAGAAGGAAGAGGAGGAGATGTTGAGAGATGTGGTGGAGGGGTTGTATCACAGTCGATTGATGTCATGGATTTGACGTCACTCAAGTCAGTTGCACTTCTCAATGGAAATCCTTAAGGATGAAATAGCAAAGTCTATGCATTCGCGGCGTTCTCTATGATAGACTTCCATTCATCTCATCCCAATTCTCCGCAAGACATCGTACACTGCACCAAGCTCCCTAGAACTCCTCTATCCCCCCAGATCAACCAAAGAAAGCCGCAACGGCGCCATCTTCACCCGTCCTCGCACATCACCTCCCGTCCCAAAACCATCCCCTAAACGTCCTCAAACTCGGCGAGCACCACAAGCATAGACTCCAAACCCTCACGGTCTCTCTGCGCCCGCTCCTCAACGACCTCCACACGGTCCTGCTGGATCGCCGCGACCTCGCTGACGTGGAGCACCTGCTCGCTGACGGCGTTGAGCTGGGCCGCGATCTCGGCCTCGTTGGCGACCAGGTCCGCGACGGCGTCGTGGTGCTCCGCGACAGTGATCTCGATGTCGGCGAGGTCCATGATCTTGTTCTTCTGGGCGGTTTCGGCGGAGGAGCCGCCCGCCTCCTCTGCGGACTCTTCCTGCTTCGCGGCGGAGGATGTGACGGCTTTGTGCTTCTTCAGCCAGCGGCCGTCGTGGAAACGCGTGACGAATTCGTCGATGTCGGTGCCGCAGGTGGGTTTCCGGGTAGCGATGCTGTGATTTGTGATTGTTAGATTTGTTTCTCGCGCATGACATACTTGACCACAATCGGTAGTGATCATGAAGGAAGAAGGACGAACCGATCAGCCATCAACCGTTGACAGCCCTCGCTCAGCAGCTTGAGCTTGCCGTCGCGCGTGGTCACATCCTTGTAAGCGTCCGACTTGGAGACGCGGATGCACACGTCGCGGAGGGAGCGGTACTCTGCGAACTTCTTCTTGCGCTCGGCGGCCTTCTCCGGGGTGAGGTTGGCCTGGTAGGCGCGGGTGCGCATCGTGGCGGGGTTGGTGGAGTAGGATCCTCCCTTCCTGCGGGCGTCGCCGGGCATTTTGTCGGTGTTCGTGATGGTGATTTAGTGAGTGTTTGGTCGGGGATGGTTCGTGGGTGTTGGGTGGGGAGGAATACCCGTGGTTGGTGTGGTGATTGGGGGAGAAGGGCAAGGTGAATAAATAGAGCGAGATTCGGTTCTTGTGCAGCGTGGATCAGAGTGTAAGGGAAGGCGCGACTTGAATGGGGATTGAGAGGAAGGCGCAAGCCGCGTATACGGTTTCTTCTGGTGGTTGACGCTCTGTGATGGGTTGGGTTTGCGTGTAAGTGAGGTGAAGTACACAAGGACGCAGAAGATAAGATCAACCAAAACCTACCCCAGAATTCTACTGTGGGAATCGATTGCTGGCAACTTCTGGCCAAATTGATCTCGTCGGAATTCATGATTGTTATTATCAAATGTTCTTGGAAATTTCACCTTGTAAAGTGTGGTAGAGGCAGAAGAGCCATGGTCTCGACCCATATTTGGACCCGGGGATATGCACTGGAAGAATACATTGACGTCGAACTTTTGCTATATGTCATCGTGATTCTCTTCATAAAACATCACGACACGCGCCTCTGCTACGAGTCGCGCAAGGTTCGGAGCTCGTTGATACAAACGGCAGATGATCCAAACGACGGCCCAGCTACCATCTCACCTCGAGGCGCGCTTCTACTTCGCCCACAAAGAAAGAGATCTCGGTCGTGTGCCTCTATCGTCGAGTAAGCATCTTTGATTGCAAACAGCAGAAAGGATACTCGAGGAGTCTTCTCCCCGGAAGTTCTGACAGGAGTACCGGTGGAAGCGGCTTCGAGGTACGTCCCAGAAGCACTTAAGTCCTGATGTGGTACGCCTTTTTGCGGTTACGAGTGCTAGAGACTTTCATCTAGAGTAATCTCGAGCAAATATTTCGTCGGTTTTGAAGTATTTCCGTTGTCTTCGCTTTTTTCTCGCCTTTTAATTCGTCTTCTGAATTATGTGAAAGATGCGAAACATCATGGTTATCAATAATTTCTGCCTTGATAAAACGGACTCAAATCATCTGAGAAACCTTACATACGTAAGATGTAAGAGATACGTAATACGACGCCTTCGCATGCTCGAAAGTTTTGGACTGGTCTGCTCCGAGAGCCAACCTCACCACACCAAGCAGCAGCATGATCCCGCGAAATCCGAAAACCTACGATCAAAACCTTGGAAACTGGCGATGTCACATCAAAAAGACAAGATACACAGAGGTTTATTGTCGCTATGGAACAGTCAGACAAAGAACACCATGATGAGTAAGGTAGGGAGGCGAACTCATGACAACGACGAGGCTGGAGCCCCACTTTCTGATACATCACAACATGGCGAAATCCAAGAGCGACCAATTTGAAGAATTTGTTTCATCATATGAGCTGATTTGCTGCCAACTTTTGTTGAGTAAAATTTGGGAATTATATAATATGGACACTTTGCCTCATGTCCACAATCACAGCTTTCGAGTCCCACAAAGCCTAAAGTTCAAGAACGACCTCAAAGAGCCTCAATTACCACAACAAGCACACAATACTCCACGCATCGCCCGAGAACAACACAAAACACCTACACATCCCCCAAAACCCACTTCAACCCCCGAACCATCCCGTCCTCCGCCTCCCTCGCCCCCTCCAGCCCCGGCGCCTTCAGCCAAAACGTATGCGGCCACCCCCTCAAAACCTCAACCCCGACCTCGACCCCGGCCTCCCTCAGCAGCATGGCATAGCAAACCCCGTCAGAGTACAGCACGTCGTTGCTGCAAACCTGCACCCAGACCCTCGGCATCCCCAAGCTCCTGACCGCCTCGACTTCGGTTTCTAACGGCAACGAGGCCAACCCGTCCCTCGGCACGGCCCTGCGAAATATACCCAGTAAGGTTGTCTCGAAGGACGGGGTCGCCGAGGTATACGCGTGGCATAGCCCGGACGGGACGAAGTCCAGCGAGCTGCCCCCGTCGGAGGTCACGGGGCACCGGAGCACGACGCCGTCGAAGCTTCCGGGGGGCGCGAGCTGGGATACCGTCGCGGCCAGTTGTCCGCCGCTTGAAGATCCGACGAGCAGGGTCTTACCGGGGCGCAGACGTCTAACGAACGAGAAGGCGTCCATCGCGTCTTGGACGCAGGTCGAGGCCGGATGCGCCGGCATGAGTCTGTATCCGACGGAGTACACAGCTGCGCCAGGGATTGCAGCTGCGATTCGTCTGCAGCAGAGCTCCTCGCTGTCCGCTTCGCCGACGGTGAGGCCGCCACCGTGGAAGTATACTACGGCGACTTGCTCGTTCTCCAGGGCAGGGTCGTGGAATCGGAGGACGGGGATGGGGGACTGGTCCATGGTCGATGTGGCATTGAGGTGTTGCGTGCAGATGTGGGAGAGGTGGTGGTATGGCGCGCCGGGGGCGAGCATGCTGGCGTTCAAGCGCCGGCATTCTTCCGCGTAGACGGGTTGGCGGTCGAGGGGTGAAGCGTAGACCTTCTTTGGGGCTTTGAGGTTTGCCTTTTCCTCGTGCTGGAGCCATGCCGGGTCTAGAGGGGGAGCTTCTCTGAGGATGAGGTGATTGAGGGTATCCATCTTGCGGGGAGAGATTGTGAGTCGCCAACACGTGGAAGGTTTGTGTACTTCTGGTATTGGTGAGATACAGAAATCGAAACAACACCACTTGCACGAGACGATAAAGGGATGGGCGCTTAAAGAGTTAGCATGGTCCTCGTCGCGGGTGGAGAAAGTCGGCGAATCCGGGGTGTTGATGTCGCGGCGCGATCCCGTTTATCCGGCAGTAGTGCCGGGATGCCGGGTGTGAAGTTCAGTCTCAAGATGCTCTTCGCGACAGAAGTCAAATACACGTCAGAATACCGCAGACATGCTCGTGACTGATTTCCGAGACTCTCCATTGACGGGCGAATTCGAAGACAAACCTCTCAAAGCAGCTCGGTTTCGGACCTTGGTGCTACGCATTACCGCCGAGCGAACAGCTGCAAACTCCGAACCGGAAAACCTCAACCGCAACGACAAAGGTCGAAATGGAAAAATGTGGCAACTACGGCGGCAATAGCATCATGCGGCGCAGAAGACAACGTAATACAGCAGGTCGATATTAGTGTCCGGTGGGTTGATTCCGTCCCCCAGGACCGATCGCCTATCTACAATGCTAGAGTACACAAAGGGAATCGAGGGGCGAACGCGTCTATAGCACGGAAAGATCGCCGAACTTCTCCTGCAGAGGTTGTTAGCTCCGTCAACTGCGGCGTGGTGGGTAGATCGTACCTTGTATCCCGGCACGGTCCAGCGACCCTTGGAAACGAGCTGGGAGGTCTTCTCGTCGATGGAGGGCTCGGCGGCGGCAACCTCGTCCTGTCATGGTCATCAGCATCCCCTCGTCTCGATCCTTGCTCGGGACAACATACGACGGTGAGGTCCTCGAAGGGGCGGGCGGTCTCGATGTTGGTCAGGGTCTTCTGGAGGTCCTTGAGCTCGAGGTCGACCTTGTCCTTGGTGGCCTCGGCGTTCTTGATGGCCTCGACCTCGAAGGCCTCGATGGCCTTGATCTGGCGGGAGACGTCGTAGGTGGCGGGCTTGAAGGCAGAGAAGCGCTTCTCGATCTCGTCGACGACGGCCTGGTTCTTGAGGACGGAGCGGTAGTGGGCGAAGTCGACGGTCGTGGGGAGCTCGGAGAGGGTCTGGACCTTGCGGCGGGCGTCCTCGTTGCGCTTCTTGAAGGCCTGGAGGGAGGCGACGGTCTGGCCGCGCAGGCCGAGCGAGGTGGTGACCTTGGCCCAGTCGAGCTTGAGAGCTGCGCTTCGCTGCGGGTTGGGGATAGAAATTAGCTCAGGGTTTCGTTGCCGAGGGTCGGGACAAGGGAGGAGGCTCGGGTGCGCGACTCAATTGGGGCTCGGTGGACGGAATTGCATCAATCGGCGGCTTGAGGCAGGTCGGGATCGATGGGAGATACGTACTGCGGCCATTTTGGAGGATGTGGTTGAGGATTCGGGGGCAGTGGAGAGGGGATTTGCGGTCGTCGTGAGAATGCTTGATTGACTTTGCCGACCGGAGAGGCAGAGAAAGAGCCGGGATGAACTGGGTCACGCTTTATATCACGTGACCTTCGTCGGTTGTGACGGCTGGTTGGGCGGGCGGGAACGAACGGATGATGGTGGGGCAGAGCTTCCGTCTGCGAATTCGGGTCTGAGCCCAATTGACGCGATCGAGGGGTAAAGTTGAGCTTGAAGCTTGATGCAAGAAAATTTTTGTCATTATTCAGATATGGCTTCAATTCGGCGGAAACAGCGTATGACGGATTTGTTCACCTTGCACTACATCACAGCAAATGGCAGCAGAGATCGGACAGTTCGTCAATTATCATGACCTCTCATTGCGCACGAGACTTTTTCGGAGTCCAACTCCCTGGGAATTGTACATGCCAACCCACATCCGTCCTTTTTGTGAAGTGTGCTTTGTCGCGTCGAGAACTCGAGAAGGAGATATCTTTTTCACCCGCAATGGATGTCGCTAAATACTCAATGCCATAATGGAGTTGACGATGTCGTTGTCGTTCTCCTTCAGGGCCTTGATGGCCTTCTTCCGGCTAACGCTGGCCTGGGTCATGACGAGCTCGATGTCCTTGTCCTCAATGCCCTCGGCGTCGACCTCCTCGCCGTCATCCTCCTCCTCCTCCTTCTTGGCGTCGGCGTCGGCGGCCTTGCTGGGCTCAGCGTGGCTGTGGCCGGCGTGGTCGTGCTCACCACCAGCAGCGGCGAGCTGCTGAGCGGCGGCCTGCTGGGCAGTGGCGTTGAGGTCCTCGATCTTGGCCTCACCGAAGACGCTGTTGGTCGCGAGTTAGCTCGGGGTCTTCTCCCTTCTCCTCCCACCGGTCTCGGCTGGCGTCTCTTACATGTAGGTGTTGCTGTTGGGGGACTTGTAGACCTCAGGGCTGTTGATGACGAAGAGGATCTGTATCGACGTGGGTCAGCCTTGTTACCCCTCCAAAAACCCCCCTCCTCCCCTCTTCTCAACATCTCGACTCACGTTCTTCGGGCGGCGCAGGGTGACGCGGGTGATGCCCTGCACTCTCGTCAGGTGCAGCTTCTCGAGAGCCTTGCGGGCCTTCTTCTCGTTACGGGAGTGGATGACGGCGGTGGAGCCGGAGGGAAGGCCCTCGGCATCCTCACCCTCGACCTCGGAGTCGGAGCTCTCGTCCTCGTGCTCCTCGATGGTGACCTTCTTGGTCTCGTCATCGGGAAGCTCTTCAACGCGGGGGTTGGCCATTTTGTCGACTGCGGAAAAAAGGACGAATGTTAGCTGCGGGGTTGTGCTGGGTTTTTTTCCGTGGCGTTGGTGGTGGTGGTGGTGGTGGGAGCTAGGATCGCGCGCAAACGGGGAAGCTCGAATTGGCGAGCGAGCTGTGTGCGGGAGGGAAATTGGGCGTCGCAGCTTCTTGCGCACAGAATTTGTGCGCGACGATCGCGAGTCGGTCGGACGAGATTTTGACGGAAAATTCGACAGAGGGACGGCAAGACTCACCAAAGTTCGGAACGAGGGATCTTGGACTCGACGTGGGGGGAATTGTTCGGTGGCTTTGTGGTTTGTAGGAAACATCGCAGCGAAAATCTAGGGTTAGCCGAGCACCCTCTGCACCGCTGACTGGAGCGGGGTTACGTAAGCAGACATTGGAAGAGCCCCCATCCAGGCAGGTTCCCCAGATGCGCAATCGGGCTGAGGTGCACTGCAGGGCCACTGTGCCCGGATGACATTCTGGTTCTGGGCATTCAGTTCTGGGCATTCAGTTCTGCGAGGCTGACAGACGGCAAGGAACGTGGACGTGGACACGGATGTTGGACACTGAGTTTGATACTGTTTTGGTGGGAATTACGTCCGCGGATGCGGCACACGTCAAAATGCCATGATGATGTACAGACGTCTCGAAAAAACAACTTTTACTCCGTGTCCCCATCACATGCCAACCAGTCTATTTGTTTGATCTTGATTGTGCCATGAATTCATTTTTGTGTGTCTCTGAATTTCCGTGTTTGACGCCGGTCATCACGATTGTGACGAATGTGACATACAGCCCTTCCAGTTACGGAGCAAAAGAGATGTGCAGCAACCCAATGCTGCTATGGTGATGCAGACCAAACCGGATTTCCCATGCTGTCACGCTCTAAGCCAGCCCCGTAATCTTCAAAGTCAACCCTCCCTTTCCGACCGAAATTCCCCAATCGCAAGGTTGTGTGTCGTGTGAATTGTTTTCCAGTTTACGCGGCGGCCTTGACCTTGGCGAGCTCCTTGCGCTGCTCGAAGCGGCGCTGCTTCTTGAGGCGCAGGACCTTGAAGCGGTCGAAGTCGGTGAGGTTCTTTCTCCGCTCGATCTGGGTGCTGCGCTTGAACCAGTTGGTCTCCTTCCACTTCTTGTCGATCTCGGACTTCTCCCAGAACTTCTTGACGGTGCTGGTGCGGGCGCCGCGGGGCAGGTTCTCAACGACGAGCGAGGAGAGGAGGGCGTTGGAGAGAGAGATGGGTTGGCGGGGGACGGCGAGCTGAGCGTCTGAGGAGGGACCGTCGACCAGAGCCTGTATGCGCGGACATCATGTTAACTTTCCGTGTCTTCCTCCGAGAAACAAGCGAATTCGAGATCGGTGTCTTTTCGTCGCGTAAAAGGGGGGAGGGATTCTCAACGTACGCGCTTGTGGTCGATGATCTCGACAATAGTCGCGAGGCGGCCGGCGTAGGGGCCGTTGCCCTGGATAAGGACAACGCGGCCGACCTCGACCAGTCGCCACTTGGAACCCTCGATGGTAGCGTCACCCATTTTGCTGGTCGGTCTAGATGTTCGGAAATGCGGTGTCAGAGAAGAAGTTCGGATGCGATCGAGAAGTCGAAAAGTGTGGAAAGTCTTGTCTCTTGTCTGGGGGGAAGGGAGGGGCGGTCGCGTCAACTTACCAGACGTCAAAGATGTGCTGCTATGGTTAGTGGTGTAATCCTGAAGACGGTTCCGCTCGGCGTCGCAATTTTTCAGTTTTGCGTGTGGGAGTCAAATTCGAGCCCTAACCTATTATTATCGAACAGCGTTGGAGTCGGGTCCAGTGGTGGCTCGAGCTCGGTCGGTGGTGTGGTTTTGCCGAGCCGACAATCACCCGGCCAAATGTGGCTTAGGCGGGCGGTCAGGCAGGTTTCTCGTTCCTGCCGCACCCCACCGACGGAAGCAATTTTTATCAGCTTCAAAAGTCGCGACGAACTTCTTCTTTTCTCTCTCAACTCTGCAGCAGCTTCGAGCTGAATCACATCTGGAAACAAAACAACGCGATGCAACCGCGTCACAAAAGGTATGTCGATATACTTCTTTGCAAGCACACTCCCATTGGAATGATGAGTATAATTTGCGATTGATCTCACTCGATGGCCCTCTTTCGCCGGAGTGGCTAAATCGTTTGAATACATGATATTCAATTTCTTACATATTCTGACCTCCCACTTTTGCACTCAACTTGTTACTGGACTTCTCCGAGGAACAGTTTGCTGACTTTGCATCAGATGTCCCTCTTCAGTAGTTTGTCGAGATTAAATAAAAACCTTTTTCCACACTCGTCCTGCTCGCTGCACATTTCTTCGTGATCACCATCGTCATCTCCCATGCACATGTAACACTGCAGTGCGTCTGCACGAATTGTGATATCGTTGGCATAAGCTCATGTCTTTTGCTACCTTCCAACGCCAAACGCAACCATTGCTTTCACTCAAGCCTTGCCCTTCCGCTCAAGCTCGGCCTCCTCCTCTGCCTGAATCTGCGCGTCGATCTTTGCGCCCCTTGAGGGCTTGTTGCCGTGCATCTTCGCCTACTCTACTTAGTCAAGTCCCATCGCGTTTTCGGAGTTCTAACTTACGGGAAGTGTGGGGTCCAACTTGCCCAGGCGGACCTCTTCGGACTCTTCCTCGTCGCCCTCCTTGTCTTTCTTCTGCAATCGTGTGAGTTGAGACCATTGCGGCCGGTGATCGGTGCACGTACCTCTTCAGCGGCAAGTCTGTTGGCGATGGATCTCTCGTCCTCTGCGCGAACGTCAGTCACCGTCAATGATGTGTCAGACCTGGAACAAAAACGTACTGGAGTCGGTAGCCAAGTGCGAGTGTTCAGTACCCTCATGGAAGCGCTCGGCGTTGTTGACCTCCTCGTCCTTGTAGTTTCTCTGGTCGCCGGCCTCGTAGACGCCGCTCTGACCAACGCTGGAAGTTCCGGACATTATGATGGATTTGGTGCGGAGAAGTGTAGGTAGTAGGTAGTAGATGGTCTTGTGACGGTTGTGTGTTCGTGATGGAAAAGATGAAGTGTTCGGGTGAGGTTGCAAGTCCGAGGAAGTAATCGAAGGCTTCTTTCTTTCTATATGAATGCCTGGTGAGGTGCTCCTGCCTGCTCAGACACCCCACCACTTACTTCATCTGCATCTAAGGCACGTCATGACGTCTTCAGCGCCGATTCTCAGCTCAGACAAACGCGAAGCTCCCCCCTACGTCATACAATGGTCATCTTCTCCGCAAAAAGCCTTGACGGCCATCTGTTCCTGCCCAAACCACATGGAAAATCGGCGATGCACCTAGAAGGAAAGAATGGTTGAGAATTGAGATTGCAGCCGTAATCCTCGCCGGTGATTGTCAGCCCTATCGACGGTGCTGAACCTGGTCGTTATCGAAGTCAGATTTGCTCGGTTCATCGCGTGCTTCAGACACATGGAAGTACCCCTGTAGAATCGCGGCGAATGAGAGCAAAGATTTGAAAAGCTTGAACTGGCCGCGGCGTCCAACTACTTTGGGAGCGCTGGGTCGATTTCTTCGCATAGGACTTCGTTTTTTCCAACAGACATCTACAACTTATTCACAAAAGTAGAGCAGCTGTCATGCAGCAGCGCTATCGGTCTCCTGAAAAAAAAAAAAAATCCAGGTACCATCGTCAATGCCCAAGTATGCTGATCTTCCGGTGCAATCAGCTCTAGACCCATGATGAGGGGCAATGATGAAGCTGGAATGCGTACCTGATCGTGCCAGGCGCATCGGCCACCAAGCTTGCAGCTCCAGGGGTAAGCGCGACCCGCGACAGCTGTGAAGCCCCGCCTCTGCGTCAATTCGGCATTGGCGTCTACCGTAGAGTGAAGCGGCCGGCCGGGATGACGTAACTCACAGGGAGCTCCAGGAGCTCCACTGCCGACTTCATCGCATCGTTCTGCACGCAGCTCAGAGCAAACAGCAACAGCTCGCCTCAAGCAAAACACACCACCACCACCCAACACCCTAATTACCCCGCCAAGATGTTCCGCTTTGTAAGGAGAACATCCCACGATTGATTGGTCTCGTCGCCAGAAGCTGACCCCCCACCCAGCACAAGACTCTCGACATCGTCACCCTCTTCCACAAGGCGAGCTCGCCCGCCTCCGTGAGGGCCGCCAACATCCTCAAGCAGGTCTCCGCCAATGCCACCGCCGGCGCGACCGAGGACCAGGCCAGCGACCACAGCGTCCAGACGAACCCCAAGAAGTCCCGCGCCGAGTTCGAGCTGAACATCACCGAGGACAACCCCACCGCCGACCAGGTCAAGACCATCCTGGAGTACGTCGGAAAGAGCAGGGTGTCGTCCATCATCAAGGGCGCCTCAACCGAGCAGGAGGCCCTGAAGAAGTTCCAGCAGAGCGCCGAGAACTTCCAACGACCTGTGGTACGCACCCGTTCACTTTGTCTGGCGTCTTCTTTGCTTTCTAGACGGTGCCTTGTTTGTATGTGCCTGACCTAAGCTGATTGAGACATGCAGATCGTCGATTGGAACAATGGCAAGGCAGTCGCTGGCGACAACGAATCTGAGATCCTTAAGATGCTCAACGCCCTGAACGAGAGCAAGAGCTGAGAGACAACTGCTCTTTGATTCCCAGGCAGCGTCCTTTATTACCCCTGTATAATGAACTACCGCAACCTCCTTGCATCTAGCAGACTGGTTGATTGATGAACATAGCTCTTCTCTTAACATCCTCTGCTGCTTTCTCTTGTGGTGATGGATGCAATTGTGTTGGCGCCTTTCGTACGTCAATTGCTTTCAACCTGTAATAACCTAGATGGAAGGCCCCAGCTTCAAACAGCAAAGAACTTTGCCTCGCTGTTGGAGCTGCCACTAATGTCATCTTGAGTTTCTCCAGATGTTTTCGATGCATACTCACTGCCAAACTCATACGTAGGCAGTCTTCAACTCTTCAACTGGTCTGCAAGGCCATCTGAGGATCTCAATCAACTCAGCAGGCCTGAGACCTGCGCATGTCCACTTGGAAGGTTCTTATCAACAAAGCCCAGACAGGAGAGAAACAGGTCCAACATGCCTTGCATTCAGAAATGCAGCTTGGATACCCTAGGGCCATGAATGAAGATGGGCTCTGATGATTGTGAGTCTTTACTTGGTTTGAGGCTCCATCATGGCAGCCATCACTATCCCATTGTGACACCAAGGCGCAACATCACCTGTTGTCGTCGTCCCCATGCCATAAGCATGCTAATATCCTGGCTGTAGAAAGTCTTGCTGGTGGTCTTTGGCGGAGCGGACACTTCAAGGACGGATTGGTTGTTCCTTCCCCTTTGATCTCAGCCAGCTCCTTCCTGCTCTTGCTGGAGTTGACTCTGGTTCTCATACCGCGTCGCGCCTGCCCTGCTGCCTGAATTGACACCTTCCTATCCCCAAGACGTGTCGTCTGCCACCCACACAAAACAGAATTTTTTAATTCGCAACAAACCTCCTCTCTCCCTCCCATCTCCAATTCGCATCTCCCAGTCTCCTCTCCATCTTCACCATCGCCAACCTCATCTTCGCCTTCATCCCACCTTCCTTTCCATCCCGTCTCTCCTGTACAGCCTGTCGTCCCACCGCTATCTCGCCTCTCCTCCGTTGAATACGAGATCATTGCAGTATTCTTTGGATCGCAAGCAAACTCAGCCCCTCGCCATGCCTCCTCCCAACCGAAACGGCGGCGGCGCCTATCAGAACCGGCGACAGCAGTCATCTGGTTACGATCGACCTTTGCGCGGCGCGTCTTGGCGTCACCAAGACTTTCACCGCAGACCCGATTTCAACTCGTACCATGCCGAGCAATCCTCCATGCCGTACCAGCAGCAGCAGCAGCATTCCATTGTGAACGACATGCCTGCCGAACCGCAGACGGCGGATACTCAACGGTTCCTGTACCCAAGCGGTATCCCCTCCAACTACAGAATGGTGGAGCCCGTTGACGACTCCAGCCTCCGGAAGTTCGTCGACACTCTTGACAGGTCCTTCTACTACCAGCCCACCAAGCCTGTCAGGGCGGTATTCAGCACCGAAAATGGCCAGTTACCCCCTCGCTTCCTGGCAGCTGACAGTGTGATTCTCGGACGCGAGATGACCCTTTGGAGCGCCGCGGACATCCAGACGAGAGCCAACTCGATCCGCAAGAAGTTCTGGTTTGTCATGAAGGACATGCCCAAGCCTGCATACTGGGAGGATCTGTACGACTATTTCGACACCGTCGAGATCTACCAGAACGGCCCCCTGAACTTGTGGAATCTCATCACGCATCTCCACCACGAGAATCAGCAGTTGCTCAAGAACCTCCACAACGAGCTTGCATTCGTCACCGGTCTCTGGTGCGACGAATGGATTTCCAAAGCGCACAACCAGCAGAAGCTTCGGTTCTTCAAGAACTGGAACCATGTTCTCGCCATTTTCGACGAGCAAGACCTGAAGGAGATGCAGGGCATGGAGCCGCATAAGGTTGATCTATTGAAGATGGCTCTAATCCACCGGCAGAACCAGCTCCACCGGCAGGACCAGCTGCAGGGGCAGGATCCAGCCTCAATGTATCCCAAGAACATCCTGCAATGGCACTGGGAGCAGAACACCGTTCAGAACTGGCTGAGTAAGTCGGGATTGTTTCTTCTTTTCTGTTTCTTCTCTCATCTGTCCTTTTCTTCAACGTTGCTCCTTACTCTTCCCTCCATGTCTTCCCACGAATATTATCCTCTTCAAAAACGCATATCGCTGACGTCTTTGAAGCTGACCAGCCCGTCCACCAAACTCCCAGTGGCCTGATCCCTATCGTGTCGCCTGATGAGCCAGCCGGCCCTGGTCGTCGCAATGACCTTGGCAGCATCCCCGAGTACCCAACGCAGCCTACTCAGACTTCCCAGGGACCATTGGTTGTGAGTGGTAGCACACAGCCGCGCGTCACATCGCACAACTCTAGTCCCGCGGCTCAGGATCCTGCTGTTCGGCAATCTGCAGCAGCGCAGGAACCCTTGGCTCAGAATGCTGAGGCTCACCAAGATGCGGTTCACCAATTCACAGCCCCTGTGGCTCCTTTGGCCCCTACGACCCTCAATTCTCAAGCGCCGCCGTCAGTCTCGCCGCCTAAATCGGTTGCATCGTCCTCCAGCTACAACAAGAGGCAACAATGGCGAAACGAAGCCAGCCATGAGACATTTGATGCCCCCAACCCAGCTCAGGGCCGGCGGCGATCTCGTGGTGACTCCAGAGGATGGGAGAAGGTTCACAACGCCGATGACTCACTTCATGGTCCTGTCTTCCGTCGGTCTCCGACCAAGGAAGGTCGAACTAGAGCCTTTTCTCGGTCATCATCCAAGGGAGACCCCAACTGCCCTAACCATGGTACTGAAGACAAACACTCATACAGTCCATGCGACTGTACTGGTTGTGAGATCCGAGAGCGTTCCGTTTGGGTCTCCATCAAGCCAATCCCGCAGATGGACATGGAGGCTATCAGGGGAAAGCTGGCGACAATCATGGCGTCATACGGCAAGGTCGAAGCGATCGTTGTCATCCCACAGAACCAGGAGAGCTATGGCTTCATTGCTAGGTAAACACAACTCTAAGCAGACTTCATTCTCTAGTCGAGCCTTACTAAATCCGTCGACCAGATACCAGAAGGATAATTGCAGCATCACGGACGCTGCTTCCATCAATGAGCTTTACTCGCCAGATCTCCAGTGCAAGATCTGGACCCGCCCTATATATCGCACGAAGTACGGCAGAGCCATGCACGACTCTCTCGCTTTCAATCGATCTGAAGGCAGGAGACAAGCCTCCCTCGAGCAGTTCATCACTCCACAGGTCGCTGACCGCAAGCAAATGACGCCTTCCGCTGAAGCAGATGCGCAGTCCAAGCCTGCTTCCGAGGAGTTGCTCACCGATGAGCCTTCTGACCAAGCCAAACCGTCTCAGCGCGTAGAGAGCACAGGCAAAACCATCAAAGTGAACCTTCCCACTACGCCGACGAAGACCGGTGGGAGAGCTTTCAAGGAGAATGTGAACTCCAGCGCGCAGAAGACGGCCGTTGTTTCTGCCCAGCCCAGCCCCGAGAAGGCCAGCCCCGAGAAGGCCACCCCAGAGAAGTATGGCGTTTACAGGCAGGCTTACACTGAGGGCAACGCGGAGCAAGTCAACATTTACGAAAACGCGCTTCCCAGTCACAACAACACACCTCCCCAGCCCGTCCTTACGAAGCAGGAGGCGGGCCACCAGCTTGATGATTTCCTCGACATGAACCTCGCCAACCCGACTACCGTCAATGTTTTGCCAACAGTGCCGCCCAGCAAGAGTCAAGACAATGGCAGCAAGGAAACCGACAACAAGATTGCCGATTCTGACAGGAAGACCAAGAGCAAGAGCAAGAACAAAAAGAAGAAGAAGAAGTCCTTGCCTCTCCCTCATCAAGTCGAAGCCGGGTCAGGCAGCTCACAGCTGCCCGGTGTGACTTCCAGCGTCGCCGGAGATGCCCCTGCTACCGTCACAGAGCTTGTCATTACCAGCTTCGAGGACGCGGAGGAGTCTGAGGCACCTGCCATCAAGAACTTCCGAGCCAATGCTGGGAACTCTCTTCGCGTATCTAAATCGAGAAGGAAGCAGGCTTTGGGGATCAACATTGCGGATTCAGCCTTTGCCAATCATGAAGCGGACCATTCCGGCGACTCCGCGCCACAGACCGCTGCAAGCTTCATCACCGCCAAAGATACCAATTCTAATGACGGGTCGCAAGGCATTCTGACCCCCGCGACCCCTCCATCGGAGATGCCTACGCCCCGAACCACGACCCCGAAGGAGCCTGGCGCAAGCCTCGATGCTGCCTCCAAGACCATGCATCTCAACCCTCAGGCCAAGGAGTTCGTCTCTCCCGGTGGTCCCAGTGCTTCTGGTGGTCTGGAAAAGCGTGTCTCTTCGATATCTTCGATGAAGCTGGCCCCAATTCCATTGAAGCCTATCAAGCACAAGCGCCAGCCCTCTCAGTCATCAAGCGTCACGTCCCATACCCTTACGCCTGGCAGCACGCCTAAGAAGGCCGAGACTGTCAAAGATGTCGACAACTCCACCAGGGTCGGCATCAATGATGGCACCAAGATCGGCACCGAGGAGAAGAAGCCGGATATTGGCCCTATCAGCAGTGGTGATCAAGCTGCTTCTGAAATCGCTGAAGATGACGGCACCTGGGAGAAGCCGCGCCAGAAGCGGAACATCACCAAGGGCAACTCCGGCCAGGGCAAGAACCAGTCACAGCACTCCCACAACAAGCACGACTCCAACAAGAACCGTCCCTCGCCTAAGAAGCAAAAGCATCAGGCCCACAACCAGTCGCAGGCCACACACGCGCCTGTCTCGGGCTTGCCCCCCAGCAGCAACTGGGCTGCCACGGCGCGTTCTGGAAACCCGCGCCCCAAGGAGGGCGGCGGCCAGCAGTAGAGGAATGGTGCATTTGGAGAAAACGAAGTGCAAGATGGCAGTGGCTTTGATGTGCAGAGAAAACATGGTGCGATGTCAGAGTACTAGACATAGATTCACTGTTTGTTGGACAGGTAATCCAGATTGATATCATAGGATTGACGCCCGCGCTCATGCTTGTGATGTCTGCTCGCCATCCATTCCGTCATGGTGTCGAACATCTTTCTCTGCTTGCCGGCAATGTAAGGCTCAGAGTAGCAACGTCGTTGTCTTGAGATTCTTCACCTATAGACACAACAATCGCAGGATGCAGCATGACCTGCCACGGCCTTGTGTTTTTCTGTCTCGTTCTTACTCGGAACGGGTAATTTTGAAGTCAATAAATTGCCTTGCTGTCATATCGTTACACTGTCGGAGGAGATGGGAGCATCCACCCCGCAGATATGATGGCCTCGCCCGTGATGACGGAAGGTATGCATAGCAAGTAACGCGGCGACTTGGGCCGAGGGAGGGTACCTGGACTCGGGACTAAGGTAGCAGCAGCAGCAGGACAGTTCTTATACCACAAAAGTCTCCTTTGGAACCATGGATGTGGACGAACTCGCCCTGGACTGTGCAGAATACGTCTGCCTGGGCGTCAGTGGGTTGACTTGTGGTCGCCTGATGTCTCTACTGGACTACGGAGAGCAGGGGATACGGCGGCCTCGCCATTGATAGTCCTGCTATGGTAATACCTCCAGGTGAGGGGATCGCGGAGCTAATGGGTGCCGGAGGGTTCAGTCTCGTGATAGCTTTCGCAGGAGTAGGAGCTGGTGTCTGAGGCGCATGGCTCAATCCGAGATACGGTGCGTTCTTCGAAACTCGCAGATGCCAGGCGGAATTCACACAGGCATCGATCACCTTGCGCACTCGCAGTCCATGCCGATCTTCTCCATACATCACTTCGTCCAGGGCGCAGACGTTCCGTTCCGGCGTCAAGATTCAGATCGGTGTTCTCCCAACAGTGATGGTACAAGCTTCTTTTTCCTTTCTTCTATTCGTTCAAAACCGGACCCCCACCTCATGAATTCATGCGCTTTTAACCAAGCCGGAGACCGTCTCCTCGATCTGCTTGTCCGACAAACCTATGACCTATCGTTAGCTCTCGGTTCCACTTTGTGACAACGGCCAATGCTGCTCACCGTCCAAAGATTGGCTCTTCTCCACACCGAACTCTGTGTTTTTGCGCGCCTTCGTCAGCATTCCTTTCCCGACTCTGTTGTCTTGTCTCGCCCGTTCGCGAGGGAAGGGTCCTAACCGTATCGCGCGTAGATCTTGGGTAGCGTGCCGGCGGCCTCGCGGAGGAGGATCGGGGTCTGGGGGTTGTTCTTCTTCATCGTGGGGTACGCTCTCGTCAAGAAGGAGCTGTTGGCGGTGCGTTATGGTTAGCAATTGGTGTGTCTCTCGATCAACGGGTTTACGGGACGGCTGCTGCGCTGGTGCCAGAAACTTACCGGGTCGCGGCGCTGTGCTCGCCGGTCTGGCAGAAGAGGAAGCGCACCTCCTTGAGGGCCTTGCCGAAGGCGTACTTGCTCGACATTGTTGTTCTTCTGCGCTGGCGGGCGGCGGCGGGATGACGGTTCGGGTGGTTGTGGTGGTGGTGTGTCAGGTCAATTGGGGCCGATTTGATTGGGGAGCTCTGGGAGCGACGGGGAATTGGCGAGGATTGAAGTTGACGAGATGCCGTTGTTTAAGTGGATCTCTTGCATAACCCACCGAGACCCGATTTGTGCATTGTAATGTCTGTGCATAAAGTAGTCCCCGACGTTTGACCAGTTGGTCAATGCTCCCGTCACTTTTTTTTTCTCGACCTTGTCCCCGCTTATCTCCGGTTGGCGGGCTTCCCTTCGCGCCCGGGGCCGTATGTGTGTGTGTGCACCTTTCGGACGTCCTCAATCCCTCAACGCCTTTATCTCAACCTTGACTCAACCATCCCTCCGCCGAGTCCGTTCGAAAAGGAAGAAAACAACACCCTCCTCTCCGCTCCCAACCCACCGACGCGACCGACGTCAGCTTTTCAATTGCCGCCAGCAATTGAACACCCCCCCTCCCGAAACGAAAACCCGACCACCAAAGAAGCTTCCGTCCCCCGACCGAACCGCAAAGATGGCCCCCGCGAACAACTTCTTCAAGGCCGCGCGCCCTGTCCTCCGCCAGCAGCAGCCCTTCGCCGGCGCGCAGATCCGCAACGCCTTCCGCACCTCCCAGTTCCGCGCCCAGTTCCGCGAGAGCTCCAAGAGGTGGCAGAGCTCTACCGCCTCTGCCGAGGGCGCCCAGGCCAGCTGGTTCAAGCGCATGTGGGACAGCCCCGTCGGTCTCAAGACGGTGCACTTCTGGTGAGTTCTTCCCTTGGTTGTGAATTGGGGGAGATGGTGTAGAGAGGCTGTGTGTGCTGACTGAAGTTGTTGCGCAGGGCTCCTGTTATGAAGGTATGATATAATGGTCTTGCGCTGAAGCTTTCCCCTCCCTTGCCCGCGATGTCGGAGCTCGAGCTTCGGCGCATGCGCTTAGACATGGGCGAGGTTTAGGTGGACTGTTGATGAAGGATAACATGCTGACTGCGGTTTGTCTGTAGTGGGCTCTCGTCCTTGCCGGTGTCGCCGACTTCGCCCGTCCCGCCGAGAAGCTCTCCCTCACCCAGAACGGCGCCCTGACGGCCACCGGTATCATCTGGACCCGCTGGTGCTTGATCATCAAGCCCAAGAACTACCTGTACGTCGCTCGTCGCTGTGTTGCATGCGCCCTTGCTAACCAAACCTGCGTAGCCTCGCCGCTGTCAACTTCTTCCTCGGTGTCGTCGGTGTCGTCCAGTGCTCTCGTATCCTGATGTGGCAGTCAGCTCAGAAGAAGTCCGCCGGCGAGATCGTCCAGGAGGTCAAGGAGGACGCCAAGGATGCTGTCAAGGCATAAGTTTCAACCTCATCGAGCGGATGGGAAGGAGACGGGGCGGTTGAATGGGAGGGACGCGGGCGGCTTGGCTCGACTGACGTCGCCAGCTGCGGTCCGGTTCCGATAACACCACGGGATAAAAGCGGGAGACGAGACGAGGCGGGCGAGACGCAGGCACATTGAGGTCAGTTCCTCACGGCGGTCCTTCCTCGTGCACCGAACTCGTGGAACATGACCCTCGACTTCGGCTTGTAGAGAAGCATTTTTTCTTCTTTTTTTATATCTTTCTCTCTCTCATTCATCGGAGTCTTCGAGGGGAACCTGACATGGACCGCGCGGAAAGATGCGGTCTCGGCCCGTGGAGACGGAAGCCGGCGTGGTTTCCTGTACTATATCCCTCTATCGAATGCGAGAACTATATGGAAAGCGTCGCCTGCGCCCGCATGACGAGTGAAGATGGTGCTTCCTGACGCTGACTGAGAGGTTCTCTTAGCTAACTTCGTGCTGCGTCGTACGACATTGAACTCTGCACCGCCAACATATCTGCGCTGGACTCGTGGTGGCGTTTGCCGAAGACCCCGGACCTTGCCTTCATTCACGTCAGATCATACCAAGCCATTGTGTCCTCTTCCAACTGCTCTCCTGATCATTGCTGCTCCTCTACCTTTCAGAGATTCCAGTCTGACGATCCCTCCTCGATGCGCATTCCCGCCCCCGCAGCGCTCTTTGCGCCGGGATCGCGTCAGCCATGGACTTTGGTCGTTCATGTGCGTGCTTCTCTATCGCAGTGAGAGATTGGCCTCATCAAGACACGAACACATGTGGGCAATTGATAGAGATTGAGAATCAGGGGAAGCTTCCGTCAGCAAGTAAATCTCATTGCTATCGACATGCATGATAGTAGGGGGGCCGGGAAAGTCAGGACACCCACGACATAATACCACAAGGCTGGGTGAGTATGGACTGAATACCACGACGACGACAACAACAACAGCCACAACGGCAAAAGCGAAAATAGCAACAATAACAATAACAACATAATGCCTTGGGGCGGGACAGCAACGCCCTCGGAAGGAGGCGACATGACAGAAGAAACGCCGCCCTAGGACGCTTCTTGAGTCACGTTGCCTTCCGATGGGGCCGCGACTGTCGCCAGCTGAAACATGTTTCCCCAGCCTTCGTAGGTTGGGTTGTCCACAGTCGCTACAGATCCGAACGTCTTGACCATCCACTGGGAAAGCATGGGCGAATCTTTGATATTGTCCTCGGGACCCTTCCATTCCGAAGGAATCCAGCCCTCGAAGGGGAGCAGTCGCCTGTTCCAGCGGAATCGCATATACGGGTGGATCTTTTTGGTGAAGTGGCGATACATTTCGACGGGCTCCTGGCGAAGATGGTCCACGATTGCGGAGTGCCAGCCAACCATGGCCACCCGAGGTTCCTTCACAGGCTGACCCAAGTTCCGCATGGTGATGATGAAATTCCTGGGATGGAACTCGCCGTGATGAACACCGATGAATTCTTGCGATATGGTCCCGTCCATGATCTTCGCCATGATCCTCATGCGATGTTTGAAGCCTGTTCGCAGGGTCGAAGACTTTTTGCCATCATCGTGGAGCTTGATGATCTTGTCGACCGGGCCGCTAGTTTCGTATAACGCACCAAGACAGACCCCATCAATGTACTCGGTGGCAAGCACAGTCACCACTCGCTTCATGCCTCGGAATGAGCTAAGGACACTTTCGACCTCTGTCGTCCATCCCCCGAGAAAATCCGGTGCGAGGTGCGGCATACCGGTCATCCCTTTGGCGAACAAGTAATGGTAGGCAGCGAACTCATCGCTGATGGCCATGTCGGCCAGAGAGGTTGGTCTTAGGCCATCCACACTGATATCGACCTCAACGTCGAACCAAAATAAGGGATCGAAGATCTTGAGGAACAGTTGCTGTCCCTCGATCGGAACCCTCTGCTCGTTGGTGTAGGGCGTCGCAGATGGTGCAACGATAACTCGGCATAGGAGCTTATGCGTTCCGAGAGAACCGACATCATCAGGAACGCCGCCAATCATCTGGAGGATCTCGACCTCCATCCCGAAGTCCTTGTTGCCTTGATTGCTCTCATCGATGTTAAGGGGTGCATTGCGAGGATCGAAACAAATCTCTCTCTCCGATAGATTCTCCTCCTCCTCCGTCATCTCCAGGCTGTCGACGTTCACGCCCTCCGGCATCGGGTACAGGCATGAGCCATACGGCGGAGGCGGCTTATGCGGGGTGAGGTGAAGTCGTTTGCCCGGTGAGTAGGCGGCTTTCTGGTCAAGGGAGATGGAATTCATGTTGAATTGGTATGAAGACGATGTTCTAATGTTTCATGTCAGTACGATGCTTTGAAAGAGGATGTGTTGGCAAGAAGAGGGTTGTGAAGATAGAAAGGAGGCATTTGAGAGCGGATGAAAAGATTTGAGGCGAGGCGGAGGACGGCAAGGTCTTGTTGCCCCCTTATACCTACTCAACCATCAAGGCCGAAAATTTTCTCAAAAGCCTGGTTCCTTCAACCTCTTGGGCCCGAGCTGACATGATTATGGCGACTTCCACCAAACAATGCACCTTGATTTATAAAGGCTGAAGTTCTGGGTAGAACGCTTCTAATCTTGCGCTGAAACTATGAAACTGGTGTGATGACATGTCATCTTCTTGCGGATTAAACCAGAATAACATGAGCCCATCCTCGATCGTCTCTTGAGTGCGCTCATGGTTGCCGAGTTGATCTTCGAAATGCTTAACCTCAGGAGCAGCATCTCCGGGCCAAACCGACGGAGAAGTCAACGTCAGCTGCTTCATCGAACGGCTGTCACTACTTACATCTGTTGGCGGCGCGGACTTAATGGTGTCGTTCCTGCTCAATGAAGCTATGATGATAAACAGCCGTTGGTAAAGGTTGTCAGAACAATGGCCTTGTTTAGACAAGAAGGGCAGTGACAAAAGTACTTCCAGAGCAATCATAGGCCTCTTCAACAAACTTCAGGACACTTATGGTAGAGTTTGCAGCTTTTCAAGCTAGCTGTCACATCAGTAAGATACGCCGAAGTTTTCATACAATTTCATTTGCTACGTAGCAAATGTTGATATTCCACCAGCAAGCCTGCCGCCAAAGCAGCCAGCTGTTTATCCATCAACCCGCATCGGCACGCTATCAATCCAAGAAGAAAGCGCTTAATCTCGCTCCACCTCGCGAGCCTCGGGGTCGCTGAGAGCGTAGTTGGGGAACGGGTCCGGGTCGTTCGGGTTGGCGTTATTCTGGACGCGGTAGACCAGCGACTGCGGATAGAACGTGCTGCCGACACCGCCGTCGGCGTCCGTGAGGTTGAGCAGGTATCCGGGCTCGGGCGTCTGGACCCTCCGGAACAAGAAGCCGTAGTACGCATCGTCGACGGTGCACGGGGTCGGGGGCGTGCTGACGATGTAACCGTCGTGCCAGTTGCTGCTGCTGAGGTGCGAGCACCTGGCCGGTTTGGTCACGGTGCCGTCGTCGGCGATGAAGCCGATGTCGAAGCTGTAGGTCGTGAAGGATGATTTGGGGCCGGAGCCCGCGTAGAAGTTGACGAGTTGGTATTTGGTGGGCTCCGCGGCGGCAGAGGCGATGCCGCCCAGCGTGAGGAGAACGGAGATGAATTTCATGATGGAGTTGGTTGATGTTGGAGATCTCGGAAGCGAGTTTGTTTGGCTTCGGGTTTCTGATGTAGTGCTGGATCTGAAGATAATGACTTGAGGAAAGCCGACTCTCTTATACTTCGGTACTGGCCTTGCTCTCGCTCTTCCTGAGATGCAGCGGTGACGTTGAACATGAGGATGGTTTCTTCACATCTGAACGCCTTTCGGAGGTATCACGGCGAGAAAATTGTTCACGAATTCGCTAGCTTTGAAGTTCAAAATAACGTCGCCCGAGACATGTGCGAACCGACTGCGGAAACGGGGCGCTGCGAAGCGTGTGGAAGAAGTTGTCGGAGTAGTTGCTTTTAGAAACACGTAGGATACGAGGGGCACCGTTTACTTGGCGATCTCAACATGGAGCCAATCGAAACGGTGAACTAGAGCCGGAAATGGAAATCTGTACTTGTGTGTACAAAGTCCTCCACGGTTATCCTTTCCTTGCGACTACTTCTTACTACCTCTATGCCTATCCCTGCTGCTATCCGCTCTGGTGCTGCTGTTGTTATCTCTGGTTACTGCCCAAGTATTCGGCCATGAATGATAAATGTGGAGTGATGTACACGTCCGACGGCGCACCCTCGTATTCAGGTGAGAACGTTGCATCGATGAACCTGCTGACCGTCAGCTGACGGGAGTATATCTTCGCCCAGCTTTAGCAGTGAAGATCTTTGCGCCAACGACTAGCGGGGACTGTGTGTACTCGATTCTGTCAGAGATAACAAGCTTTTCAACTGAGACTTGAAACTGGCGGTTGATTCTACTCGTACCCCGCGAAATAATGCTGGATCGGGCATTTGAATGTACCCCAGGATATGATCGTAGACGGGCCGTTTGTCCGGGGGCTTACACAAGCCACAGCACTTAGACCCGATCCTGTCAGATGCAGTTGCACAGCGCGCAGTTGCCATGATCTCGTGGATATCGTATTGGATACGTTTCAGAGGGCCACGGCAGGAGGCATCACATAGCATGCTGGAAAGAGGCTTCGGAGGCCGCGTTGTTCACGACCTGAAGCAGGAATATTTTCTTATCGCCCACCCTTCTTAATGATCAGATTGACGAGGAAAATGCATTTGACCCGAGCGAAGCTTCAGATAAGGACTTCTCAAGAGTCAAATATGGGGAGCAAGGATGCTCGGAAGTAGCCTGAGAGGAGAATGAAGATACCATTGCAAATCCTTCGACGCGTATTTTCGATCTACATTCATCGCCAGCAACCAAGAAAACCTGATAGCTAGTGGCGCCGTCGAAGGAGCCGGCAAAGACATTGCATTTGCAGACTCGGCCATGCCGAATTTGGCTGCGCCAGTCGACTTGTGCCCCGAACCCGAGACATGTAGATGTATTTGGCATTACATGATGACTTGGCCTGCTGTCAAATGACATATTCTTGAACCACGGAGCACTTGAGTTCTGGGAACTATTCAATGTTTGAAAGATCGGTGGTGGTCGCGAATGAGTTCAAGTCTGTCGAGGGAAGAGACAATACTGCAAGCTTTCACAAGTATCCAACGGCACAACACCTTTTCGGCAAGCATATCATATTCTCGAACTGAGATCTCACCTCCTCAATCCACACTGCTTAAACTACTAGCGCTATTGATCTTGCACTGCATGTGAACGCAACTGTCTCAAATTCGTTTTCATTTAGAGTATATCTAAGATCCTTCAACCCCCCAAAGTCTATCAACAAACGAAAGTAATCACAACATGGCCATTGCTCACTCAATCTCCTTCCACCCCACACCCAGCTTCATCCACGAATCTAGTGACGCTTAGCCTTGCGCTTGCAGCCGACTTTGGAGCCCGCAGACGTGGAAGGGGTGGCGGAGATGGCGGCCGAGGAGGCGGAACTGGCGGGAGGAGCTCCGCTGGGCCCGGCACCACTGGGGAAAGTGCCGTTGGGAGGACCTCCAGCACCGCCGGGGCCGCCGCCAGAGTTCCCAGAGGAGGTGTCGACGCCGCCGCCGGCGTAGTAGTGCGCGGCGGCGCTGGCGGAGCTGGAGTAGTCGGCCGTGGTGTTGATGCCGACGGTGATCCAGGCAAGCACGCCCTGGGAGATGTCGTCGCCGAGGAGCACGTACTGGACGAAGGGGTCGTAGTCCGCCGTGGCCTCGTCGAAAGCGATGCTATCGCCGGAATTGAGCGTCAACTCCTGCTGGTTGGTGTTGTAGGGACTGACGGCCTCGACCTCGGAGATGAGGGTTTGATCGAAGAAGAGCTGGCCGACGTGGTTGGTCGTGCCGTCGACGTAGGTGTCGTTATCGAGAACGGTCGCGCCGGACGTGCTCTTGACGTGGATGTGGGTGGCGCGGCCGGTGTAGTGGCCCGGGAACATGGTGTCGAACTGGACCACGCCATCGTCGTCGGTCTGCTGGACGCCGCGGCCGAAGGTGGAGTTCAAGCCGCCCTGGCCGGTGGCCGACACGCCGGAGTAGACGCCGGTCGCGTTGCAGTGCCACGCATCGATCAGGATCTCGGGCACGCCGGCGCAGGTGGCGACGTCGACGAACTGGACGTCGAGATGGAGGGGCACGCCCGACTGACCATCGGTCATCTCGCTGCGGATCAGCTCGCCGGCGACCCAGTAGGGACCGATGGTGGTCTCGGGAACGACGACGCAGCTGGCGTTCTGAGCGAAGAGGGTAGCCGGGTCGGTATCGAGCGTGTAGCCCGCCGCAGAAGCGTGGTCGACGGCCGCCCAGGTGTTCAGGTCATCCTCGGTGCGGCGGCGGATGGGGGCTGTAAGCCAAGTGTCAGATCTCCGAAACTCGGGGTTTGATACGGTCATGACTTACCATTGATCGAGATGGATCGCTTCTCGCGGAGCTCCTTCAGCTTGGCATCGCGACGCTTGATGGCGCGCTGCTTGAGGGCGACATCGGCGGCAGAGCCGGCACACGCGTCGAGAGCCCGGCGGTTGTTGGCGGCAACGGAGCGGCGCAGAGCCATCTCGCGCTTGTGAAGCTGCGGGTCATGCTCCTCGCCGGGATGAGCGACGACGCCGGACAAGACGAGCGAGGCCGCCACGGCGATGCGGGAGACGGCAACCATGATGGCGAGTTGAGAGTTGGGAAGAAAACGGCCGAAAAAAGAACGTCAAAAGTCCCCAGAAAAGAGGTTCTTGGTGAGAATGTAGTGAGAAGAAGAGAGAGACTGATGGTGGTGAGAGAGGACTAACAAGCCGTCTTCAACAAGTCCTCGTCGTCTTTATGTATACCGATTCCACCGGGCAAGACATGATCACGACGGTTTGCGTCCGGATTACAAACCTCTCCAGATTACAGGACGTGACGATCCCGCAATATCTCGCGGATTGCGTACGCAGCGGTGACTCGTCATCGTTCTTGTGCCACGGGGCATGGGTTCTGCCATCGGCAAAGGCTCTCGAAGGGGGGATCTGGGGTGCTGGTTGAGGCTGTAGATGAATGCCAAGCCCCGGTAAGTGGGAGGTTAGTGTACCCAGACTGCGGAGGGTGGATCGCATTGCGACTTCAATGCCTTTGCGCGGGGAAGCGCCGGCGAATCAGGACCGTCTTAATTAAAATCACCTGGGATTCCGAGTGGTTCGGAATTTAAAGGAGTTGCTTAAACCAGGCTTAAACATAAATTCACGCGTAATGCTCGGTGGACTCTGTGGAGTTCGTGGAGAACGGTTCCTAGGCGTACAGCTCTGCTCTACCCTTCGTAGCGTGCCTCCTGAACCAATTGTCTCGGATAGAATGCTGGATAGTCGTGTACTACCTAGCCGTAGTCGGGTTTCTACGGTCGAGTTTGTTTTTTTAGATCACAGCCATCGAACATGCCGAAGCTAGGGGGGAGAACAAACTCCCAGCCGGGCTTAGCTCCTGTCTTGAACGCGTATGCCAATGCCCGAGAGCATGTCGACTGGCCTTTTCGACTGCCTTACTGAAAATGGTTCTCTTCCGTCAAGTCTCACGGCGTTTTGTCTATTTACGTGTAGTCCGAGGTTTAATTGGACTGAAAGCGACTAATATGAGAGCGGTGCTCCTGTAGGACGATAGCTGGCGCTTCTCAACAAAGTTATTTGATTCTCATACATGTCGAAAAGATTTAACTTGTGTGTTTCACTGTTATTGGAAATTTCAAGGCCTTCGAAAATACCCTGCTGTCTCTTGAAGAATGGCTTGAACTCTGCCCTAGGTCTGCACATTTCAGCAACCTCATGAGTTATGCTCTCTGATTCACAGAATCATGCTGGATTTTATCATGGTATTACTGTGTTATGAAGAAGTCGCGCCCTACGGTAGGTATGTATATGTATAAATTTTTTTCATGGAAATCAAAGCATCAGAGAGCGGCCCGTACACACTTATAACATATTCTTAGGAATCGATTCATCACTGCCCACCTGCTTTTCTTTTTTCTACCTAGATACGGTCATAACTGGCCAAACTTCTCATGTGATCTGATACGCTTTCACTGATCACTGTTTGGTCGTTTTCGCTGCCGTTTCTAGCGGTGCTGTTCTTGGTTGGGAAATACTATCCAGTGAATACGCCGAGGAAGTTGAAACTTGCATCAGCAACAATGACTTTCGGCTTCAGCTGTATGCCAGAATCAATTTTTTTATACTGATTCCGATGTCTTGAGCTCTACTGGCTGGGTTATGACTCGTGAAGTCCCTGATCCACTTGCAAATCTGACAGGCGCAACAACGACCATGGTTTACCCTCATCTTCGCGAAGGCCGGAGCTGTACCAACAGGTGCAAATGAACACCATCTATTTCTGCCCATGGAAGCCCGTGGAAATAGTTCGATATAGAATCTAGATCTGATTGGTAGCCTTGGTCACTTTTCTTGCTTGCTTATGCATGCGCACACATTCAGCGATCGCGTGTGTAACACAGCGCCCAGGAGCCTCAGCCCCGCTTCCGAGGGACCAGAAAGGGCTCTCACTGATCAACTCGTTCGGTCTACATCTACATCCCACGACAAAGTCCCTTAGAACTTGTTCTATCATCGTCAACTCGGGAAGTAATGGCGGATCCTGGTAATTCCACCGCGCGTCCCGCATGCACATGCCCCGATCCGTCGGACAGCAACCTCTCCATCGCGGGCAACATCTTGGGCATTGTGACCTTCGTCACCACCACGATAGCGATCGCCTACTCCTACGTTGTTGTGGTTACAGGGTTTTCGAAGAACCTGAGCGATCTCGTGAGAAATGTCGAGATCAAAGCCCTGGAGCTGGTGTCGCTGAGATCCCGCATAAACACCCTCTCAGAGGCACAAGACATGCAACAGGCTTTCCCGAGTTGGCATGGAATGCTGGGAGAGGTACAAACCGCTTACAGCGCCTTGGACTTCTTCAAAAGCCAGGGAATATTCGAAGACAGGTTTCTTCGCGCCACCCATGATGATGTGCGCGTATTTAAGATTTATGAAGCTTTTATGGGGTCTGGTCTTCTTGCCGGCACAGCTGTCTGGCTGGTCGAGGAGTGCCGCCGACTGTGGAGGTTTTTCAGCCTGGCCTCTCTTAGGAAATTCCGCCTCATCAACGGCGAAGAACCCAAAGCCAAGCTCTCACAGGCCGAGAATGCCATCCAAACTGTTAAAAGTTTCCTGTCATACGCCGAGTCGAGGTATGCACATGCGCTAAAAGCCCCAGGGCCATAACATACCAGCCAGTCCGCTAATTAACACACACACATCTCGCAGCATCGTCTTGGATTATCAACTTGCACAGAGAAAGGAGCTCAACAGTCTCTCCACAGAGACTGGAGAGATACGGAAAGCCTTGAAAGAGTTGTCTGAACAGGTCAGATTGCTGGCACGGGAGATGCGTCAACGCCATGACAATAGTCCTACTCGTGAAGGCGAAGGAGATGAGGGAGCTCGAGACAGCATTCGAAGAGTATCAGAGGATACGGGAGGTTTTGAAGGAGGTGCCTGGTAACGTGATACCTCTGGCTTGTGGATCAGCCTCTGTAGTTGAAAGCTGCCTTTTCTACTTGTGAGGACGGAGAAAGACATGGATGATCGCTCGAGAAGTCGTGCATTCAATCCGAAATTCGAAAACGAACATGTCAGACTAGAGCTCGACAGATGTAATGTGATTGGGAGGGCAAGTAAAAAGAAGGTATCATCCATGCGTTGGGATGGCTGACCTTCTGTGTTTGTGGGGCAAGACCATTAATTCGAGGTTTACCAACGCCTTCGTAAGTAAATGCAATACGATAAGTAGGTATAATATCTGTGACGATGGTATGCAAATTAGTGCGGTATGCCCTGAGACATTAAATATCAATATTCTTCCCGACTAGTGATATTGACCATGGTGCTGCGTAGTTCTCCGCGCAACAAGTAGTAGGTAGGGGGGCAACCCAAGTTCTCCTAAAATCTCAGACTAGAAAAGTCTAGTTTGTGGTTGGCTTGTGCTATCGGGTAAGATAGAAACGATGACTTTACGTTCCTGACGTTGCTTCCAGAGGCGCTGCATACGTGATAGGCGTGACTTCGTGACTTCAGCTTCAACTTTTCCGACCGAATTAGCAAAACTGCAAAATGCATTTCCTGAGTTTTATGCACAGCTTCCACATGACAATTCAGTAAAACAACGCCTCTTTTTGATTCCGATTCATCTATCATTAAACAAGCCACCGCAGTATGCTCATATGTTCATGGCCCCCTACAATCCAGCATGGAGCGTGTACCCTCCATCAACGGCAACAGTCTGCCCGTTCAAGTACTGATTACACGCGAAGAACAGCACGGTGGCCGCCATATCCTCATCCTTACCGGGCCGTTCGGCGGGGATCTTTGCGTACTTCTCCTTCGGCAGCTCGCTCTTCTGCGCGTCGTCCGAGGACTCCTTGGTGGTCATCTCGCTCGGGAAGACGCCGGGGGCGATGCTGTTGACGCGGATCTTGACGCCGTTGCTGGCGATCTCCTCGGCGAGCATGCGGTTGACGTGGATGGCGGCGGCCTTGGAGGCGTTGTAGGAGAAGTGGTGCTGGGACTTCTTGATCATGCCGCTGATGCTGCTGATGTTGATGATGGTGGAGGACCAGCCGTCGTGCAGGTCGGTGCTCTTCTGGAGGAGGGGGAGGAAGGAGGCGGCGACGTAGTAGACGGCGGCGACGTTGGTCTTGTAGACGTCGGTCCAGTCGGCGAAGTCGGCCTTCTCGCCGTCGAAGAGGGACTTCTTCATGTCGTGGGCGTCGTCGGACTCGACCTCGACGGGGGACGACGAGACGCCGGCGTTGTTGACGAGGATGCAGAGGCACTTCTCGCGGGCCGAGATCTCGTCGACGAGCTTGCGGATGTCGTCCTTGTTGGTGACGTCGGCCTGGATGGGGATGATCTCGCCGGGGACGTTCTTGCCGTAGGTCTCGACCGTGTTGGTGAGCTTGTCGCGGTTGCGGGAGGTGATGTAGACCTTTGCGCCGTTGGCGGCGAGGGCCTGGGTGGCCATGAGACCGATGCCGGTGCCGCCGCCGGTGACGAGGGCGACTTTGCCGGTGAGGTTGAAGAGGTGGTCCCGGGTGAAGAGGGTGTTGCCCTCGGGGCCGGCCGTCTTTACGCTAGACATTCTGGTGGTTGTATTTGGGTATCTGGGGGTGGTTGTGGGTGAGATGCGAGGCGATGGGAGGGTTAGTGGTATGAGTGGTTTTGGGAGGGAAAGGGAAGAAGTTTGCGGTCGGGAGATGTTGTTATACCTCGCAGCGAGGCGAAAGCACGAGGGGAGGAGGGATGATCTCATCATGGGCTGGACAAACACCAATTGAGGCAAGTGGACATGCGGCACCAGCAGAGGGAAGGCGCCATGGCGGTTCTTGTACCTGCCCGCTCATCGGGAATCGCAATGGGAAATCGTAATGCAGATGCTTCGTACCTACGGTGGGAGAGAATGGCGGCTACGTATCCGTGAGGTGAGCACGGCGGCGGGATGAGGTCAGTCGCGCTTCCATGACGACACCCTTCCGCAATCCCTGAGCTGCCCATCACCTCAGGGCATCGCACGGAGAGAAACATCCGCTGGGAGAGCTCTGGTGGGGCAGGGGCCGCTGTAGCTTCGTCGATTGGCGCACCCCGCCGGTTTGGCTCGACCTGTCGCGGCAACTTTAACTGAGCCGCCAAACCGCGGTACGTACTCTCATCCGAACATCACGACTTTGGAATACATCTAGAAAATGGTACACTTACATACCAGGTTCAACAGAGTAGACCATTCCCATACCATAGGCCTAATTCAATGTATCGTGGTGATACTCGTTCCGCTGAAAAGGAGTCCAACGACCGTAAAAACCCAAATCGTCATGGGGTATTTATTCATACACAAGAACTAATACAAACACACCATCACCTCACCTCACAGTGATGTGCTGAATCGCGGCCTTCCACTTCTGCTCGTCCGTCCTAATTTCACACAAAGTCAGTAAACACGCTTCATCTCTCGTGGGGTCAGGGCTCCAAACTCACTTGTCAAACTTCAAAATCCGCCCGAGCACAGGCACCAACTGCTCCCGCAGCTTATTATCCTTCTGCTCCAGGAACTGCAGCAGGATCGTCTTCAGGTACAGACTATCCGCCGAGCCCCCGGCCGACTGCTGCTGCTGCTGTGCCCCCGGCGACCCGGCCCCGTTGAGCCCGCCGGACCGGCTCGAGTCGACCGAGCTCCGCCCCGACGCGGCGCTCGCCCCGAGCTTGGCCTGCACCGTCTTGTGCTCCTTGCTGAGCTTCTCGAACCGCTGCTTCGACTCGTCCAGCATCCGCCGCAGGTCCGACTTGGCCTTCTCCGCGTCCCGCACCTGCTGCTCCGACGCGTCGAGGGTGGAGCGGAGGTCCGACACCGCCGACCGCATCTCGTTGACCTCGGCCTCGGCCTTCTCCTCCACCGCCTCGAGCTCCTCGCGCCGCTTCCGCCACTCGCGCTCCTTGCGCTCGAGCTCCTCCTTCTCGCCGGACAACGTCTTGATGTCCCGCTCCAGGTCGCGCATCTTCTGCTTGAGCTCCTCCGTCTCCCGCGTCTTCCTCCGCGCCAGCGTGCTCGACTCGTCCTCGATGCGGTCGCGCTCCTCGATGGCCGCCTCCATGCGCGAGCGCATCTCGCGCACCTTGCTGTCGGCGCGCTCGTCCACGTCGGCGAGGAGCCCGCGCATGCGCTCCGCCTCGCGGGACCGTTCCGACAGGTGCTTCTGGATCTCGGCGAGCTCCTCCTCCAGAGACTCGGACTGCGAGCGGGCCTCCTTGAGCTGAATGGTCAGCTCCGCCGTCTGGTCGCGCATGCTGCCGAGCAGGCCCTGCGCGTTGGTGTATTGCTGCGTCTTGAGGTCCGCCTCGTCCTGCAGGCTCTTCTTCTCCTTCTGCAACTTCTCGACCTCCTCCTCGAGCTCCTTGACCCGCGGGCGGAGCTTGTTGGCCTCCTCCTGCACCTTCTGCAGCTCCCGGACGGCCTTCTCCTCCTTGGCGCTGAGCTCCACCTTCTCGGCCTCGGAGCGGCGGAGGTCGCGTCCCGATACCCTCTGCGCGTCCTCGAGGCGAAGGCGGGTGTTCGTCTCGTTGGTGAGCTTCTCGCGGAGCGACTTGATCTCCGTCTCGCGGTCCGTGGCGAGGCGCTGCGCCCTCGTGACGTCGGCCTTGAGTTCCTTCTCCTTCTTCTCGAGGTTGCGGAGCTCGGTGTTCTTGGCGGTGAGCTCCTCCTTGGCCGTCTTCAGGGCCGCGGAATCCTGACGCAGGCTCTTCATCTCGGGCTGGGCCTTCTGGAGGACCTCTCGGAGGTCGGTGAGGTCCTTGTACCGGCTCTGCGCCAGCTGCTGCGCGGCGCCGAGGTCGGACTGCAGCGTGGACGACTTGGACTTGAGGTCCTCGTACTCGCGCTGCAGGGTGTCGAACTCGCCCTGGAGCTTCTCGGTCGCCTTGGCATCGTTGGCCGAGGATCCGAGCTCCTTCTCCAGCTCCTCGATCCTGGTCTGCAGCGCCTTCTTCTCGATCTCGAGGTTCTTGATCTTCTCCTTGGCCTCGACGTGGTCCTGGCCGATGTCGGTCAGCTCGCCGCGCAGAGTGTCAATCTCCTCGCGGAGGTCCTCCTCAGTCTTGCGCTGCTTTGTCAGCCGGTCGATCTGGGAGTCCTTTGTGCTGACTTCCTCCTTGAGGCGGGTAATCTCTGCCTCCAAGGCCTCAGTGTCGGACTCCTTTGACTCCTCAGCCGCGGCAGGTTGTTCAGCTGTGCCAGTGGCGGGCGCAGCGGGTGTAGCAGCAGCAGCGGCACCTCCCTTCTTCTTCTTTTTGTTCTTCTTGTTGTTCTTGGAAGCACCACCGGCGCTAGGTGCAGAAGTCTCTGTTGGTCCAGGGGTGGTGGGCGTGGCTGGTACAGGCTCGCTCTGCTTCTCCAACTTCTTAGTGAGCTCGTCAATCTTCTTCTCATTGTCGGCCTTCTCCTTCTTGATGGTCTCAATCTGTCCGTTCAGAGTCTCAATCTTCTTTTCCACTTCAGCCTGGGCGGACAATGCCTCCTTGACGTGCGCCTCTCCCTTCTCAGCCCGGGTGTTCGCCTCAGTGAGCTTTGATTGTACCTCCTTGGCATCCTTTATGGCAGTGGCAAGCTCGCCCTTGAGCTTTGTCTCCACCTCCTTGAGCTGTTTCTGCGAGGCCTCCAAGCGCTCAGTAAGGGTCTTGATCTCGGTATTTCTGGCGTCGAGCTGGGTCTGGAGGGAGGTTGTGACGGCTGCGGAATCGCGGAGTTTGGTGGCCTCCTTGGTCGCCTTCTCGAGGCTTTCGGTAAGATCCGCGCTCGACTCCTTGGCGGACGCCAGCTCGGTCTTCAGAGAGTCGACCTCGGTCTTGAGCTTCTCAATCTCCTCCTCCTTGGCAGCCATCTCGGCCTCATACTTGGGCGCCTCTTCGTCGTAAGAGAACAAGTCGCCAGACTCCTCCGGCTTGTCCGCCTCGGGCTCCTGCGCCTTCTGCTTGGGCGAGAAGATGCCCAGGGCCTGCTGCAAGGGAGACTTGGCGGCGTTCGGGTCGGGCGACTTGACGGAGGCGTCGTCCTTGGTGTCGGTCGCGGCGTCGACCTGCTCCTTATCTTCGGCCTTCTCGGCAGCGGGCTCGGGCTTCGCGGCCTTGAGCTCCTCCACCTCCTTCTTGAGCGCCTCAGTCTCCTTCTCGGCCGCCTCGAACTTCTTCTTGAAGTCGTCCTTCTCGATCGAGACCCGCTTGTACTCGTCCATGATCATCTGCTCCTTCTGCTTCAAGGAGTTGAGGAACTCGACGAGCGCTTCGGGTTCTCTAATAGAGCCGACGCTCGTGTGCTCCTTAAGCACCCGCTCGAAGGGCTCGATGGAGGTGGCGCGGCCGTGGGCGATTCGGTACGATCGGAGGAGCTCTGCGACTCGTCAGCATTGGCGTCGCGAAGGTAAGAAAACATGACACACGCACCGGGATACGTCTTTTCGAGCTTCTCCAACTTGCGAAGCTTCATGCGGACCTCGGGCGACAACTCGGGCGCAGCAGCAGCCGGCGCGGCGCTGGCCTCGGCATCCTTCTTCTCGTCCCCGTTCTGTCCGCTCTCCTGCTCCTCCGCCGCCACCTTGTCCTTCTTCTCCTCCGCCTTGTCTTCCATGTTTGCTGGTGGTTTGGGTGTTCCGGCCCTGCTGGGCTCCTCGCTGTCGTCGAGCACGAAGGCGGCCTCGAATACGGCCGGGTCCGGGTTCGAGGGGCTGTCGCCGTCCTTGGTGGCGTCCTGGCTTGCGTTCTTCTTGGGCCGGGGCCGTCGCGCGGGGGACTGGGCGCCTCGCGATGTCGAATCCGACCTGCGCGGCGTCCCAGAGTCCGGTCCGAGTGCCTTGCGCGCCTGTTCCTGTCGAGCCTGTTCCTCCGCGATTGTCCGATCGATGGCGCCCTTGAGCCGCTGTTGCAGTCCCATCATGTTAGCTGGGCCGGATCAGGTTCTCGAGGGGGCAAGGGATAATAAGGTGAACGTGAACAATGTTGGAATTTTGGTCCGAACAAGTAGATCGAAATCAAACACGAGTAGAAAAAAAAGGTTCCGCTGGAGACGCACCTGGAACATGTTTGCCGATCAGAGGGTTGGATGGGATTACCCTGTGACCATGGATTCGTTTATTCTGACGGGAGGGTAAATGGAAACGAAAGCTATGGTCGGTCGACAATGGCAGGGAGCTGCATTATCGGTGGTGGTCGCGGTGTGGTGGGTGCCAGAGGCGAAGGTTTCGTCGCGAAGAACGGAAGTGGTGTTCCAGTCCAAAAAGTTGTCGCTTCGAAAAAGAACATTCGAAGGGACGGGAGAAAAGGACCCTACGTACATGCTCTCAATTCACAGGTGTCCTCAGCCTGCCGAGCTGTTGCAGGTCAGTGCAGTGTCCTCCCAGAAGTTTGAGGTAGGGGGGAGCACGGACAGTGGGGAACTCTGCTAAGAGGCCGCGTTAGCATTCAGCCTCGGCACTAGCCACAATTGGGAGCTTAGCGGATAATTGATATTATGAGGAACCCGGGCCATGACGAGAAACATCTTTGAAAATACTGCCTTTTTATATGATGCTGTAATCATGTATGAAATATTGCTGTAGCTAGCTGAACGACGCATTCGCCGGTAAACACCCGCCCACTCATTTTCCACCCTTGCCCTTGCGCTTCGTCGTACCCGATGCTCCCTGTCTCCCCGTGGTCTTTGCGCCGGCTCCATGAACATCGTCATCACCCTCCTCCTCCTTAATCTCCACGCTCGACACCTCATCGTCGTCGTCAGACTCCTTAAACTCCTCACCGGTCGGCACGTCGCTCTCCTCAGCGCGCGATCCCAGGACCTCCCTCATGATGCGCTTCCCCTCGTCCATCTCGCCGTTCGTCGCCCCGCAACCCATGCACTTCCACGTCCCCAGCTCCGAGAGCGCCTTGGTGCCCGGGGGCGCCTGGCCGTTCACCAGCCGACAGCGCGCGCAGATGAGGACAATCCTGTTCTTGGAGGCCGTCTCGTCCTCGCCCAGGAGCAGGTCCATGATGCGGTCGTACCAATGCGACGAGTTGACGCCGTCCATCTGCGCAAAGTGCTGCGACTGAGTAGGTGGCGGCGGCGGTGGGGGATGACCGGAACCGTATGCGTTGGGGGCGAACTCTTCGGTCGGTTCGAGGCCATTGGGTTGCTGCTGAGGCGGACGTTGGTGATGCTGCTGCTGGAAGCCAGGGGGAGGCGAGCCGGGGCCAGGTCGCTGGATGTTGGCCGTCGGCGGCGGCGGCATGTTGGTGCGGCTGCCCTCATGGTGTCTCGGGACCTGCTGTCGCGGCTTCTTATCGTCGTCGCCGCTCGCGCCTTGCTTCTGCTTCTTGTTCTTGTTCTCGCTGCCGCCGTACTTTTCGAGGAGCTCGAGAGTGGAGTCGTACTTGGTGGCGTCCTTGAGCTTCTGGATCGTCTTCGCCCGCTCAGTCTGCTGCTCCTTGAGGCGGGTGGAGAGCGAGTCGATTCGGTAGTTGAAAAAGGCCGTGACGGTGGTTCGAGTGAGGTAGATTCTGGAACATCGCGGTTAGCATTTCGGGACGCGCAAACGGAGCTACCACGGGAACACGCACACGACGGGACCTCCACAGACGCCCGTCCACTCCCAAACGCCCATGCCGTTCCATCCCACGACGAGGAAGATGACAATGGAGTAGACGAGGTAGGCGAAGGCGAGATACAGCGACCAGAGAACCCTGATGCGACGGGAGGTCGCCCGCGCGCCGTCGAGGCGGGACTGGGTGTCGGTGATTTTGGCCGAGAGGGCGGAGAGGGTCTTTTCGAACGAGGCGGGGGAGGAGTCTTCGCCCTGCGGTGCGACTGTCAGTTCATCATCCTGATCGCAAACGAAACGGGGACAAGAGAAGGCGCGAAACGTACCCTCCACGGCCAAAAGGACACCATGGCGAAGAGAAGGATGGATGCGACCACGTGCCGTTTTCAAAGAGGCATTTCCCCCCAGCTGTCAAGCCAGCAACAACCAGAACTGGAAACGAGCAGAATGAAGAAAAAGAAACAAATGAAATGAGAAAAAAAAAAAGGTCTGTGAGATTGATGCGTTGCGATGCGCGGGAATGTAGAGATTGGACGAACGGAGCACCGGAGCGAAGTTGTAAAAGGAGTGGAAGGGGATGGGATGCCTGGCTGTGAAGGCGTAGGCGATGTCGCAGGTGCGAGGGAGCTCTCTGTGGGATGCACCTCGGCGGATGACCTGCAGCAGAAAAATGGCCTCCACTGGCGAACGAGGCGAGTTGCCAGCTGTTAATTATGACGCACCCTCAGCGCAGCGCAGCTGATCGCCCTCACAGTGGGAGGAAGGTGGGCCCTAGCTTCTAAGGCAGCTAGGTAGCCCTGAGCTGTTTTAGCGTGGCCTCTCACCTGTGTTTCGGGCAAGACCACACCGAGTTCACCTTGGAAGGTGAGCTTCACCGAAGTTGACGGGGATGATTCCGATTGTTTTCAATTTGGGTGTCTTTTGCCAGTTGAGTCTTACGTCAAAGGGCTAAGGTTTTTCTTTTCGAATCGGAAATTTACAAAAATCGAATTCACCAGGCTATGGAACCCGCAAACACTCTCTTATGTTGACTTTCCATCGGCTTCATATCTTACTTAGTAAAGGAAGATCTAGACCAACCATCTACTATTTAAGTTCAACCAGCTTTACATCTATCGCCTCTTCTCGGTCGTTTGAGTCAAATTTCTAGTTAAATCTCTTTCATTGCGTAAATTTTCTTGTCATCTATCGAAATGAAGAGTGACATTCATGGCAGTAGTCGCGAAGATGATGCATAACTTTGCTGAGCGCAGGTAACCCGGTAAGTTTCCGAGCAGTAATTCGTGACCAAAGTTATGAAACGATATAGTTGATCCAACAAGAGCTCAATATCTGTTTTCAATAAAGTTAAGTGGTGCATTGAAAGGTGACGTCTTTCATTTTGGGGGTTTTGATTGTCCATGCGATGAATCAACTTACCTTGCAACTTCTCTGGCGGAGAATTGTGAGATGTGACTCTCAATCAACCTTATAAGTCCATCGACCGAGAAAATGAGTCTCGTAGCACTATCTAACTGTCAGGCTGTCAGGCCATCTTCACATCACCAAGCGCAAGCCGGCATGGCTGTTCAGGGCAACAGAAGGGATCGCGAAAGATGCTGAGGGCAACGTGACCACCAATGAGAAGAAGAATACAAGGAGAGGACTGTCACACTTGAAATTGAGACTCGCTCCAGCTGAGAGTAGTCGGACTGGTGTTTCATGAGGCGAGACCTGTGAAAGGAAGTCCCGACTTATCTGCTCGTCTGGGACCTTGGTGAAGGAGGGACGAAGTCAGCTCTGACATGTTTAGAAAGAGCAACAAACTTCTCAATGCTTCATCCGTAACTCTTTAAGTTGGCCTCTGCAAGAAGCCATCTGTATAATCAGCATCATTTCTCGTTCTCGTCATACCATCGGTCCATCCCTCTCTGACACGTTTTCCCCGATGCCTCATGTCAGCAATACTGCTAAAACTAAAACACCATCTCAACGACAACGGAATCCCACTGAGCTTTCAAATCATACATCGCGTCGAATCGCGTCAACGTCTTCAGCCCCAGAAGAGAATAAAGACTAACTTGACGCGTCGCCGAACTGATTTCAAGTACCCAATAACAATCCACAGCACCTCAACGGCGTGCTCCAACCATAAACACCATGATAGATCAGCCCTCCCAACAAACCTCACCATCACGGTTCACTCGCCACCACAAGGCAACAACAACAGCAGCGAAGCCATATAGCAAAGTTCAACGCTTCCTCTCCTAACAAGACAACACAGAAGGGGGCTGTAGCTTAGTGGTAAAGCATCTCTCGCTCTCTATCCCTAGATCCTAAGAATCCTATATACTCAGGCGAGAGAGAGACGGGGGTTCGAATCCCTCTGGCTCCAATATCTTTTTGCTTTTTTTTTTAGTCACGATGCTTTTGTAGAAGATGATACACTCTTTCAAATTTGTCGGGACAGAGGGCGAAGCTGACGTATGCTTGGATCGTCGCTTTAAGGATGTCATTCTTCTGCTCTAATAGATGGTCTTGAGTTCCTGAGATATTTAAGCAGGGCTAGAGCGTTGAGTCGAAAACGAGGCTCTGGTGAACATAGATCACGTCCAAGCCCGGTGCAGACATCTCGATCATGAGTTCAGTCAAACTTCCACAAGCGACTTCAGCCGTCGTCTGCAAGCGATCTTACTATTACTGATGATATCCTACAAACCCCAGCCCAAACACCTCAATCCCAAGCACCATCCTCCACAAAAGTCCACGCCTCCATCCTCATCTCCGCATCAACAACCCCAACCAACCGCCTCAAAACCGCCACCATTTCCCGCGTACAAAACACCCTCACCCTCGCCCCGTCGCTCATCCTCCCCAACCGCTCCCTCACGGCCACCACTTCCTCCACCTCGCTCCCCGCCGGCTCCCCGACCGCCGCGCAGAGCACCCCAGCAACCCTCTCCCGCACGAAACCCTCCACCTCGTCGAGAACCCGCCGCTTCACCTCCTCCGCCAGCCGCGCGCGCTCGTACTCGAAGGCGTCGCGGACGGCGGCGCGGATCTCGTGGCGCTGCTGGATGTGGAGGCGCTCGGGGGTCGTGAAGACGCCGTTGCGCATCTTGACGTCGCCGTCTGTGTCGAGGCTGCGTTTGGAGGCGGTGGAGGACGGGGTGGTGGTTTCGGGGCGGCGGGTGCTGGGTGTGCTCTCCGGGGTGCGGAAGGCCGGGGTTGAGGGGGGCGAGTGCGGAGTCGGGCTCGACGGGGGAGGGGAGGTTCGGGTTTGGGATAGGTCGGCGAGGATCTCGGAGGAGGTGCGGCGGGTGAGGAAGTTGCGGATGTTGAAGGTTGAGAGGGCTTGGGGGTTGTTGCGGGTGTGGTTTCGGCTGGTGAAGGGGTTGTCGGTGGCGGGCTGTGATGAGTTTGGGGAAGACGGCCGCTTCCCCGTGCTTGATTGCTTGGCCGGCATGTTGGTATCTGGTGTTAGTGAGGAGCTGTGATTAATCAGTTCTCGATGTTGATGATAGATAGCAATGTTGTTGGATCAGCGCCAATTTGGCGATATATAGAACCTGTTCACGAGTTCGGGCAGCGTTGACTCTAGCGTATTCATCTTGAGTATCGCGACGCAAGAGCAGTCACTGGGTTCCATAGAGCAGAACCACATCTCGGATTCAAGAGATGGCGACACACAAACATCCTCACTCACAGGGCGCTCGCACTCATCCTCAAAGAATCACTCGATCCTTTCGCAAACGTGTTTTCAGCGAGAACCACGCCGGCCAACGCGGTGACCCGAACGCCACGTCATTCTTAATCCATACGGGCAGATCATCGACATGCACCGTCTTGACTCGTCAGAAAACAGCACAACAACTTGTCGGGCATTTGTGAATGCCCAGTCCAGCCATGCAGCACGCTGACTGGGAAGAAGACGCTCCCCCCCCACCTCGCTCGCAGAAGTCCCCACGGCCGGTCAGGGTTCGGGACAAAAGGATTGATGACAGCTTCGGTTAAGCAAACACCCGTCGCCACACCGGTCGGTCATCCGAGGAACTTTTTTTTGGCATGATGTGCTGTATGTTTGACTTCCCGAGGCACATGCGGTAGTCAAAAGAAGAAAATAACCGGATGAACCCATTCGGCCGAAACGAGAGTTTGCCGGGGGAGATACGGTAAAAAAAGAAACGCAGACACACGGCCGAGTCCAGGCTACCTTAGACTGGCGCGAAAGCGCTGCAGGGTCCTGTACCTGTTGTCTGCGCGCGCAGATCCAGCCGTTGAGATCCTGCAGGTTGAACGCAACGGAAGACATCCGCGTAATGTTGGGCGCGTAGTGGTGGTATGCCATGGCTCCCAGTGTGCGTGTCTGGCAAGGAGGGGATATGCAGGTCTGCAACATTTGCAGTGCGACTGTTGCAGTTTTGGGCAATCCGCTCGCCGGGCAGCGCTGCGAACACGAGTTGACAGCTCGGGCGGAGGATGCCCTGCTCCTGTGCTGGCGATCATCGAGGGCTGGCCTTGCCGGGCAAGACGGGACGGCCGGGTTCTGGACTTGAGAAATGGAGATGCTTTGGCTCGGCGAGGTGCGAGTTCAGGTCGGGGTTTGAAAATTTGCAGTCGTCGGTCTGCCAGACGAAGGTAAGGTCCACGGGTAGTGAGAGTTCGTCTGGTAGCGGTCATGCGTCTTTGGCGAGGATGAATAATTGCCGGTCATGAGGATCAACGTAATTTGCTCCTTGGAGCAGCAAGGAAACAGGCATCGACGGCGTATTATCGACAAATGTCTAAGTCTGTAACGGGACTTCTGCTTGATGATGTCGTGGGCAAGGTGAAAAGTGACATTTTTTTGCAAAGTCTCAACTGGCGGTTGTCCGCTGGAAGTGCCTGGACCGCGGTGATTTTCGTCTGGGTCTCTGGAGGGTTGCAGTTGGATTTGCGGATTTGCAGACGGCGCGTGGAGCTAGAGCTGCTGGAGCTTGAGCTGGAGCTGCTGGACTGGACAACTGGAGTCTCGGATGGCGGAAAGGTGAGGAGAAGTTGACAGGGGACAGGGAGCGACTGACAGCAATCCGTCGTCGATCACCACTCTTGCCGGCAGGTAGACAGACTACACAGCAAGAGGCAGCCGGTCTGTATGATGTATGATGCGTGAGACAGCTGCCAATCCGCATGGTGATTCATCTGTGATGCCGATGTGTATGAGGAAAGATTGTCGTCAAGCTGGCGATGTCGTCGTGAGGGATGCCATCCACGTCCGCGTCTCCGCCTCCGCTTCCGTGTCCGTCTCCCGTGACGCCGTCCATTTGCGTGCTAGCGGCCTCCTTGGATCTCGTGGATCAATGTTCGTTCTGATCGGATCTGGAAAAAAGGAAGAGACGACGATAATCAAAAAAAGAATGGAGATGTCGAAAATGGATCGAAGATGGATCGAGAAGACGGCCACCGAGAAAATTGTGAAGGCGCACGGGAACAATCGGGAACGGAGCGAAGAACCTGTGCGCAAGTCACTCTCCCTATAAATTACGGTGTAAAGTACTTGATAGCAAGTTCCCCCTGTTGATTGGTCTCGGGTGGGGCCGGGTGGAGAAGGTCGCTCGTTCGATTGGGGGAAGGAATGGGCTGTTGGTCGTTGCCGTTCGACGATGCAGCAAAATCAGACCACTTTTGCTCCTTCTCGAACCAAAAAAAACAATTTCAACCTCCAGCATCAACCAACACGACTCGTCAACTCCATCTCTCGCGCGTTGTGTCACCGTCACCGTCGACCTGAATGTCCTTGATCAATCCATGATCCATTCAGTCAGCCGCCGGACTTTAGAGTCCAATCGCTAAGGTCCAATTGGAAAACTCTGCTGAGGCCGGCCTGCCTTTACCTCGCTAAGCACCGCCGGCCATCAAAGTAAAGCGCGATGCTATGCGATTACGATGCGTCACCCGAACACACGATGCAATTCCATTATGGATGTTTCGCTTCGGGGCCTGTCTATCTGACACTGTCGCTGCTACGCCTACGGATACTCTCTTCGGCAAGTTCAGTCAACACCGCCGAACCTCTAGACCGCGGTGCGCAGATCATTCGGCTCCGTTTCTCGGTATTCTCGGTGACATCTTCCGTCGTCTCCATTACACTACCTCAGAGGCTGGGCCACTTGTGAAGGCGCTGAATAGAGACGTACATTAGCACTCGCAACCGGCTTTTCGGGTCTGCCAGCCAGGCCAGCAAAGCACATCACCGCGCACATCACTGCCAGAAATATCCTGCTGATGCCTTACTTGGGCATGGCGTCTCCGGGGAATGGCATCCATCGTCGTCTTCCAGAACTTGGCCGGGACCTGACAGACTGGCACGGGCGACGAAGAGGAAGTACACTACGTACACCACGCAGTACGTGCCAGGGAAGTGGAATCCGAGTGGGCAGCGCGTGGGAGCGAGCCTCACGGACGCCAGGGAGGCCAGGGAGGGGACCCTGGAGATCTCGATCCCGCATCCTGCCTGCCGTTGGGCCACCTGTCAAACCGTTTCCTGCAGGCGTCGACACTCGAAAACACCCTCCACAACTCAACCGGAAACAAAACATCTTCACCAAACCAAGGCACGGCGGCATCAATCCTCTGCACCTTGCACGCGATACCCACCCGCCAGCCCGCGCCATCACGGCAACCTCCTGCACGTCAGTGACAGCGCCCAGCCTGAGCAATCCCACGAGAGCATGTCCATCACGGCCGATTCTCCCCTTCGCCAATTAGCTAATGTTTGACACCTCACTTTTCCGGACCTGTCACGAATCACAACCGCTCCATCTCGGTTGACGACAACGGGATCTTGGTTCTGGGGGTCTTGGACTTGCCCTTTGGGACGGCCTGGGGTGGTCCCTTTTTGGGGTCCCTGTAATCCGGACTCATTTCGTTGCATGGCATCGCACGAGATTGAAGGACCCGAATCAAGGTCCTTGATGCCGTGTCCAAGGTTTTTGACACTTCAGGCTATCTGAAAACTGAAGCCATCGAGATACTGGCGAGCAGCATTTTGCGTATGGCCAGATCCCATGCAAGATGATGACGGCCAGGGGCAGAATATCGCAAAGTCGCGCTCGCTTCCGATGGCCGATGGTCCCATTTGCCCATCTTGCAATTTCGTCTCACTTTCGTTGCCCAGTATCCGAGGGCAGTTGACGCTCGAAGTTGGCAACGGCTTTTTCTCTTGCCGCCAAGCTCCCGAGCTGCCCCTCCATCGTTCTATTTTCTGTCCATCTCGTTGTGTCCCGTCCCGGGATTTGGCCATGCACCCCTGGACCCTGCTTAGCTGTTCCGAGCTCGCTCTTAGAGACATCTTTGTAAGTTGTTCTCACATGGTGCTTGGTAGTCTTTGCTGGACTGGAAGTTGACTCCCGCTCTAGTGAGCAAAGACATTGTTTCTCCGGACGGCGTCTCTAAGCAACATCTCAGAATGCACAACTACTGCAGCGTATTCCAGTCGTAAAACATAGCATTGCCGCGCTCTCATCGACATCAATACCCACAAGTACATGCACAGCAACTCCGAGGTGTCATGGATCAGGGATGACATAGGGCCACCCGGTGGCCATCTCTCTCTCCGGCGTCCCCCTACCAGGCACGCCGCACGCCGTCCGTATGGGCCGCTTGCTCAAGTCGACTTTCTCTTCGGGATCCTCTCTCGTGCATGTGTCAAAGAAGACTCCCCACAGCACATCTTATGTCAATCATCAGTCTTTCCACTGTCGGATCCGTCCGCCCGCACCATCCCAAGGCAACACCCCCCGGGTCTTGGTCCGAGGTGCCCAGTGACCCTCAGCTCTTTTTTCCGTCTGTCACATTTGCCTTGGGCGAAGGAGGACCCATGGCGCCGTCGTATGACGAGCCCGACCATCGCCAGTTTTGCTCGCCCGTTCCATCCCGCGCCCGCCTTACTGCGTACCATCACCCCCAATTCTCGCCAGTTGGTTCCACTCTCCGTCCCGCGGAGCTCTACCCCGGCTCGCAGCTCCTTGTCTCTCTGCCAAGCTGAAAGGGCATGTCGCTGGCCAGAATGCCCTTTTCGTATCTCTGCCATTGTAGGTATATAGCTTTGCGCTCCGTCGGTTGTCTCCCCACCTGTCCTATGCTCGAACCATCAGCCTCAATCCAGAGTAACATCATACATCTTCCCATCTCGCCATCGGCACTTGAACACACTTATTTGGTCCTCACTCCCTTCGAGTAACGCCACCAACCTCACTCACAAAACACCTTCGACTCAAACCACCAGACCACCTCTCATACCCCGGGCTACTACCCCTCCATGAATCGCACCATGGCTCAACAACAGTCCTTCGAGTACTATCAGGTACCCCAGATGCCCCAATCCGGCGTCGCAATGGTGAGTCCTTTTATTGCCCCATTCGTCTTCCGAATAACCTCACCCTCACCTCTCCCACACACATCAACTAACACCTTCACAGTCGCCCCCAGAACTCTCCCCTCTCTCATTCTACGACACCCAAGCCGACTTCAGCGCCGACTCCGCCCCCTCCCGCGGATCTCCCGTCTCCCCCGTCTTCCCCGCCTCATCATTCCCCCTGCCGTCCGGCTCCGACTGGCCCGCCTACTTCGAGAAGCCCACCCTCTCTCCGGACCTCGACGTCTTCTACGGCGAATTCGGCAGCCCCATGTCCTTCCTCTCCTCCCAAAACCTCACCCTCAGCCCCACCGCCAACCCCGCCGACCTCATGTCCGACTCCGTCGCCTTTGGCCGGGAGGGCATCAACGATACCCAACCGCTCTTCCAATCCCTCGACACCCCCGCCCCGAGGCCCCAAAACCAGATCAAGACGGAGAGACTCTCAAGACCGGCACCCCGCCCCGAACAACAACAACCCAAACCCCAGCCCCAACAAAGAACATCCCCGCGCAACAACGACCTGAAGCGCAAGTCCTCCGCCTCCTCCGCCTCCTCCCGCTCCGCCTCCCCCGAGCCCCCCGCCCGCCGCACAAAACACGAGCCCTCCAAGAACCCGCACAACATGATCGAGAAGCGCTACCGCGTCAACATCAACGAGAAGATCATCGCCCTCCGCGACGCCGTCCCCTCCCTCCGCTGCGTCGTCCAGCAGACCGAGAACCCCCAAGCGCCCGCCGAGACCGACGAGGCGCCCTTCGACGTCGTCGAGGAGCTCGGCGGCCTCATGCCCGCACGCAAGCTCAACAAGGCCACCATCCTCAGCAAGGCCACCGAGTACATCACGCACCTCGAGAAGAAGAACGGCCAGCTGTGGAAGGAGAACCAGGAGCTCGAGAAGAGGCTCGCCGAGGTCACGAGGTGGCAGCGCAGTCAGGCGCAGGCCGAGGCCGGGCCGTATTGGTCTTAGAAGAGCTTTGTCTCCCCTTTTGCGAAACGTCGACGATAAACAAAAACAAAAAAGACGACGCAGCAACAAAGACGTTGTGGTGTATATACTACGGGGCTCGATTAGAAAGGGGAAAAGGGACGAATTGGGTGTTTTGCGATGATTGATTGACCTGGCGTTTTCGGACGGCATTTTGGGGAAATGGGGGGAAAACTACTTTTTGTATACCACGATGAAAGCATGTCATCATCATCATCATCAGACGGCGTTTACGGATGTTTAGAGATTATGGGAAGGACAGAAGACGGAAGATATTTGATGAATTGGTCTGAAGAGGACCAAAGCAAACAAACTCACTCCCCTTTCTCACGCAGAGATTGCGATAATGAAGAGATTTATTCACTATTCACTGTTTACGGCATTGTTTTATGTTTATGTCTATTGTGATTTCATTGCTGATGCTCTGTTCTATGATCGAGACTCGCTCTGATCTGGGGTATCGTGGATGTCTAATGCAGGACTAAGAAGCCTTGAAAAGGACTTCGCAAAACAAGACTGATGCATCCGTATCCCTCGCTCCGTAATCCGTTCCTCCGTTTCTCATGACTTCTGAGCCCCTGGCTCGCCATCCCAAAAACAAAACGAATACCCATTTTCCGTTCCCATCATAATCATCAATGTCCCATGATTTTCCAAATCCCGTTCCCTCAAATCCCAAAACCGCAAAACGCCACCCAAAATCCTCCGTCGCCACAGACAACCTCCCCTCCATCAAACACATACCCGATCCACTTCAGAAACCCCTTCACACCCTTGTCAATAACTCAATGCTTCTCCCAGGTAATCCACCTCCGAAGCTCCAAAAGCACCTACACCCATCTCCTCGTCCGCAACGCCCGCGAAGTTACAAGTCCATGCGGTAGCGGCGGCCATATGCGGCCTCCGCGACGCCGTGGTCGAACTCGTCATCACTGTTGCAGGTGTGGTAATCGCCGGAGTAGTCGCTGCGGCAGGTGCGGAAATCGTCGTCGGAGGTGAAACTGCCACGGCGGGACTGATGGGGCGTGTTGAAGCTGTCAACCGACTCTTGATCGGACTCAACACTCTGCGCGCCGCGATACTCGCTCTCGGGAGACAAGTTCCTGCTTCGGTACGTCCGCGAGGGCAGCGGAACCTCCATGTCCCGCTCGTACTCGTCCTCCTGCATGGCCATCCACTCGCGCTCCTCCCAGTCGGCCTGCTCCTCGGGCGTGAAGTCCGAGCGGGGACGACGCTCGCGGGAGGTCATCGCGACGGCGTGGACGGCGCGCTGCTCGGTCTCGGTGAGGTAGGGCGTCTGGTTGATGACGATGGCGAAGGGGTATTCGCCGTGGCGGTGGTGGGTTGCCGCGGCGGCGGCGGCGGCGGCGAGGGAGTAGACTGAGTTGGCTGTGTGCGCGGAGTGGTAGTGGAACGGCTCGGCCTGGGAGGCGGAGGGAGAGCCGATGTTGTGGGAGGGGTTGCGACGAAGGGGGGAGCTGTGAGAGGTGGCGTGGTAGGTGATGGTTCTGAAGGCCTGGTTGTTGTTGTGGCACGTGGAGGTGGTGTTGGAAGATGGGGTCTCCATCTCGGTGGCCGAGGGCATCTCAGGGGCCCTCCAGTAGCGGGAAGGCTTCATGTTGTTCGATGACTTCGCCTTCTTGGAGGCCTTGCGAGTGTCGACCTCGATGCCGTAGGTCTCGAGGCACTCTTCGGCGGTGCAGCAGTCAATGCAGTGCTCCCTGTTGGGATGTTAGCATCGGGTTTCAGGGGTAGAGGTGAGGGGACTTACGGGTCAGTCTGCGCCTTGCTGGCGGAGTCGGAGTAGATCTCGACGGTGCCGTCGCTGAGAACACGGCGCATGATGGCGACCTTCGTCTCGCCGGAGAAGACGGGGGAGGAAGAGGAAGAGGCCATGTTGACGATCAAGTGTTGACGCGTGGGGAGGTTTATTGATAGAGGAAGGAGACGCGCGTTGATGAGGTTATCGTCGCGTTGTGAATGTAGACCGCGACGGAGACGACGCGAGTGGTGAAGTTGTTGATAGTGAATGGGGCTGGCCCAAAGAGACGATGACTGCTGGTGGCAAGAGAGGATGAAAGGGGGGGGAGAGAGGTTGTGGGTTTGTTCAGAGAGAAGAAGCAGAAAGATTGCGAGATGGGAAGTTGATGGAGAGGAAAAAGAGGGATGGGAGGGGGGATGGAGGTGTTTATATAGATATGGAGGGTGAGGCCTCGGGGGGAGTGATCTGTGGCCGAAGGGAGTGATCCGTGATAATTACGCAGTAGCCTGAGGCCGTAACTCGATTTAATGTGAGGCGATTTAAATCATTGGACGAAGAATAAATAGGTTGAGGCTGAAGGGGAGTGATCTGGGGTTATTGGGAGTGATCTGTGGCTGACGGGAGTGATCTGTGATTGTGACCAGGTAGCCTGAGGTTGTAAGTCGGTTCAAGGTGAGGCGACGACTTGACTGATTGCCCGAATAAGAAGGAGGTCAAGGTCGTTGCCCCTTAAAGGTCGTGGGAGGCTGGCTGGTGAATGGAGATTCGGCTGATGATCTGAAGTTGCCGGGCCTCTAAGAGCGGGGTACTCGTTGAGGGCTTCGTGAGGCCTCAGAATGGAGGCATTCACAGAGATGAAAGGAGGACAGGGGCGTCTGGGGGAGGAGTCTTGTGGGTCTGTGGTCGTGGGCTGTGGTTGTGGTGGTGACGTTGATGTTGTTGAAGTCGCTGGGACGTCCTTGTGTAAGTCAGAGGCGGGACGGGACTACCTGAACACATGATACGCAATGAACTAACAAGATCTGTCGACCAGCCGAGGACCATACTGTATCATTTCAGACGATATAAAGATAAAATTTGTTTATTTACTTAGCCCCTGAATCTCAAGCACGAGGCATCTCTGCGTAACTTACCATCCTGCGGTACTCTGCCACCTCACTCCTCACAGCCTCATAAACCGAGGCCGCAGGATGTCTCTATCCTGCCAAAAGAAAGGCTGCCTCTGAAAGTCCCTATCAACCTCGTCCCTCCAACCCTCCTCGTACTCAGGCTCAGGCTGAGGACTGCCGCAAACAGCACGCCAAACCGCCACACATAGCAGCACAGGGATGCAAACCGCGAACGCGAGACCTGCCCCCGAGAACAAGCACACTATCAGAGGCGGCAGAAGCATGATCGCCCACATGAGTATCGAAACGTTGACGATGAAGGCGCGGGAGAGCGTGATGTACCCCGTCAGGCTTTCCGGACGCTCGTCGAACGAGAAACGGAGCCAGAGGAGGTAGGCGGCGAGGAGGGTGGCCGGGGGCAGGATGTAAGAGAGGTGAGGGATGTCGGGGAAGGTGGTGGGGAGGACTGGGATGACTTGAAAATAGGCTAGGATGCCGAGGATGACGACGGTGAAGGAGATTTCTCCGAGGAGTTCCTGAATGGCGGTCCACTGCATTATGTGCGAGTTCTGTCTTGTGATGGCTTGGTTGGTTGGGTTGCGGCTCTTACCTGGTTGCTGAGAATGAAATAGATTGAGACTCAGTGATTCACAACTGGCTCGGGTGAGCAAGTTGATATAAATGATGTTTCTCGAGCGAGTGGTATAGCTGTGTATTAGTCTTGTATTGAGACAACAATGAGCGATACAAAGAGTACGTTTGGTTGAACAGAATGCATTGTACTAAGTTCGAAAAGGTCATGTAGAAACAATACATTGTTCAAGTGTCTAAGCGCAACAAACAGTCTTTGTAGCTCGAATGACGCGCGAGGACAACAAATAAAGATTCACTGGACCAAAGCAACACTAAGGTAGACTATTACTTCAAACGAAAGACAGTTTCTGGGATTAGAAGTTACGATCTCAGTTATAGTCATTGGGGACCAGGAGGCCCGTGTGCGGACTTAAGACTGTTCCTGCATTATTTACATTTCAAACGGCTCATGAGGGTAATCTCTCATTCATAGCACATAGAATTGTCATATACACGCGCAATCTCGTGTGTTTCTCGCCGCAACTTTGACGTTGTCTCAAATCTGATCTGGAGCTACGATTCTGGGCTAGGATACGAGGATACTGCAATTCCTCTACACCAATAACTGTATGACCAGGATTAATCTTGCGTGAATGTTATGAAAGATGCGGCATGCTTTGTAAGCGAATGAGAGCGGGAGATGTAGCTCCTCGGTTATTGTTTCTAAAACAATGAAGGTCACTTTGGAATTGGTTTCGTGTGCGCCATACTCTGACCCCCAAACCCTAGAACTCTCTCCTTACGCTGTCGCAGTTGTTGCATTCTTTAATCAACCATCTTGACAGTCAAGACGAGAAGCCTCAAATTGTTCCCACTTATCACAGCAACTTGAAGCTTTTAGAAGCAGGTGATTTCGTGACGAGCAGTTTCAATTGACCACCAACGTGCTATTTGGTTCAGAATACAGCTCAAAGAAGTTATTTTCTTCACTGACATCCCAACAAGCTCCACCGCTTTACTCCGACTTCGCAAGATCGAAACGGTCAGGGCTGAGATACTGCAGAGCCTCCTCACCCGTAACACCCTCCAACACCTGGCCCTCGGCCAGACGGCAGCAGTAGCCGGGGAACTGCGAGTTGCTGGCGGCGATGTAGCCCCAAGGGGGGTCGCAGCCGTGGCGGCCGGCGTTGACGTTGTCTTGGTTGACCTGGTAGACGGCTCCTGCAGATCAATCAGTACTCCGTTGTTCTCGCCCCGAGAAATTGTTTTCTTACCGTTGGCGCACTGGCAGACTGTTGGCACACAGCAGCGAGGCGCGGCGCTGGAGGTATCATGTCAGTTGATGGATCGGAATTGAAGAGGAGCAACGGTGTGCATACAAGTAGTTGCAGCCGCTGGCAGTCTGGCGCTCTGAGAGCTCAGCCAGGGGGGTGGCAGTAGCCTGGACGGCCATGAAGGCGACCAGAGAGACAACGGTGGTGAACTGCATGATGATATTGGAGAGTTGGATGTCTTGGCTGAGAAACAGACGGAAAGTCGGAGAGAAGAGAGGTTACTTATATAGACACTGGAATGGATAGAGAGACTCTCCCAGAGAGATGATCACTCCTAGACGTAGACGACACTAGACTATCAAATTCAGTGCCACATAGGTGCAGACGCTCGCAAGGACGATGATACCAACAAACAAAGAGTTGATACGACTTTACTGCGGGCAAGGATACAGCACAGGGGTTAACTCAAGGTCTTCAACGAATTAGCTGGCGAAAGATGATGATCCTCTGTGATAATCGGCATGTTTTTGCCGTGTAGATGATTCCCTCGGCTGATGCGAGCGGTATCGCGGACACGAGGCTGCGGCGAAGTTGTGTCGTGGGACTAGCCCGAGGCATCCGTCGTCGTGATGGGGGCCAGTTGGGGAATAAGTCTACTCTGTCGAAAGGTCGATAGTGAGTGACAAGGGTAGCCTCCCAAATCCCAGTTCCAACAGCTCAACATGCCATTTCGTTCAGTTGCAACGGCAGCCTAGAAAAGCCTATGCATCGTGTGATGTGCGGGTGTGATGGAGTTTACCCGCGAGTCCAGTTCCTATCTTGAGCTGAGGGGTCGAATCCCTGCAACTCGAGTTGTATCTTTGTCCATTACCAAAGTCCTTAGTTGCGGGACTAGGAGGGCAAGGTCTATCCAGATCAGGAGACAATAAGCTTAATGCCAAGCCCGACCGATTGATGCTTAGTTGCGGCACGGCCCAGTAGTCGGGTAACTTCTGCAGTGTCTAGGCAGAGAGGTTACAGTGGCATAAGACTGCCATGCTTGTTTTGGTAGGTAATTCATAATAAGGAAGCGGGGACGTCAGCGAACTTCGACCTAGGTCGACACCTATTACCTTTGAGGAAGGTGCATGATGTGATCCTGGTCTTGTGCTCTGCAGCTTTGATGAATCTGACTACAGGCACACACCGAAGTTCCTTACGATGAGTTTCTCTCAAAGCCGGATAATGCGAGGTAACATCGGGCTATGTCAGCTCGTCAGACTTGAGCCCTGTCAACTCTACCTTTTCTTGGTCACATTCTCGCTCTTGCGATAGCACTAGACGATATCGAAAAAAGCAGACCGAGGGTTTAATTACTTCACAGCCAACTCAACTCACTCTGGAAGTCCATCCACAGCTTACCATACCCCTGAATTCCAGATGCGATCGTGCAAATAAGAGAGCAAGTACACCACATGTACTGTTCCGGAAAGGGTAAGACGGCCCCACCCGGGATCCCTGCTAGAAAGAGAACCCACCAATTACCATTTTGGAGAGCGGCGGCACGGATCTCGGACCCCGGGCCCCGGGCCCATCCCGGCCGGCCTACGGTTGTGGCGCCCGCTTCTTTCCGTCCACACCTTAGATGGACGACGCATGACAGGCGAACCGAACCGTTCCTGGATGATGGTTCACCACCATTGGGGGGGGGGGGCTGCAATATCATCCGATTTGATTAGGGCCGCTAGCCTCGCATTCTTCCGTTCTTTTGAGTCGCCGAAGGATCATCAGTGCAGCTCACTGCATAGAAAATCACTTTGTGGATGACATCAACTCCCAATCAATTGATCGGTCAGACGAAAAAGAACACAACTTTCGTGCCGTCACTGTCAAAAGTTCCAATGATTTGTGAGCCACCGTCGGGGAAAAACAGACAGAATGTATGTTCACGGAGAGTGTATGCAGAGGTCAAGCATAATTAATTAGATATGAATTTAATTACGTGATGACATCGGCCATCTTATGTATCCTTACTAAATGCTTCCACGCGCTTTCCATATGTTCTCTCTGGACTATGTGCTTAACCGAGCTGCTTGAGACCGAAGCATTCAAGTTCACCGTTGTCGTTTCCGATGGCATCGTCTGTGGCTCGGTCAGCTCAACTCTACACGGAAATCATTGAAGGGGAAACTTACTCAGGTTAAGGCCACTGAATTGAGTGTTTCCACCACAGTCTCTGCAGTTGCACTGGAACCATGATCCGCTGAGTGCACAGTCGAACTTGTCGCAGGAGTCTCCGTATCGTCCGCTGCGCACATATTACATTAGTCGGATGCACAGACGGTTCAAGAATAGAACGGGCTTACCGCAACGCAATGACAAGACGACCGCAAGAGTTGGCGAGGCACAGTTGCAAGTCGACGTGGCTAGACTTCCAAGAACCGTCGATGGCGCGGCAGTTGGCGTAGAACAGCGTGGGGTAACGGCTGTTCAAGCTGAAGGAGTTACAGGTCGCCGTGAACTGCGAGCCCATGAGCTCCATGGTCTGACGGGAGAAGAGGTTGGCGGACATGTCCGGCTCCGGCACGGGGTCAGGCACGGGGCTTGCTGCGACGCCCATGAAAGGCGCCGCAAGCGCAGCCACCGCGACGAGGACGAAGTTGAATCTCATGGCTGCGGATCTCTCGAGAGGCAAAGGCAAAGTGAATGCTTAGCTTCGGATTTGATGAGGTGGAGAGGTTGCAAGAGAAGTGGATGGTTGTTCGGGGCGGAAGTATCGGTAATTTATATACGTGCAAATACGGAAATCGAGGATTCGGATGGGCTAATATGACTCTGGCCCTTCTTGCAACCAAAGTTCCAAAGGGTCTGCAGGGCCGCCCGATCCCACATCAATAGTACATGCATGTGGAAGGTTACTGATTATTTGCCAAGGCGGCGATATGAACGCTTCTTTGCGGCACAGTATTACCGGTGTGCGGAACATTCAACGCTCTAGTCCGCTGGCCTCAATCTCATGTGCCGTCAATCAGACGCAGGAAAAGGCCTCAAGCGGATTGCTGTGCCGCGCCAAGCTTATAGACCGAACACACCAATAATGAAAGAAAGGATGTGACAGAAAGAAAAGCCCTGCTTGCTGATGATTCTTGCCGGCTTTCTGTGTTTCCTCCTCGCAAACCCTCTACGTTTTCCAATTTCTCAATATTGGTTGACTTGGCTGATTCAGGCGTCTTTGATGACTTCGAGAAACTCTTCAGTCTTTGGACCACATGCTTCCGAATTAGGGGTTGAAGACACGAGCGTCTGGTGAAAGTGGAAGCTATTACTGACTTCTAAACTTTCAACCTGGGGCACTGGGTATTGTGCAACACATGTAGTTTCCGCTGACAACAATTTAACCCTTGGGATGATATCTGCTTAGCCACCGGAGAGTGAGGAAATTGTAGTCAAAAGCTGAAAGCTATCATCTCATAAATGCCTTCAGATAATGTTAAACAGTTTTTGAGCTGCCACCGCTGTCGCTGTCGCCGTCGTCGCCGCCGCCGAACTCTGTCTGTTGTCTTGTCCTCCGTCATCGTCCCCCATGATCGTCCCCCGTCCACGTCCTCCATCGTCGTCCCCCGTCCCCTCCCCCCCGTGATCGGCTTCCGTCATTGTCCCCCGTCGTCCCCCGTCGTCCCCGTCGTCCCCCGTCGTCCCCGTCGTCCCCCGTCGTCCCCGTCATCCCCCGTCGTCCCTCGTCCCCCGTCATCGTCTCCCGTCGCCTCCCGTCATCATCCCCCGTCGTCGTCCCCTATCGTCGTCCCCCGTCTCCCATTCCCGTTCCCCGTCTTCCGTCATCACCGCTGACGTTTCCGTCGTCCTTACTCCACGTTCTCGATCTTGAACCTCAAATTAAGCCAGTTATCTTCTGGGTCTACCCCAAAGTCGAACTCGCCCGTACTAGACCAGACAGTAACCTCAGTGATCCTTTTCAACCCCAGTTTCGCTTTATGCTGCAGAAGGAAGAAAGCCACACCGGACCCATGAACGCTGCCGAGGATACCGAGGCCAGAATCTTGGTCCATCGTAAATGTGGCCCGCTTATCCCAGTCGGGCACCTTCTGATAGTCCGCGTTCTGAAGGGCTTTGGTGACAATATCAAAGCTTGGCTGGTAGGTGATGTGTGCCCGGAAGGCGTACTTGATATTGCCGGCACTGATTTTCTTCTCATCGCAAGCCGCCACCCATTGAAAGAAAGAAACGTCAGAAAGTTTCTCCAATTCAGGGACATCGCCTGCTCCGAACTCCTTATTGAAATATGAAGGACTGAAGTTTCCATCGAAGACGATTGCGCCGTCTGTTGGGTTGACCATCTGTCCGTATTCGCCGCCAGTCCCCTGCTTCCCTGTCAGTCGGGTCTGTCTTTGGTTTATTAGGAGGTGAATACGTGCCTGACCGGGTGTGCCGTCGGACTTTGTGAAGCTTTTGATATGCGTGTATGTGGAGTATCCATTGTTCTTCTTGTCAATCTTGACATCGGCGAACGCTTTATCCAGACTATCAGCGAACAGCGGGTCGCCGCCTGTCCAATCCGTGGCCGGATCATACCAGCCCCATCTCTCCAAAGCCGCTGCGTCCTGCCACTTGCTCTGCGATACTTTATCGGCGGGCTTGGAGAAGTCGCACTTTATGGTCTTGCCCTTTTCGACGCGACTCTCGTAAGTGGGGTCTGCACGAGCTGAAAGCCTTTTGGCATAAGGACGTAAGGTATTTCCAGACTCATATTCGCAACTAGCTAAACCTGCGTGAAGAAGTAGCCACAGAAGCAGCAAGCCGAAGCGCTTGGGGAGGCCAATTGGGCCAGGTCGGGTCGAGTAAGAAATACCGGTCATACTGAGCGTTCAGTTGGGCCGAATAAGCTGGGGACGATGAAGGGGGAAACTGGAGATGAAGGAGGAGGGCAGAGGAAACGGAGACGAAGAAGAGAGGAGATAGAGAGGAAGGAGAAGGGAGACCGAGAAAGGGAAGAGGGCGAGAAAGAATCGCGGAAACCCCAGCTTCTCACGGCAAGGAGAGATTGCAAATGCCCTCACTCGACAATCCGGAGCCCTCCATGTTATCTCACCTCACTAACCAGAGTTGAGAGTCATTTAGAAGTATTTCCATCACTTTCATCATGCAGACAGCTGAACCTACCCCTGGACGTAGGTTACCTCGCCCGTATGCCAGAGGCTGCTGAATGTTGGGGTCATATCCTTGCTACTGCTTACTTAGACGTGTGTGACATCCCCTGTCCATGAGTTCACGTGGAATCTTTGCACAACCCCGGAACGTTACATCACTGATAGTTAAATTGGACTTGAGTCCGAATCGGTACTATGGAATTATTGGTCCTTTGAGCTTATGGCCAAAAGCGCGTTGGGGGCCTAAACTCGATGACCCCTGGTCTACATATGCAGTTCTCATGTTATTGACTACTATCTCATGCAGTCTTGAACAAATCCCTTCCTGACATATCTCAACCCATGTAACCGAGCTTCAAGCCGAGATTCTCACATGTCCGGATTTCCGCGGTTGAACCGAAATCCGTTTTTCTGACAGTCCTCTTCCATGGCCATCTGTAATTCGGCAATGAGCTCCGGGCTTAGGAGACTTCTCCAGGTGAAAACTTGGTCGCCTGATGATGGCGATTGCTTACCGCCCTTGGAAGCATATGGCGTATACGATAGTTCCAAGGCTTCTAGCTTGTCTTGTTCCCAAATAGCCAGTCCCAGCTGACGGTACGGCCAGAACGGAACCCCACGGACGGGCGAGTACGGATTCTTCAAGAGCCTGACCACGTAAAACGTCCAACATGGTGGTTGGAGCTTTGATTCCTCCTCTCGTGACCATCTAGGGTCTTCCACTCCCGGCGAGACTGGGTCTTGCCACTCCTTTGCGGAATCGTAGTCTGAAGGAGGGGCCGGAAGACGCCGAGAGCCTTGTGAAAGAATTGGGCCGCCTTGGACATGTTCGACAAAGTCCACGACAGTAAGAAACTCCTCCTTCTGCCAAGTCCAGCCCTCAAAGAGGACGTCAGAGGTAATCTCGCCTTGACCGTTCTCCGAAGTCCAGCCCAAGCGACCTTCGGAGGCCGCGATGTTCAGGTCGAACAGCAGCTGCAATCTCCAAAACCCGCGCATCACGCGTTGCTCCTCCATCCAGCAAGATGGTCCGATGGGCTGTAGTTCGTACGTCTTCCCGGGAGGATTCTGGCGCCAAGGCTTTTCACGACCAGCGCCCCAAGCAAACGGGCCTTCGAGGTGAGCCGGTGTGACGGACGACCATCGGCTGCGGTAGTATTCGAGACAGGCCCATGCTAGGCAGCAGATGCGTCGCGCAGTCAAGAGCATGCCCCGGACGAGCTGAGGAGATTGGCCACGAAGCGAGCTCGCGAGGTTCGGTGCGGCTGAGGCGATAGACGAGGCCGAGCCGTCTTGGCATTTGGTGTACTTCTCGACAAAATCTGAAAGCGATGATGTCGGTGGGCGTTCTGGGGTTGCGGTGCGGATTAGGCCGACAAGGCGGACCAGCTCGACCACGTGGGGTGACATGGACCCGGTGAGTACATGGTCGAGAGCTTTCGGTCCTACTTCTGAGGACTCAAAGACGCGAGACGCGGCGGGGCTAGCCACGACGAGGTGATAGATTGATCGGAGGTCTGTGATGGAGAAAATAATCCGTTCAAGGATCTCGGTTGGGAGGTGGTCGAGATTGGCTTTCGCCGTTGATCGAGATGCCATGGCGAGGTAAGAGATGTCCAGATTAAGAGTCTCGATGTTGAAGAGGCCAGGAACATGATGCAGGCTGAGTGGGTTTAAATGCATCGACCTCGGACTCAATTGCAAGGTTTCTAGTTTGAACCAATCGGAGATGAATATTTTTCTTAGTAGGGTTGCAATACCATAAGCATTTCCTCATCTGATAAGGTTCAAATTTCACCGGCCTGCGGCACAGCACTTCAGCTCAGCAGCGCTTAGTTCGCTCCGAGACGGCCCGGTTCACAATATCGACGATTAAGGCATAGAAAGCGTAAACTGTGAGCTTAGTGCATGTCAGCGTAGCGTCGTGGGGCGACATCATGACCTACCCGAAGAGGAAGTGAAGCTTAGACAAGGGTTGAAGAGACATCGTGGGTACTTCGAGCCTTCAACCGGGGCGGACCCCTGTCGGCAGATTTTCAGGCACCGGCCGGGGGAGCTGCGATGCTCGGGGGCTACAGTCAAGACGACATGACCGTCATGTTAAGAACAAAGGCATAGTTCAGAGTTCACGCTTTGGGCGTTCGCACTTCATCCCAGAGACTCTGCAGGTTTTCGCGCGATGGCGTCCAAGGTGATCTTCTGGCTTGCAGCAGCTACGGCTGCGGTCGGGAGCATCACGAGTCTTCCTCCTCTCCCGTCTGGTTACAGCTCACCTGGTCTTCCGGCCGGTCGACCAATTGTAAATATTTTCTTCTCTGAAATTTATTTGCCTCATTTCTAGTTGATCCAAGAAAGACTAACATAACATCGTCTTTGTAGGAGGCAATTCCGTACATGGTGGATAACACCGGTAACACCCACAATGTTGCCCCTGATAAAGGTGAGATAGAAATCTACAGCTTCATTGCTTATCATGAATCTCACTTCTTCAGGAACACTCGATAAGCCGGTCACAACCAAGGAAGAACGGTTGCGACTGAAGAAGCCGGGCAATGGCTCCACCGGCTCCGAAGGCCCGGTCACCACCAAGATCGAGTCGCGGGAGTCAAACTCTCGCCGAGTCTTTGGCCCGGAGAAGCGCCAGGGTGGAAGTTACTGGTTGCAGGACATTACCCATGGACAAGTCAGTTGACCCAGATCAACAAATGGTCTTCGATCCATTCACTTACACCACATTCTTGCAGATGCCATTTGCACCCAGTGGATATGAATTCTTCAGAAGTAAGGGAAACTGCTACGCTACTCTTCACATGTCTAACTGGCCGATGTAGACGTGAAAGATTACGGAGCGGTCGGTGATGGCGTGACTGACGACACAGAAGCGATCAACAGGTAAGGGTTCAAAAGTCACGTCAATCTCGAACGCAGTTTCTGATCATGATTCTGTACACAGAGCCGCCTCCCAATTCAGCAAGTCGGATGATACCGAGAGGTGCGGAAAGGATTGTGGTCAAACGACGACACTTGGAGCCATGGTCTACTTCCCGGTAAGACAAACATACGTCGCAGGAGTTTGCGATCAGACGGACTGTTCTAGGTGAATCTGACATCCAGCAGCCCGGAACGTATCTGATCAGCGCGCCTATTATTCAGTAAGACCCATGATTAGTAGCCAACTTCGAGTCCATTAGACTAATAGTCTTTCTTCAGATATTACTACACTCAGTTTGTTGGTGATGCCGCCAACAGACCTACCATCAAAGGAGCCAAGGACTTTACTGGAATTGCCCTGATTGATTGTGACCCCTAGTACGTAGCAATCTGACGAGGAAGAATCGGAGTTTCTCTTCGCCCAGGCCGGACTGACCCATGAAATAGTATCCCCGAAGGAAATGGCGCCAATTGGTACATCAACCAGAACCGTGAGTCGCAACCTCAATTATTTCTCCAACGGATGTCAATAACCGATTGACTCAATGAGATGCAGAGTTCTTCCGGCAAATTCGCAACTTCAGACTCGACTTGACGGCAATGAATCGCACGAACTATGACCACGACCAGGAATACGCTCCTACCGGTATTCACTGGCAAGTGTCGCAGGCAGCTTCGCTTCAGTACATCCATTTCGAGATGCCCGTATCTGACGCAGACGGCTCCACAACGGCGGTCGGAATCTTCAGTAAGTGCTTTCCGCTCCTCAGTTCTCTCTCGATGTCTTTTGCCAGGTCAACTCGATGTGCTTGAGCTGGCGACTCAGACCACGTTCTCGATTTGACTTAATCGTTGAGAAAACATATCTTTTCGAATACCTACTGATATCTCTTAGTGGAAAATGGCTCTGGCGGTTTCTTGAGCGACTTGACCTTCTTCGGCGGCAACATCGGCTTTCGAGCGGGCTCGCAACAGTACACAGCTCGCAACCTGCAGTTCACGTCCTGCCTCACAGCTATCTCCATGATTTGGGACTGGGGATTCACGTGGCAAAACATTTACGTGTACAGCTGTTGGGTTGCTATTGACTGCACCAGTGTCGGAGGAATCGGTAACCAGGGAACCGGTTCAATCACCGTGCTTGGTAAGTCCCAGGTGAAATGCGTATTCGAGATGCGAGATCTCTGACAAAGAACAGACTCTCACTTCAACGGTGTCCCGTACCCCATCACGCTTCGTAACGGAGGTCCTCACCCCAACATCGTTTTGGACAATCTTCTGGTCGAGAATTCCGCCAGCATTGTTTTGGTTTCTGGGGGCGAGACGATTTTCGAAGGTAAAAACTAGCCACCCGAATGCTAATGACTTTTCTGACATCTTCTTCAGGTTCCTCAGGTCAGACGTTTTTCACATCTTGGGCTATGGGCTCTCGGTGCTCCAGCAAGAGCGGCAAATGCTCATACGAGACTGGCCTACTTGATCCTGCACCAAGAAAGCCACAGAGTCTCCTCGACGGGTCGGGTAACATCTTTGCCAGATCCAAGCCCACTTATACCAACTACAGCCCCTCCAGCTTTGTCGTCGTCACGGCTCAGGGTGTGAAGAACGATGGCACTGGCGATCAGGCAGATGCTATCAATAGCATCCTGAAAAGTGCTGCGGCTGGCGGGCGACCAGTTTTCTTCCCTTCCGGTGTCTATCTTGTCGAGAAGACTGTTTTCATACCTGTGGGGTCGATCATTATTGGCGAGGCATGGTCTCAGGTACGTATAACCTTCCTCCCGAGGCTCACAAGTTGAGAATCTGAGACTGATTTGAATTGCAGATAATGGGAACCGGTTCTTTCTTCTCAGACGAGAGCAAGCCTCAACCTGTCATTCGGTAAGGCTCGCCATTTTCAGCCACTTCAACTGCGAGACACTAACAGCTTGCAGCGTCGGCAACATTGGAGATTCTGGCGTTGTTGAGATCTCAGACATGTTGTGGACAGTGAAGGGCGGCACTGCTGGAGCCATTCTCATGCAGTGGAACGTCCACGAAAGCACAAAGGGAAGCGGTATGTCTTGATCCTTGCCCCCCACCATCTATGTTTCTACATTTTGCTAATTCTGCTTTGAATCAACAGCTGCGATGTGGGACTGTCATTTTCGTGTGGGCGGTGCTGTTGGAACCGATCTGAGGATCGATGATTGCCCCAAGTCAACAGGCGATGCGAAGAAAGACTGCATCGCCGCCTCCATGCTGTTTCATGTCACCGCTCGTGGTTCTGGCTACTTCGAAAACGTCTGGGTCTGGTGAGTTACAAGCTTCTATTCATGGGACCTCATGACAAGACGACTAACGGTGGACTTTGCTAGGACTGCTGATCACGACATGGATGTTGAGCATCGCTACATCGAGGATGGAAACACGACCACGTCTGCGCAGATCAACGTCTACACAGCGAGAGGCACTCTCATTGAGTCGCAAGGTGACTTTAGCATCAAGATAAAACGAGGTGTCCGTCGACTGACTTTCACCGACTGCAGGCCCAACTTGGCTGTACGGAACGGGATCAGAGCACCACGTGGTATGTCTCTTGCAATATTAACCCTAACGAGCATCACTAACAGACTGAAAGCTCTACCAATACCAGATTCAGAACGCTAAAGACGTCTTCCTCACCCACATTCAGACTGAGACTCCTTATTACCAAGCTGGTCCAGATGCCCTGAAGCCCTTCAAGGTTGGCAGCTGGTCTGGTGACCCCGACTTCGGCGACTGCTCGGAGAAGTACTGCAAGGAGGCATGGGGCCTCCGAGTTCGCAGCTCTTCCAATGTCTTGCTGTACACCGCCGGTCTCTACAGCTTCTTCCAGGAATACGATCAGGCCTGCCTCGACACAGAAAGTTGCCAGGAAAGACTCGCAGAGACCAGTTTCAGTGAAGGCCTTTGGTTTTACAACATCTTCACCAAGGGCGGAGTGCAAGTGATCACTCCTCGCGGTGGAATCCCTCCATTGATGCAGAAGGGCACTGATCAAGAGTGAGTCTTGTCAATTCCGTAATTATTCGCCAAACAGACACTAATCACAGTGATCCAGGGGTTTCACGACGGAAGTAAGTGCCTGGCTTGTTCTTGCGCTTGACGGTGGCGACTTGGGCGGTGACGGTGGAAACCAAGAATCTGGCTCGGATGTTGTCTACATTGACTCCAAGGTCTTCGTCTCACCAAGCCCAACAGTGGCGTGCTGGCCACCTTGCACATTGGTCTGGCCATCCTCGACCATGTCTTCCGCGACGACGATCAGATTCGACCCCATCGACACAACAATAACGATCGGAGGCTCGACGGTTACCAAAGTCACTGTGTCTGAAAGTAAGTCTTTTGGGAACCCCCCAAAGCTGGCAAGCGCCGAGTCTGAAACGTAACTAACGTGTACCCAACAGTCACCACCACGGTGGTCAGTTTCTTTGACCAGACCATCGAAAAATATGAGACGTCGTCGACCTTTGCTCTCGTCCCGAAGTTCAAGCCGCCACCAGTGACGATCTCCGTCGGCGGCACCACGACGACTGTGACGGTGCGCCCTTTGTCTACTTCGAAGCCGGCATCAACGACCACCGTATTCTACTCTCTCGGAACCACGACCACTGTTTCTGGCGGTACGACCTGGACATACTCCATTGACCAAATCACCTCACTGAGCACTTTGGATGGCTCAACCTCTACCACTGTCACAATGACGAGGTCGCAAAGCGACGATGACGATGACGATGATGACGACATTATAATTTTCCCCGTCTGGCTTGGCACCGGAGGCTTCTACTGGTCTCCTGTCTGGCCAACACCGCTTCCCACCCCTCCGCCTAAACCGCCAACGCTGCCGAAACCCCCGCCTGTTCCCACCGTGCCGTGCTTCAAGTTGTTCGGAATCTTCTCCATCATGTGCCCGCCAGACAAGTCCAAACCGACGACAACATTCAAGACTGGTGCCCCTGAGCCAACTTGCACCGGCAAATGCGGTACTAAAGATGATGGTGACGATGACGATGACAAGGAGTCTTCAACGTGCGCTACAGCAACTTCCACCGAGTGCCACAACAACTGCAGAGAGACTCCTTGCCGACGCGTCTGCAACACTTACGTCGGTTGTAGCTGTCCCACACAGACCGTCACGAACCATTGGGTGTCTTGTTCGTCCACCTCTTGCACGACAACCAGCAGTAACGTTGTCACGGGCTGCTATGAGACGGGCAAGGCGACTACTACAGGAGACTACTGTCCACTTGCGACTGCCGATCCCAATGAGGACCAAGGAACAGACGGGAAGAGACCCAATCCCAGTGTTGGTACCGTTACCAAGCCACCTGTGGTCATCATTGGCGACAACGCGTATCCCGTCACCTCAGGCTCGGTCTACATTTCTGGAACTTGGTATGGTGCCCCCTCGGTCGGTTCGGGATCAACAATCACCACCACCATCAACGGTCAACCAGCTACTGTCTATCCCGGTACTACCAGCCGAGGCGTCATCATCAGCACTCCTCCCAACTCGGGCCCAACTCCTCCACCGAACAACCCTGGCCCCTCCCCAACAACTACAGCCGGAGGAGGAGGAGGAGGAAGCACCCCTGCCAAGCCAACTGCCTACCTCGAGGCAGCTTTCGGACAGTACTGGCCAAGCAATGTGCTGTTCCCGGATAACAAATTCCGGTTCTATGGCCACAAGTACGGCGACAACTACGATGTGTGCGACGCCACAGCGCTATTCTTCGTCGACGGAGATGTTAACACTGCTAACACACCGTACCCTGATGGATCGTTCAAGATACCTTCGTTCGAAGGCAACAACGATTGCGTGTATGTGGGAAAGAGAGACGCTGCGGGCACTCTGAACTGCGCTGGCTTCAAGAGCCCGGTCAAGTGCTTTGACAACTTCTATGAGCGCCTGTGCTACGAAACGTCGGCTCCGATTCAGATCTGGTTCAAGGCTAGATGCGAATGGGGCCCCGATCAAATGAGTTCATCTCCCCGGCTCCCGTCTGATCCTGGAAGCGGTCTTCAACCCGGTGTGGGCGGTGGCTGCGGCTGGAGTACAAGCGAGAAGGGTAAGGTTGAAGAGGAGTGTCCAGTGAGACCGACTACCTCGTCTTGATGTTTTTAAAGTCTCGACTAGGTCTGAGTTTGAGGAAATTTGCCGGTTACACTATACAGCATCACACGTAGACATCACAAGAATCTGTCTTTCAGCAAGTCGTTTCTTCAGGTAATCAACCCAATACATCGACGCAATTTCATTCCTGTAATTTAAGGGACGTAATCATTACAATCCAATAAGACAGATATAAGAACTACAGTGTTGAGGGGGTGAGTTATATGTCCACGTCTACCGGACCATTCCCCGGCAACATGTATGAAACGGGGGAAACATTCGACCTGATAAGCTGTTGTAAAGCCCTCGGAGACAGCTGAAAGCAAGAAAGAGAGACTGAACCATTCATACTCAGTACCAAATCAACCGAAAGCTCATTTGCCGAAATATAGACTTAGCTTGTCGCTGTTGGTGGGGTGGCTGTCTCGTCCTCCTCGGGACCCTCTACTTCAGGATCGCAATAGCTCTCATCCAGAGTCTGCAAGCTAAATAACCTTTGCCTTTGAGTCTTCTGACTTTCCAGCCGAAACACGTTCTCAGTCGCTGTCTTGATCTCATTCGTGAAAAACACGCGCTTTCCGTGCGTGTGCAGAAGCTCTACCAGCTTACTCCGGTGTGCATCCATGTCGAAGCATTTGGTCTCGAAGACACGAAGAAATATGCTTGGCGTTATGAATATCGATGGATCGTGCTTCAAAAGCATCGCAAGTGTGTCCAATGCCTGAAAAGACTTCTCAATACAGCGAAGAACAACCCTAGGGCTGAAACGAATACCTGCATCGAATTGTGTCAAGAGCCGCAGGATGGGTAACTTTTCATTCGTGTCCAACCGAGAAATGGAGTCGACCACTTCATCCGAGATCTTCATTTTGGAATCAAGGTGCTCGAGCAAAATCTCCATGTCAGTTTCGCACCTTGCTTCTCTAAGCATTGTCTGCGTAACGCGTAGGCGAGAATCGCGCTGGAAGAGGCTCTCAAGGGTGCCGTGATCATTGCCCCATCTAGTCGGATGGCGATGACCTAGTTTCAGCGCTTGAAGCACGACTGCTTCTGCAATGCAGAGCTCGCGGTCGAAATCCAACAGCCGCTTGATCGAAGTGATTGATGATTGTAAACGCAGATCATCTGTTGTAATTGTGACATCAGGGTAGGCTGTTGGCAAGACCGTCTCCTTCGTGCCCACTGATCTGCTCCGTTCTTTCAGCAGATCTATCGTATCGAAGCTGACTGTCATGCTCAGTAAACGACATATCACGTCGCGATAATCCTCGTCAAGAGACAGTAGCAAGCTTAAAGTACTACTGGCGCTGAAGCCGGCATCTGCCGAGACGGCTGCTAAGTCTTCATCGCATATGCGCAACTTGACAAGCTTGGCAAGAACTTCCAGAGGTGTTTCGACCCGCTTGACAGATGGATCCCATTGCTTGTGGCGCAATTCAACGTTGTTATGACTTTTCAGCGCGATTGCCACCACTGTACGGCCTTGATGGTCTCGAACATCATCATCTGCCCCGTGTTCCAGCAGCATGCGAGTAATCGGGCCGTCGCCTAAAGCACAGGCGTAGTGTAGGGCTGTTCCATATCTTCCGTGTATATGTGTCGGAACTACAGCGTTGTCGAGGATCAGGGAGACGATGCTGGTGTTCCGCCCATAGATGGCGGCAAAGATAACCTTCTCAAAGTGTCCGGATGTTTCGTCAATGCTGGCACCGTTTTCTGTCAGGTAAAGTACCATCGTTTTGTCCCCCAGTGCACATGCGATATGTATAGGCGACCCTAGAGGCCTTTCAATTCCCGTGACGCTTGCCCCGTGGGCAACTAGAGTCTTCAGTATCTCCATGCAATCCGAGAACCGTAAGAAGCTTGTGGGAGCTGGCCTTTCGACTAAGTCGCCGAAGAAGTATGGCAATTTCTTTGGAGACATGAATTTAGGGAGACAAAGTTTGGCAAGGACGGCCTGCATGTCATCTTGGTTTGTTTTGTCGACCTTGGCGCCCAGAATAGGTGCGCTATAAGACTCGAGGACACTGATCAGGGGCGATCCATGTTTTCCGCTTTCGCAGTCGATCTTCGCTTCGTGCGAAATGAGAAGCTTGACGACATCTAGCCGCAGGTGCAGAGCCGCAACCTGAAGTGGGAAGTCACCGCTTTTCCCTGCTGATTGGTTGGCATAAACCTTTCCTTCATTCAAAATGCCTTTTATCGTAGCTACTGATCCTATTGCGCAAGCATTGAGAAACTGTGCCGCCGTACAAGAGGTGTAGCTGAGGAGAAGTTTCATGCAGGAATCGTCGGCGACTTCGAAGGCTTCATCAAGAGCATCCTGAGAATTCTCAATGTCTATGACCCTTTCAAGAAGAAATTCGATCATTTTGAGGTGTCCGAGACGACAAGCAGTGGCGAGTACGGTTGTCGGAATAGGGGCTTCCACGGCCAATAGCTCTTGCATAATTTCGACGTGGTTGTTGCGAACGGCGGAATTCACGGCCGCTTCAGCTCCAACTCGATCTCCGGCTGAGAGCAAGTAGCGCAACACCTTGAGATGACCATAACGAGCGGCAAGCTCCAAAAGTGCACCAAACGTCTCACCACAACTATCAATGGCGGTACCGAAAGACAGCAACAATATGACCACATCCAAGTAATTTCCAGCAGCGGCTGCATGAAGCGGACTTGCATGTTCCTGTCTCCAGTGATCTTTGCCTCTGACGTTGACGGCTGCACCAGAACTGATTAGGCTCTTGACAATACCGAGGTCTCCATTTCCTGCCGCAGCCATCAACGGGAACTGGGATGTCGTAATATCAAGATTGGGATCTGCCCCTTTGTCCAAAAGCATCTGCACGATACGCGAGCTTCTGGTTTCCACTGCCAATTGTAAGCTACTCATAAGCTCAAGTTCGGAGGCTTCAAATTGTGGACTGTAGCAATCTTGTGGAATGGGAAACCCCAACTCCAAGTCTGCTCCGTTCTCAAGAAGCACTTGGACGATGCTTTCAGAACCATTTACGAGCGCTGCCCGCAGTGGCGTTTGCCATAATCCTTGCAGCAGGTTCACTTTGGCGCCGGCAGTGAGTAGCCGTCGTATCATTTTGGCGTGACCGAAGCGAGCCGCAGCCTGAAGAGCAGTGCCATAATAGTATCCAGTGGCGTTCACGTCAGTGCCACGGCTCAGAAGAAGATCGACGAAACGGTGGTCGTCGATGACAACCGCCATTTGTAAAACAAGAGCCCATCTGGCATCTGTAGTTTGCAAATGTGGCATGAGAGACAGCAGGAAAAACGCAGCGGCCCCAGGACCCTCTTGAAAGACGTATTCAAGTGAGGGAGCAACTAAAAAGCGGCCATCTGGATCCCTAAAGCAAGAGTCGAAAGTCTTCCTCGAATCATCTCCTTCAAAGAAACAAAGTATTCCATCGAGAAGATGAATTTGCTGGTCATGGTCCTCGGGAACAGCTGATCCAGCGTCGAGCAATTGGCGAATCAAGGATAGCGTTGATAACTCTCGCCGGGCAACGATAGATATCAGTGATCTCTCGCGAATTCCAGAGTCTCTCAGCTTGCTGCGATGGGCATTCAGTGCAATAAAATGACTGAGAACATGTTCTGAGCAGTATTTCGCGGCCAATTGCATCGGAGAAAGTCGGCGCTCCGGATGGAGGTTGACGTCAGCACCCCTTTCCAGCAAGCAAATTACAACCTGCTCTTGCTGATGCTTGTCGGCTTTTTTCACATCTTCTCCGAGCACAACGAGACGTCGACTATCATGTCTTGATGTCTCGAACCTGGAGAATGCGCGCAGGGCCGCGTATAGTGGCGAAATGTTGACTGCCTTTGTTTGTTTGACTCGGTGCATTTTGACAACTGAAGAGTTAGATTCAGAAGATGATGAGCAGTCATCTGATGAGCAATCATCCGACGAAGAGTCCATGTCGTAATGAATGAGATCATCCGCCGGCATAGCGTTTGTGAGAATCGAATCGAAATCTTTGTCGGGGGTCTCAGTATTAATATAGGTGAAAAGCTCCAAGATGAGGTATTTCACAACCTCAATATGCCCATGATGGGAGGCCACCGTCAGAGCGCGACTGGCAGCTTGCGTAGCTGGCGGCAGCAATTCTGTCTTGTAAGTGCCCAATGTCTTCATGATGTGTATCCAGCCACCGGCTGCGGCCGCAACAAAGACGTCTTCGCCTGACAGCTGAAGCTGCTTTCGAAAAGATGGTGTTTCGAGAAGGATTTCCATAAGCCCGAGATGTCCATAGAGGGCGCATGACAGAAGACCGTAATGCATCTCCGTACTCGACAGCAACTTATCATGCTCTTTAGCAAGCATTTCAGTCACAATGCGTGTTTCTCCGCTCTGACAACTATTGTTGAATTCCGTAACCATTGAATCCCAACTTACTTCGCCCCTGTCAAACCTTTCAGTCGTCGTAGAAATGGTTTTCTCGAGTTCAGCATAATGTTTCTGGGAAAAGTGTTGCGAGGAGAAATTGAGCACAACTTCAACGATGCCCGCTTGTTGCTCGCGATGCGCTGCACTAAGTGCTCGCTCTATTAGCGATCGGCACTCAGTAGGGCGTTGGCTTGCTACGTGGACCATCAGAAACTTCACGATGTCGGCCTGGCCATTTGCGGCAGCATCGATGAGTGCACGATCAATTGTGCCGTTCGGAAAGTTTAAGACACCCTGGTGATCCACGAGTAATTGTGCCGTGGCTTTACTACCCAAAAAGGTAGCAGAACTCAAGTCTGAGTGATACGATGGGTGAGAAGTCTCATCGGTGCTCGAATACTCCATGGCGGTGGACCGGATCGAGACCGAAAAGTTGCCAAGGGCAATTTTGAAGATTGCATGCATATCAGTAATTGGTGGTTTTGTTGGCGGCTTCGTTTCGATCTTGTTCTCTGTAGTTGAAGTTCGCATTCGGCCCGGAAGCCCCTGAGACTGCCTTCGTCTTGGTGAAGCATCTCTAAGAAGAGCTTTAAGCGGAAGCAATCGATCGGTCGACTTTTTGCATGCTGCCTTTGAAGGCTGATTACGGTACCTGAAGCCTTTCCGCAGCATCAAAATGATTACTTCCTGATGACCTCCTTTCGCAGCTGCGTGAAATGCGTCTTCAGTAACTTTAAGTTCACAAGTCTTTCCCTCGGCATCGAGCAGAACCTCTACTGCGTCAACATGACCATGATATGCGGCGGCCACTAACGCTGATCCGTAAAAGCCGGCATTGCGGTTCATTTTAGCTCCTTCTTGAATGAGAACTTGCACGATTGAAGTATGCCCGTTTGTTGCCGCAGCCTGAAGCGCATCGCCCATGGACCCGCAAGAATCAATCTGCGCACCTCTGTCCAAAAGCAGCCGGACCAGGGACTGATAATTGAGTAGCGACGCTACTCTAAGAGGGGACCCAAAGGTACCTTCTGCTTCCACATCGAGCCCTTGGTCCAGTAGAAACTCTACGACGCCTTGATGGTTGTGTAGTGTTGCAAGCGCGACGCCATTAGCAGGTAGGAGGTCTATGTTGCCAGCGTTTTGGCCAAGAAATTGGCGTAAGATACCGATTTGTCCACCCTTTATGGACATCTCTATTTTTCTTGTTTTCTTTTCCGGATCGTTCGCGATCAATGAAGAAAACGGCGAGGCTTGAAGCTTTTGAACGACTTGCACAAAACCCACAAGAGCGGCTTCCTCCAGTGCATTCTCATGATCATCTTGACTATTGATCACTGAGGCGAGCTCGACAAGAAAGAGCGCAACCATTTCGCGTCTGCCTCGACAAGCAGCTTGGAAAGCGTTCCTGAACACTGAGCCACAGGAAATGTTCGCACCAAGCTGCAGCAGCAATTCAGCAACGTCTATATGCCCCTCAAAACATGCAGCGTGTAAGGGGCTGCCATGTCTCCCACACTTGATGTTCAGATGAGCTCCAAGGCCTGACAGCGTCTGGACGCTTTCTCTTTGCCCAAGTGCCGCCGCAACATAGACTGCTGTGTGTCCAAGTTCGTTTGTCTGGTTGATGCCCACATCCTTGAGGTTTGATAAGGCTTCCTTTAGAATGCAATTCAAACCAAAAGTGCTGAGACAAAACAAAAACCCTGAGTCGGAAAGTGATATAGCATCCAGCGCTGGTTTCATGGGATGACCTCTTGGAAGAAGTGGGACGAGGTCTCGGATATTTCCCATCCAAGCGTCAAAACTAAGTGTCGTTTCCCATTCTTCATCAAAGATGAATGATTTGACGTCTTCCATTAAAACTTTGGTTGACACGGCATTGCCCAATCGCGCCGCAGTTTCTGAGTGTATCGGCCAGTACATGGCCGCGTAGACGTAGAAGTCTTCGCTCGGTATTTCCAGAGCCTTGCCAGTGCCAGATGCTGAGTTCATTCCGCGTGAACAAGCATCGATGCACATAGACGCCAACATGTTGTTGGCAATCGCAGGGTCAAATGTCTCGTGTCGCATCAGGAAGTCCTGGACCGATTGATGTGCTACACGCAACACGTTGCAGTTGGAATCGAGAACGACAAAATTGGCACAGATCGCCAGCACCTGGGGCAATACGAGCGTGGAGTGTTTCCCAGCGGCCAAAGCTGCTAAGAGAGCGCCAGGAGTGAGGGGATCTCGCATGTACAGAATACATGACAGTACCCTGACCGCAATATCTCGAGCCACCTCCCCAGAGTTGAGCATATGGTTCAAGGACTCCTGGTAAAGGGCGTTGATGCCATGAGGTAGCTTGTCTTTGAGGACTGCCACGATATCTTCTTCGACAGTCTCTCGGCATACTCGCTCGAGCTGAAGCTTTGCCCATAAAAACCTAGATTTGTCAGTTAAACGGAAATAATTCAGTTCGGAGGGGAAGGATTTGGTAGCGGAAAGGGGAACTAGAGGAAATCATAACGTACATCTCACCAGCTCCATTGACAAGTGCCTGCTTCAACATTTCCCGAGTATCGGGACACGGTCTGCCATCAAGAAGCAGCTTGCTTGTCACAGCTTTATTGACCAAGTGGTCAATGAAAGCTTCCATGTCTGCTCGGGTTTCCTGACTGCTAGTCTGGATCTCGAACTCGTGAGTTGGCTTCGCAGCTGAACGGCTGGTAGTTCTGCTAGAAACGAAAACTTTGACCACATTGTCGGCTTTCTTAACAAGTTCCTCAAAAGCACCAATGAGATCAGGCCTTTCAGAGTCCTCAACGCTGTCAAGGCCGTCCAAGACTATTGTCAGAGGATCTAGTTCAGCCAATTCTAGCATGAGTCTCACGCAGTCTTTCACCCGCAACTTCGCCATATCCATCTTGCCGGCTCGGGCGAGCGCAGTTTGTCTCTCGTATTCCGAGCACAAGAAGTCCCTCATCTTCGTACGATGTGATGAATCGATTGCAAGCTGAAAGAGAATGGTTCTCATGATGTCATCTGCAGAGCTACGCGACTTCTCCGATCGGGGATTTGCACAGTAAAAGTAAGCCAGAGGGGCTGGGGTGACGGCCTGATTGGTACTGGATACTGGCAGCAAAGAGTCAATGACCACAGAGCATAGGGTAGATTTGCCAGAGCCGGGAATTCCATGAAGCAGTAGCAGAGACGATGAACTCGACAACCTCCAGTTCATGAAGCTCGGGTGTTTCAAAAGCCATTTACCGGCGCTGGGAAGTCGGGATTGAGTGATGAACTGATGATGATGGTAGTACGGGGCCACAGTCAGCCATTCGAGAATTTGATTGAATCTTTCTTCGGACAAGGACTGGGATGATTGCGTCGTGAGTCTCGTGAAAGCGGCCTCAAGGGAACGCAACGTCTCTGCGTCTGAAAGTGATGCGAATGCATCCACTTCTTTTTCTCGTTCGACCAGAGCCTTCGCTCGTGTGTCGTCAACTGTTCGAAACGGGCTTTTCAGAATGCGAGCTGCCTCCTGTTAGAGCTCACCCAGAACACTCATAGAAACCTTGCACGGAACTCACTGACGGATCTCTCATCATAGAACTGCACAGCGGCGGCCAGATGTGAGAGTATCTCGGCGTAAAGGCGAGTCAAGGCATCCTCCAATTTCAGCTCCGCCTCAGATTGGGATCCTCGTAAGTAGAGTCCTTCGAAAACCCGATAGCGGACTAGCATCCGAGAGATGTTTTCAACTGTCGGGCGAGTTAGCCTCAGTCGGGATGACGTCTGAGCACACCAAAAAATGACGCCCACTTACGGTCATCGGCCATCGCGGCGAACACTTGAACTTCAGATACAGCCATCTGGAGTAGAAATCGAACTGCCGCCCATGGCAGCGCCGCATGGGTTGGGTCGTACTGAACCATGGTGTCTCCTGTCTCCTTGAACCTCTGGATCCACGACACGATCTTCTCCAGCAAGTCTCGCACGATGACAACTTCGCCATTCGATCTGGTAAACTTCCATCTCTTACGCAAAGACAGGGCTCTCTTGGCTTCGGCTTCGTCGAGAACGGCTTGCTATATCTTGAATTAGCGTCTGGATTGTGGAAGACACTTGCTGCTCGTTTGGTCACTGGATTCGGGAAAGAGAGCACTCACTAGGACATCACGCTTCTTCGTTCTCGTGCTATTGATGATCTTCTGGACGTCAGGACTTAGGCTTTGAAGCGCCCTGTCCCAAATACTTGGATTAGTTCCCATGTTGTCGGCCTAGAGCAATAGTGGGCCAGTTGAGTTTGACATGCCCGGCACTAGACGCTAGTAGTTCTGGTTCTGACCAGCAAAGAAGGCTTGTGGACAGGCAAGTGCGAAATAGTAGAAGAAGTTAGGAAGCAGAGAGAAGTCCTGGATGCCTCACAATTCTGACCCCGCTTTGCTGTACGTGCGTGTGTGTCTCAGTTCTCGGTGAGAATGAGGCTCATTCTTACTTGGCGAGGTAATTGACTGGACAAAAGCAAGTAAGCAGAGGGCTCAGCCACCCCTTGCATTGTACGCAGGTTCAGCTCACAGCAAATCCATAGAATGCCTTAAGTCAACTGGACCAACTTTACCCTAGTCTCACCTTTTTGGAATCGCACAAACCCTCTCAACGCGATTCTTCGAGCATAATGTTGCACGGAGAACCCGATCTCCCGCCGCACCAGGCCGGAACCCACACGGCTAGTGGGTCCGGTGACGGAGAGCCGACCCCGCCCATCAACACTGCCGAAGTACCTCGCCACGCCATATATCCAAGCATGTAGTCGAGTCACTTGATGCTCACGTCGAACGCCGAAATAAATAGACATTTTAAATTATTGGATGACTTGAAGGGCATGATCGATCGTCGGAATGTTCATTTGCTGGCCTCGAACAAGCTGCAGAAAACAACAGAAACGACGATTGAATGTCATAGGGCGGGAGGTACTGCCTGGATCAACATTGCAAGGCTGCAATGGCAATGCATTATCACGTTTGCGTCCCTTTCGAGGGGAAACTACACGGAGAGATGCCAGTCCCCATATTAGTTGGGGACCAAAATCGCAGACTGCAGCAATAGCATTCCATTCGTTGGTGCATGTGTCTCTTGGCAACGGGTAACTGCAGACAAACAGCAGGAGACCTGCCACATCAGCACCCAAGATAAAGAGGATTGCACAGCAGATTTTTGCTGAAAACTGGCAGATACCCCAATGATTCTCTGGTTCTTGTGCTCCCTCAACTTTTGTCTTCTCGTTCCACTGCATTATTCTGTCGGAAAGCTTCCTCGGCGCCACCATCATGGCGCCTCTACCCCCATCTCTCTTAGACTTGTACTGCTCCTACAAAGATTCTACGAACTACGCTCTCGCTTGGATATGGCTTAACTGCCGAACTAGCGCTGCCGTTCCTGCAGAGGACAGCTTCAAGAACACGGCGGAGATCATCGATGCCGCAAAAAGAGTCCAGGACCAGAAGAAGGAAGTCCCTCAGTCCGTCCTCACAGCGCTTTCTGATGCTATCAAGAACCGTAAGAAGGTCCTTGAGATCTTTCGAGGTCTTGAGGTGTCCGCAACCTCCAAGAATGACGCCAACAGCGATCAAAAGCATGCGATATTCATCGAACGGTGAGTATTCTTCCCTAATTTCGCTGTCCGTTTGACGTCATGTTTTGGCTCCAAAGAAATTTTGCCCACATTTGCTATTCAATGTGCTCACTTAGAATGCCAGGTTGACCAACGTTTTTGATATTCTGCTTCCACTGCGGGCGGCGAATGCAACAAACCCGCCAGCACCCCGAGATGAAGCCCGCATGTTGCATACGATCAACCGTTTTGAGAGCCTTGAACTTCTTCAAGATATCGAACCAGCCGAATCCGACGTCGTGGTCGGCAACGGTCCTTCAGAGCCTCCAAAAGCCCAGAAACAGCCGGAAATCGCCCCCAAAGACGAAGCGAGATACGTCTATGAATTTCTGGACAATCATGACCTTGTTCATGTTCTCGAAGACGATGATATTGGAGAGTGGCTGGAGCTGACCTTCTTCATCTATGTAAGAGCTTCCAGATCGACTAGACATCTATTTCATGCACACTAACAAAAGCCAGGAGTGGGACTCTATCTGCAAATTTGCCAACGATTCTTGGGTCGAAGCAGCGGAAAGCAAGATCTCCATCCTCATGGCCGCCTGGGTCACGAACATGGCCTTCATTCAAGCTTCAGCAGTTGTCGAACGCAGGGTGCGCAGAGTCGCCAAGACCTATGATGAGCTTGTGGAAAAGTGGATGTTCCACAAGGACAAGGACATAACAATCACCTTCCAGGACGAAGAAGGTCTGTTGGACCAGGGCAATGGACGCTTTGCCAATGTACAGGGTCTCTGTCATCCTGGCGAGGTGTTGCAGTATCGTCGCACCAAAGGCAAGTACAAGAACGTCCGCCCTGAGGCCGCCGACCGCAGAGATCCTGCGAGTATCATCCAGCCGCCGTGGGCTTGGAAGCAGGCTAAAGAAGATGCCGACATCGTCCATGATGACATGGCCTTCGACATGTTTCAAGAGAGCACGCGCCATCTTCTCGAGAAAGGTCGTGCTATCTCTGAACTTGAGTCCTTCCGTGGCGGCAAGTGGGTTTGCGAGCCTCTAATCAAGCTCTGGAAGAAGTCTCTCGATGAACCCGAAGAGCCACTGTCTGCAAGGCTGGTGTTTGGTCTCGAGATGCTCCTGTCGACTTTCAAGTCTTTCCTCTGGCCGGATGTCACGACGAACAAGACCAACTGCCGCATCGCTGCCCTCAGGTTCGCGCACGACGTCAAGGCCAGTTTGGTACAAACTCTGGACGTCCTTCTGCTAGATACTGGCGACCACAACAAGCGGAAGGATCACAAAGCCCGTCTCAAGTCAATGATCGCCATGCTCGACAAGTTCTGTCGTGAGAAGCGGTTCGACCTGTACTATCAGGCCCCTTGGACCGCGGGATGTCACATGCTCGAGTTCCACTGCCTGGCTTTCAACGAAGGAGTCGTGGTCTGCACCCAGTACGGTTACCTCAGTGCGACGTTGCACATGTACAACGCTCTCCGCCACGTGGGCGCCTCGCCGATCAAGCCGATTCCCATTCTCGAATTTCTCTGCGAGATCTTCAAAGAACGCTTGTTCTTCAATGTCTTCCCCAAGAAGAACTTCAGCACACACTTCCGGAGGGCCGAGGGATGTGGCATTGAGAAGAGGAAAGACTTCAAGGGGGCCTACTACTCCGGCCTGAGGGACCCATTCTCCAGGGAGTGTTACCGCAAAGACCCGATGAATCCCGAGAGACTGTCCCTCTTCCATACCGGACACATGTGGAACTTCAGACCTAAGCGTTGGAGATTCTGGGTCGAGATCTACGGCAAGCCAGGATCCGGCAAGCCTTCGATGCGTGAGGGCAAGCGAATCGAGAAGCAGATCAACGCTGAGCCTTCGGCCGTGCTCCTCGAGACTACCAAGAAGAAAGTGGTGCCCGAGGTGGAAGGTGAGAAGGGGGTCGCACGTTTCAATTTCCTCGCTGCTTTTTGTCTCTGCGCGAGAATCATGGGACGTATGGGTGAGGAGTTCCCAAAGTTCACACGGAGCAACATAGATCTGAATGTGAAGGGGCCGGCGCTTGGGCTTGCCTATGTGGATTCTATCCTGGACGATATCACGGCTCAGCTGTACGACGAGCAGACCGAGAAGCACATTGACGAATTTCGTGGATTGGTCGAATCCAAGAACATTTTCGAGAATCTGCAGGAGGACCTGGAGATCAAGGACTACATGTGGTCGTTTTGAATGCTTGCTATGTGAAAGACGAGAAGGTGCTCTGTGACGGTTTTAGCCTACGAGATAGAATAGAGATCTGGCTTGAAGAAATGGCAATGACCTCGATCTCAGCAGTAGACACATCAAACGGAACCATGCAATCTGCGCTCAAAAGCACCTCTTGAGTCTCCATACATGGATGTGAATATTGAGACATTAGTAATTCTAGCCATTCTAATGAAGCTACAGTATGACTCGGGGGATTGCGGTGAACTCTAAAGCCTGCCAAGTCCGCGTCGGAGACATAATTTCTAAGCATTGTGGGTATCTGCGTGGGGCCGCATATTAGAATCTCGGTTTCGCTTTTGTAAAGTCCGCCAGAAGTTCCGCTGTGCGAACTCTGTTTGCACATATGTAAAGAGGCAAATCGTAAGTTGAAAGCCCTTCGACATCAAAGAAGTCATTTGTGTCACATCCTACCAGAGGCTTCGTACTATTCAAAGTAACACTACAACAACATTTCATCATGGCGAGTTTCAAGATCTCAAATGGAGGCTCCGACCAAGAACCAATCATTGACGCAATCCTCCGTCTCTACCTCGGAATCGACACCAACAACCTGGACCTCTTTACCTCAGGCTTTACCGAGGATGCCGAAATCGACCTTTCGAATGTCAGCATGGGCGGACAACCGATGACCAAGCTACAGGGCCTGCGGGAGGACATCGTGCCAAAGGTTCTCAACTTCCTCGGGCCATTCGGCACCTCTCATTCAGTTACCAACTTCAGAGTCGACAAGCAGAGCCCCGACTTGGCTGTTGTGACCTATATCATCGTTGCTCAACACTGGCGGCCAGACGATGCTAGCAAGCCCGTGCTCCCGATTCACTACACCATGTCGAATCGCTATACGTCAACGGTTGTGAGGGTTGATGGAGACCTCTGGAAGGTGAAGAAGACTGTTGCGGAAAGCTTGTGGGCTCTTGGTGATGCTGCAGTACTCGGACGCTTGGATCTGTTGGCTAACTAAACAAATGGACTTGGAGAAGGGATTTGCTAAGCAATGCAAACCATTTACACGCGCATTAATTCGCAGAATCTCAACATGAACAACATGCATGGTATTGAATGACATCATATCTTATCTTCACGCTACTAGCTATGCAGATTTCGCATCACTAAGGATCAATACGTACATGATGTGTCAATGCTATATCATTATACTACGCGATGTTGCTTGACATCTTATTACTTCTCGACAACTCTATATCGAATCCAGACTACACCCAATCAGTCAGATCAAAATCTTAATCTCATGGACGGAGGGATGAAAACTTACATATTCCTTGCGGTGATGCTGCGAGCAGCAGTAGGCTCGTAGGCCGGCTCGACAATGATGTAATCTTTGACGACGGCAGTACCATTGCGAAGCGCATCAACTTGCTCATCTGTGCAGGTACCTATATCCAGGATGTAGCAGAAGTCCTCGTACTGTGGCGGGATGTCATTCTTGATGGCGAAGGTGTCTGAGGGTCCTTGAGTGCTGTAGGTCAAGTTGGTCGCTGTGTCTATCTTGCCAGTCGCAATATCCTGGTTGAACAAGGCTCGGTTGAAGATGCGGTAAGCAGACTCAGGCTGGTAGGATGGAACAGCGTGTCCGGCTTGGTACACTCGGATGTAAGACAGGTTTCCGTACTGACGGACTTGGCCGCCTTCGTAGGTGTCGTTGGTCTGGAGGGGCTGGTAGCCCGCCGCGGCGAAGTCTTCTTGGCTCTCCCATGGAATAGCAAGAGATGTCTGTTCGCCACCGATCCAGTTGCAGGCGAAGTCTCGGTCACCGAACATCAGAGATACCTTGATACCGCTGTGAAGAAGGTAGGCGATGTCTTCGATCCACCCTGGTCGAGGGTAGTCTCCAATGCCGCGGAATGCCGAAGAGGAAGCACTGGAGCTGCCGGTCCAGTTCAGGGGAACACCAAGGGCGGACTGTACCCACGGCTGGTTGAGGTAGCCAGGAGTAAAAGGAGGAGGGAACAGTGTCGGGTCGATCTGCGTGACGTCGTAGTAGTCCCGACCAGAAATGTCGAGATACGGGTCTCGGACGTTGTTCGTGCAGAATGTCTCGGCATCCTCACAGATTTCGTTGACCGTAGCATTGATACCGATGTTATCCGGATCGAACACCGATGAGATCTCGCGACATGCGTCGATTCGATCGCGGCATCCACCCTCACGGTAGTACGCATCTACCATGCCCTCGTAAACAGTCTCATTGACGGTCTCGATGCCGTAGGTGTTGTTGAAAGCCATCTCGGGGTATGAAGGCCATTGAACCTGGCGATCAATGCAGCCGTTCACGATCAACAGCGTATCGAGATTCAAGATATACTGCTCCCCATCTGTGCCGTCCCAAGTGCCGTTTTGGATCTTCTCATTTTGTTCCTGGAAATAGGCCGCAAAGGCAGGACCATAACGGCCTCCGTATGACTGCGTTGCGATGCTGATGCGGTCATCGTTGGGGTAGTATCCCGGGAACTCCTGGAACCAGACTTGGGAGAAGTGCCACAGGGCAATGGCGGCATTACGGCTTCCCCAGCTCGTCGTGTTGCGGTTGTTGTTGGAGTAGGTTCCCGTCTGGAACGTTACGTTTTGCTCCGGGATTGGGCTCGACGCGTTGAGGGTCTGCACGCCGCCGAAAAGGTCTCTCGTTACGTTTCGCAGAGAGTCGTACGAGAAACCAACTTGGACAGGCTGGTCGATGTACAACATGTTCACTATGAGGTATCAGTAGCTGGTCTTTGGTCCAGACGAGGTGGCTCACCGTGGTTATTCCAAGACCACTCGCTCAGGCGGGTCGAATTGGAATCCTCGTTGATGTAGCATGGGCCATTCTCGTTGAAGAGACCTGGCATCGACGAACTCCCGGGGCCGCCGTTCATCCAGATTGATAGAGGTGCATTTTCGGGGTCATTCTTAGCCTCGAAAAACCAGAAGAATGTGTTGATCTCATAATCCTGCTCTTGACCGACTCCCTCGAGGGTCCCTGGAGGAAGGTGAATGTACCCAGCGTACGACTTGACTCCCTCGGTGGTTTCGCAAAGACCGGGCTGGACGGATTAGTGAGTAATTGAGTAAATCACGGCCAGTCTGCGCACCTCTTTGAAGCTAATGGTGATGTTCTCATCGAACTTCGACTTCAATACGGTCACTCCCTCAGGCGTTGGGGGAAATTGCGCCAGCGAGGACCGGACAAGAGCTGTCGCAACAGCGATGGCCGATAGCGTAGACCACATAATGCCGCGTCAACGATACTGATTGCAAGACTTCTTCTGGACCATACGACATTCGGTTCTCGGTAGGATATTGAGGAATCGACCCCGTCATATATCTGTACTTCATCGAATTTCCCCCGCTCTGGACAACACTGACCTTCCTACTTTGGAGGTCGTTACGTGATGATTCACTATCATTTCGCGCTTATTTAGATAGGTTGCACCGCCAAGATGGTCGTATCAAGCTCGCCCGGGAGCCGATTTGGAGTTTTGGTGAGAATGGCAGGGGACGGGTGCGGGGTTGATGGGAGAGCCGGAGGCAGCCAAGACGCAACTGCGGAGCCGAGGAATGGCATTTCAACCTAGATCACGAATTGACCAATTGAAAGATTGATTGAACTATCAGTTCCCGCTTTGAATGGACAAGAAGAATCCTATCATGGAAGTCCCAGTTGGTTTAGCTGCTGGCGATCTGCTCACGAGTGCGTCATGTCGAACGGCATGTTGGGGGCAGCTTCAGCGTTGGCAGGGCACGTTTGGCGTTTGGCGAGGAATAGGGCAGCTTTCAGGGCAGGGCCAGCTTGAGTATAGCAGCTAAGGCCTAACCAGGAACTGACCCAGCCTGGGATTTGGCAGCGTCACAGCCCAGTCTTGGTGTCTCCAGAGCCAAGTCGGACATATGCGCAACCCAGCTTCTCATCGACTCAACTGTGAGCCATGATCTGTGTCGCCGTTGTGCAGCTAAATGTAATCACTGATTTAGGTTGTACAGTTTTCAACATTTGGTAATCTTCTTTCCTAAGGGAGTTGTGAGGTAAAATGACCAGAGCCAGAGCAGAGCAGAGCAGAAGGGAGCATTCAAAGTTGAGCGGCAGTACTTGTGACTGCCCCAAAGTTTGCCATCGCTAGGTACCACTGATCACGGCCGGAGCAGCCGGAGCGGGCGGCGCCCGACCCGTGCCGTAGTGGATCCCTGGGGCCGAAATGCTCCGGGATTGCGCCGCCATTGAGAAGCCACATCGGAGGATAACCAGCCCATAGCACCAGCTGATCGGTACCGGATCAAAACTCAGAAGCCGCACTGCCTGCCGAAACATCTTGACTTAACTTCATACTGCCAATTTTGACGGCTACAGCACCAACAAAGATTGGCTTTCGATTGCGACATTTCGGAAGGAATGGCGCCGCCGAATCGCGTTTCAGGGCTCCCCGCAACATAGCAACGCATCGATGATGACGCCTTCTCGGCTCTAAATGACAAACCCAACCAGAGCTCGGTATAGCCACTCAAAAGCGCGATGTTAGTTACTGACTCTGTTTGGGGACGTCCTTTCTGACAAATGCAATGCCTAATTCGCGACATGTGATTGGCTTGTCGAAGCGTTGTTGGGGAACTTTCACGACACTTGACATTGGACATGCATTGCACCTCAGCTCATGATTCGATACACCCCACTAACGGGTGTTTGAGTTGACATTAGGGCGTGGTGCATTGCTACGATGAGAAGGATAAGAGCGGCCAACTCCCTTCAATGGATCTCGCACTGAAGTTGAGCATCAAATACACTCAATTTCACAAACAAGATACAATGGCCGCCGCTGCAGTTCAGACCCCGCTCCACCCCGGACCTCCAGGTCAGCCAGACATTGCCTATACGCCCAACCACGACAACTATCTCGCACGACTCAAGCGCCGTCAAGAGGTCGAGAAACTTGACAAGTCACTACCGGAAGGGTTCCCCAGAGAGCTGAGATCTCAGCTCGTTTGGGATGGCAACAGCTTGGCGGAGAGTTATGACTGGAACTACGTTCTCACGGACGCTGATAAGAAGGAGGTCGATGACGCCCTCCAGCACTTCAAATGTTCGTCAATACTTGCGTCCCATAAATCACACATATAACGAACTAACATTCAACAGCACTGAAAAAGCCTCTTGGCGAGATTAACCAAGAAACCTTTCCGCTGCCGAACCTCCATAAGACCCTGCGTGAGATCTCCAATGAGATCCACAACGGCCATGGTTTCAAGGTGGTTCGTGGTGTGCCAGTCACGAAGTACAGCCGTGAGGAAAACGTCATCATCTACGCCGGAATCTCATCCCACGTCGCACCTGTCCGCGGAAGACAAGACAATCAATTTCAGGGGGAGCCTGCTGATGTTGTTCTCGCTCACATCAAGGATCTCACTAAGGTTGTGGATGCTCACAGGATCGGGGCGCCGGCATACACCACGGAGAAACAGGTCTTCCATACCGACTCTGGGGATGTGATTGCGCTTTTCGCCCTTGGAGAAGCGGCTGAGGGAGGACAGAGCTACCTGTCCAGCAGCTGGTTCGTCTACAATGAGATAGCGAGGACCAGACCTGACTTGATCCGGACATTGGCGGAGCCGTGGAATGCTGATGAGTATGCCTCATACTGCTTCCCCCAATGATACATCATCTAACATGTAACTCAGGTTTGGGAAGGATGGAAGGAAGTACAGCACTCGTCCACTTTTGCACTTTCAACCTGCAGCCGACGGTAAACCCGAACGCCTCATCATTCAATATGCCCGAAGGAGCTTCACCGGGTACTGGGGTCTGCCACGGTCTTCCGACATTCCCCCCATTACTGAGGCACAGGCCGAAGCTCTCGACACTCTGCACTTCCTTGCCGAGAAATACGCTGTATCGCTCGACTTCCACCAAGGCGATATTCAATACGCGAACAACCTCAGCATCTTTCACGCGCGCGGCGGATTCGTTGATTCCGACGAGAAGCAGAGGCATTTGATCCGGCTTTGGCTGCGCGACCCAGAACACGCGTGGAAGACGCCTGAAGCGTTGACGGAAAGGTGGGATCGTGTCTATGCTGGTGTGACACCGGAGAAGTCTGTGTTTCCTCTTGAACCACAGATTCGCAGCGCTAGCCGAGGCGAGTTCAAGCCGGATGACAAGACGGATACGAAGGCTTGAGCCGAGACAGGTCTGGAGTCTGAGAAAGGGTTGTTTTTTGATGCGATCCCGTATAAAGTTATAGCCTTGAGATCGTCGATCAGTTATTTCAATGAACGGCTCACTTACTGAAAGTTGGCGATATACCGAAGTTGATCAGTTGAAAAAGTGGTAAGCCGCATTCGTGCGGGCGCGATGAAAGAACTCTAGGCCGTCTCAGCTATGATGCAGAGTAACAGCAAAGTAATGTGTTGCATCGAACTAAAGTAGAGAGATGACCACCTAGCTCTTTGCAAACTCGTTAAACAAGGGCGCATACGTATTCCGCCAATCCTCCATCAACAGCCACCTCTGCCTTATAGACATGTTTTGAGGATATACCACGTCCAAATTTCCACCAGCCCGAAGAAGCACTCCGGTGATCAAAGGATACTTCTCCGACTTTGCACCTCGCTCAAGGGCCGCACAAATCATCCCTAGGGCCGTCACACCCTCTTCTCCTGGGTCATCGACAGGATAACCGCGACTCAAAAACAATTCTACCACTTCGATGTTGACCGCGTCAATGGCCCAGTGAAATGCGGTACGGTTTCTTCCGTCCCTTGCCATCAAATCACATCCCAGCTCCAAAAGCCCCTCAACGCAAGCAAGGTCCTGAACAGCAGCGTGCAACGGCGTAACTCCAACTAAACGAGCCGATTCTTTAGTCAAATACTTCTCAACCAGGGGACTCGGCTTACAATAATTCGACAAACGAAACTTCGCGTTATGGTCAGCACCAAAATCGGTCAAAAGCTTCAGACAATCGCCCTGGCCTCTGCTCACGGCGACGTGGAGCGCAGACATCTCCTCGCCGACGATGGGCAACCAATTCCACGTGACCATGGCGGTACGAAGGTCGTTGATTCTCGCACCGTAACGTAGTAGTTGTCTCACCAACCGAGTGTGCCCGAGCTCGACGGCAGCACAGAGAGGCGTGACCTCATCTTTGCCCACGTAGTTGACGTCCGCTCCCTCGGCGACAAGGAAGTCGATCATGGCTTCCTGGGCAGGGAGTCGGGGTGGGGTGGAGCGGATGACGGCCATGAGAGGACCGTGACCGAAGTTGGCGTCGGCGTTGATGGCGACGCCCTTGTCGATGAGTCCGGCGGCTCTGCGGACGTTGAGGGCTCCGCATGCGAAGCAGAGGTATGAACGGCCCTGTTTTGATGTCGAGGTTGTTGTCACTGCCCATGCGGCTGCTTTCATTGTCTTGGAGAAAACCCTCGTCGACATGTTGTTCCGCTTCTCGGTTTCTGCGATAATCTCTGCTTTGAGCAATTCAATGCTTTTGTCGTCAAACAGAGGTCCTCGAACGCTCGGTGCTGAGTCTGGTGCTTCCTCGGTGATGGTTGCATCGTCACTCAATTCGGCCAAGGTTTCCTCGTCATCTTCCTTGGTCGTTGTGCTAGACTTCTCATGGTCATCAAGCTTTTCAGTAATCTGCTCTGGTGTAGTGCCCTTTGCTGCCGAGCTTTCGTCGTGTGTTTTCACTGTCATTTTCGATGTGTCGCAAGTCTAGTGGTGAGCAAGAATGATGGTGCCTCTTGGGGCTAAAGATGTCGTTTATTTAAAGTAAAAGCGGCTCTCAAGAGGCCACAACTCACCTGGCGTTGAAGAACTTCAGCTGGCCACGCTAAACTCGGCGAAAATCGCCGAATGCTTGGTCTTGAGGCTTGGAATGCACCGCCGCTGGCACTGACTCAGGGTTTCGTGCCACGTCTCTACCGTCGCTGGTGCCTGGAATGGGCGAAGTTGACAACAATGCTTCATTATCTGGACTTCGCCTTGGTTTATCTGTCTAGTTTCTATCCCGCCGGCTATGCGTACTGGCCCTGTACGAGACAGCCTGTGAAGCAGCCGACGGGATGACGACTTGATTCATCGGGTACGGCATGATGCCAAGGAGCAACTCCCTGTAAGTTTCCACATTTCAGCTTCAAAGACGGTAACCAGCTGCCTCCTCTGTGGATATTATCTGTCCAAGTAGAAGTAATATTAGATCTGATATTGACAGGACGACTGACTAGACGCACCAGTATCTGCAAAGACGTCTGAGACTGACCAAATAGGCAACATCCAAAGCAAACCGCCACTCATGCAGCAACCAAACCACACGCCAGCTGGGTATCTAGCTACCTTTCCACCTTCACTAGAAGCATTGCCGTCTAGTACCATTACCATCGCAACTCGCCAACTCCCCTTCAACACCGATTTAATACTGGAACCGCCACCTAGGATCCTTGTCGCCAGGCCAGTCATTCAAGTCTCCAATGGCGTTGACCTCCTCGGTGATCGCCTCGCGCCTCTTGTTCTCTCCTTTCAGCACAAAGTACAATATCGCACACACGACAACGTTCGCAACAAGGTATGCTAAGCACATCGAGTGTCCGACGAAGTACCTTGGCCCGTCGTTTGAACGGTAGAGCTGGGTTCCCATCACGGCGCCCATGTTTCCGATGGTGATTTGCATGGCATTGCCAACAGCACGCTTTGTCTGACCGGAGACATTGATGGCGGGCCAGGAGAGGACCAATGCCGTCGCAGGGTAGATACCGCCAGCAGCAAAGAATGTTCCGAGATACGAGACACCAGGCTTGCCCGTCGGGTCGCCGTTGGCGAGGAGAATAATGTAGCCGATCGCTGCAAAGGCGGACGACCCCATGATGAAAAAGGCTCGACGACCGGTCCGCTCAGAGTAAATGGCAACCACTAGGGTTGTGACGAATGCGAGAGCATAAGGAGGAATGGTAAGCAGCTGTGCTTTGGCAGCGGTGTATCCGAGGTTCTTGATGATGGTAGGCTGATAGTCTTGTTAGGCCGGCTTTCTTTCCTCATGACTGTCGAACACTCACCAAGAACAGGGAAAACGTGTACAGCGGAAGACTCATGGTATGGAAGCCCAAGCCATAGAGCCAGCACTTGGGATCCTTCACTGCGTCCATGACGTTGCCCCATGTGAAGCATTCATCGTGGGTTGCGTCGCTGTCAGCGGCAAGTCTGGATCTGATGAAGCGGCGCTCCTTCTCGGACACAAATTGAGCGGTGTCGGGATAGTTCTGGATGAACCAGTATGCAGCAATGGCAATTACAACGGTCGCAATACCTTCCTGCTAGATGTGAGTCGTTCGCTCAAGGTGGACGGTGACAGAGAACTCACAAGAATGAAGATCCATCGCCACCCGTTGGCCCACACGATACCTTTCATATGCCCGATACCCTGCGAAAGTCAGCCGCCTGAGCTTCAAGCAATCTCTGAGAGTAATTTACCCAAGCGAGGATACCACCGAAGGCTCCAGCGAGGGAAGCAGCACTGAAGAACAATGAGATGCGGTACTGGCGCTCACGTCGCCTATACCACATCGAGAAGTAGAATACAACTCCTGGGAACAGTCCGGACTCGGTCACGCCGAGGAAGAATCTCGCAACGAAGAAGCCCGCCATGTTGGTGCAGATACCCATGAGAGTGGCGACGACGCCCCATGCGACGGTGAGAGTAGGAAGCCAGAAGCGTGGTGTCGTTCTCTTGAGGATGATGTTGCACGGAATCTGTTCTCGGGTCAGATGCCGAACCACCTTGGAGCCAAAGTACAACTCACTTCGAATAGGACATAGCCGATGAAGTAGAGGGTGAGACCAGTCAGATACTCATTGCCAGCTAAGAAGGGCAAGTTAGAATTGGATCATTCTACACACACTTTCGAGTCTTGGACTCACTCATTTTCAGGTCATCAGTGAGACCTTCGATTCTTGCATTGCCAACTAGACGATTGTCAGCATCGGAAAGCTCTCATAAACTCGTCTGGAGCATATCTCACCGTTGGATCGGTCAAGGAATGACAGCAAGTACAGGATTCCTACGGCCGGAAGAAGTTTCGCGTCCAGCTTTCGCAGCAAGGCCTTTTCGTTGACGGCCTCTTCGCCAATCTCGACCTCGGATGGGCTGTCCGCTCCGCTCGAATCGTTCGCAGGCATCTCCAGCGCCTTCTCGGGCGGGAGGTCATCCTTCGGCGCGCTCATTATCGTCAGCTTCTCGTGGTCGCCGGCAGTTCTCGTCGTATGACAATGTCTTCTTCCAAATGTTTGGCGAGTCTCTCCCTCCAATTCGAAGAAGAAAGCTGTACTCCCGCAAGAAGTCGAGTTTAACGTGGCTGATGTGTTAGATGTACGGATGGAAAACTCTATGACGGCCTGCACGGCTTTTCAATGCAGCCCCCAGACGGAAGACCAGTCGGCCGGGTTCAAATCTTCGAAGACATCAGATTGGCGAAGGAGCGGAGATTGGGGGTCGGCGCCCCTCCTCGGTTACCTCTCTTTCACAACTTCACCCGTATTTTTGAGCTTTCCACTGCCGTTTTCCCAGGTCCTCATTGCATCATTAGTCCATGATGACATTGCACGGCGTCTGATTCCTCTTCCATCTTAGCTACCGTTGCAGATTGTCGGTGCCAGGTGGATTGCGCGAGCGGTGGTGGGTGATGAAACACAATTTCTGTGTGGTTTGATTGGCCCATTGACTCCATCTGAAGATCACGACATGTTCAAGACGATGGCGACATCGCCGGCTGGGGACTCGCTACCCCAATTTCTCCAAATATGCCAATGACCGGATTTTTGTTAAATAACTTGATTCGCTTGGCAACTCTAAACATGAACCCCCACGTTCAATTAAGCAACCCAAGATTCTTGTTTCTCCGCGCATCTGGTTACCTGCCGACCGGTGATACGGCCCCACATCTAGCCGTCGGCGCCGCTCTTGACCCATATTTCCCGGACAGCAAGTCCGGGGCAAACGGAGACTGCCATCTCTCAAGCTCAGCGTCTTCCGGCTACCACTTTCCCTTCTGTCGTGATTCATTACAATATTTGTTTTTGTTTTTTTTGCTTTCTTGGTAGTCGAATTGCACCCAGTGATGCCGAAACGACCTTTTCTGAGGTCGAGTCGTTCCGGAGTTCGAGGCTGGGCCAAGTCAAGAGTCTTCTAGACAAGGCTGAACCAGTTCTAAGTCACTAAAGGAGGCTTTTCACGGATAAAATTGTGCGGCAAGTTTTCCCAACTCCAAATGTATTGTTTGATATATAGTATACACTATCCTTTTTTTGTCCTTTTCTCCTTTTGTTCAACTGAATGAGCGACATCTATCAAAATGAAAACATGCTAAGCGAGAGTAATTTTATGAACCAAGACCAACCAAGAAAACCATCAGTCATCACAAGATCTGGTGTACAATCCCCCAAGCTCAAACTCGCAACCCCAAAGAGTTTGGCTTCTGCTCAAGTCATTAGAGCACAGTCGTAGGCAATGCGCTTAGCAGCCAATGTCGAAGGCGACGAAGGTCTGGCCGTTGGTGGGGGCGGGCAGGTTGGAAGAGGGGACGTTGAAGAGGCGGCACTGAACCGGCTCGTTGGCGGAAGGCTTGCCGAACTCGATGGCCTGGCAGCCGGAGGTCTGACGGCACAGAGCCAAGCAGTCATCCTGGGAAGCGACGTCGGAACGGCTGACCAGAGGGTTGGGGTTGTTGGTGGCCGGGCCAGTGGGGGCAGCGCCGCAAACGTTGCGCTTCTTGGGCTGCTGAGCCTGGCCGTTGTTAGCCTCACCGTTGTTGTTGGCCTGGCCGTTGTTGTTGTTGTTGTTGTTCTCCTGGCCGTTGTTGTTGGCGGCGCCGTTGTTGTTGTTCTGGGTGGGGGCGGCAGTAGGGACGCTAGTGCAAGCCTTGTCGAAGACCATCAGGTTGGAGTTGCTCTGGGGAGGGACCTGAGCCGCGGGGACGGCGTAAAGGTAGCAGAGAGGGGTGGTTCCGGAGGGAGGCAGGCCGAAGACGAAAGACTGGCAGCCAGAGTCGGCCTCGCAAAGCTTCTGGCAGGCGTCGGCGGTAGCCGCGACAGGCTGGGAGCGAGGAGTGACATCGGCGTTGACGGGGCCAGCAGGCGCGCTGTTGCAGGTGTTGGCGCGGATAGCGAGGGGACCGGCCTGGGCGGCGGCGGCGAAGGCAACGATGGTGGCAATGGTGAACTGCATTTTGACTGTTGGTGGGTGTTTAAAGAAAACTGGAAAGTTGACTAGGAAAGTTGAGCGAAAGTGATTGGTGCTGAAAGAGCGAGTTGAGAGAGTGAAAGATGCTTGTGAGTGATTGAAGATCGAACTGGTTGATGGTGGTGAAGAAGAGAAGGTTGTGATTTGGGAGGAACGAGAGATGTCTTATATACTCGAGATGAGCATGTTTTCGTCTTCTTCGTCAACCACTTCCCGTCAACATCGACTGACGATCTACACAGACTGGACTCACAATGGAGAATCTTACGACGCGCGTCTCAACACCGCCATTCTTCGGGCTACGTGGGCGGAGAACATGATCGACGCTCGGATGCCACTTCGTCAACGTGAAGTCCTCGTCAGAGACCTCATGGCTGACAGGGAATTGCTTTCGCAAGACTGCTTTCGACTATTGAGATGTTCTCTTCCATCTGATGTTAGACGTTTCAGAGAATGCTTGACGTCTACAGCCTCAATCGGAACATTTGGAAAATGCCCGCGAAGTGGGAGGCAACCCTTGAAAGTTTAAGGGTTCATCCCGCATCTTCATGCGATGAGGCAGAAATCTCCTATGTGTTTCCGTCCGAGGCTGAAAAACACCTAGCATATCTGTAACGCTCGGTCTTCCAGAAGCTGAGGCTGAGGACCTGGGGCAAGACCGACGTCGGAGACTGGCATGATGCTTTCAGTTTCTTGGTGAGTCCGGCAGGAAGGGACTTCTCTGAGGGGTTATCGATACGTAACAAGCGAGTGACACTCCACAGTCAGAAGTCTGACGATACCCGCTTCTGCGGTCAACGGCTTCCGCGGCACGGGGAACATGAAGCTTACTGCGTAGGGAGAAGCCAAGCATGAGGCTCAATCTCAAAACTTGCCCTGCCGGGCTGCCGGCTATGGAGACCGGCCAGCTGTCATTGGTGTTTATGTCTGGGGACGCTCCGGGAGACGGGGATACCCTTGACTCGGAAACACCCAAGCTTTGCGGCTCCCGACGCCTGGTCCCCCACATTCCAGAACGATTCCGTCGAACCCACCAAACGTTCAGGGGTAATATTCAGGGGTATGTTTTTTGGCATCTATTTTCCCCTGAAAAGCCTCGCAGACGAGGATATCCCTCATGCGGGTTGCCGACGTTGACAGGCATCCGCGGTCTTCCATCCAGAGGAAGCCTCCTGAGACGTTTTCTCTGCGGGGATGAGGCCAGATCGAGACACAAAAGACACTTGGGGCAGCAAGCCGCAGCAGGCACAAACATTCCGAAAATATGCTTGCAATTTCCCCTAACTCTTTTCGTGTTAAAGCGAAGTCACTTTGGCGGGGTCTTGCTGTCAACGCAGCCCTGTCTATAGCGGAGAAACAACTCTGTCTGTTATTAAAAGTCGTGGGCCACGCTGTGAGGCTGAGCTCCCAACGTTTGACGATCGCTAATATGGGTGACTCGTGACTTGAGATCATTGGCTGGTTTGTTAAGGTGACGACGCCATCTTTTGGGGGCTGAATGATTCTTCAAGCCGAACGGGTAAGCGGCACGAATGCGCACGTGGTTGGGTAGTAAACCTGTCAATGTTATTACGTTAAGCCATCGTGAGGGGTTGACTTTTGGCGTCGTCATCAGAACGGAAATAGATGTTCGCTTAGCGGTTGCAATTTCGGGCCGTCAACGTCAACTTCACGGGTTGTTGCTGTAAGACTCCAAGGGAAAATGGCGATCAACGATGTTGCTCACCGTAGATATCATGAAGCTTACGAATTTGAATGACGCGGAGTGTGCAGTGCGACAGAGTCAACAACCACTTCACCGTCGGCATATCGAATACCATTGACGTGTCTCCAAACATTACCAAAGCAAATAGAAAAGGCTTAGAGTTAGAAATTCCCCATGTTCATCGGCTATGACGGAACTTCTCAGTATGAGCTTCGCGGTATAGGTTGGTTGCGTGGAAGACGCGTTTACCCAAGACGATGTTACCGCAAAGTTGTATCAATATTCTATCATGCTGATGAAAACATTGAAGACCAGAGCGACAAAATTATCGTAGCCGCAAGTTCCGTATTATGGCCTGGTGATTCGCCTGGCTAAAGCCGTGACAAAAACATTATCACAGAAACAAGTGCAATTCTGCTAAGCGCATATGTTGTTCGTTGAATATGGCGAGCGAATTTGACCAAAAAAAAAGGTTTCTTGCGTTTCATATTGAGCAGAAAGTTAACTGCGTCTTTTAAATTCCCAGGCCAGTGAAGCTTACAGTTTCCAGTTTGATACTAGATATATTGTCTGTGTTCACCACCATATGGTCGGTTCACTTCTTACTATCTTTCTAAGCAACAAGAACATATTTGCTGAACTTGAGAACTTTAGAAGTCTGGGCGGTGGCTGGTTTGAAAATGAGAGCAAGCATTCGCGGAATGTGGATTGCTTCACTTGAGTGCACCGAGTTCCCGCCTTGTACGACGTACCTAGGTGGCTAGATCTGTTGTTGGGCCACAGGATCTTCTATGATGCCTCAATGATTATCATATCTTCACGCAACTAAATACAAATGTAACTTAGGTGCACTCACGTACGCTTTCCTTTTGAAATTCACTAGAACTCAGCGGCCAATAAGGTTAATATTGACGTAATGACTAGGAAGCGTTGAAAACATTCGTAACTACAGTATAAGAGTACCGTTATCTTGTGGCTTATTTGTGGCTATCGCCTGCCGTATGATTCTACGGCGAAAATTGAAACCAAGCAGTAATTACAGTATAACATCCTTTTCTCTTATCTTCATTTCACGTTGCCGGGTTCTTCTCCTTGCAACTAGATACTAAGCAATTGTTTGATCATTCCTTACTACATGAACCAAACTGAATACTGTCGTCTAGTAACGACAATTGCTCCTTTACCATCTCGACTGTTTATGTTTCAGTATAGTCAAAAGGGCTGTAGATTAAGTCTATCAATGAATCGCATTGTAAATACATCTCATTTTGTCTCTACTGCCTAGATATTATTTATATTGGATAGCTGAGTTCATGCTTACTTCACCTCGGGCATTTAGGTCGTCACAGCACATCATTACAAACACGTTCACGCCTTCGCTCATAGTGATCAAGGTTGAATACCAATTATAATTGAAGCCCTTTCGTGTATGAAATTTGATCTATGGAATACACAAAATGCAACCCAGTTCGCCCGCAACCCCCCAATCCCGTTTCGCAGACTCAAGGAAACCCATTCGCAACCCAATGAATGCTATCGTTATGCTTTATTTACATGAAACCTTGACTTAAACACCGGAATCCTCCTGCTCAATAGAGTACTCCTCCTGGAAGGTAGACCACTCGGTGCAAATGTTGCTGACAGTGGTGGAGTTGGTGAGCGCGGAGATCTCGTCGTAGCGCTCGATGAACTGCATGGAGAAACCCTCGGAAGTGTGCCAGCCGATGTGGCAGTGCATGAGCCAGGCACCCGGGTTGTCGGTCTCGAAAGCCATGACGAGGTATCCGGAAGAAGGAAGCATGGCAGTGTCTCTTCTCGGGGGATTGGTGGTGTTGAGGGTGACGGAGCTGGAGTAGGTGCCGGAGCCTTGGGCGAGGATGAAGAAGTCGTGGCCGTGGAGATGGATGGGGTGAGGGACGGCCAGGGTGGTCTCGATGACGAAGTACACCCACTGGTTGGCCTCGCTGAGCTCGATGACGGCGTCGTCGGTCTCCCAGCTGGTGGTGCCGTTGACGATTTGGAGAAGGGTGGGGTCGGCCCAGTCGACGAGCATGCTGGTGCTGTTGAGGTACCACTTGAAGAGGCCGGCGGTGTTCTTGCTGACACTGGCGGTCTCGAGGTCGCTCCAGTTGGCGCTGGAGACGGACTTCTTCAGGTAAGGAACGATGTTGTCGGTCTCATCGTCGCAGCTGTCAGTGTAGTCGTAGGCGGAGGTGGTGGGGGTGGACATGGTGCTCGTGTAAGCGATGATGCCCTTGATGTTGTCGGTGCTGTCGTTGTCGGAGCAGGCGGCCTGGGGGATGGCGCGGATCCAGAAGTTGTCGGCCGTGCTGGCTTGGTCGGCCTTGACGATGATGTCGTAGCGCTGGCCCATGCCCATGTCGAGGACGGTGGTGGTGTAGGGCTCGATGGGGACAAGGTCGGCAGCGATGACGGTCATGGTGTGGTTGTCGATGGAGAACTTCCAGTGAGTGTCAACGGCAGCGTTGACCAGTCTCATGCGGTAGGTGGTGTCGGAAACCCAGGTAAGGTTGAAGCGGGTGCCGGTCTGAGAAGTGGAGCCATCGTCACCGTAAACGTTGGTGCCGTTGATGAGACCGTTGTCGAGAGTCGGGGGACCGCTGGTCTCGGCAGTGGAGTAGAGTTCATCGACGGTCTGGTGGTCCCAGTCGTTCAAGAAGACCATGCCAAGATCCTCATCGTAGTTGTAGGTAGCGGGACCGTTGATGATGATGCCGCCGAAGATACCCTGCCACGCCTGAAGAGCGAAGTGGGAGTGGTACCAAGTCGAACCGTACTGGGTCGCTCTCCACTTGTAGGTCTGGGTGTTGTTGGGAGCAAGAGGGCACTGAGTGATGGAGCTCACACCGTCCGCCTCGTTGGTGTAGTTCTGGCGGATACCGTGGAAGTGAATACTCGTGCCGTTGTTGGAGGTTGTAAGAGAGTTGGTGACGTGAACGATAACGTTGTCACCCCAGTCGGCGAACAGGGTCGGGCCAGGGATGGAACCGTTGACGGCCATGGCAGAGCGTGATACGCCATCGGGAGCAACCGTGACGTCGGTGAGCTCGAGCCAGTACTCGCGAGTGACACCCGTGTCGGGGACCTCGTTCATGTAGTCGGTGTCGACGGAGTAGTCGCACCACTCAGTGCGTGTGGTAGCTGTGTTCCCACTGCACGCTGCGCGAGGGTACAGGTTGGACTCGAAAGGGGAGTTCAGACCCGAAGAAGGGAAGGCAGAGGCCAAGGAGCCCGCGAGGGCGCCGGCCAGAAGAAGGGAGTTGAACATGGTGGATAGTGATGTGTGCCAAGAGAAGGTAAAAGAGAGACTAAATGACACAAGTTGGAAAAGAGTGAAAGACCAGTAGCGAATGGAAGCGCAGGCAAACTGTGCTGGGTGGCGAGTGAAGGGAATAGTGTCAAGAAGCGGCGGGCCGCAAGAGCTTATGTATGTGGCAGGTCATCCGGCTCACGGCAACGACGATAGCTCACGGAGTCTAAAAGTCTATTACCCCAGTGAATAGCATCAGGCTCCGTTCTGCCGCAAGCCGCTCTCGCCGGATCCATAGCTTCGATAGCATTGCTCGGACTTGCCCCAGTAGGTTATGATCTTCATGCATAGATTCAGCGAAGGATAGAATCATATGGAGAATAACAATATCTGACGATAATTCCCATGTCAATGAAGGATGTTTCTGAGACATGCCCCTATGTGACCCATGCGTGGCTGACGGGGTCGTAAGATGGTACGTGTAGGGGAACGTGTAAGTGAACCGCAGTAGGCTGACTCGTTGCAGCTAGATGCTTATTTCCTAATGCGATGAAAGAAGTCAAGGAGAGCGCAGGGCGCGATGGGAACACTGGGGATGCCCCGCCGCAGCCTCACAGGGCCGGCAGGAGAGAGAGAGGGGACCGGTTGTGTCGGCGCGGTTGAGTCTTCAGGTTGAACCGTGAAAGGCCGGTCTGACCGAGCCTCCGGGAGTGTGGGAGCGATCGGAGAGCCAAGGCCGGCCGATTTGATCCACTTCAGGACTCTACATTTAGAAACCCCCGACTCCGCTCGACGGATGTCGTTGTCCGTGCTCCAAGGGGGTCTTCGTCCCCTTTCGTTCTGGCTGCAAAGCCAGCCTCTTTAACTTACGTGGTTTCACACGAATCCCTCCCCCTTTTGTCATGGTCTGGACCTATATCATCCCTGCTATATCTAGCTTCCGAAAGAGCCCCATAGATCCCGAGTCCCCATGTGAGCCCCGGTTCATCCCACATTCCGAAACATCTTCCCGCCTTGACATCCACGTTTCCTGGGATAGACCTAGACCACCATCAACGATGGCGGCGGTTCCGTAGCCTCTCGTTGGCTGGCGATGTTTTTCGTCCCATTTTGGCTGCAAAGCTTGGCTTCTTGCCGGACGGCTATGACCGATGCGTCAAGGAGATGCGACCCTTGATCACATATTCACAGATATCACAGTGGAGAAAGATCCTATCAATGTGCGTCCTGGCTTGTTGTGCGTATCCAAGGTTATTGAGTGGTGTCCAGAAAGGAATGGGAACTATCGTTTTGGTATGTTGTGCCCGGTCCAGAAATTGTAACGTAGGATACTCCGGCAAGGAGACGCGGCTTCAACGGATGACTCGACATTCTGCGTCTTTTATTTAATCAATACCATCCCCCTCAACCAACTGCCTCCCAGGACCCCACCTCTTCACCCATACTCACCTAGTCCATCCTTTTCCTCGAGTGTCTTACAGCCTCATCCAATCGTTTAGCCAACATCATTCTTTTTCGTTCGGAAAACATCACATCATCCATCATGCAGCCCATCGGAACTATTCTGCTCTCCATGGCCGCCCTCGCGGCCGCAGCTCCCTCGGCGAACACCCGTCGTGCTGTCGCCGCCGACTCTGGTCCTTTCCAGGTTTACGCCTACGGCACTGGCATTGGAGGACTTGCCATGTTCTCCTCTGGAGGTGGGTTTGGTACTGTATCTTTACGAGCTTTTCTGTCGAGGATTCCAAATCCCTCACCGCATGTACATAGGAGCCAAAAGGCTCGGAGCGCACAGTCCCCATCGTGTTCTACTTTGTAACTTTTTCTTTTTATTTGGGGAATTTTCTATTAACAGTCAACCAATAGGTGACGCCTTCTTCGGAGACCACAGAAAGATGAACGACTCCAACGCCGCCCCTGTCGTCTGTAAGTGATCAGTCCCCCCATATTTGCACTCCGGAAACACCATCTGACCATTACATCATAGTCACTCCTACTGATAACGACGTCTGGGTCGGCGCTCCCAACACCACCGAGTTCAACAACACTTCGACCCTCCCCAACTGGTCGAACCTCACCTTCTCCATCCCCAGCACCACCTCCAGCAACCACACCGTCGGATTCTCCAACTCCTCCTCTACCGACCGCCAGAGCTCTGGCTTCATGTTCTACGGTAGCTTCATCTTCGTCGAGGCCACTACCGGCGGCATGGAGTCTCTGTGGTATGCCACGCCCAGCAGCGTCGATGGCGTCTTCAACCTCAAGTGGAACCAGACCGGCGACGACAGCTCCAACAAGATCACCCTCACCTTGAAGAAGACTCCTCCTTCCAACGCCCAGCTTACTTCTGATTCTGCCTAATTCGCATGTTTCAAACATGTAACTAGCGGATGTGGAATTTTGTGTATACTTGTCAACATTCTTGGCCCATTGGACGTCCCAAGACTTTACTGATTAGGGCGGACAATGGCGGGATCTAGGGTTTCAATGGGATGAACACGCAGCGGGATAGAATCTTTTGGGAGTGCGAAATAAAACATGGCGTGAAATTTTTCAATTCCGATCTAAACCGTTTCCCGCCCATTCATGCAAACATCATGCTGTTCGTGACGTGATAACTAATAGTACAAGCGCTCATTAAGAGGACAAAGAAATTCAGCGACGCTCGCTGGCCAACTCCTCAGCCGAGGTGGGAGGGAGGTTCTCTGCGGGAGTGATGTTCTCGGGGTTACCACCATCACCGCGCGCACCGGGCGCGACACCAACGTCGAGGCGGCGGTCGCGGAAGTTGTCCTTGCCGGAGGCGCCGACACCCTCGAGACCGGCGCTCTCCTTGTTGCGGCGGCCAACGTTGGAGCCGTGCATCTCGGCACTGGTCTGGCCTTGTACAGGCTTGCCGAGGCCGGTGTGGACATCGGCCGAGGTGGCACCAGGGAAGTCGGTGGCCGCCGTGCGGCTTGAGGGGTCCACGTTGGGGTTCAGAGCCTGGCCGGGGGTCTCGGAGGTAGGGTTGGGCTGGAAGGTGTTTTCTCTGGGTGCGGTGCCGGCAGGGTGTGCTTGGGCGTGGAACTCGGGGTAGGCATCGTTGCCGACCTTGGTTCCCGGGGCATGCTGTGTGATGTTAGATCGTTGTCCAGGTTGAGATATCGAGTGAAGAATGACTTACGCCCTTGGTGGTGAGAGGCTCAGAGCGAGGAACGCTGGGGTGGAATTCGCCCTGCTTGGGGTTGACGGAGTCGATGTTTCTGGTGGCAGACATTTTGATAGTGTTTATGAAGTTGTAATTGATGAAAAGCTGTTAAGTTGTAGATGTAGTTTGATGGTTGGAATTGGGTATCTTGGTGAATGCTTTGGTTTGTTGATGCAGAAGAGAGATTTTGTCGTTATGCAGTTGAAACCGACGTCTTAAATATCTTGTCGACGGTCGCGAAATCGACTTGATGAGTTGACATTGAGGTGTTCATGATGTAACATCACGATTACATCACAGCCGTGGAGGATGAGATAACAGCACCACTTTTCCCCACGCACTGGTGAGGTAAAACGCTGCAAAGACCCTTATGATGTCAGTCAGCCTGATCAAAGACAAACGAAACTGAACAGGACTTGGAAACGGCAAATCGAGATCGAAAAGCTGATGCAGGATCCAATATTTTCGGTGGGTGTGGTTGGAAGATCCGATCGTCGATGTTACGGACATTTTAGTCCGATGGTGGCCGGTCTGGCTCGGTGAGTTCACCGAGGCCCACCACTTTCACCGAGATGGATCAGATAAGGGGGGAAAAGGAGGCGACATGACGCAAGTTGAAGTCCACTCACTGCGGCTGACAGCTTGGCTCAATATCGGGGCCGAGCTCCTTCGCGAATCTTCTAAATCTCGTCTCAAGCTTTTCAAGGCAAACTCCTTATTTCGCATCGTGATGTGCCCACAATGACAACATCAACGTAGATCCGTTCGGCGTTGAGCTGTTCTTTCGGATTGTTCGATATCGTCAACTTCAGCTCCTCAACCTGGGCAACAATGGCTCGCCCTTGGGGCGTTGCTCTTTTCCCTCAATCATGCCGTAAATGAGGTTCAAATGGTCAAGCCGTTCCGTGTCATTTGCTTCTTTGCACCACTTCGCCAGCTTCTCCATCTGTCGCCCAACATGAGCAAACGTTGCCTCGGCGCAATCTGCATGATGGCCAATCGCAACTAAGAGCATCCCTCGAGCAGAGCTGCATTGCTCCTCGTCTTTGTTTTCCTGGCCAACGGCATAACGACAGTCGGCAAGATAGGCACAGCTCTTCCCCAGATGAAACTTTGCGTTTCTGATTTCTACCTCCGAGCCGAAGTTCTCTCGGTCGGTTAGATATTCCGTCGCGCGAGTGTAGCAAGCGCTTGCCATGCTAGCGACGTCCGGTGCCCCTGGCGTGACGATAGACAGGTAGCCGACAACGAAGAGGTTGAACTCGAGAATGAGTTTGGCGTTGTCCTTATAAGCATGTTGTACGTGTGCGAATCTTTCCAAGGCCATGCTGAGAACCTTATTGTCTTTCTGGTGTTTGCTTTTGGCCTTCTGCGCGTTGAGCAGGAAGACCAAGTACACTCGTACGAGACTCTGTTTGCCGAGAACAACCAGTATTCCCTGTTCCAAATCATCGCAGACTTTTGCCATGGTATGGGAGAAAGTCTTGAGGTCGGTGATGACAAGTAGGCGGCGCATGGCAAGTGCGAGTCGAGTGAAGTCGTCGTCTGGGGGAAGAATAGACTGTGCAGACTCAACCAGACAGTCTGCGAGTTCGTTGATAACCATCCAGTCTAGTAGTTGGTTAAATATGCTGAGGACCCCGATCGGCGCCGCTGGATACAGTGGGCTGAGCATGTCTTTGACAATCTCTGCCATCAAAGTCTTCGGCACGGCTTGTTGACGGTTTACCAAGCAGCCTCTAAGTTTCCCCTCATGACGAAGTTTGGTTTGAAGGCTTTGGAAAATCTCAACGTGGTCACCATTTGGTTCCACGGCAGGTGACCCAGGTTGCCTGAGAGGCAACTTCCTGAGTATGGAGATGGCCGATGCGACTATCTGCTTTCGAATTGCGTCCGGGTCGAGTATTTCGTCTTCGGCTTCAGGTATTATTGTGGGAGACCTGTTCCTGAGAGTGACAGGGGTTAGCGGAAAGGTGCTTGGAGTCGCGATGTATGTTGCGGATCGGCTATCTGATTCGGGATCGTTGAAATGCGGAGAACCGTCGCGCGATGCGATGATGGAGCCAGGGTTGCTCTGTTGCGGAAGCTCCCGCCGCATAGCATCAAGAGAGTCTAGATGCGGCGATGGTGGTGAGAGGGGAGGGGAAGGTTGGATTTCTTGCCGAGGTTGAGAGTCCCGCCTGTGTCGTCTATTCTTCTCGACGCCCCATACTTTGAATCTTCCTTTGTACATACGATCTCTGCATCAACACTGCCATCAGCCTCATGAACCGGGTTCCTTCATTGACAAAGAAAAGATCTCACGTGGCATTGAATCCATATCTCTCTAGCATGTACGCCCTGATTGCCTTCAACGGGCGATGCCTGTACAGCTTGCATATTTCGGGACGGTGGAACTCCCATTGTTCCGCCGTGGGCGGCGGCGGCGCCGGCATGTTTGCAAGACGACGGCTCAACGACTCTTTGATATCACAGTGCCACTTGACATACGTTGTGATGAGACTCGAGAGGCGGTGGAAGCGGTGAACCGTGGACAATGCGGCAGCTTCGGGTATTGGCATGGGTTTATGAATTGAGTGGCACAGGATGCTAGGGTTTTCCGTATTGGTTCAAGTTCGAATGGGGCGCCCATTGGGACGAGATGCATGTCAGACGAGATGTCCAATCATCGCGAGCTGATTGTGAAGAGGGGTCGCAAGACGCATAATTTCTCACCAGTCACGACAAAGTACCGTACATGAAAACGGGGCAGCTTGTTGGCATCGTCCGCACATTATCACGATTTAGCTATGGCGAACCATTATGTTGGCACCAAGGCAACCTCGAACGGAGTCTGACCCTTGGATAAGGCGACCTCTTGGAGCGAACATTGTCCCTATAACAAGGCGAGTTTTGCACATTCAAGTCGCATCATTTCCATGCGAGCTTTCGATTTGCCCATTCCCTGCAGTGATGAGTTGTCAAAGCCTGAGCCCAGTCAAAGTTGGAGTGATGGAGCCCAATCGGCACCTCCAAGACGGACTGAGATCATACTCGCCAATTGCATGTACATGCTTTTTACCCGCCATACTAATGCGACAGATGTGTAGGAAATTTTCACTTGCATTTTATCGCATTAATTGATCTTCAGTGGGATCTTGGAGAAGCTACGACGGACCGTTTACCTCCGATATTGGCGCCTCACCATTTGATGATGGCTTCATTGGATTCATATCAGTACCTTAGTCACCACAGCACATCAAAAGCCCACTAAGAATGATTTTTTAAGACGGCAAAGAATGATTTGGACAGTAGTATAGACTATAGAGATGCAGTAAAGAAGGGCGAAGTACTTGCATGTGCGATTGTAAGTCTCTTCGTCGATGATAGTTGGCGTGACTGATCAGAGCCCATGATCACCGAACTCAACAGGCCATCACATAAGAGCGGGAAATCTGATGCTGGGACTTGATCATACCTCTCTTTTGAAGGAACGTCTTTGAAAAATTCAAGAATGGAACATGACAGTTACTGATCTGGAGGTTCACGAGCAATCAGTCTCAGCAAAGCAATCAGTCTCAGCAAAGCAGTCTTTACTGCCGTGGATATGAAGAGTGATGTGTATAACAAATTCTAACCCAATCCTTCTCACGTCAGAAATTTAATTGATTGCTTTACTAGGATACTTCAGGTTGACCAGGAAAGCAATTTCACTACTTGACGATATGTTCGAGATAGCTGTCGGAAATACTGACACTCACTGAGTCACTAGGCTGCTGGTAAACTGGAAAACACTTATTACCACTATTTTGTTCTCCTCAGAATAGGGTTAATGAAGAAAATTTCATGCCGTGGAAAAGAAAATTGCTTGTGCCGAGTTTTCGAGATATCCGAACACAACTTATCCTCACTTATATCGTGTTATATGGAAAGTTAGTCCTCAACGTGTTGCATGATACGGCTTTTCTTTTCCCCGTACCATGCGATGAGCACGCCTTTTCCTGTTCGCCACCGATTTTACAAGAGGCGCTCGAGATCAAACTACTCGACAACATAAAGCACTCAATTGTTTCTGTTCTTGAGATTGCGGTCTTTTGGTGTTAAACCGTTTCAAGGTGTAAAGAGTAGCTCATAATCATGCTGCTCTTGAAGAAAACCTAATTCACGTAGTCCTAGTTAGATCTCGAAAACTCGCCCGGAGGAGTAAGTGCAAGCCGATTTACAAATCGTCGGGGAGGCGATTTGACCCCCAAATGATTGTGCAATTCCTCGTGAGGGCTTAGATGGCATGGAGAATGGGGAACAGGATCTCGGAGTAAGCGGCATCACGGAATGATAGGTTGCCGGCAGCATATTGCACTTTTTGCCCGGTAACTCTCATTGTGGCCGGTTACGGTCGGCCCATCCGAATGACCCAAACAGTCTTGATGAAACCAATATTACCCTGCGGCAGACTGAATAGTTCGCATATTCCCCTGCATTCTTCAGGTAGGGCAATCGGACATACGCGGCTTCAGTTGAGCTGAACGTGGGGAAGACGCTTTGACTTACGCAACTCAAGTCCCCTGCTATTATTCAGGAGTCTGCGTGGGCTTCGCCGCAAAGGGTGGGCTTCTCGCGTTCGGCATAGACGATCCCTGGGCGGAGCCGATGCCGGGGCTTGCGGGAGGCGGGGGCCCGGTTCCCGTCGTTCCGGGCCGGGCTTGTGGGCGCCCTGTCCGAAGGTTAAAGCGGACGGTCGCCCACATCGCTTTCGCTTTTTCGCGCGATGCGTGCTGTCCTCGTGAGCTGCACCACCTTTTCTTGGCCGCGCGTTGAGGCTGACGATGATATCTATGCACGACGTCCGCTGAAGTGCGATGACGCTATGCTGTTGTCTACTCGAGAACACCATCTTTTTGGCGATGCGACCATCCTCCACCAACTCGGGATATTTCTAAGCGCCAGCGATCTGCCCCCCAATATGCCGACGACCTTCGATGCGACTATTGGATTAACCCCGGCCTAGGCCCGACGCATACGCGTCGTCTACCCATCGCTATGTACACGTCCAGCAACGGTCTAGTTGACGATCTAGGCCTCCGAAAGATCACGATACGAGCCATTCCCGGTGAGCTTGCGCAAGAGAGTGGCATCGATCGTCAAGCTGAACGGATACATGGCAATCCAGCTGAGTCTGAGCTTCCTGCGAGCGGAGTTACCTAAAACAGAAGGCGGTGTCAAGCTGTTGATATCCGGTTCATGTATAGGGGTGAGCTCAAGGACTTATGGAAAGTTCCTGCTCTGCTCGCGGATTTAACGATAAGCCGGTATCTAAATCAAGCTGTCTCTAGGCCGAAAAGCACAGTCGCAATCGCAACTGAGTCGCCCGACTATCCAAGACTTCAGCGTTACTGCTGCTGGGCTTCTTGCCCATTACATGGTCTTCGGCAATCTAGCTGTCTCGTCCGCGAGGAAGATAACTTCTCTCCGATACTACGCCTTTCGAGAATGCTCGCCAATTCATAGCGACATTTGTCCCTGCGGTGGTAGCCTCATACTTGGGTTCATGGACCCCGAACCTTGAATGATACCGTATGCATATGATTCCGTCGGCCTGAGAGAGGCTGTTTTAGTGCTGATGTTGAGCTTGCTCGGGCCATCACCTCATGATCTCCTTTCTCAAGCTTGAGGACAATGCTCCATCTTTGCCACTCGAACTCAGTTCTCCGGGCCACCGTGGCATCGTTCCATATGTGCCCTCCATCTGCGGTGACCATAACCTCGATGACTTCGTCATGGCACCACGCCCATCCTTCAATCCGCACCTCAGGCCCGTGCAGGACTGCATCCGGCTCCGGCCTCGTGATGATGGAGTTCACCTCAACTTGCCACACAGGTCGCGTTCTCTTACCTTCGGCATCGGTCGGATCGATTTCGTTGTAGAAGGTAGTCGTGTAAGGACCACTGGCCCGTCTGTCCCGGAACGATATGCGTGATAACCACTTCGTCATACTTGTCCCGAACCAGCCGGGTACCACAAGTCTCACAGGCCCGCCACGTTCTTTACCAACAGGCTTTCCATTCATTTCATAAGCGACGAGGACCTCTTCTCTCAGAGCCTTCTCCATCGGTAAGTCTTTCTGATACCGATCGGCCGTGACACCATGAAAGGTGCCGTAGTCGAGTCCCTCAGACCAGACGAATATTGCTTCGGGAGAGGGTCGCGCGAGCTGCATGAGATGCGAAAGGCGGACTCCGGTCCAGACTACGTTCCCTATGCGCCAGACTGCTTCCGTTGGTGGTTTCAGCGGGCTGCCGTAGCATTCGTGGAAGGCCTTCACGGACCGCCGGGGTAGTTGTCGAAGCTGGTCGAAGGTCAGGGCGAAGGGTCGTTCCACGAGTCCGTCGACTACGAGGAGCCATCGCGCTTTATCGATTACAGCTGCTCCCATGTGAATCGTCTGGAAAAGCTGGTCTTCGGGGGTAAAGAAGGAGCTGAGTAGGTGAGGAGCAGGCGGATGTCGGATGAAGAAGCCTTCCGGGTTGATTGAGAGACACGCTTCTCGCTCTCTCCCAGTCGGGGGAACAGTGGAAAGGGCCATGTTGACTGCGGTGGTGTCCTCAAACTCTACCTCCGACAATATTTCACAGGAAACCCGACATTGCCGTCATGCGGATTCAAGTCAGCACTCGACCATTAACCAACCTGACCAATGGGTTATTCCACTGTCATATCTGCGTGACAATCGTTGATCTGTAGTTTGCAATTGCTGTTACATTCAGCAAGGTGATTATCAAACTTTGGGAGAATCAATGGAGGAGTCAAAATAAGCTAGGCCACACACCCTGACCTCGGGGTTTGATGAGGCCTGAACGCCGATGCCCAAGCGGCATTGGCGGATTAGTTTCCGCCATCAGCTTTGGGGAAGTCGGAGACCAGAAGAAGTTCCGAAGCCGTCAATTACGCCCTGTTCGAAAGTCTGCGGCATCATGAATTCATTTATCGCGACATCATCGAACAACAGAACCCGGGAGCACCGGACCCGTGGCTTAAAGACGGCAAAAGTCACTTGACAGCCGATCTTGAGTCAATAACCAGCCGCCCTCGAGCTACTCCCGGTCTCTTCGCGACCCAGACATCAGCCACAATGTCGACTCCAATTCGCATCGCCACATGTCACGTCTCGCCCGTCTTCCTCTCCGCCCGACGAACAACCGACAAGGCCATCTCTCTCATTGAGCAAGCGGCCAAGAATAACGCCAACCTCGTCGTCTTCCCCGAAACATACATCTCAGCATTCCCAATCTGGTCGGCCCTCAGACCACCAACCGACAATCATGACCTCTTCAAACGCATGGCCCTCGAGTCCGTCTACGTCGATGGCGACGAGGTCAACGCCATACGCAACACGGCCAAGAAGCTGAACGTCATGGTCAGCGTGGGTATCTCGGAGAAGGTGCGCTCGAGCAGCGCGACGCTCTACAACTCCAACGTCATCATCGGCAGCGACGGCGAGATCTTGGTTCACCACCGGAAGCTTATGCCGACCTTCTTTGAAAAGTTGACCTGGGCGCCTGGTGATGGGTACGGGCTGCGGCTGGCCGAGACGCGGTTTGGCAAGATTGGGAACTTGATCTGCGGCGAGAACACGAACCCTCTCGCGAGATACGCCTTGATGTCGCAGGGAGAGCAGATTCACATCTCGACATGGCCTGCGATTTGGCCTACGAGAATCCCGGCGCCAAAAGCTTCCTCTGGGAGTGAGGGGGGTTCCAGCGTGGCCAAGGGAGCCAACTACGACAACGTTGCTGCGAACAGAACCCGTGCTGCAGCGCACTGCTTCGAGGCGAAGTGTTTCGGGGTTCTCTGCTCAGGGGTTCTTGGCGAAGATGCTGTCGATATCATATCGTCGGGTTCAAGCCAAGCTGAGGCTGTTGCCCAGGCGCTGCAGAACTCCCAGCGCGGTGCAACCATGTTCTTGGATCCGGCAGGGTCGTTGCTGCAGGGATTCACGATTGACGCGGACACGAAAGAGCAGAAGTCTGTTGAGTTCCTGCAGGCCTCGGAGGACATTCTGTATGCGGATATGGACGTTGGGGATTGTATCGAGGGCAAGCAGTATCACGATGTTGTCGGAGGATATCAGCGGTTAGATGTGTTTGACTTGAAGGTTGATAGGAGACGACGCGAGCCGGCGACCTTTACGGGTGATATTCTGGATGTAAAAATAACCAGCAGCGAAGATTCTGGAGCGTATAAAACCTCCGATCAGTAGACATTTATGAGATTTGTGGCAGGGGGAATGACATCCTAGACATCACTTGGGAGCCTGATACCCTTGGTGAACCTGAATCCAGTAGTAATTGTACGTTTCCTACAAGAAAACTGATTCACTATCTCGACTTATTGACTTCCTTTAAGTTCCGCGTTGAAAGAGATGACGTTCGATCGAGATGCCAAATTTTCAGACGCTTCAGAAATGGTTCGTCGCATAAATCTGAGACTCATAGTAATACCACCCCGCTCATATCACTCCCAGCAAATGCCGTCCGATTGTCGTCTGGACGTCCAGATAGGGAATTGGCCGGCTCCTTTGACGAAGCCGCAGTTATCAGACCTCAAAATGGTTCGTCTCATCATCTACCAGCCAGCTAGATGTGGTTCTCTGCTGTGTGTATCGGCGGCAACTACGGCGGGATATCCGCCACCAATACTGACCTAACGACTAGCATCAGACTTTTTCATATTCCCAAGCTCTCCACAGATAACGCTTCCCCAGATCAAGTCGAGTGGAACGCCAATACCCCAGAGTACCGTCACCAATCAGCTTATACGCTTGCCTTGGGCAGACCTCCTTATCTTGGCAAGTTGTGACGACTGTCTCGCCGGCTTTTGGGCCGATAGAAGCAGGAGAAGAGGTTCGTTGATGGATGAATAGCAGGCTCTCTATAAGACAAGCCGCTGTGCTCGACCCAGCATCGGACTGCCAACAGGCTCAATCATCTCGGTCATCAACCCCATCTCGCCATGTCACCATTCAGCCTAGCTTCCCTCCGCATGAGTCTGAGCACGGCTCTAGTCGTCTCAGTATGCGTCGTCGACTCTGTCACCATCGCTTACGACGGCTCACTCATGGGCTCTCTGAACGTCATGGCATCGTACCAGAAGTACTTTGAGCTCACCACCGCCACCACCGCCGTCAACACCTGCGCAACCTTCCTGGGCGCCATCCTCATTGGGCCTTTCACCGGCATGCTCATCGACTGGAAGGGACGAAAGGTCGGCCTCTACGCTTCTGGTATCGTCAACATCATCGGAGCCATCATTGCGGGAGCCGCCGTCAACATCGCCATGTTCATCGCCGGACGCTTGATCATCGGAATCGGTGTCGGACTGGGACAGACGGCTGCCGGAACATACGTCGCGGAAACGACTGCGCCTTCGATACGGTCTCTGGCATTGGGATTGTACTTCTCGTGCTGGGCAGTTGGAGCTCTGCTCGCTGCTGGGATCTCTTACGGGGTGCGTCTTGAATGCTTCAGCGTATTATCATACGGCTAATCCCTCTTTCTACCACGCAGTCTTCAGCACTTGAGCCGTCTGACTGGGCTTGGAGAGTCCCGTCAATCTTACAAGCCGCGCCGCCCCTCTTCGTCATGATTCTCATCTATTTAGCCCCCGAATCACCCAGATGGCTAGCCTTCCAGGACCGAAGAGATGAGGCCCTCGAGGTCTTGGCTAAGGTAAATGGAGGAAACAACGATGACGAGAACGTGCAGATGCAGTTCAGAGAGATCATCGAGACACTAGAGTACGAGAAGAGGGAGGGTCAGGCTCTGGGGTTGAAGGGAATGGTTCGCAAACCCAACCGCAAGCGCCTGCTACTGGCTTTATCCGTTGCTCCGCTGGCCATGTTGACAGGATCCAACGTCATCACGTAAGTTCAGCAGTTTCAATCTCCATCGGGGCGAGATGCTGACACGAGTCAATTTGCAGATACTATTTCGGCCGAATGTTGAGCCAGGCTGGCATCACGGACTCGACGACACAGCTCCAGATCAACGTCATCCTCTCCTCCTGGCAACTGGTTGTCGCGGTTACGGGATCAACTCTCGCGGAGAAGCTCGGCCGAAGGCTTCTCGCTCTGGGTAGTCTCGGGGCATGCTCCGCGTTCTTCTACCTCCTCGCCGGTCTCACGGCCAAGTTCGGGACCTCGGGAGACAAGGCCGGCACCTATGGCACGATTGCTTGCATCTTCCTCTTCCTGGGGACGTACTCCTTTGGCATCACGCCCCTCACGGCCATGTACGCGCCTGAGGTTCTATCTTACAACATGCGCGCCAACGGAATCGCGATGCAGGGTATCCTAATCAAGTCGTGCGGCGTGCTGGTGTCCATGGCGTTCCCGTACCTGTTTGAGAGCATCGGGTGGAAGACGTACATTGTCAACGCGTCGTGGAATATCCTTATATGGCTTTACGTCTACTTCGAGTGGGTTGAGACCAAGGGATTGACGTTGGAAGAGATCGACGTCCTGTTTGACAGCCAAAAGGCGGTCCAGACCATCGAGGAGGGTGTGCTGAAACCAGTCGCCGAGCAGCGTCCTTGAAGATAGTTAGTTGTGTGTGCGTGTATTGAAGGCCGACCGGCGATGATCGAATGCCAAGACCTCGGGGAGGGAGCTATGTCCAATAACGCTTTTATTTTCGGTAGTAAAGAAATCGTATAAAGTGTTGTAATCTTGAATCTGATTGGTGGAACGCGGTGACTTTACAACCTAAGTTTAAACCCACGACGAAACATAGTCGTATTCGCCTCTACAACCTCGGCCTACGGATACATATCCCGGGATAACACCGCATTGGGAATTAAGCCTATTTGTACGACCTCCAAGCTTCGCCGTTGCAACTCACAGCCTACCACACACACATGAACCGCCCGAGCGACTGTAGCAGATCCTGAACATCGCTTAGCCAAGCCCAAAGTCTTTGTTAAAGACTAAGCCTCAACTTCCCGAACTGTTACCGACGAACATGTGCTATGGCCTCGGACCCTAATTCCGAGTCAGGCCTACCGCAGTCAGTAATTACGCACAACTAAACAAGGTCGAGTAGCTAAATTCGGGGCGACACGGGATCAAGCATCTCCCCGGAGCTAGTCCGGGAATGTACCCACTTGTGACTACATTAAGGCGGGAGGGCTCCCGCCGTTCCCGCCCGGCTGGGTCCCGCCGCTCCGCCGCGATCGAGAGACCTATCTTTTCTTTCCAGATGTCCCCCAAAGCTCCTCTGAAGGCCAAACATCTCAGATGCAAGACCCGTCATGCCGACGGGATAGACATCATGGAGCCTCAGAAGCGGAAAAGAACCGCCGTCGCCTGTCACTATTGTCGCAGAAGGTATGTGCGCTTACGGCGGCTTATACATCCGCTTATACCGCTTTTCACCAACATCTCAAGCCACGGCGGATGCTATTCGGCGCCGTCAGATGGCGTTGGTTGGGTCGGGTTGAGAGAGAAAATCTGTCGTGTTGCTTTTTGGCGTATCGCGGAATCGTGGGGTCTGACATCCGCTGCGTGTTTTAGGAAACGGAAATGTGATGGGAGACAACCGATTTGTACGCTATGCGAAGAGGCAAATAACTCCGAATGCGAGTATCCTATCACCGAGGAGAACAAGTAAGTGGTATTCTCAACGAATTTTGTCTTCGGTTCGAGAGACACAGACAGAGCCGTCATCTCTGGGTCAACCGGCAACTCACCACGTGATTTCCAGAAGATCTATCTCGGTTGACCAAACCCACGAGATCCTGGACCGCCTGCAGAGACTCGAGGATCACTTCACAACGTTCTCAAACATATCCCTTGGGAATCACGTACAGCCGGACGACGACTTCACCCCGCACTCGTACGGGCCACCAAGTCACGAACCGTCTCCGGAATCCGCCTTCGCGTCTCCAGGCTACGCACCACTTTCAGTCGACCCGGCAATCCATGTCTCCCCTACCTCGGCTGCCGCCGCCGCCGCCGCCGCCGCCACCACGCCGGCGGTGGCTCTCGCCTCCCGCCAGAGGAGCAGCGCGGGAACGGACACCTGCATCACCGCCCCCATGGCGATCCCCATGTCCCACTCCACCACCACAGGGAGCCTCCTCCAGTCCAGATCCGCCAAGGCGCTTTTGGGTGACTATCCCGCCGACGTGTTCCTCCGCGTCGAGAGCAAGCGGGTGATCCCCGAGCCTCTTTCACTAACGCCCATACCCCTGGACCGAATCACCTTTCCAGAAATCGACGTCGAGACGGCTCTTCCGCTGGTCAACAACTTCTTCGACCTCGTTAACCCGCAGCACCCCATCCTCGACAGGGAGGACTTCGAGCAGGTTTATCAAGATGTCGTGGAAAACCAGCCGTTCCAGCCCGATCTCCGCACCGCGCTGGTGCTGGTCGTCATGGCCCTCGGGAAGGCGGCGGTGGATACGCCCGACCTGACGCAGGATGCTTGGCTCCCCGGAGTTGAGCTCTTCACGCCCGCGATGAAGGTGCTCCTGGCGACGTGGTTCGACGCGTTCGGCGATGACCTCTTGTTGCCCCAGGGTTTGTACCTTGCGGCTCTGTACTACAGCTACTTGTCGAGGCCGCTGCAGGCGTGGAGGCTGACGCACCTGGCCTCGACGAGCATACAGCATTTTCCCATCCGGTACGCGTCCTATGAGTTTATGTTTGTGTTATGCATCATGCAAATGTGCTGACGACCATGCTACTTCACCAGGCACCGTGCCATGCGGCAACCCCTCGAGGAAACCCACAAACATCAGCCAATCACCCGGCTGTGCTGGGCCATCTTCGTCCTAGAATGGTATCTTTCCCCTTTTCAAATCTCCCAGGATCTCATCGAGTAGCACGCGCGTTTGTTGATTCCATGTGCAAACTAACACAAACCCCCCTAAACCCAGCGACATCGTGGCCGAGCACCACCTCCCCCGAAGCGGCATAGACCAAGTCATCGAGAACCTCCCCTTCCCCCGCTGCGGCAACCCGCCCGACCCCGCGATGCTGTACTGGCTAGCGGACCTATCCGCCCGCCGCCTGCTCAACAGGATACACCACGTCATGTACGACACGGCGAGCCTGGCCACGCCGAACCCGACGGGCGACCTGGCGGAGGGGGCGTCGCCGACGGAGCCGTCCGCCTCCTTGGTTTCCGTGTCGGCGGAGCTGAGCCACCAGTTGGGCGCGTGGTACGATCTGCTGCCGTCCATCATCAAGCCCGACCTGAACAACCCCAGTCCGAGCGTCGACGAGGCCATCATGATGTTGAGGTACCACGCGGCGGGTGACATCATCTTCCGCCCGTTTCTGCACCAGGTTTGCCGGATGGCGCCGGGCGTGACGCCGGCGGAGTCCGTGGTGGAGAACGCGAAGCGGTGTTTGTACCACTGTCGGCAGTTTCTTGCCGTTGCTGAGCATCGTCTGAAGGGGTCTTGTGGCTCTCTCGAGATTGTGCTGTACTCGTAAGTCGATCGGTCGTTTTGTACGGCCTCCTCAAACTTGGTCACGGATTGCTGACGGGGACGACTCAGAACACTCGCGGTGATTCTGTTGCTGACGCTAGCTTCGTTATCCCCGATCCTTTCATCGACCGTTCCGGACATCGATAGGTTGCAGAATCATGCTATTGCGTTGGTGGGGAGATGGGCGTTTCCTGGGTCGAGCATCGAGAGCATGTTGTCGATCTTGCGCACGATGCGTTCCAAGTATCAGATCTTTTACTAGGAGCGTCGCTACAAAACAACAGGAAAAGCGACTGCGTCGAGACGCACACCGAAAAAAACAGTAGCCATGAATACTGTGGCAAACCAAAAAGAAGAGCAATGTTAATACTGAAGTAATGCGAGGACGTGGCCCAGAACTCTCTTGTGTGACGATGCTGAGATGACGAGTCTATTTCGAAACAGGAAAAAGCAGCAGCGCAGGAAAAAGCTTCGAATTGCAATCACTCGACTGTGACATTGACCTCCGCCACGATGTCTCGCGAGCTGGTACCGACGAAACATCTGTAAAGTCCCCGATCAACTCTCCACTTTCCACCCGAACCGGGGCCGCCCTTGCCCTCCACGTCAAACCATGCAAAGGCTTTCGTGTCGATGCTGATCGAGATTGTCCTAGACTCTGCGGGCGCCAGCGTGATCTTCTGGAACCCAGCGAGAGACTTCGGTGCGCAAGGCCGGCCTAGCTCCTTGATGGCAGAAGAAGGGGAGACGTAGATCTGCAGGACCTCACTGCCTTGGACATCGCCGATATTGGTGACAGATGCGATGACGGTTGCGGAGGATCCCTCCGACGTTACGCTTCCATGTACTGCGACCTCGCTGATGTGGAACTTGGTGTAGGACAATCCAAACCCGAACGGCCACAGAGGATCAGTCTTTTGATCGTCGAACCAGCGATATCCAACCAAGACCCCTTCTCCGTATTCCGCGTAGTCATTCTCGGCATCGCCAGGAAACCACTTGTGGGAGCCGTGGTCCTCGATTCTTCGCGGAAATGTCAGGGGTAGCTTGCCAGAAGGGTTGACGGAGCCGAAAATCACATCCGCAATGGCGTTACCGCACTCCTGGCCCTGGTACCAAGCGTGCACGATCGCAGCTGGAGCCTCGACCCATGGCATCGCGATAGCACACGCAGACTGTGACACCACTACAACGCTCGGATTCGCTGCTGATACCGCGTCTACTAGATCATTCGTTCGGCGTGGCAGAGAGAGTGAAGTCCGATCCGAGCCTTCACGCTCGGTGTCGTTGTTGTGTCCGACGACAAGAACGACAGCATCCGCATCCCTGGCAGCAGCCACCGCATCACGGAACATCTTCTCCTCGTCATGCCGGAACAACATACCCACGCGGACGCCTGAGATCTTGTGGAAGAGGGTGTTGTCGTGAGGCTTCGTCGGCGGCGGGACCACGACATTGTCGACCCTGAGTCTGTACGTCTTACCAGCCTCGAGCTCTCTGCTGGCAAAGACCTCGACGCTGCCGCAGTTCATGAAGTTGCCGCTGATCTGCGTCCAGTCTCTGTTGTCGATCAGCAGCTCGTCGTTGATGAAGAGCTGAGCCTTGCCGGTGTTGGAGAGGCTGAAGTCGTAGATGCCCGTGACGCTAGGGCGGAGTAGGCCGGTGGCCCTGTAGCTGTAGCGGGTGCCGCGTAGGGAGTCCGGCACGTCGCCATCGCTCATGAAGTAGACGAGGGAGTTTTGCCAGTTTGAGGATGCCACGACCTCTCCTTCTAAGCGATCGCCGGCGAAGAAGTCTACGCGAACGCCGGGAGCGCCGGTCTTTGGGTTGGTGAGGCAGTCTCCGATCAGGGGCGGTTGGAGATGCGTGAAGATGCCGCGTTCGTGGGTGATTTGGATGTCTGGGTTCGCGGCCTTGGCAGCTTGGCTGAGTGATTCGAAAGGGGTGGTGATGTAGTACGGGTTCACGATGGCGCTTCCGGTACCACCAGCTGTCGGTGTTTTGGCATTTGGGCCGATGATGGCGAGCTTGCGAGTCTTGGAGGGGTTGAGCGGGAGGATGCCTGTGTTCTTGAGAAGGACGATACCCTGCGAAGCTGCCTCTCTAGCTGTTTGGCGGGCCTGAGGGGTGTCGGATTCGCCCTCGTTGGCATCGGCGGTTGATACATGGGTGCCGTTTGTGCCGTTCTGCTTTGGATTATCGAGGAGCTGAGCTCGAGCGAGAAGTCGTAGGAGGCGTCCAACGGAGGGATTGATGTGCTCGTCCTCGGAAACAGCCCCGGCTTGAACGGCTTTCAACAAAGCTCTTCCGTACCGTAGTGGAGGACCCGGCATCTCCAAGTCTGTGGTGGCGCGTATACTGCCGACGGTCGAGTTCAAGCCGCCCCAATCGCTCATGACCAGGCCATCGTATCCCCATTCCTGGCGGAGAATGTCGTGAACAAGAAAGCGACTGGTGTCGGCGTGTTCGCCGTTGATCTTGGGGTAAGCCACCATGGCCGTCCAAGGACCAGCTTCGAGTACCATCTCAAAGGGCTTGAGGTAGATCTCCCGCAAGGTTCGCTCGTCGATTTGCTCGTCCATGTTGAAGTGTCTGGTCTCCATGTCGTTGGCGACATAGTGCTTCATACAAGCCCCCACGCCTTCGCTCTGAACACCGCGGATGTAGGCGCCAGCCATCGTTCCCGTCAGATAGGGGTCCTCGCCGAAATTCTCAAAGTTGCGGCCGCCGAAAGGGGAACGACTGATGTTCATAGTCGGGGCGAGCAGTACATGAGCGCCTTTCGTCTTGGCCTCGGCACCCAGTATCTTGCCGACCCGTTGAATGAGGTCTCGATCGAACGTCGCTGCGAGCGAGATGCCACAAGGGATAAACGTCGTGTGAGTTCCATCTGTCCATCTAGAACCCCGGACGCCAGCTGGGCCGTCGCTTGTCTTGAGGCTGCGGATTCCTAGACGCGGGATGTCTGCGGTCTCCCACATGTTCTTGCCGGACAAGAGAGTGCATTTCTCCTCCAGAGTAAGAGACGCAAGGATCCTATGGACCAGATCGTCCAGGTCAGGCTGTGGCCTGTCGTAGGAGTTACCAATGGCCATCTTGAGAATCAGAGGTTAGCTCGCTCGAAACAAGAACAAGGCCCGAACAGTGGCGTCGAGCAAAGCATTGATATCATGCCCAAATTGCGATAACATGTTGATTTAGGTACCGAAAGCAGTCCACTCTATATACAGAGAGGTACGTCTGGCGGCGCGCCGCCATCATCGAGGAGGACGCTCCATGCACGTCGAGAAACCCGCATCAGCGCTCCAAGCATCGGATCATTGTGCTATGCCGTCAAACATTAACAAGACGACGCTAGATGCGGAAGCATGAGCCGCCAGTTCGCCGTCGAGGACAGCATGGTTCACGGTCTTGGTTGTGTCTGAGGCGGATAAGCTTTCCGCCGCCGGTGATGGTGGATTGAGTGACGACGCGTGTTTCTTTAGACGGCGGGAAGTTGGCGGAATTGCCGCCAGCACTAAAAACATGGAAGTGGTGAATCCGGATTTTCCGCCCACTTCACGAGATGCCTTATGTCAGCGATAGCTGATGTCAGCAGGAGCTGACATAATGGCAAATAGATCACGTGTCCATGCCCGTGACCCCGCGTTCAGGTCGTATCTAGAAGGTCCGTGCACAAGCTGTCGGAGTCGCAAAGGGCAGGTTCTAGGGAGAAGAGGCGACTGCCGCTTGCGACTGAAAGTTAAACCCAAATCCCACCAAATTGTCCAATTCTTTTCTTGCGCTTTGCAAAATTTTCCCTCGAGACAGCTTGAGCGACTTCTCCAATATCTCCCTCCTCAGAATTCCGCATTCCTACACTGTATTGTTCTCACGACACTCCCTCCCGCCACTCTGCCCCTCCATCGCGATCGCAGTCACTATGGGGGCCCCCGCCGCAACCGCCCCGAGCTCGACGACCCGCTCGCCTTACGGCAATGCATACACTAAGCCCGTAGGAGGGATACCCACATACCAAACGACAACAGTAGGAGCTTCGCCGTTGGGTAAGAGGAAGGCTACCGACGCCGACGATGCCTCTCCCACCAAGAAGACCAAGACGAAGGATGCTGGTGGCGAGAAGCGACTGCGCCGATTCCGTGCGAAGCCGCCTCAGAACTTCCACGAGGTGTATAGCCGAGCTACGTCTCAGAGGTACGAGGCGATGACTATTTTGCGACGATCTTCTACTCACTCAGTGCCGCAGATTCTACGTTCTTGAGCGCCGCCGATGCGGCACCGCCGAGGTTCCTGAGGAGGAGGTTGAGCTGACGGGATCCACCGGCAACATCTACACGGTCAAGATAGCCCAGCGTCCGTCCTGCAGCTGCCCGCACTTCCTCAAGGGCAACCAATGCAAGCACTGGCTCTACGTCATGTCTCGCGTCCTCCGCGCCAAGTTCGAGCACACATACCAACTCGCCCTCCTGACGAGCGAACTGAAGGAGATCTTCGACCGCGCCCCTCCAATCGAGGACCCTTCCGAACCCTCCCAAGACAAGAACCGCAAGCCTGTGGAAGGCGATTGTCCTATCTGCTTCTGCGAACTCGAGGCCGACAGCCAGGAAACCGTCGTTTGGTGCCGCGCCGCCTGCGGCCAGAACATCCACAAGGAGTGCTTTGAGACGTGGGCTGCGACGAAGCGCAAGGGAGGTCACGGCAATTCGGATGTCACCTGCCCGTACTGTCGGAGTGTCTGGCAGGGCGACGAGGAGATGGTGAAGAAGATCAAGAAGGGCGGACAGGCTACGTCCGAGGGCTACGTCAATGTAGCCGATCAACTGGGTATCAGTACCCACAGAGGTATGGTCGTCTTCTCTTGTCCACTTGGCTGGAGCTAACCTAGCATCACAGACTATAGTACCTATTCGAGATGGTGGAGAGGACCTCAGTATTGAACTAGGTTGGACTCGCAGCCTCTTTTTATTGTCTCATGAACGGATATCTTTGGGGCCCACGCCGGTGGTAGGATTTCATTTGATTGTATGTTAAAACCATGGATGGGCATGGCACGGCGCGTTGATGCTGAGAAGTGGTTGGGTAGCGCATTTGATGATACCCTTTATTGTATGATTCACTAGCTAGGATTGACCTTGACTTGAACTGGTCATTCCGAGTGATAATGAGGAAGCTCACACACGATCATGGCATAATGACCAGGTATTACTCGTGGTTTACATTGATAGGAACGGACCGCTCACTGCATGCTTACTGCGACTGCTTCTCCCTCTCCGCCTTAAGCTTCGCATCCTCCTCCTCGTTCTTGGGAACCTTCACAAAAGCCGGAACCGTGACAGCGTTAAGCTTCCTCAGCGCCTGCAAAAATGTCAGCGACGTCTCACCCCCACGAGAAACCTCCGCCTACCCAGAAGGGCCGCCACAACGAAACTCGACAGAAAACCGCCACCCCGACCTGCCTCAGCAACCCGACCACCTTCCACGCCGCATTCGAAAACGACACATTGAGAGCCTCACGTACCTGAGAAAACGCATTGTCCGGAAGCTCGTTGTTCCATTTGTCGTTCACCTTGGCGATCTTGCCGTCGTCGCCGACCTGGATCTGCACGACGCTCTCCATCGTCTGCTCCGACTTGATGCCCTTGACCGTGTACTTATTCTTCAGGTTCAGCTCGATCGGGTTGCCGGCCGAGGTGACGGTGTGCGACTGGATCTGGATCGGGTTGAAGAGCGCGGGGAGTCCGTACCACTGCGCGGCGAACTTGTCGAAGCCCTCGGCGACGGTGATGTTGTCCTGGAAGGTGGCGTTCTTGGACCACAGCGACAGGTGCTTCAGGGTCGGGTTTCCCTCGAAGAGCTAGACCCCCCGGTCACATTAACCTCGCGATGCTTTTCAAGGGGTGCGGGGATCATGCATGCTTACATCGAGCACGCTGCCGACCAGCACCTTCTGCTGCTGCGACAGCGAGACGCCGGATTTCTGGACGATGTCGGTGTTCTTGATGCCGATGGACTCGAAAGAGGGAGCGTTGTCGGAGGCCGAGGCCTGCGCCTTGGCGGTTTCTGAGGGGGTTCCGGCGGACATGTTGCGTTGGGCTTGTTTTGCGAGGTTTTTTGTCTCTGGGTGAGTTAGGACTGACTTTGCGATGCGGCCGGCGGTAGAGTGCATGGGTGCTGCGATGTTGAGTGAATGAAGAAAGACGATGAGTGAGCGGCAAATTCTAAGAGAAAGGTTCTGGGGAATCTGTGGCGTTGGATGAGCTCAATCATGTCGCAGACAGAGTCTTGGACGTGTTCGTCGCGTCACTGGGCTTGGGAAGGGACATGATGATGGCGGGTGACGTCATGACTTGGGCTTTGGGGAAGGAATGCGCCCCGAGTTCCGTTTCGTAGGAGAATGCGAGATGCTGCTTTGGGAGTTTGGAGTATTGGATGAATGAGGTCTGGGTGATGACACCGGTTTGCTACTGCCTTCCGTGGACTTTTGTTGAACTCCGAGTACCGGGCCCGGCAGGAATGCTACTTCCGGGGCTTAGGCCGCTCCATGGACCCACCTTTCCGCCGATTAGTTCGGTCGGCACCCGGAGGAGAGATAGACTGTGGTCCGACGCAACGCACGTCTGACTGCTTTGTCTTTGACGACTAGAGTTTTCCCACGGTAACTCGCCAGCTTTTATCGAGATGCAACAGCTCGCGAAATTGGTAAGTGCAATGCCTCTCGGACTTCCAGTCCACCATTCTCGTACCGCGCGGGACACGTCTTTCAGCTCCGTCACGGCTTGCATCAAGCCAACTCTCCCATCGCAGCGCAGCTCTCAATCTCCCACAACAAATTCTGAGGCTTTGTTTCTGAGATGTCCGCGCCAAGTTGTTAATTTTGTCGATGCGATAAGGACCATGAACCCAGCCGAATCATTGGTCGTTCTCCGAGGTTGATGCAGGCCGGGGAGCGGGGCAAAATTCAACATTTCCTTCGACAGCACAACCCGCAATGACCCATAAATAGCCTTCAAATTGTCCCATCTGCATGGATTATCCCATTGACGTCACGCATCGTGTCATGCAAGGTTAAAGTTGTCCAGTGGAGAACCCTCAAGTTGCGATCAGCAGCTGCTGCCCGCGAGACCGAACGCCGTTGCCGCGTGCCGAACCAAGTAGGCATCCTCATCGCATGATCGTATCGATGTTTCCCATCGCCCGTCAATTTGAAACCCTCCTCCTATAATTCCAGTATCCAAAGTCGCATTGCTCGCCCGACAGCTCGGTCACCCCGACTTATAACACAGCACCCTATCAGCCGCAAGAACCATTTCTGAACCGCGCACAACACTTGGCTTGATAAGCTTATCCCCTGAGGAAACTTGCTTGGCTCATCAAGCTTTTTCATCTGAAGTGATTGCGCTCAACAATCAGACGACGCCGCGCCTTACAGATCAGCACACAAACCGAGTCATGCCGCGATGTTGGACGAAGAGGTTGGCGATATGGAGCTATTCTCACCAGAACTATCGAGCTGCGCGTCGTTGATCACTTCTTGGCAGGTCCGGATCAGATGCCACCGTGACAAAGCGTCCGCACTCCGCAGCGAGAAGGGCCGTCTGGTCGGCAACCGACGTGTCACCTCGGTTCCTGACATGAAAACCGGGGGCTGATTGCGACTCTGGCGACCTCCCAACTTCAGATGATCCGTTTTTGCGTGAACTTTAAACTGCCACTAAGCTGGGGGTGAACCAGGCGAACGGTAAAGATGTGCAGTCGGCGGATAACTAGCTTGGTCGACTAGCGCAGGCCATTCCGGTGTTGTGGGTGCGGAGAGACAGACGACACGCGACTGTTAAGCGCGGTGTAAGAGGCATCATGCCGGTCGTTGAATATATCTGAGGCACACAAACGATGGGAATGATCTCGAGCTGAATGAGGGGAAGGTAGGAACGGCTTCGGATTAAAAGCTGCCCAAAGCTCTCTTGCAACCAGGGGCTTCAGCTGAAGGCATTCCCCCCGCCGCCGAACTTACCCCACGAGCGGGATGGCGTTTTGCTGGGAGAGGTGTGGGAGAGATAACCAGGGAGGGTCCATCGCGGGACCTTTACACGATGTATGACTCGTTGCGCTGGTTGTTGTCGGAACTGGAGGACGCCCGTTGTTGCTCTTGCGATTACGAGCAGACAATGTTTTAGAGGAGATCCGCGAAAATACTTGGCATCCTAAGAAAGAGTGAAGCGAAGTTTGCCAATACTGTGTTCGTTCACAGCTATGGTGTTGACAATGGCTTCGTTGGAATAATGCAATATACTTGAGGTTTGGAAGCGCTGCTGCAATTCATGACAAAATGGCTTAGCTTGAAGCGGTTATTAAATTGCAGTCCCGGAATGACGACATGCAAGGAATCCACCCTCCCGCAAGTCCGTGCAAACAATAATCTTAACCTCATCAATTCATCCCGTTGAGAACTGACGAGCACGCGACACTGCAAGGTCAAACAAGAAGTCGCACAAAGAAGACCGCTTCGTTATGTTGATTGAGTATATTTACGCAGAAACGAATCTGAACACGGAACCCCATCCTCACTGGTATCGAATGTCTACATTTTCACAGGTCCCACCATGATACTGTCCCTCCTAATTGTGCTTCCAAATGTTCGATCTAGTTGGCCTCGGCACCCTCAGCACCGCACTTCTTCTCGCAGTAGTAGGTGAACTCATCACCGCCAATGTGCCAGGCCTCCGAGTTGCAGCCGAGACCGTCGAAAGTGCAGTCCGGGCACTTGTCCCATTGCTTGTCCCCGGTGTTGCGCTGCTTGTACATGTCGCAGGCGCACTTTGTCTCGTCGGGGAGAATCTCGTAGTTCTTGACCCAGTTGTAGCTGGGGCTGTAGGGAGTGCCGCCGACGGGGTTGTTGGTTCTTTGCCTGACGCAGACGGCGGTCTTGTGGAGGTCGGCGAAGACGCTGTGAGAGAAGTGTAAGTCAGTGTCATTGTGATTGGGCAGTTGAGGTGTAAGTCAGACGCACCCGACAGCCAGGAGAGCAAAGGAGAAGAACGTGGAGGTCTGCATCTTGATTCGCGGTGGAGGGTGTGTAGAGAAGTGGTGAAAAGCAGTGAGCACGATGAAAGATTGAGACGAATGGAGTGATGATGGATGGGTAAGGATTTGTGGGTAGTTGAGAAGGATGGTCGAGGGAATGCTCAAATACAAGTACGATCTTCAGCTCTGACGATGAAAGACGGTCAGCTCTATCAATAGACTTCGACTTGATCACAACTCGCCATCTTGCGATAGTCGCCGTCACGCCCATCTTTCCGTATCGAGTGTGAACAATCTATTGGGAACCAACTATAGAATCGCATTACTCAGGTTCTCGTGATAGTCTGGCATCCGAAGTTCTCGTTTGCGCCCGATGGTCCCCAGCCGTCGCTTAATTATCTCTCATTCTCCATCGCGTGATGCTCTCTGAATCGTGCGATATGGGGTCGGTTGAATATGCTCTTACTTCTTAGAGTAACTTGCTGTGTTTTAGATGGAGCGAGGCTGGGACTCCCCACGGAGTCGGTGAAGTGTTTCCGTTGGTCGAAGGGCTGATCTTAACTCGTTCGAATATAAGATATTAGACGTTGATAATGCGGAGCAGTGCAGCCTCCAATGATGGGTTGACAATGCTGGTGGTTACCCAATTTATCTGGAGACCTCTCCATGACTCGCTGGGATGGCGCTGTATGCAGCGTGATGGTCGGATGAACTCCACCAAATTTGTAGATTGGTCCGTCTCCGAGTTTATTCGACGTCGATGTAAGTGAAGAGCGAGACCAGAAAATGGTGAGATGAGATGTATGAAGGTCACGGTTAAATCTATAAAGCTGAGACAGATTCCGGCAACTTGGCATTCTCAAACCAACCTTCTCATCAAGCTCCTTTCGCTCAACCACTTCACGCCTTCAAACCACCACTCTATCCGCCCAAGATGGTTTCCGCTGGTTTGCTCAGCCTTCTCATGGCCACGGTCGTCAGCGCCGCTCCTCACCTCACAATGCGCAACGTGAACGCCACGAACACGAAGTGGACCCCGGATCGCAAGCTCGGCGCCGACGATGTGATCATCTACAACAATGGCCAGAGTGAGTTCATCTGAGACTCAAGTCGTACGAATAATGCCTTACTGACATCAAATCTTTGCAGTGGAGGTCGTTCATGAGAAACAATACCTCGCCCTGCTCGAGAAGGAGGGCATCAACCCCGAGACCCCCAAGTTCGACCAGGACTGGATCGACAGCGCCGCCCACCTCGCTCCGGTCGTCTTCAACGAGACCTCGGACTCCAACCTCCACACCCGCGACTGCTCCAGCACCTTCTCCCTCACCACCGACAAGACGGAGCGCTTCGTCAACTGGGATGTGCAGATGGCGCCCGTCGTCATCGGTTTCGGCAAGGGCATCGACGTCTCCGTCGCCTCGTCCTACTCTGTCTCGAACTCGGTTACTGGCAGCGCCGGAGTCGACATCAAGGCCATCTCTGAGCGTCTTGGCCTGACCTTTGGCGTGGACTACTCCCGCACCTGGACCACCCAGGCCACGGTCACCGTTCGCGGCACCATTGAGAACGGGTGGACTGGCACGGTCATCACCCGTCCCTGGACCACGCGTCGTTCTGGACGTACCTTCCAGGGATGCCCTGGGTCTCTGAAGCAGACTGGCACTTGGATCGCGGATGCGTACGAGGAGGGCTCCTATGAAGGTGTCAAGTGGGTTGGCGGTGCCATCACCGTCTGTGCCAAGCAGCAGAAGGAGATTCCTCTTTCCCGCTGCAACGGCTCTGGAAACTTCAAATAAGGAATTTGAAGTCTTACCCATGAGCTGTGTTGGTCATATATCTGGCAGTGCCACATACGTTTGGAAACGATTTAATGGGATGTTTGATACCCGTATGTACTTGGGGCTTGGGATTGTACACCTGTACATAGCTTGTTAGCTTTTAACTTGCACATAACATCATCGCTGCACAATCAATCATGATTTGAAGAGGATGTCTCCGGTTCGGATCTGTGAATGCGCGACTTGCGAAGCGCAAAGTGCCCTGTTTTTCATGCCTTCAATCATAATAATCCGGACTTTGAACCATCGCAGACGGCCTCATCAGCTTCGAAAGCACTTGAAGGTCAGTATTGCTCTGAATAGAATGGACCGCAATGAAACTAGCTGGCCTTCATGCAAACCTCCAAAACATAGCGACATTTCTCGAAGCTCCTGACGTGGGAGTGGTCGTGCTAGCAGCAGTTCCGGCAACATCAACAGTGGGAGTCCCAATACTGGTGGTTTCCACGGTAGAAAAGCTCAGATTAATCTCACTGACCGCTGTGCTTATTGAAGTTGCTGGCAAGTCAAGTGTTATTGTGATACCCATTCTCTCCAGAGTAACAATGCAGTAAAATTAATAATCCCATAGCTTGCGGTCCAGACCAATGGAGGGGTTCCATTTGTGAAATTGTTCGGGCGTAATGTTGAAATAATCGCATACTTCAGTGCATGTTTTGTTCTCGCCGTTGTTATACCACTCGACGCAATCCTTGGCTGTCTCCGGATCTCATTGCAATTGGGGGATACGTGTGCAGTAGGCTTGAACGGCGAAAGTCGCAATCAAGAACAGGTATTCGGCTCTCATGACCGAAACTGCTGTTTGACGACTGAATCTCGAGTATTTGAATACGAATTCAATTCAGATTTGGGACTTCAGTTGAATGATAGTGTATGTTGTTCAAGAAAAGGTGGAGAAGCTTTGGTGTGAGACAGAGAAAAATGTCAGCATCGCGAAAGCCGGCTGCCTAAATGATTTGACTAGGATTAGTTGAAATATCATCAACAATTCTTCTCTAGGAACCAAAGAGGAAGGTGACCCTGCCTGCTTATGGGTTAGGTATCAGAAATAGCCTTGAGCTAAAATCTCTCACCGCATTGAAACCAATAAACACGTCTTCTTTCATGTTCTTAGAATTCTCTGCCGAAAACCCGTTGACCCTCGCGTTTCATAGACAGGGCAACGATATGGTGATAATAGACCAAAACCATCAATAATTGCAATTGAGGTAAGCTTATCATTCCATTTTCAATCATAGTTCCCAATAACCCCTGCCAAGGAATCACTTTTAGGCAACAATAAGCAGAGAACCTCAAAATCAAAAACCCAAAAGCAACGATAACTCTCTTGCTAATGCTCACTATTGAGGCCAAGTAATATGGGATCAAGAAGAACCTAAACTTCCCTCTAGTTTCATACAAAATCAACCTTCTTGCCTCTGTTATTCTTACTCTCTCAACTCCAAGTCGGCGGATTCGGATTCCTGCAGTTGGAAAAGTCCTTGATCACCAAAGTCGACGACGATGTCCACTTTCCATTCCTTCACTTGTCTTCCAAACGAGCTTCGGGCCAGAATATGGGCACTATCCATAGAACCTCGTACTGTCGAGGTGCGCGTCAACTATGAGAATCAAGTCCTGTTAGGCACTGGCACCGAGAACAATTGGAGACGATTGGTTCGACAGGTTATCTCGCCAACTCCAGTGCCAGCAGTTCTTCAAGTTTGCAAAGAATCCCGAACCCAGGGACTATATCAAAAGGAGTGTTTCGAGTCAAACTCCCGCGATGTCTACGACGGAGAGCGTCGGTATCTCTGGTTGAACTTCAACATCGACATGGTATCCATCGGTCCAACAGGCTTCGCGGACCTCATCACCATCGCACCACGCATCAAGCGGCTCAAATTCGATCGCATGAACTCCGACGAGGGCTTTTATCACTTCGAGGTTCATGAACTTCGTAACTTTGTCAACCTTGAAGAAGTCCACGTGGTCTGTTCCGACGGTCTGCAGGCGTGGTGGGGAGCCGCTGAAGACCACTACTGGCCATGTGGACAGCAGAACCTGTTCTTCATTGACCCGGAAAACGGTCAGATGGTTAGGAGCATTGAGATGGACATCATGTTTGATGAAAAGATGAAGGCCGAATGGGCGAAAGATGGTTTCGAGTATCCTAGTGGCGAGCCGATTCGGTAGACGGGAACTCTGTTAAGGTTTCTGTGAAGTTGTTGCGTTGGCTACTAAAGGTATTTTCTGATGTTCTCAGACGTCTTGTTGCAGCAAACATTGGACTTGAAACCCGATTCCATCTAATCGGCTCGGGGATCTAGAAGGTGACACAGACTCGGGGATACTTGGGCTCTGAATTAATAAGACCGAGACAAAAGAATTTTCTTCATCACCTTACCCACTGCTGACGCGCCATGGCGCCATCAGTCTGGTAATAATGACTCGGATATACGTCGATCATGGACTGGGTCTTTGGTTGCGTGTCATCCCGCTTCTAGTGCTACACGTGCTGGCTGGACATTGCTCGGTTGAGATTGCCTCCGACCTGAAAAAATAACCTTACTTAATTCCAAGTTGAACTTTTACGAAGTTGGTCGTGCGACCTTGTCAAAAATCGTGCTGCGAGAAAGCCGATTGCCGATTTCCCGCTCCTCAGAGGTCTGGATGGTTTAGTTCTGGCTCCTTAAATTCACATTGCCCCTATTTTTCTTTGCCTTATTATCCGAGGAAGAGTGTTAGTCCTCGGCCACACACGTTTACAGATACGTCTCAGGGCGGGACTCACGCGATCCGATGCTGACTTAGATCCGTCATCGCCTGTTCTTGCCTGCCGGGTGGAATATTACAGGGGAATAATCCCATCGGCCGAGCTGTGGATCAAGTGGCCCGGACTACCTTACCCATGCGACTTCAAGATCCAGGCTTATCAACTCCTGGTGTCCGAAAGTTGAAACGCTGTCTATCTCGTTGAAGATATTCTGGCATATCAGTGATGTCGGATGACGAGGTTACGATCCTTCCGCGCCTGAGGAACTCTCCACACTGACTAAGAAGGAAGGTGTCTACAAGAACGACACCATTCTGCCTGTGTCACTCTGTTTACCTGGATTTCATTTACAATGTATGAAGACTCAGGAAAAGGTATTCCAACCAGTTGGTAGAATGTTGCAACTTTTCAACGGCCCACGCCAAACATGGTAATTCGGTAGGACGACCTCCATGCGGCGTTGCCGCGTTGAAGAAAACCTGTAGGGCTTGACGTATGCCACGTTCCTGATGGCACCTCAAATCCGGTATCATCGCCATCCCGTTGCATGCAGATATCACATGCAGACCCCTGCCCTCCATCTAGATTGATGCTTGTCGGACTAAGGCCGATTCAGCATGTCAGTTATGGTACCCCTGTCCAAATTACCGATACTCCCCGACGACGGACGATCTCTTGGCAAAGCTCTCCCTTCAGCGCAGAAATTGTGAGGTAAAATCTTTGGTAGCAGAACAGCGGCTTGCGAGAATGATCTCAGTTTTGCTCCCTTCCGAATGCTTGAGAGTTGTAATTGTGATTCTGGAAAGATGTGTGAACAATGTCTGACCGGGTTGGTGGACGAGCAAGGAGATGAACATCCAGTTGATGTATTCGATCGTCCAGGGACTGAAATCTCGTGAATCTGAAGTCTAATAAATGTGATCATGTCGAGATTTGAGAGGAAATTTCGCAAATTGACTAAATGCGCGAACATGAAGGCAAGGGATATGGCGGCGGAGCTATGAGCAGCAGAATAATTTTGCTGAGAGGGCTGGGCCCGCAAATATGACTCTCGGATCAAGCCTTTCGGAATTATTGACGGTCGGAAGACGAAAAGATTGTATGGATAATGATATCTTCACCGGTTCATAGATCCCAGTCGTCACGCTTGGCAGCAAAGGGTTATGGTCATTGAAGAGGAACCTTCTTTACGATACCCGGTCACCACCGTCGCCGCGCGTGTCTGATCATTCCGATCAATGGACCAGTCTATCCGATGATTAAATAAGCATGTAGATTGAAATTCATGCGAATATATCACTGAAAAAGGAAGGGCGAATATAGCATGGCCAGATTCAGTTGATCGGTCGATTTATTTCATCTTAGCTCTTAGTCATATCAAGACTTATAAAATGACATGAGCGTTCCAACTTGCCATTCTCTTCAGCGGATTCAATGCGGTGATATTCGTAAGTGATATTCGCTAGAATACTATCACGGGGCTGGCTGTGAAGCACTGTGATCGCCAACAGATCTCAGGATCGCTTCAAGGACCACCGTTACCGGCAAAGCTTTACCGGCAGAGCTTCTTCATTCGTCTTAGCTTCCGCAGATAGGCCGGATTCTTTCTACATCCGCATTCGAGCATCTGGCAGTTTTGACTTTTGAGAGCGCGGCATGGGCCGCTGCAGCATCCCTCTCTTTCCGTCCACGGAGAACTTCCGTGCATTACTCAAGGATGCGAGCCATGGCATCCATTTTTAACACAACAAGAACCCTACAATGGACGCACCCCTACGATAGATCCAGACCTTAGTTGCGGGTATCCTCAAGTTCTACTTGTGGCGTCAGGTGCTACTCTAAAAAGAGGATGTGTCAAAGCAGGGCAGTGGACACTGGATACACTAAAGTTGCAATGACGGATATGTTGGCCGGCCCCTGATGAAATCTATGCAAGAAGCCTTATTACCCATATTCTCAGCCAATGGAGAGATCGAGCGAATAGACCATAGTGGGTGCTATCTTCGTTAGAAGCTTGCGTAGAGAACCACTCCACTCTTACCTGATGAATAACAATACCTAACAAGACTCAAGAGTTTTGCAGTTTAAGCTTAGTCTGATGCTGGGCTCAACCTGACGCACTTGTCCCTGACGATGTCGGCATCTCGAGAAAATGTTCACATTTCCCCCGTCACTGAGAATTGTGAAGCCTGCGTCCACGGTTTCTGGCGGTTCAAATCTCAGTGCTTTTGAGCAAGCCTCATGCATGTTTGGTCTCCCTAGCTGTGGAACACAACCATCACCAGATCAGATCATCGGATTTCACCGTGAAATGAAAACCAGTTCATCTGAAAAATAGGGTCGGAAGGGCCGTTTCCACCCTTTAATCACTACATCGGAGCCCACTACGGGGCAGCGCCGAGAGCCAACTACCGCTGTCCCGCGCGGCAGATCCATATGTGGGATACCGATTTCGTTGGAATCGCAGTATTTCCGATGACGGCCTCAGCTCTCTGGTACGCAAACCGACAACACAAGGAAGGTGGCAGTCCGGAAAAGCGAGACCGAACTCACGACCGAAGAACAATCTGGATAACATAGACAGAAAAGGAGTTTCGGCCGGCCCACCACCTTCCTATTCCATTTGACGTTCCGATAATGACGCAATATGAGGAAGGCCGAGGCCTGCGATGCCATGTCTTGGCTTCCTAGAAGTCGCATGCAGAAAACGGGCACGTCGAATTTGAGGCAGGAGGGAATAGAGTGGATGAAGATATTCGACTTTTTTTCTGGGCCAAGAATCGGAAGACGTCCGACTGTGGAAGGAGATGCTCGCCGCAGTAACTCGGAGGTAGGAAGGAAGTAGGAAACTTGGTTTGTGAAGTTCTATATAATTAAGTTGGAGAATCCTCTTAGTTTTGATTTATGTGCTTCTCTACATCGCATTCTAAGTTGTATCATCGTAATCAATCAGTAATTATGTTTGTCAGATTCCTCGCCACGGCAGCCATTGCTGCCAGCCAGTTCGCCATCTCTGCGACTGCCGCCGAGGCTACAACGCCGAATCTGCTCATCTTCTCCAAGACCGAAGGCTACCGCCATAAGAGGCACGTATACTATCCTCGGCCCTTCTTCGTGTTTCGCTAACATGCCTTATTCTTAGCATTCCTCACGGCATCGACCTCCTTACTTCCATTGCGAATGAAAAAGGCTGGACTCTTTCGGCAACGGAGGACTCTACGATCTTCACCAATGGAAGCCTGAGCGACTTTTCGACGCTGGTCTTTCTTTCTACTACCGGAAACTTCCTGAACGCAAGCGAGGCGGATGCTTTGGACAAGTTCCTGCTCAACGGTGGTTCCTGGCTTGGCATTCATGCAGGTGAGTTCAAGCTCCTCACGTTCCTACGCACATTTGACATGTGACTGATACAAAAATACAGCTGGCGACTTTGGAGATGAGTTCCCCGCGTGGTACACCAAGCTCGTTGGTGGACAGGTAAGACTGAAGATCCTGGGTTTGTTTTACGACTTTGCTGACTTGAACTTCCAGTTCAAGTCCCACCCTTGCGTCGACGATTGGATGTGCACCGATGCCGAATTAGAACGATACCCTCCTGGTAAGCTAGTCACTACTCCATCTGAATATACTCATTGTAACTGACACACTCACGCAGGTGGTAACATCCGTCCGGATATTGTCACGATTCAAGATGCCACACACCCCTCCACTTCCGGCCTCCCTCTGAGCCACAACCGCACCGACGAATGGTACTCATACAAGACCAACGTCGCCGAGAACTCCAACTACACCGTGCTGGCTACCCTAGAGGAGACTTACATTGACGAGAACACTCTCGTTGAGCCTCAACACATGGACCCGCACCCTATTGCTTGGTACTCCTTGTACGAGGGCAAGGCCAAGGCATTCTACACTGGCATGGGACACACCAACGAGACTTACTACGAAGAATACTTCATCAAGCATTTGACTGGAGGTTTGGAGTGGGTTACCAGCGCCTAAGAAGGACTGGCGATGCGGTCTTTGGGCGGTTCAGTACTTGACCTGTCTGAGTCTACACAATTTTCATCACAAATAAATCCAGTATATATCATCAAGTTTTCTTTCTGTTTTCAACTATTCAAGCATCGATTCGGACGTTTCATTTACTCATCCTACCTTGTCCCCTGAATACTCAACAGCTCGCAGAGCAGGCGTTTACAATCTTATCGCCTCTAAGTCATGTCTGGAATCCGTGGATGTACTACTGAGAAGAGAAACCACGGAGTCATACAGTCTATCATCCACTGAAGAGTGAGTTCTTCCTCACAGTCCTGTCGATGCCGCCAGACCGACGAACGCCTGCCAAGCCCTTTAAAAAGCTCCCGTACCTCGTGACCCTCTATTCCGGCGGCGCAGCAGCAAACCGGGATGGTTGGGTGGGTCCCCGGAGCGGCGCTCACCGAACAACGTATCGGGATTGGTCGCTGATACGACCCATAGCAACCGGGCGCAAAGGCCGACCGGTGATGACATCACATGCACCCATTCAGGATTGCCTACCTGGTTGCTTCGCCGAGCAAATCGCTTATTGCTCGCCTCCACGGCAACATTGGTGCCTGTCAGATCGGAGGGTATGGATAAGCTTAAAAACAAGCCTTTGACTCCCAGGCATCCCCCTTCCTCAATCTCGTCATCCTTCAACCAGAAACAAACCGCAATATCTGCTTGAGTCTACCCAACCAATTTCAATATGGGATTCGTATGTCTTCAAATCCCGGAGTTTATCTTAGTTTGACCCGATATTGACTGCATGCAGGGAAGATCGTGTCTCGATGCGCTTGACAAAGTCGCGCTGCACACCGTTAACGCTGTTGGTACGTGATACACGACGTTACTCTTGGGGCTCTTGTCGATCGCGAACCTGTGTCAACAGATGCTAACGAAGCATTCTAGCTATCAATGCTCCAAATAACGCCGGCGTCGTTGTAGGTGATCTACCCTCAGGCCACATGCCCTCCAAGAGTAAACGCGACCCGCCCCCGCGCGTATCGAAAAAGACCTGGGCAGAGACTCTGGAAGAAGAGAAGGCTGCCAAGGAGAAGGAATCGCATATGGATGTTAAGGATTTATGATGCGCTGGATATTTGTGGATTATGTTAAATACCCCAAGCCCGAATTAGAACCCGAAGACTAGGATGCTATTACACTTGTTGTGCGTCATCCTCAAATTTATACGAACCAGCTGGAAAGGTTGCCTCCCTGGTAGAACCTTTAACTTCACAGCAGGCTGAGTGAATGTATCGTTTGAGGGTACGTAATTGTATCACCATGCAGTCAGCCACTTCAGGTAGTGACCCCTCCCTCCTGGGTCGTGCAATGGCGTTTGGGACCAGTAGCAAGCTCGAGTATTTGTGAGACATCTGAAGAGATCTTACCGGTCTGAACGAACGCTCTAAGCTGTTGCACATGTGCATCATGTTTCTTATGTCAGACCCCAGGGAGCCCCCTTCCCCCGCCTCGGTTATCACAGCCGCTTAGATAGCTCTACCGCAGGGATACTTGAAGCCCAATGGGCATAGAAATGAGTGCCACGCCCTGCAACAGTTCCACCTTCGATCTCGCACTCTCCATATCAGTTCGTCCTTTTGCAATCATGTTCCAGATGTCCCATCTGCTGCCGTCTTTCACGAAGAAGCTCAAACCCACCTGAGGCCTGAAAAGCGACCACAGCTTGCTGCCGAGCGGATGGCGGAGGTCGGCGCTCGTAAATATCGCACTCATGTCGACGGCACTGTCGATTCTGGTCGTCGTATTAGCAGTTGCAGTCTCAAAGACTGGCGGCAACTTGAGGCAGTCTTGGATATTTCACGAGACGGACTGCAGAAGCAATAGCACGAGTACTGTCAACACCCTACTACATCTTCTGATCAACATACTGTCGACTTTAGCCCTTGCGTCTTCGAACTTTTTCATGCAGGTTCTCAATGCGCCGTCCAGACGAGAAATCGACAACGCACACTCTCAGGGACTTTGGCTAGATATTGGCATTCCCTCCTGGCGAAATGCTCTCCGTCTCTCCCGATTCAACTTTTATACTTGGATAGGTCTTCTCCTCACCTCAATACCTATTCATATGCTCTTCAATAGCTCGGTATTTCGAATGAATACTCGTATGGGCGATTTCCATCTTATAGTCGCGACTGAATCCTTCATCAATGGGGGCTCTTATTCCATCCCGGGCGCGAGCCTATTCACCAAGGACATATTTACGTCGGGTAGAGATATTTATTTCCCTCAAGACCCTCTCATTCCGAACTTTCTGGATCTAACCACCCCAGAGTACTCTTCTCGGGTAGTCAACGTCTCGAAAGCGGCAGCTGGGGCCTCAAACTGGGAGCGACTGGAAGCGCCAGAATGTAGAAACATCTACGGCGAGTCTTGTGCTGGCCTGTCAGAATATCGCAATCTTGTTGTCGTCGCTAGGGGCCCTGGCTGGAGGAGATCCGACCTTTGGAACTTGTCCGCAACAGCTGATCAGCTCTGGGAGCCTGTTGTTCCGCGAGGTCAGTTGAATACTCTGTGGTACTTCACTCAGTGCACAATGAAGGGTACTTTAAACGGGACTACTCCAATATGCTCAAACAGCTGCCTGTATTCATTGGCTAATAATTCGACGTCGAACAATCCTGATTCTGAGGCATCCCAAGCGAATTCAGGCGACCGCTGGCTTATTCCTCTTCGACCTTGGTATAACACGTCTGAATCAGCATCGATCCAACTGAAGCCGACACAGCCAGTATGGAACGTATCACTTTACTCGGCTCCGGGAAATACCTTTGATTTCGGCAGTCGGTTTGATCTCGATAACTTTGAGATCTCACACTGTTTAGCGGAACCGCGACAAACTGACTGTGCCGTCGCCGTTTCAAAGCCATTACTTCTTGCCGTCGCTATATCAATATTCCTCAAGGTCATCCTCTGTGTCGTCGCCTTCTGGGTTCTTGGCTCGCAGGAACCACTAGTCACCCCAGGAGACGCTGTCGCCTCTTTTATTTCTATCCTGGACCAGCATACCGTCACCTCAGGGCCCCTGACCCTTGATATCATTCAGCGAAGAAGAAGACGTAACCGGGAAAAGTATGACATCTGCCAACCGTTCGAAACACAGAAATTCATCAGAAAACAACATCGAAGTGATTCTGCGGTCTCCCGAAGAGTTCGGCTGACAACTTATGCCGTCTTAATATTTGGCGTACTTGCAACAATGGTCTGCCTTTCGCAACAGATCATCAACAGTATACCACTGTAAGGTTATACCTGTACAATCGAAGTGCTATTTCAACGAGCTTCGAACGCTAATAATGCCGTTGCTAACTTGGTGAAGAGAGTGGATAAAACTGGATACCTCGAGGCCGAGCAGTGTCTTTCCAGCCATCGGTGAAGGCGCAGTGTTCGTCAATTCGGTTCTCATAGTGAACATGCCTCAACTATATCTCTCCTTTTGGTATCTTACCTATAATTCTTTGATCACCAGGTTGGAGATGAGCCGCGAATGGGCTCTGTTCTCAACCAACTTTTTCCCGTTACGGGTCACTGTACCAAAGTCAGATATTCTTCCCGGCTCAAGTATCTCGAACACTGCGAATAAGGGGCTGATAATGATGGTAAAATCTTGAAGAGGACAGCAAGTTGCGACATACCGTCTTCAATTACCATACAGATACAGCATAAGCTTGATTATAATGAGCATCATTACTCACTGGCTACTTTCAAACGCATTCTTCGTCGTTGTTACGAGAGGTTGTAAGTACGGCTATTTAAACCGGGTGGTAGGCAGAACTAACACGAAATTTCTGTAAGCTTACTACCAAGCTCGATACAGTGCTTACTCGAATGATCCGATCAGTCTTCCTGACGGCAGTACTGTCAGTCTCAGCAGTGCGTCGTTGCCCGTTTTGCTTCTCGCTCTCATAGGCCCAGTGATGATTCTTCTTTTGATCATCTTATCAAGGAGAGCCCTTCCTGGCTGCATGCCGGTCGTCGGATCCAACTCTCTAGCTATATCTGCTGCTTGTCAAGTCTCGCCACTCGTGAAAGATCCCACAAGTCTCACTACCGACATCGGCACTGAACTTGAAGATCTTATTCCGCCAAGCAACGAGAATTCAGAAGTGGAAGAAATCTCGAGAAGTGGCCGTGAGAGAATGGTCTTTTACCCTTTGAAGTGGGGCGAAGTCGAAATGCCAAGGGAGTTCTATGGCCCGACGGAAGATGTTCAATCCTCGAGGCGGGTGGGCCATCTCAGCTTTGGGACTGTCTTGGATAACCCTGAGCTTCCCACGGAGGGCCGCTGGTACAACTGACCCAAGTAGATTGCCCTTATAACAAAATATCTCAACAATCTTTCCGCAGAGGTATAGACTTTCTGTTGCATGTTGGACAGAATCTACACGTAGGGCGAGCCTTCAGATAATGAGTACTAAATCGGAAAGGCGGTTCTATTGTCATTATTCGTATCCCGTTGAGAAGTTGTGTATAAATAATGCCAGTTCAATTTCCTCCGCGCAGTCCAACGTAGTGATCTTTTTGTGCTGTGCCGGTTCTATATTCTATTACAATTGCCATGCCTCTCGTGCATGGCGATATTTGCCTCTATCCAAGTCCTTCAATACTCCAATTTGAAAAGTCGCGACCCGCGGATTCTTTCGCCATAAAAGAAAAGGATGAAAGGTAGGGGGAGAAAGGCAAGAGATATAAATCCGAGGACCGAATTCCCCCAGCCTACTCCTAGAGCATCGAACATGGCGCCACCCGCCAAAGGAAGCAGAGCCCCAAAGAGACAGCGGAGGAGAGCACTTGCGGCCGTAACTGACGCAGCGTAAACCGTGTATGCATCAATGAGATATGTAGCGGTTGTTGTCTGTACGCGGCTTCGTTTAGTTTTTGTTACGAAAAGACTGTTTCGGGAACCTACATATGCCATCACAATGCCGATGCCAGCAAAGGCGGTCCCTAAGATGGGCAAAATCCAATGGGCTTTGTTCTCGGCTGACCATCCATACCAGAATAGACCGATGGGGACGAAGATGGCGCCGACAACTAATGTGGGCAGGCGATACTCTGGCTTGGCCACGCCGTCGTTCTTCTTCGTGAGGTAGGCAGACCAGGGATCAGACACAGCACCTACAAACAGAAGTCCCAGGATAAAGCCGACTCCAATGCCAATACTAGTTAGTCCCGACGCTCCGCTGCCGAAGCCGTATTGGTCCTTGAAAACGCGAGGAAAGGTTGTGAAGCAAAGGTAGGCATAGCTGAAGACGGTGGCGGCATAGGCCGACATCAGGAACACGATGGGCGAGATCAGCATCTTGAGAGGGCGTAGTAAGAGAGAGAATGTGAAAACCTGTTTGACAGTTTTGCCGGTATTCAAGGCCGATCGCAGGTTCTGGTTCCCAGTGCTCTTTCGCAACCTCGCCGTCTTCTTGGTCAGTATCACGGACGGATACGACTCGCGCAAGAAGACGATGACGAAGATAGCCATGACACCTGATGCAATAGCCATAAGCCAGAAGTCCCATCGCCAGCCCGCGGCCGCCGTGAGGTTGCCGCCGATGATGGGTCCGATGGTCGGGCCCAAGGTCGGGCCCATGATGTACGCAGACATAACGGCTCCGCGCCTCTCGCGTGGGATCATGTCCGCAATAGAGCTGGCGCCCAGCGTGCCCGCGCATGACCCAGCGATACCGGCCAGCAGACGGTAAACCACCAGGGACCCGAGGCTGTTCGCTACCGCGCACGCGATGTTGAAGATGGTGAACAGGATCGTGCATGTACGAAAAACAATCACACGTCCGTACAGCTCCGAGAGGGGCGCGATGACGATTGGACCGAAGGCGTATCCAAGTAGGTAGATGGTGGTCATGAGTGCACCCAGAGTGTCGTCGGTCGTGCCAAAGTACTCCATGATGTTGGCCGCCGCTGAGGCGCTGATGGTCGAGCCTATAGGCCTAGAACGGTGAATTCGTTAGCTCTTGTGCTCTGTATTGATCGTGCTACCAAGTGACCGGGGCAAATTAAGCAAGGATCTCACGAGAGCAGCGCGGTCAAAGACACAATGACGATGGACGCCGTCTTCTTAGTCGTCGACCAGTTCAATGGGTGCTCCGGATCATCGGGGCCGTCAAAGTCGACAACGTTCGGATCCGGTGGCTCCTCTCCATCGACGCCGGTCTTCTCCGGCTCCGGGCCCTTCTCCACGGCGGAGCATTCGGCGGCATTGGTTTCGTTCCGGGACATCGTAGGCCCCGTACCCTACGGGTGTAGGCGCAAGAATTGGCCAAAGTCGTACTGGGAGCACCTATGACTTGGCTGAATTTACCCTCGTATTCGATTTGCCTTCTTCTGAGATGTTTATGTTTTAAGAAGTAGGGAGCCTGCACGACTTATCTCCGCGGGTTAGTCCTCAGTAATATCCGCCGACCGGAGAGTGGGGCCGGGACCGACCCGGCAGTCGGTGAGCAAACCACCTTCCTAAATGGGATGCTGTGTGTTGGTTGTTGGTGCTGAGTTCCCCCATGGAAAAAGGGGTTCAACAAAAAAGGGATACGTAGTGTATCAGTGCGGTGCATTAATCGGGTGAGACTTTGGTAGGTATTGCGTATCACTTCTTGGTCATTCATATACCATAGCAAACTGCACGGTGCTTTCTCTTGTGCTGGTCCGGCGGCATGGCTGGTTTCAGCGTCACCAGCTTCTAGAAATAACGACAACGCAGGATTGAACATCTCTTCTGCCTCTTCGGACGTGGGACTTTAGTGTCTCCGTTTAGCTTTGGAAAGTAATAGAATGCTATTAGATGCCCCAATCTCAATGAGAATCTTGAGATATTGGTAACCTCCATCCTCATCCACATATCCGATATTGAGCTTAAGGTGTTTTCTCCGACCGCTGAGACCCGAAGCGATCGCTAATCAAATGGCTCACAGACACCCAAAGTACCGAGTTGTGCATAGCCGATCGGAATTAATTCTCCAATCCTGACCCAATTAGAAGATTCAAAATCACGGATGTGTCGCGTGAGATTGGTCGGCAATAGCTGGAAACAAGAATATTTGCTAGCAGCGTCAGCTTGGCAGATGAACTCAGACAGCATGGGTCTTGTCAGCAGCATCACGTGTGAAACAGAGCGGGAAATGCACCATTAATAATCATGGCGACTAGTCGCTCACTTCAATGGCAGTGAGAAGGACTAGTATAAATGAGCGGAGAATGCAAAGATTTGGACATAAGAGGCTTGCCATTCCACAGCCCTTTAATGCAAAGGCAAATCCCATCTACTCCCTCGCAGCGTTAATCACAAACCACACAGCATGACGACTGCTACCAAAGATGCCAACTTTCCCCTAGCCGGTATTGCTACGGACGGATGGTCCAACGAAGACGAAGCGACAGCAACATGTCTCTGTGGTACCGTGCAGCTCGCTTTCGTGAGTCTTCTTATGATGTTCCATGCTTTGAAAAGTCTCGGTAGAGCTTACCCCCCTGCACAGCCAACTCACGGCCCGGGTCTCGTCAGCCGCTTCGTCTGCCACTGCTCAGACTGCCGCAAAATTAGTTCCTCGATGTTCTGTTCCAACTTCTCTGTCCGAGACAGCCACTTGCGATATCTCAGAGGGAAGGCAAACCTCAAATCGTTCACTCAGTCTGCTACCATCGCTTCGGGCAACGACATGTCGAATTACTTCTGTGGAACCTGCGGTACTCTCTTGTACCGCGTCAGTTCCGGGTATCCCGGGCTAAGTATTCTTCGGCTCGGCACCATTGACGACTTCCATCTTGTTGAGGAGAAGATGAGACCCCAGCTTGAGCAGTTTATCGAAACACGTGTCGGCTGGCTGCAGCCAGTGGACGGCATGGCTCAAGTGAAGGGAATGATGTCGAAGAAGGACATCAAGGACATTCGATCTTCTGGGACTCAGGGTACACCTGGTCTATCGCACAGTCACATACGCAATAAATTGTAATGAGCTCGTCAAAAGCTAAATCTGTTACTCATCTGTATAGAATTGTCTCAGCTACTCGTGTTGCTTAGCGTGATCTTTGCAGAGAGAGTGCGTAACGCGTGCTTTCATCTAGGTCCTCTGTGGGAAGTCCTAAACGGTCGCCGTCAGACTCAAAGTCCGCATCGCCGCTAGGGTAGAACACCCGCGCATACATCGACTTGTAAAACCCCTCACGTTTGCCCTGGTCCATCTCTCGCATGCCTGCCTTGTACCGCTCATCGGTTGGCTCATTATAAATCCTCCAGTCGTTGTCTGTCGTGTTGGTCACTCTCTGAATGCTGTCCAACATATCCCTCTGGCTGATCTTGAAGCTCGAAACAAACATCGTCTTGTTGTGGAAGTCTGAGATGGTTGTCGATTCGTCGTCCTCGTCTTCGGGTAGCACCTTCAGTCCAAGGAGCGATGCCACCGCACGACCGCACTGGGCCCACGTGGACGTGTTGATAGCCTTCTTTCCATCGTCGTAGAAGGTCGCGATGTGGTTATCGAGGTCGAATCCGAACGTAGCCGTGCCAGCTATGAGGCTGTACTCGTACCAGAAGCCGTTCATCAGAGTAATCGAGGTCAAACCGGACTGCTGAATCTCGGCAATATTGGCGAGAACCGTGTTGCCCACCGGAATGTCTCGGCGAAGGGCCCCGCTCGTGGTGAAGTTTATGCTGTAAGCATTTGGCATGACGTACTTGACGCCAGCCTTTGCTGCTGCTCTAACCAACGCGCTGTGCGTCCCCGGAGGCGCGCTCAGAGAGAGTGTAATGACCAGGAACTCCTGATCCTTCAATGCGGAAATGAGGGAGCTTTCGTCGCTGTATGATACAGTGACTTTGTTCAGCCCATCTGGAAGATTGGTCTCGCTGCCATTACGAGTAATTGCGGTCACCGTGTGTTTTCCGGTCTTAAGAAGCTGTTCTGCAATAGCTCGGCCGATCTGACCACCGGCCTTGGACAATATTAGAGATTGTTTTCTCAGTAAGGTGAGCTTGACCTACGCCAACGATTGCGACGTTCTTGATCGAGTTGTTGAAGCCATCCGGGGCATCCCTAGCGAAGCGGAAAGCCATCGAGGAGAGAATGAGAAACTTGAGACACGTTCAGTTCTGACAGAAATAATTCATGCACTATTCAAACCAACATACTGGTCTGAAGATTGTTGTGATAGTCTATATTTATGTTTGTCGAGTCAAGCTCTATCAAGACATCCATGACGCGGGTAGGGCGGCTAAACACAGTCCCCCCACGTGAATCATGTACGATCAGTACTACTTTCGGTGTCACTTCAACGTTCGATCGTTAAGATGAGGCAGGTAAGAAATGCCAATCGGTCTTACAGGAGTTAAGCTTTCTGTCGCCGGATCGTCCGCGTCCAAGTCATGGTGCGGAGCCACCTGTTCGCTGATCGTCTGGGTCCGGATGCCACGAGGGCCCCTGTATACTATCTAAAGATATTATTATCCCAGTTCGGATCAGTCCATTTAGGGCTAGCTTTACGTCCCCGGAACTGTCAATTATTGCTATTGTCGCCATTCTCCACTTGCATGACTGGCAAGTCGATACGGGCTCGCACCTAGGTCGGTTTGATTCGCCAAATAATGATGATTGAACAAGCAACGAGGTATTTCTCAAGGGTTCAATGGGGCTCTGCAATATTCTGAGCATCACATCATCTGATGTCATGACAAATGCAAAGATAGCTCAGATTTCTACCCAGATCCTCGGAACTCCGGAATGCCGTGTGCAAACGCCGCATGAACTATCAACGTGGAGGGGTGCCGACTCGAGGCTATCTCGCAACCTTAAAAACCGTACTGAAATCCTTGATTCGACGTCCTGCCACATGACGCCAACGCTTATATCGTCTCATCTTCCATACCATTAGTGAACCCTCGTCCCAACCCCTTCAACGCTTCGGCCTCGGTTCTCTCCGCAAGACTTGACATGGCCAAGGTTCTTGTTACAGGTAATTTAATCCACATCTGAAATTAGTCATTGCTCTATAAGCTGACGATCTTCTCCCTCCCAACGTAGGAGGCACGGGCTTCGTGGCTGGCCATGTCATCGATGTCCTCCTTCAACGCGGGTACTCCGTCCTTACCACCGTCCGATCCGAGGAGAAGGCAGAAGCCATTCATGCGTCTTTTCGGAGTGTGCCTCGGAGCCGGCTCGAGACCGTTATCGTCCCAGATATTGCGGCTAATGGTGCGCTCGCTGCCTTGGGCTCTCACGGCTTAGAGGCTGTTCTCCATGTGGCTAGTCCGGTGAGTATGAAAAACTCAGTGGCTCAAATACTTTCCCTTCAGTCTAACTTCGTTTTACACCAGTTCCATTACAACGTAAAGGACCCAAAGAAAGACCTTATCGATCCCGCCGTTCTGGGGACCAGCGGTGTGTTGAAAGCGATCAAGGAGTCGTGCCCCGATGTGAAGCGCGTCGTAGTTACGTCTTCGTTCGCTGCCATTCTCAACCCACGTCTTGCGGCCGAAGGCACGGAGAAGACATACACGGAAGAAGATTGGAGCCCGTTGACCATCGAGGATGCTTACTCGAGTCCCACCAACGCTTACGTCGTCTCAAAGTTGATGGCAGAGAAGGCTGCCTGGGATTTCGTGGAAAAGGAGAAGCCTGGGTTCACCATTTCTACCATCAACCCGCCCATGATCTACGGGCCTGTCATATTGCCGCCCAAGTCACTCGCCTCTGTCAACACCTCAAACCAGACTTTGGCAGGTCTCATCACGGGTAAGCACAAGGACGGCCTACCCCCGACGACGCTCCCGCTCTGGGTTGATGTCCGCGATGTTGCTTTGGCCCACGTCAAGGCGATCGAAACCGATGCTGCGGCCGGAAAGCGCTTTTTTGTCACTGCCGGCTTCTACAGCAACGCTGAGATGGGTAAGATCGTCTGGAGCAAGTTTCCCGAACTGAGAGATAGACTTCCGGCGCTTTCCGACATGGGAGGAGCTCCCAGCCCTGTTTTGAAGTCATTCGGTTTCGACACCAGTAGATCCGAGAATGTTTTGGGTTTGACCTGGACGCCGTATGCCAAAACCGTGGTTGACTCCGTTAAGTCACTGGCGAGCCTGGCGGAGTAGAAGCATGAAGCATTCTGCGCAGATGTTGAAGAGTAGATATGGACTGTACCTAAGCCTTGCTTGTGGTTTCCTCTGCGTCAGGCCGCAAATGCATAACTTCCAGTCATAGCAAAAACATTCCAGTAATCCAGATCTGGTCTATTCGACATGAGCTCCGCGACTTCTTTCGCAGCCTTGAGCCCCCCAGACTCCCACATGAATCCCATGCAACTCTGAATCCATTCCCTCACTAGGGCTTCCTCCGTGACCTGGTGGACTAGGTACAGCGGAGTCAGAAACGTGCCGCACTGAAGCAGCTGTACTGGTGAGAATGGTATGGAGTTCGTTGGAAGCACGCCAGGAAGTATGAACTGCGGAACAGATGCACAAATCTTCCGGGTTAAACGCCGAATAGTATCCTTGAAAGCGGGCTCATTGGTATAGCTCCCGTCGGGTATGTGTCGCTTGACTAAGCAGCACAGGATCAGGCGCAGAAGCCGCAGAGCATTGGCGACTTGAGTAGTATAATGGTCCGCGTAAAGGTCGTAATAGTTATCGAGAACATTCGGATGGTCTGCAGAGGTCGGTATCCGAAGAGGTTGCCAAGTTGGAGGTAATGTATTATCCAATGCTTTTAGTTGGTCGTCTAAACACTTTGCTCTGACGATGAAATCTCGCTGGAGAATAGCGCCCTTCTCGAAATCAAATTTCAAGTTGGAAACGCGACCGAGGACACCGAGAAAACTCCATTTGGGACTTCTGACTTGATAACCCAAGTTGCGACGTAGAGTAACTAGTTCTTTCGGGGTATCGGCTGCAACCGTCGCGCAGCTGACTGTCACGGCAGTGACAAGACGAGCAGCGATTTGGCAGCCGGTCGGGCTTGATAAAATGGTGTTTGCGCGCGCGTGGATGAGCGATAAACCGCCTTTGGAGTGACTCATCCAAGCCTGCGAGGTCTGGGGGTCGCGATGGACCATCTTTTCATACATGTCCAAGAGTAATATGGACTGCAAAGCTTCTTCGGCCTCTTGAGAGCTCAATTTCTCTAGTGCGAGCCCCAGTCTCTGGACTGCTCTGATGTAGCTTCCGTTGGCGAGCCGCATCAGATGACTGCTATTGAGCTGCGTGGCCATGAACGCCAGACTGGCTGCTTCCACACTCGCCGAGAGGTGGTCAGAAGTTCGTGCCGTCTTGTAGTGGTGGGTGACTTCGGCCATGCTGCGTGTGAATCCGCCGATGTAGGTTGAGAAGAAAGCATATCGGGCGCGAGTGTCCCAAGCCAGCTCGAGAACGGTTGGCTGGGCCTGAGTGCCCCTCAGCGAATCATAGGCTCGGCGAGACACCGCCTTTCGCTCAACCGACATGGATTCGTCATGGATTTGAAGAGCTGATGGATCTCGGTAGCCATGACAGGCTATTCTGGCCCTACGACATTGTCCACAGGTCTGGGGTTGAAGATCGCACTAACTCCGGACAGTGTCAGCATGCCTCGAGACATCTGAGTGACTCGGAGGGTGTTAAGGAATATGACGTCCCTACCTTCAATTTTCTTGACCGGCAGGGAAAGCAGGCCGGGGATGGTCGACCATGATACACCATGACACCCGCTGGCTGGGTTGGTTCTTCGAGGGTCGTGAAGGAATTTGAACTGAGCGACAGAGAGAGTTACCTCCTGCAAACAGCATGAATCTCTTTGCCGTGAAACTCTCTCCTTTTCATGCTGAGCAAGCAGAATATGGCGAGCCCTCATAACGCGAACTTCACGACGGCCTGAGTCAAGTTGACATAAGAAGAAATTAGCACCGAGCGTCAAATCGAACCGCATGTCATACGCATTTCCCGATCGGGTTAGCGTTCCGGTTCCCAAACTCTAATCTATGGACTCGAGTCCCAGCTGCAGCCCTAGTCTTAGTTGCCAACTACTGACTTTATCTTTACGATTTCTATGTCTTCACGACAGTAACTCAATAAGTTTGATGTGAAATATGCTTATCCGGTGACCTTGATGAGCAGCGTAGCGCACAATATTGACAGGAACAAGTTTTACTTGTTTGAGTGCAGGGGATTTGAGTCAGCGGTATGTACTGGAGCTCCGCCGATGACCATCACCAAAGACTTCTGGGAAGCCAGCAAGCTTCGGTAATCACGACATCACAAGGAGACTCGACCCGTATCAATTAACTTACTCATGACTTGCAGCATGACCGAAAAGTTGAATCTCGATCGAAAGATCACGTCACAGGATTCACGCTGTATAAATGTCTGCTATTTGGCTGCAGACTCTGCGCGGTTGACCATAGAATCCTTCGTCTCATTCCTCTCCACCGATAATACATCATCGTGCGACCAAAGTTCAAATTCTTTCACAACCATTCATAAATCTACAAGTCTTTCGCCACTTGCTCGAGTGTTCTCAGACATCAAAATGTCTGTCGCAATCACAGTTCTCTTCCGCAACGAAGCGGACGCCAAGTACGACATCGACTACTACGCCAACAACCACATGCCTTTGATTCAGACTCAATGGCAGAAATACGGCGTTCAGGGGTGGTCAGTCACCAAATTCGGCAACGGCGTTGACGGCTCGGCCCCGCAATTCGCGTTCGGATCTACCGTGGTCTGGGAGAACCATGATCAGATCAACAAGGCATTTACAGGGCCCGAGGTGGAAGAGATAATGAAAGATCTTCCTAAGTTTTCCAATACCCAGCCTGTGTTTCTTGTCGGGGAAGTTATCAGAAAGGAAGGACTTCAGGGTTGATGAGGCTATTGAAATCTGATATAGTTCAGACACGCAATTCCAATTCATTATCATAAACACAGAAACACTAGACATTCTCAAGAGCTATGTTTAATATTCAGCTTCAAATCCCGAGAGAGTGTCCAGATGATGTGTATTACTTCCATGGCCGAATAGCCTCTGTATTGTCTCCCAATAAGATGGAATAAGTCTTTTCGGTTTCATTGCCTTCAATTAAATCGCTTATTTTTCACGATCCAGCGACAGTCTACGCACGTGATTGCGAAATTGTCTTTAATGCAAAGCGCCATGCTTATACAGAATCTTGATTTTCGACCCCAAAGATATAAATAAATCTATTCTTTCAGCTAGCGATGTATTAAATGAGATTATGCATTCGCATCACTCGTTCGGTTGGAAAAAGTGCCGGCTGGTGCTTAGTGCAAGATTTGTGCATTGAACAAATGTTCATCGCTAGTCATCTAAGCAGCTTTTCCAGCTATCGGATATTCACCAATCCGCAAAAGATCCCCTCGGGGTCCTGCCTCTCCTCCGTTTTACTAGGATCGCCCCATTCTTGTCGGGCTGTCGGTCGGCAAACTCTCCGTCCCGTCTCGAACAGTTTGTGCGTCTGGGCAACGCCTGGATGCGACGCCAAGCATGGCTCATGATGATTCATCGGCGCTAGCAGGGACTAATGCAGCTTATGCTCGAAAACGGTTAGGATCATCCTAGTCTTGTCTCGGTGCACGAACCAGTCATCCTCCACTCATCGACGGCTAGGATGTGCCCATTATCAGCGAACGGTGCGAGCTTGAAAGCTACATGTCGCTGTCGCCGAGGCTGATATATGTGTTCTGATGAGGTGATGGCGGATGAGCCATCCTCTGTCATTCTGAGGCACGATGTTGAAGTTGGCAATCAGCCCAAACTGTATGGTAGGATGACACTTAGTCGCTCATACTGGACATCTTCAGCGTAATTCGGTATACTGAATGAGCCATTGCCTCTCATCTTGAACCACTCTCTGACATCTCCAAGTTGCGAGTTGCGCGATAACAACGAAGTTCAATTCGTATATAAGTCAAAGTGAATGGTAGAGGATAGCGAGAATATAGCTAGTTGAGACAAGTTCACGACACTATGACAATCATAATGATCAAACGACATTCACCGTGATGAAATAAGACACAGGCAAGTTGACAATCAATCAATCATTCCATTCATTGGCTGCTACATGATGACAACACCGGAAGATGACTGAACACGTAAAACTCTCTCGCACGATCGAGTGCGAGTCCATGGGTCCAATTCCAGCCGACATCGCCTGACCAGTTGCCAACCATTCCTTCCATGACTCGTTCCCTAGGAGGTGTAAAGACAAAACGCTAACCTCCAGCTATGGCTTAGTATCCTTTTTCATGATGCTCTTGAGAGCATCCGTCTCAGCCTCCTGACGCGCGAGACGAAGACGGAGCTCGTCGCGTTCGCGCGTCATCTCCTCCAACATTTTCTCGAGGTCCGAGATGCGATCAACCTTCTTCTGGCGGTACTTGCGGGCAGCGATGGTGTTGCGCTGCCGGCGCAAGATCTTGTCGGCGTGGGGGGTTGACGTCTCTGGGCCTTGGCCCTCAGAGTTGGGCGAAGAGCGGTGAGATGGCGGGGCTCCCGGCGCGGCAGTGTATACTGACATGTCCAGGGGAGGAGGTTGATTGGGGCTGTTGGTGTTCGAGCTGTCACTGGAGCCGAAGAGGGGATCCAGGTGAGGTGGGAGGAGGTTGTCTGAGAATGTGTCGAAGAGGGTTGGTGGTGTGGTGTCAATGTAGGGGAATGCTAGATATATCATTAGCTTCATGCCTATGGATGGAAGAGTCACCAGATGAGTCAACTTACATTGATCGATCGAGTTGTCGAGGGGACTGGCACTAACGTGAGGCGTCGCAGAAGCAGCAGACGTCCACGGTAGAGTGTCCCAAGATGTCGGATCAAGAAAACAGGTAAGGCTCGGATCGGTATGGACAGATTCGGGGCCGAACAGCCCAAAATCCGCACCCGGGAGACCAGCGGTCGACAACGGTAGTTGCTGTTGATACTGAAGATCATGAATGAAGCTGGCCTCTCCGGGGAGATTCAAATTATCCGTCGCCCATGTCGGCGTGCAGTTCGTTGGGTTGCCACCAGAGTCTGATGGTCTGGCGGCAGGCGGCGCTTGCTGATGCTGCGGCGGCCGGCATTGTTGCAGAGTGTAACGGCCCCGTTACCTAGGGGCCAGTAGTCGGCGTTTTGAAAACGGGTGGGAGATGAGGGCCTCGACTTGCGAGGTGAGTTGATTGTCCTGAGGAAGAGAAGGGAAACCGACGAAGGTTGAGGGCGGGGAAGGGGATTTTTAATGGGATTTGGCTTCCGCTATCAGCGGGGAAAATGTCGTGTCTGTCAGTCATCCTTGCGGGTTTACGGCGGCCGCAGCTTTGCAGATTCCATCTTACAACGCTAAGCTGAACTTGGACAATCCATGTAACATGGCGGTTGTCTGAGTTGTGGGCTGAGTCTGGTCCGTTACGTACCAGGAGGATCAAAGACCCTGCGAGTCAGGCGGAGTTCATTTGCAACTATCAGAGTTGCATATCGTATCAATCGGGTGGCATACACAACTCGGCATAAAGTATGCAACAATGCCCATCCATCACTCAAGCCGGGATAGACGTCTGCGCCGCGTGATCATTCCTCGAAATACGGCGTAGCGCGGCCTCAACTGAGGGAGAGAGCTGACAGATTCATTCTGTCCGTGATGACAAACGTGTTTGCCTCACTCATCGAGGTGCCTCGTCGAGAACATCCCTCTATCAATAACCGGCAGCTCGTCAAGTGAAATTGCAACCTCGATAACCTACCTACACGTTGCCAGCAGACATCGACCATCTCAGCCCACCTCCGAAGCCGAGCTGCAGCGCCCGTAAAACTACCAAAACCGGCCGTGCCTCTAACGTTGGCTCTTCCAAAGACCCCTTGCCAAGTGCTCATCTGCGGCTCACCTCTGCATGGGGCCGGGCCCTACGGAGACATAGCGACCGACCGGCCGGAAATCTTTCCCATCCCACTCCTCGTTTGAGTTACCCTCGGACAATCCCACCATCAGATGGATCCAGCACATCTTGCAGATACGGCGTCGACGTCGACGTCGCCAAAGAGTGCTCCCAGCCAAGCGGGATCTCTCGAGAGCGATAACGGCAGGCTGTCCATCACTCACCGCCCGAGACATACCCGCACAAGCACTCCCAAGGTGAGGACCGGCTGTGTGACCTGTGAGTAGTGAATGCCCCGCCCCGCGATCCTGCACTCCGCTTACCCTCGCCAGGCAAGTGAGTTGTCGAACCCGCGCAACCAACCATCCTGTCTGGGGTCGTCATCTAATCCTGAACTTACAGAAAGCGGCACATCAAATGCGATGAGGCAAAGCCGCATTGTATGAACTGTCTCAAGACTCGTGGCGTCTGTGATGGATACATCGTCAAGCCGCGCAAGGCACGAAGCAGGGCCGCGCCGGCACCGCAACGGCTGAACCCAGAGAGGGGAGCGTCACCATGTCGTTCAACCTCGCGCGAGATCTTACGGGAACCGGACATGAACTCACTCGACTTTGCCAACGACAATGACAGCGTCTACTTCAATGATTGGAACGAACTCGTCCGCATTTCTCTCGGTGGCGCCCAGTTTTCCCGAACAAAACTATGGAACACCATGATGCCTCAGCTCAGTAGGCATAACCCCGCTTTACGACATGCGGCCATCAGCATCGGCGCCATGAGCAGGGCGCTCTCGCAACAGAACTATGTTGTCTCGCGGAACTTCAGCAACATCGCGAGTCTCCTCCAGAGCCAGCACTATCAGAGCGCCATCGTGCATTACTGTCAGGCTCTCCGGCTTCAAGGTCAAGCGGACTTCCACACGGCAAGCATACAGGAGGCCGTTCTGTTATCCGTTCTGTTCGTAGCCTTCGAAGCTCTGCGTGGTAACAGACACTCTGCGCTTCAGCATGTCAAGTATGGATTTGTGTTGCTCCAGGAGCTTCTCACGAGCGAGGACGCGGAGGCCCGTATCTGGAACCTTGCACCCGACCCTAGGCAACTCATCACCGAAGTGTTGGACTTATACAACCAGCTCGATGTGCAAAGCCGAACCGTTCTCGCAGGGAACGTGAAGACGAGCCGATCACCGGCTTATGAGTTGATCAGAGGCCTCAAAGCCCGGGGTCATACCATCGAGACGTACAACATGCAAATCCAGCGATACACAGAGCCGGGGGAAGGCAGGCGGAACATGCCTGAGATCTTCTACGACGCCGATGACGCGTACACCTGGTGGCAAGTATGCCAGCGGCGCATCGCGAAGCTGGGTCCTCTGTTGCTCACCGTCATCGACGACCTCAAGTTCGAAGAGATCAAGGACGAGGGTGGCATTGACCACATCCTCAACGTGATGCAGGACCAGCCCGAACTGCTAGCATACTGCGAGAAGTCGATGGCGCACCTTCAGCAATGGCGAGCATCCTTCGAACCGCTTTACAACAAGACATTATCCGACAGCTCAGTGGACCGCCGGGAGTACCTCAAGATTTTGCATCTGCGGATGCACTATCTCATCATGTTCATATACAGCTTCTTCCCCAAGTACGCCGACGAAGCGACCATCTCCAGCATGACGCCATACTGCCGTGAGATCAACGAAGTCATCGAGATACTGCTCAAGGAGCAGGAGAAGGACATCCAATCGCCGGCGAACCTGTTCTCGATGGAGTTCGGCATCGCGTGGCAGCTCACTATAGTTGCCATGACTTGTCGCGATCCGCTGGTGAGGGAGAGCGCCACGCGGATTCTCGAGAAGTATCCCCGTCGAGAGGGCCTATGGGACAGCCAGGCGTTCTTGGCGGTGCTCGTCAAGAACAGGGAGCTGGAACGGGACAATGCGAAGGAAGGTACGGCGTCCGAGCAATGGAGACGGCTCTGCAGGCGGGAGTTCATCTTCGAGGATGCCGGAGAGACGATCATCTTCCGATCGCTTAAGAAGAACGATGTCACGGGCGAATGGGACTTGGTAGAGGAGAGGGCGGATTTCAAGGGCGACGTAGAGGGATTGGTCTGGAAACAAAGGCCCCTGAGTGGCCCGGGATGGATTACTGGTATGAACTGATCGGCGCGACGGCTGACACGAAGCTTTGGAGTCAGGTGTGCTGATCATTTGGACAGTCTCAGGACAAGGGAAACTTAGGGACGTACTGCTCTCTACATCTCCTAAGGATTCTCCTCTTTAATCGATACCCATAATCCGTCGGTCAAGACATGTGGTCGTGGTATATCCCGGTTGATCATGAATGAGGTCAGTCTGCCTCGTTACGTGTGGTTATTGCAACATCGATATTTCTGAAGCTCCCACTGTTCTTCAGCATACGCGAACAAAGACCTCCACTGTAAACAAACATATTAAGACGAAAGTCTTGGATACTAGACTTCGTGGTAAGATATAAGGCAACGCTGAGAGCCTACATTCTGGGTATCCTCAAGAATTGTCTAAAGATATTGGGTTAATTACATCACGTACAACGCCCGTCTTTGTGTCGGCCATCTTGATTTCATTACCATCAACGAAACAAGACATTCAATTAGTCTCCCCTCCACGAGCCCCCGAACAGATGCTTCACCAACGCATCACGAGGAATACTCCCATCATGCGTACTCCCAGAATGCACCTGCCCCATCCCAAACCCATCGATCGGCAGCACCAGCACGTCACCATACAACGTCGGCGCTTTCATATACGACAAGTTTCGTATATCCGTCAGACTCGGCTCGACCGTTTGCAAGTGCTGGAAAACCACATCCGTCCACGCCGCCGGTCCGGTCGAGTTCATAACCTCAAAACTGCTCGGCTTCAACCCGCCCTCCTTGACGCCGTGCTGCCGGACGAGATCCTCCACCGAGGCAATCACGCGGTCCGTCATCTTCTTGAACACGGGGTGCCCCGGGGCCGCGGCGATGGTCCACTGGCAGAACTGCACCGGATGGGGTATGTCGGCCCAGGCGGGGCCGTCGCGCTGGTCGAACTCGATGCCGACGACCAGGCGGGTCTCGTTCCGGAGCTTACGTGGGACCCAGACGTCGACGGGCTTGAGGGCTAGGGTGTCTGTGTCCGTGTATATACCGCCCTCGACGTCGAGCAGGAGGTAGCGGAGCATGTCGGACTTCATGCCGACGTTGGGGAGGTGGTTGTATGTTTGGAGGATCTTGGAGACGTTGCCGAAGCGACGTTCGACAAATTCCTTTCCGCCTTTGCCGCCGACTAGTGTGCTGATGAGGATGTTAGCTTGGGTTTCTGTTTCAAGTTTCAAGTCGCCATGTAGTTGCAGAAATGTGACGGAAAAGAAGACACCCAACTTCATAAGAGAAATGTTTACAAACACCAACCGAGTAGCTGCGGAACAATGTAAAAGTATTACATCTGCAGCAACACCATTGGTCTCACTTACTAGGCATAGTCCGTATTCATCGCAAGCCACGTCGCCGTCTCCGACAACTTCTCAGGGTCGTTGACAGGATACCTATCCTTCCAGTTCTTCGGCAGCATAATCTGCCAGATCTTGGGCGGGATGAGGTGTCCCGGACGAGGCTTCACCCAGTCGGACCTCGTAGAGTTGTCGATCCACGAGTTGTCTTCACGGTGGTAGAACAAGTCGGTGTTGAACGGCAGCCTGAAGCCGTTTTGAGGGCTGCTGTCGTATAACCAAAATATCGAAAGGAAGATGAGGATGAGTCCCGTCAGAACGCACACGCGGTACCGGAGCTGGGAGATGTGGTGGAGAGCCCGCTCGCGCAGCGAGTTCGGGCCTACCGGCTCGGCCTTCTCGGCCGTGTACATCTCCTCGCTGGGAGAGAGGTCTGAAGTGAGAGACGACCTGAAGGAGTGAAGGTCAGTTCATTGGGAGAAGGGACCAACGACTTGTCTTCAGGGGCCAGTTCAACACATATTGTATCAGGCCGAAGCAATGGGCATGGAAAAGCTCGTAGAAATTCATTACCATCATGAACTACGACACATAAGACATCTATCATCCGTACGCATCAAATCATCCCTTCGAGGGAGAGCTCAACGCAACCGCCGAGACAGTCGCAGGCGGAAGATGCAAATCCGTACACGTCGGGTAGAGCATACGAGTGAGCAGCGGCTGAAGTGAAGAGGCGCTCATCACACCATACGCATACTCCTTACTGAACGCCTCAACGATATCGGCATCAGACTCGGGTAAGACATGCAGGATTTCACTGGTCCGGCTGCAAGGCGCAGGGTGTCTCGGCCTGGATTCCGGGATGAGGGAAGAGAGAGAATAGCAACCCTAGATCGACGGAGGTACAAAACAACAGATCTGTATCTGTCATGAGATCGGTATCTTTACGCGCGTTGCAAGATCTGGCCCCGAGTTTGGTCTAGAATGAATGCTTATTTCTTATCGCAATGTCTCGGATGTGCTTGGGCGGGTACCGGCTCCGTGGATGCGAACCGCGCGAAGGCGGATGTACCGAGACATATCACCATCTGACACCAGGGAAGTCGTGGCCGCAGGGTATATGCACTCCTGAATCGCTTTTCACTCCTCGCTTGAAGGAAGGGTCTTGCAATTTGCTTCATGTTCAACCCTGCAGTCGCCGGAGATCAGAATATGGGATGATCAAAAGAGCCATGTGGCCAAGCCACAAATCAGTTCGCCGGGTAGACGGACGTTGGTTCTCCGGGAAGAGTGCCCGAAGTCGTTCCTATTCGATGCCACCATTTGGATTGACAACCCTTCTTTCTAGGGTGCCTTGTGATTTTCGCGTGGCGTTTCCCTGCAGCTGATAGCTTGGCCAAGTACGAACCTCGGAGTCAGCTTTAAGCCATGAAAAGCAATTATCCCCAGTAAGCAAGGAGAACGATAGCATACGCGTCACGTGTATTGTATTCGTGAGCTCAGGAGACAGCTCTCTACCAATTACCACCCGTATCTGCTAAGGCTCAAACGGCGGAGTGATAGATCCATGACCAAACGTCTCAATACACCACATTCCACTTGACGTTCTCCCATCCCGCCCTCCGACTAATCCTCACACGTGAACTAGAAACAAGCACAGGCTTCCCGATCCCCGACGTCGGCCACGGCGTCTGGGCCTTCGGAACCACCGCCGGCCCGCCATCGACTCCAGTCACATCAAGACCAAGCAACAACTGCGCCGCAGAGCCCATCACAAGGCCACGAGCAAGGTTGCGACCGGGGCTGTTTTGCGTGTCAGTACTTCACATCATCCCGCCCAAGATATGAGAATCACACTTACCATTGATGCTTCCCCCCTCCAAAGGGGAAAAACCCCGTCGTCGGCATCGCCTCCTCGCCCATCTTCAAAAACCGATCCCCGACCCAGGTCTCGAAATCAGCGCCCCACACCTCCGGGTCTCTGTGCAGAATCGCCAGCGGAACTTGCACGCTCTGCCCGCTCTTGAGAAGGTAGCTCCGGCTGTCGTCGGTGATGGTGGTGTCCGCGACCACGGAGCGGTTCACGTTGTCGACGGCGGTGAGGCGCTGCGTCTCCTGGAAGCAGGAGAAGAAGAGGGGGCATTTCTCCTTCATGCCGCCCAGCCGGAGCGTCATCGGGCGCTCGGCCTGCGAGTTCACGAGGTGCTCCGTTTCACCCACGACGGTGAGGAGTTCCTCGCGGATCCTGGCGAGCAGGTCCGGCTGGCCGTAGATGTGGATGAGCAGCCAGTAGAGGATGGCGGAGGTGTTGGCGAGGGAGGCGACGGTGAAGCCGAGCTCGATGCGGGAGATGTCGTCTGGGGACATGCCGAACTTGCGGCCGATGGCGATGCGGTCGCGGGTGAACTGGGGCACGTCGGGGGCCATGTCGTTCTCGTCCGCGATGTAGGTTTCGAGGAGGGCGCGGACTTGTTCTCGTGTCTTGAAGGCCGTGGAGGCTACGAGGGATCGGGATGCGGGGATGAGGAAGAGGTGCATGCTGTCGTGGAATGTCCTGTGTATGGTTGTGAGTTTCTCGGTGGTGGTGAGGATGGATGATGTGACGTACCAGAAGGTCTCCCTCATCTTGGGGTCTTTCAGGGGGTTCTTCGCCCCGTATAAGTCAGTTGTGACGGCTACCGTGAGGACCTGGCGACCCCATTCGTAAAAGTCGTCCACCTCCGTCGGTTCACGGGACAGACCGCTCAGGAACTCCGCCGTGTTGCTGACGAGGGCCTTGGTGAAGCTGTAGAGGTCCTTCCCTGACATTCCCGTGTGGAGGACCTTGAAGAAGGCGACGTGGTAGTCTGGTGTCTTCCACATGTCCAGACCAGGGCCTTCGAGACCCAGCATGATGTCGGCGAAACCGGCGAGGAGAGGCTCGAAGCTGAGGGTCCGGGCACGCAGGACGGCTGCGGCTAGTTGGGGCGAGGAGGCTACGTAGAGCTTGTGGCCGAGGATGGGTAGTGTGTGGGCCTGCATTCTGTACTTCTTGCTGGTGATTCATGTCAGCTAGAGAGTCTGAGGATGCCTTGTAGAAGACCGCGGCATGTACGGGACGATGGACCTGGACTCACTGGTTTCCCAGGTGGTACTCAAATCTCAGCTGAGCGAGACTGAGAAGATGGCCTATCATGGGTATCTTGGGACGCAAAACCGGCGGCTCCTGAGAATCGAGTTGGACCGGCCATAGCGCCTTGTAAACCACGAAGACGACCACCAAAGCAGCCGCGAAAACGAGAGATATGATCATCTTGGGCAAAGCTTGCTGCGTCTCAAGACCTATCCGGTTCTGAAGGTCTTCCGCCAAGACCCCATTGCAAAGGAAGGCCCGGGAGTCTTTTAAATATTTCCCTCGTGGGACACTTCGCGCTGTGTAAGTCCAATCTACACGGAATCTTCCACGCCCGCGATTACGCAGATGAGTCGGGGTCCGCATGCAACGAACCCTGATTCCAATATGCAACTAGCTCATGCTGTTGGTTCAAAGTTCCCAAAGACCTCTCGGCTAAGTGTCTTCACGCTGTCCTTCCGGCTAGACTCCTTCTACTTTCGGGTACTGCGCCGCAGAGCCCGTCGGCGGTTAGGCATCTAGAGTCACAGAATGATATGATGGCCCCAGCAGTGCGAAGAAGGCGGGCAAAGGCACAGCAATAGGCTCGACGTACGCGAGGGGACGCGTGTGCAAGCTAGAGTCGCTAGATGGATCTTTGAGCAGCGGTCATTTGCTTGTGTTGGTCACGAGGTCTGCGTTCTCTGTTGTGTTGGAATTTTACCGGGTGGTGATGTTTTTTCAGTGCTATGATTGAGATCATGCTCCCGTGTGTTTGTTCTTATAGCTGGAAAGAAAGTGGTCTCCGATCGGGTACCGGCCTGGGCCGGCGGCGCAGGCCTGGTCTCCAAGATGCAGAGATGCGCGTGCAGGGGTGGAGATGCAGCACAAACCGACGGACCACGGTTTGCAGCCCCGTCCATGACTAGGTATTCACAGGGACCCCACACTCTGGTGTTCAAAGGTCGAAGAGCTGTGTTTGTGGTGGGAGTTTTACTGGTAATGCGGTCCGTTGAGGTCTACGCCAGCACTGGTTTAGGTACTGTCTGGCACTGAGGACGTCCCAGTTGAGTGCTATGTGCACGAGGCCGAAGCCTGAATGACCCGGCCTCTCGCTGCTTGGAGAGCATTTGGTGCCGAGGTGAAGATGAAGATTACATCAAAAACCAAGACGGAGAAGCTTCATGAGCATCGACTTCGTGTAGAAGGCTTCAATGAGAGCACTCATCGCAGTCGTCGAACTGCGTTTGAAAGCCGGGACGCGCACGTGGTCCGGGTGCGTTGGGGGTCCCTCCTCTCGGCGCCCGTCATTGGCGGGGCTCACAGACGAAGCGGACCGGGCGGATGCGGGGACCATGGACCTCGCTGCTTTGGCGAACGCACCTCCGGCCCGTCCGGCGCAGCCCAGCTTCATGACACCTCACCTCCTTCCTTCATCTTAGGAGTTGAAGAAGGCACCGTCAAGTGGTTTGTCGCGCAGTCAGCCATAATATCCTCAGCGCATCACAAGCACAGCAGCATTCTACCATGAGAACAAGCGCCCTCTGCTACATCCTTCCCCTCCTCCCACCAACCCTCGCAACAAACGCCATCACGATGTCAAACCCCCCAAACATAACCCGTCCAGACCCCAAAATCCCCCTCGCGCCCTCCCCCCTTCCCCCTCCCGGCCCAGCAGCCTCCGGCGCCGAGATCGCAGCCCAGCTAATGACCCTCTCCCGCTCCAACATCTCCCGCCTCAAACTCATCAAGAAGGTACGTCTGCAGGGAGACCTCTGGGAGCCGGAGGGCATCGTCCGCCTGGCCCACTCGTCCGCCGCGGAAGAGGAGGAGAGGTTCTGGGTCTCGGCGGGGGAGTACACCGTGCCGACGCGGAAGTATCCCGACGGCGAGATCGTTGACGGGACGGATCGGAGCGCGGGGGCGGGGTTCGCGCATTTTGTGGTGTTTGACGGGGAGGGGACGCGGTTGGGGGATTGGGTTGTGTCCGAGGAGGGAGATCTCGAGGTTTGTTTTTTTTCAAGTCTTGGGGAGTTGCGGGAGAAGGGCTGACGGGTGGTAGTATCACAATGGAGGGTTGGATTACGACGGGACGCACATCTGGGCCACGCTCTCGCAGTACAGGCCCAACACCACCGGTACAGTCGTCAAGATCGACCCTGCGGAGCTGAGGATGGAGAAGGTGTTCAAAGTCAAGGATCACCAGGGCGGCATCGTCCACGACGTCGAGACGGATTCGCTCTCGACGTTGAACTGGGGTGGACGGAAGGCACGGAGGTGGAATCTCCGGTCTGCGAGCGCGGTCAATGACGGACGGGAGCAGCGGCCGTTGGGAGACGTCCGCGAGGACGGCGCCCACTTCGATTCGCCCGCGGCGGAGATTGAGAACCCGTCGCACTGGATCGATTACCAAGACTGCAAGTCCTTGGGAGACGTGGGGTCGCGTCCGGTGATGCTGTGCTCTGGAATCGCGACGTTGGCGCCGGGAGTTGATGTCGGCGGGCTGGCGATTGTGGATGTCGAGACCATGGTTCCGATATGGGAGGTGCCGTTCATGAAGAGGACGGAAGAGGGGAAGAGGGTGTTGATGACGAAAAACCCGATGGACGTCGCGCTTGTTGGGGGCAGGGTCAGGCTGTACTTTTCACCCGAGGAGGGGAGCAGTACGTTGTATGTCTACGAGCTTGAGGAGTCATGATGCATTTGCAGGATCATCACGGGGGCTTTTGGTGCGGCTGGGCTCCTGTGTTGGACTACTCTGTACAACGAAGATGCCTTGGCCTTTGACTGAAGCCTTCCGAGAAGCCGTTTCATGCCGCATGCGTTCAATCCACGCTCCTTGTCCGGATCAGACAACGGCGGACCCGGTCCAAGATGCTAAGCAATTACGGTTATCGTCCACCGTTGGAACCCACAAAGATGGTGGCAGAGCCTCTTTTGAAGCTTGTTTTCTCCCTTGTTTGGTGTAAAAATGGTAGCGCATTCCGGAGTGAGTGGGTGTGTGGGCTGGATCTACTTAGGCCCATTTCGTCGGAGCCGAAGGGCTGAGAGGTGCTATTTCTGGGCGCTGAACTGGCCACCCTCCACGACCAAGTTGGCACGCGGTGTTGGGGCACCGAATCTGACTCGCCGATACGAGATGCAGGAGAGGCGATGCGGTTGATGAGTAGGATGTTCTGGAAGACGGCTGCAGTGGTTGAATCCTGCGGCGTAACCAACACGGCTGCGAACAGACTGGAGTGCATGTGTCGTGAAAGCTGCCAACGCCAGCCGTGATGGCAGGGCCTGGCGGAAGATGTGGCTTGTGGCTGTCCGGTTTGGCACGCAGGACAAGTTCGCCGTCGTCAAATTACGACGTCGCAGTGAGCAGCGTCGGTAGGAACCCCATGATTCGTGAGGATGGGACTCTGTAATGCGAAAAACAGTCGACGCGGAACGGAGGCGAGTTCGAGAAGAGGAAAGGCGCTGAGGGGGGGGATTATCCTGTTCAAGGCAATCTGGTGATGTCATGCGCGGACATGGATCAGCGTTGCAAGGGGTGCTTCAGTGTGCTTCAGGTTTGGAGGTTTTGGTAGGGGTGTTCGCCAGACGTCGGCGGTTGCAGCAAGGTGCTGTAGGGGAGATGCCAGGTTTCCGGAGGTTTCTGATTGCTTATTCGCGGTCGCGGCGAGGTGGACGGGTTTGATGTTGATGGGAATACTTCAGTAGGTATTGACTTTGGAGTTGAGCTGAAGGTTCGGATGGCATTTCTTCGGATGTGGTGGCGGCTGGCGGAAATACGAGTAGACGCATGTATTCTTTGCCCTCTGGATAGTGTCGTCATGTATCGCGGTTTTTTACCCATGCCATCAGAGCCTTGCCCGGTCAACGGTCTGTTCGCCTCTCGTTTTTTCGCCTAGTGTTTTGGTCAGCAGAGTCGAGCCCCGCGGGGAGCGATGAGCGGTGGGATACCAAAAATCGAAATGTGGATGTCGATAAATGCCAGCGAGGTTGGTGTTTTGTGGATGCGAGTCGATCTTCAGGGGATGGATATCGTGGTTGGTATTGGTAACTTGGTTGGTAAGGCAGGGAGAGAGAGTGAGAGGCAGCTGGCAGCAAATAGAAATGGTGGCGCTGGGGTTTCGAGAGAATTGAGGCGCAGTTACACTTAAAAAAAGAGGAAGGAAGGCGTTGGTCGCTTGGCCAACCACGGCCGGCCCTGAAGTGTCCACCAGATCCACATTTGAACCTTTTCCACTGGCCGCTGGCGAGGGGCAGGCGCTATCGAATGTGTTGGGCAGGGGCAGGGGCAGCATGGACGTTTAAAGAAGGAGCCCTGGGTGATGGCCTGGTGCTCGCCTCTCCTCAGTCGAGTCTCAGCGGTGTTGACTCTCGCTGTGGCGGCCTCGAATGCGCTATTGAATATGTGTGTGTCTTGAATGACAGTTCGTAAGGGGGAGCACTTGCAACACGGCGGCAGCTCTTCGGGCAGTTGTGTTGCGGGTGAGAATGAAGCTGCCAAGTAATTACATGATGCCCTCACTTTGTTCTTTCTTTCCGTAAAAGGCTCAGGAAAGACCCCAAACAGAGAATGACGTCGGCAGACTCTCAACACCTGCAGGAAAGTGCCGGACAGGTCCCTCTTTCCTGCCTTGCTTTTTTCTTTTTGGACTCTTTCCCTTTCGTCTCTGCATCTTTCCTGCCTCGACGGGCCCTGGCGCCTGCTCTCTTTTAAGCTGGACCCACTGCGGCGGCACTCGGCAGGGCACTGACACTCGGACCAGCTGTAAACGGGTTGACGGGGCAGGAACGGCAAGGCAGGGAAGCACCGGCCACGGCAACCGGGGGGAGACGAGGATCCATGGATGACGAGGGGACGAGGGGACGACGGCAAGGTACCTGCTCCCCCAGATTTTGCCGGGGAGGTACTTTACGCCGTCCTTATTCTGCTGTCATCGTTGCCATGGAGGAACTGCCAGTCACCAGTTCTTGCCAGAAACTGAGAAGGGATGGCCTCCCTTCCTTCCTTCCTGCGTGTTGCTCTTTCCTGCTTTCTGCAGCCAGTCATCCGATCCTGCTTCATCCCATTTCGGCGCCTTCCAATCTGTCTCACACACGCGCGCATTTTGCATTTTGCATTACCTGTACAGCATTTGTTGCATTTGCTGCATTTGCCAACATTTGCATCTGTTACCTACCGCAGTATCTGCAATTGTAACTTCCTGTCCGTCTCCAGATTCCCACGCTCCAGTATTTCTGTCTCTCCATGTCACTCTAACCTGCGACCAGCCGATACAAGCACGTCTTTTCCCCACGGCCAAGGGACTGCAGGACCCATCAGCAAAAGTAACACCCAACCTCCAAGACCCAAGCCACCTTCAGACGTGCATACTGCAACCTGACCAAGACCAAGACCAAGGTACGCCCACCACCACCTCTATCCGTACACTCACAATTCTTCTCATTTCTCCGTACCGTTTCCCGTCTCTCTCCTCTTCGACTTTTCGTTTGCAATCTCCCTCCCGTCTCCTACTCCTTGATTTCCCTACCCCAATCCCCAATCCCTCCCGCGGACCAAACAAAACGGCCAGCCCCTCGTCTGCCGTATCCACAAACTATCCAATATTCCGCGGCCGACTCTGATCTTTGGGGAGGGACTAAGGTAGACAGGAACACCACCAGGAATACGAGCGAGCGCGACGCCAAACAGGTTGCTGCACCCAAGAAGCAACAATACGAGCTGCTGAGCTGACCCGGCGCCTCCTCGGGCGAAACACCGAAATACCTGGCCCAAGACCAGAGCCAGAACCAGAACCTGTACTCCCAACATCACTCTCGACAGCTTTCTCTGCGGCTTGACCAGACCTGCGCCTCCACGATCGCTTTTCGACACTGTCCATCGTAATAGGAGTCCAAGACAAGACTTCACTGCCCCGGAATCTGCCTTCGTGTGTGTGTACTGCGTTCGAATTGTCGCCTTTCGTCAACCACTCAATCACTCGCACAGCCCGCTGCTTACTCTCACCTCACCAATACGAACACGCAAACGACCGCTGTCTGGTACGACTTCCCGCTGTCAATCTCCCCGACACTCGTGCCAGGCGGACCGTGGACGCGACTAGCTTGCGTCCTCCGCCGCCTCCCTTTTACTCTCTCTCACCGGGCGACTGGCGGTGCACGGAGGTTAGTGATGTTGTTTTTGCTTCTGTCGCTCGCTGCCTTTCCTCTGGCATCTTCCATCTGGTCCTGTCTCGGTCGCATGCACGTCTGCGCTTGGCTGGAATGATCAGACGAAATATCAACATACACCGTCTGCAGCCAGAACTGCGCTCACAATTAAACCAGTCTTCCCTCCGAGACCTCTGAAATTGCTTCCGCATTCCTTCACGTCGCACATAGTCCCCCGATTCAGCGGCCGCTCCAGTCTTTTCAACGTCGACCTTGCTCCGCTCCCGTCCTCGACCTTTGTTCGGAAACATCTCTTGGCTGTCGGACAATCAACCCACGACGGTTGCGAGCCGTTCGCCGTCTTTCTTCTTCTTCTCCCTGAAACATGCCGCGATACGACCTGGACGACGGTAACGGGGAGCGCGAGCCTCTCGACAATGCCTACCGCTCTCATCCGCGCTCGCCATACCCTCCGGAACAGTACCAGGACCACCAGCCGTACTATAACGCCTCGCCCCCGGGCCATCAAAATCACCAGCACGACCCGAGGACCCGACAGCACCCAGGCGGTCATCCCGATCCCAACTTCGGTCGTATGAGAGACGAGCGCAGGAACGACCGTCAAGGGGTCCCCCAGGCTGCCGTAGGTGCAGTGGGCGGCGCAGCTGCAGGATACGGCGCCCATCAGATTGGCTCAAACATGGCCTCACCACAAGTTCCCCCTCACACCAACTGGGCGCCGTCCCAGCAGAGTAATCTTAACCCCAACATCACGCCCGGAGCAGACAACTTCAGCGAGGGCGCTTCAGGGGGCATGGCGGGTATTGCTTACAGCGTCGCCGAGCGCAACGCCCGAGAGAGCGGCGTCGACGCCATGAGGAACGTCGGCCAGGCACAGCCTCCCCGACCCCAGTTCCCGAACGCACCTCCGTCAGCTTATAACCAGCCCCGAGGCGACGCCTACGAGATGAGCAACGCACCTCGCCCGTACGCCCAAAGCGACCGCACTTCTCACTCCAGTCTCACTGCCCTCGGCGCTGCTGGGGCATCACCCGCCAGGCTATCCCCTTCATCAACGCCGTACGGCTACAGTGACTACTACAACGACCACCCGTACTACCAAAGGAACGCCGACCACCTCGGCGTTGTCGACCCCAACTCAATAGCAGACGACGGCGACGACGGTCTGGACTACGGCAAGAGCCGAAGCGGACGCAACTCAATGCTCAGCCTTTCAAACCACAGCGACCGCACGGGCAACAGCCGGCCCGGAGCGGCGGCGGCGGGTGCAGGCGCAGGTGCTGCGACTGCCCTCATGGCTGGTGCCGGCCGGACGGGTAATGGCGGTGGCGGATACTACGATCCCGTCAAGGGCTCGGCCTTGGGGGGCAGTAACATTGACCTTGGCGGCGAGAAGCGCTCCGAGTGGGTGAAGTCGCAGAACGGTAACAGGAAAAAGTGGAAGTGGTGTATCATCATTGTGGTCATTCTCATCATCGCCGGTGCCATCGCTGGCGGTACTGCCGGCTGGTTGGTCTCCAGGAACAACCGAAGCGGTGCTAGCAGCGGCAGCAGTGGCCAGTCGGCCGACGACGACACCAACTCCAACGGCGACCTCAACATCAACAGCAAGGAGATCAAGGACCTCATGAACAATAAAGACCTCCACAAGGTCTTCCCCGGAATGGACTACACTCCCATGAACACCCAGTACCCCGACTGCGTCCACAACCCCCCTTCTCAGAACAACGTCACCCGCGACCTCGCTGTTCTCAGCCAGCTGACCAACACCATTCGTCTGTACGGCACCGACTGCAACCAGACGCAGATGCTGATCCACTCGATCCAGCAGTTGAAGATGGAGGACACCATCAAGATCTGGATGGGCGTTTGGCAGGATAAGAACGAGACAACCAACGCAAGGCAGCTGACGCAAATGTGGGACATTCTCGACGAGTACGGCGACAAGTACTTTGAGGGCATCATCGTCGCCAACGAGATTCTGTTCAGAAAGGAAATGACGGAATCCGACCTGGGCACCCTCCTCAATGAAGTCCGCACCAACCTGACGGCCAAGAGCTTGAGCCTCCCGGTGGCTACTTCGGATCTCGGCACCGACTGGACCGCATCGCTGGCGGCCAAGAGTGACTACATCATGGCCAACATCCACCCGTTCTTCTCGGGAATCAACGCCAAGGACTCCGCCATGTGGACATATGCCTTCTGGGAGGACCACGCCAAGAGCTTCTTCAAGTCGGACTCCAAGAAGAACGTCATCGCCGAGGTCGGCTGGCCTAGTAAGGGCGGTATGAACTGCGGCAACGGCCTGGCTACGGGCTGCCCCGATGCCTCGGTTGCGGGTGTCGACGAGATGAACGAGCTCCTCGACAAATGGGTCTGCCCTGCTCTGACCAACGGCACAAACTACTTCTGGTTCTCCGCGTTTGACGAGCCATGGAAGATCAAGTTCAACGAGAAGAACAAGGACTGGGAAGACCAGTGGGGCTTGATGGATGTTGACCGCAACCTCAAGACCGGTGTTAAGATCCCAGACTGCGGCGGAAAGACCGTTTGAAGGCGAAGAAAAGCGCCAGTGACGAAGTTTTGATTTACGTATGGACGAGACAAGAGCGGGCCTGCCTCTCGTCCGCTGCTTGGCAATACGCAGCGCTGTACATGACGGAGTAATTTAGGAGTTGGGGTTCAAAGCATGCCCGGCACGACGCCGCGGTAGTATGTGTATGATTTTTGATACCGTACATAGTCACCTTCCGGTAATGGTTCGGATGGCTTCCAGTGTGTCTTTAGTATTTGACCGAACCGAATAGATTAGTTTCATATCACAACTATCCTCACGACGTTACTTTGCCTTTTTCACGGACTTTTGCTGACATATTGACGGGACGTAGACTTGCAGTTCGACACGTGCCGAGAGCCACGGGGCCGGCGCCGGCGCCGGCTCGAGTCATTTCCATGTTGGTTTAGTTGACGCTAAGGCGAACAAATCGCCAAGTTGCCTAAACTTCAGCACTCAAGAACCTTTACAAATGATGCAAACGGCTACTTACGCGCGGCAGCATTAAGCGCCCGCGCCGTGAAGATTTCAATTCTCCTCTACATCTCAAGTCCATCGTCGACTCCGATTCGATCCCCTCACGCCGTGCGACGCCGACATAAAGCCCGCGTCGATATTCGCCTATTCTTTCAAGGTTTACACAGAGTCAGGCGCGGAGACGGAAGGGGGGGAAACTTTGAACGAGGTGGTCATCCTGGGAGCAGCGTGCGTGCGTGCGGGCTTAAATCGAACGTCTTGGCTGCTGCTGCTGCCGGCGACGACTCGCGCGGGGGTGGGTGAGTGAGGCCGGGTACGGATGTGTTTTGATTGAGGGTTTTTGACGTAATGCCGGTCGAGAGCACGGTTAGCCGTGTTGTTCTCACTGCCGGGATTGAGTTTGTTTATTTATTTTTGGGTTTTTGAGGGGTTTAAGGTGAGATGATGGGTTCTTTCTGCTTGTCATGTCGTTTTTTGAGGTTTTCACGAGATGCTCTTCTAGATGGACAGCGGCAGGATACTACATGATCTAGCGTCAATCCCAAAACATCACCACCGGAAATCAGACCGTCCAGCGTCTTCGGACGATCTTTCTTACTCCCCGGACGAAGACCGATGATGAGCGGGCCGACCGGTTCAGGCGGCATAGATCCCCATTCCTCGAGGTGAGACGCGACCCCGTTCGTTGAATGGGCCGGCGTTCCAGAGGACGGACGGCCGCCCCTGGTTCCAAAACGCGCCAGAGGAGAGCCCGCCCGAGCGCTGTTTGCTCCGCGTCTCGCACGAGACGGTAGGGATTTATTTGGTGGATGTTTTCTTGTATTCGGGAGATCTTTCCTTTGGCTTTGATTTATTGGGGAGTGAGATGACATGACACTGATTGATGAGGGAATTGGATTTGACGGTGCACATGCTTTTTCATGCCTGTGCAATTGGCTTTCTTGCGTGCTTTAGACGTGCGTCCGAGGACTTCGCTCTCTCCGTCTCGTCTCTTATTTCGCGTGCGGCTCAAACTGCGTCCCCCGAGGTTCGTTTCATATCCCGCCACGCCCCGTGATCCCTGTCCAACGGTCTGGCACATGAAACACGTCAGGACGTTGGACTACAGACGTATCAGGGCCGCTGCTTGTACTTTGGACGGCTTTTTTTGGTTGCGATGTGTGGTGATGTGTCTCCGGGGGTCCTGGTTCGTGGGGATGGTCCTCAAACCTCAAACGGATGGTGCAGCCGAGGAGAAGGGGAGATGGGTGAGAATGTGTGGCGGGAAAAGAAGAAAACTGCTGGTGTCCCTCGTGTCTTTCCAAGCTTTGAGTTTGTGCTCTTTTGGTTTGTTTTATTTCTTCATCTGAGACTTTTTCTTTCTTTTCGAATTGGTCATTAGATACTCAACTTCATTCATTTCGAGGGTTTCTCTAGACGATATATCACACACGCATCATGCCTCCCAAGTCAAAACACTACGAAAGCGTCGCGGACACAGACGACCACGACCACGACGCCCGCTCCAGCACGGAAGTCGAAGAAGCCCTGATGGACGAGGAGAAGCACCACCACTGGCACTCGATCGACCTGGACGCCGAGACGCAGCAAACGAAAAGGACGTGGTGGAAGACGACCAAGACGCTGCTGCGGCGGTACCGCTGGCTCATCGACACCCTCCTGCTGCTGACCAACATCGGGCTCTCGCTCGGGTTGTCGCTGCTGTTGTATTACCAGTTCGAGGACGCCAAGTTCCCGGTCACGACGAGGCAGGTCGGTGGGGATTATACGGGTGCCGGGCCGATGTGTAAGTTCTTTTTTGTGAGGGGCTGAGATGGGGTGAGAGGGTTGACTGACTTGGGTTGGTGTAGTTCCGACGAAGGTTGTTTCGTTTGCGGCGGATTATTCGTATGTGCCACCGAACGGGACTGATTTCCTTTCGGATGCTACGTTGAGCCAGTGGAGGTCTCTTCTGCCGGGTAAGGTTCTCGTTTGATTGTGTGACGAGAGGTTGCTAATGTTTTTGCTAGTCGGCTCGGGATGGAAGTGGGTTGGAAACGACCCCTTCTTCACCACCTCCATGACGCACCAACTTCACTGCATCGTGAGTGACACCACCACCACCACCACCACCCTGACACGAACACGGCAACTGACGAAGCAAACGCAGTTCATGATGGGCAAGATCTTCTCGGGCCTTACGACGAACAACATGACGCACGTGCCGACGGACTACGTCTCGCACTACTTCCACTGCGTCGACTACCTCCGGCAGGCCGTCATGTGCAGCGGCGACCTGGCGCTCGAGCCGCACGAGATCACCGACTCGGACGACAACGGGCCCGGGGACGGCAGCTGGAACGGGCAGCACGTGTGTAAGGATTACAGCCAGGTGATGAAGTATCTCGATAGTAAGTTGTGGATTTCGAGTGAGAGTTGGGAGTGGGTTTGCTGACTTTTGGCGCGTAGAGCAGATTGCGGAGGGGGTGAGGGTTGTGTTGCCGATAGATGATTAATGTGTAATATGGGCTTGGTCAACTTACTGAAAGCGTTTTTGGAGCATTTGTTTTGAGATTGGGTTAGCGAGTAATAGAGAAGAGTCGAACTTCACGAGATTGCTGCTTGCTGTGTCTTCTGGATGGATGGAATCGATGGATGATTACATGTTCTTCACGGCTTGGTGAGTCCCTCCCTATACGAGCAAAGTCAGACATGTTAATCTGGCACTGACACATCAAAGGTCCGATAACATCGTCAGCAAATCCCCGACACACTCTTTAGGTGACAGATATTCTCAAGAGTCTACTTCAACCAAGACTTGACAATCCTCTCCAACCCTTCCGCCATCCACTCCTCATCAATCTTGCTCTCATGATCAAACCCATGCTCCCCAGGCCGAACCGCCAAGTGAAAATCAAGCTCCGGATCCACCTCCTTCACCTTCGCCTCCAACCTCCTACTACCAACCACAGGCACAACACTATCCTCCTCGCCATGCCACACAAACACCCCACCGCGGGGGAACCGCGCCCCGTCATCCAACATATCGAACGGGAAGAGGTGCCGCTTCTCGGCCGGGAACAAATGCTTCGAGATCCCGTGGTGCGTCAGCGCGAACATCAACCCGCCCCTCTCGAACCTCGCGTCCTCTGAAATCACCGCCGGAAGGGTCCCCTCGCGGACCTTCTTCATGTGCTCCTCCACGAGACTATACGGCAACGGGCCGACGCCCAGCGTAGGACCCCCCGCGCCCTCGGTGAAATGCGGGTCTTTGAGGTCGGTGCAGGGGTACGCCGCCGTGCAAGCGCGGATCTTATCCCCGTGCCGGAGGCCGGCCATGAGGCTCAGGTACCCGCCCGCGCTGTCCCCCGCCGCGAGCACGCGGTCCACGTCGACGGCGACGCGGCCGGCGGTCTGCTGGGCCACGAAGGAGGGGAGCACGGTCTGGAGCCAGGTCCAGTGGTCCTCGACGTCGGAGAGGAGGTCGTCGATGGTGGACTCCGGGGCGAGGCGGTAGTTGGGGGAGACGATGACGGCGGCGTGGCGGTCGGCGAGGGCGAAGTGCCAGGGTTGGAAGAAGGGCGGGAAGAGGGAGGAGGCGGCGATGAAGCCGCCGCCGTGGTAGCGGAGGAGGATCGGGGAGGGGGTGGGGGAGGGGGTTGTGAGGAGGCGTTTGGGGATGAGGATGTCTGTTGTGATGGGGTGGTTGGAGACGGTTTTGTAGGTTGTGGTGAGGATTTCGAGGTCGGCGAACCGGGAGGTGTCGTCGGGGTTGAGGTCTATGGCCATGGTTGAGGTTTTGAGGTGGGAGTTATGATGTCTTTGTGATTTGGTTTGATGAGATCTGGTGAGGTTGGAGTTTGAGGTTTTGGAACGGGTATATATCGTCTTCTCAGATGATCGGAACCAGATCACGTCCGAGAGAGCGAGGCCCAGTTATGTCCGAAGGTGAGGTGGGGTGAATGACAAACTGCGGATGCCCGGGGAATGGAGCGGGTGGGTATCGTGGCGGGTTCGCTGTGAAGTATGTCGAGGAAGTATTCGTGGACTAGTCGTGATCGGTGTTTGATTGGGATTGTGAGAGGACGTAGATGTTGGAAGGCAGTTGTGAAAATGAGGCAGCTTGTGAACTGTCTGAAGGCTTAGCTGAGTACAGAGGGTGTCGATGGCGGGAACGAATGCCTGCCTACGAAGAGACGGTTCTCAGTAAGACGACGGACAGAAAGCTCAGTGTTTGTTAGAATAAGTCTCTGTACTTAGATGTGCTTAGAAAAATGTCCAGTCCTCGTTTCTGAGTCGTCTGCATTGACGGCGAAGATCATATTGTGAAGTGAGTCCTCGTGGTTTCGCAGTCTCAAGTGCCGAAACCACAGCCGACCTCCAACAGTCGAAGACCCGAGGTCGTGAAACTCAATTGACTTGGTCATCCACGCTGGGTCCAGCGGGCTTTGAACGGGGAAGGGGGCACCCCTGGCGGAAGTCCGGGGTTCGACGCTATGATCGGGGCTAAGACCGCCGCCGCCGTTGGGTCTTGGGACGAGGGGAGTTGTTGGGATGCTCCATTGAATTCGAACGGACTTTAGCTTGTGAGGTCCGAAGCGCGACGGAGGGTTATGTCCAGGGCGTTGAATGTTCGGGATAGAATGTCATTCGGTTTCGCCCGAGTGCCGACCGCTCCGTGTTCCGGTACCCACCTTGCTCCGGGGTCGGAATACATGCGGGCCGATCCCGCCGAGAATCACCAATCGGCGGTCTGCATGCCGGGGCGGGCAAACCAAGTACCGGAAGACCCCTCATTTAGCTTGGCGCGAACATAATTTTACTATTTTTTGCACTTCCTCTTTTGCGGCATAGGTCTGATTGATTTTGCGTATACCTACGTACTTTGATAGCAAACTCTACCAGCAATTGAAAATGGCTTCCGGCTTATCGCCCGACTGGGTGTGGTCGAATACCTCAAATGCCACGTACTAAAGTTCCCCGCCTCACCTTGAGACACAACCACGGCTGACAAGACATTCGCATTTAGTGCTTGCAACGACAGGGAATGGTTCGACGAATACGAGCCGTTCGAATCACACACGGGCACCCACTTCGGCCCTGGCCCCCGGGTACTGGGCGTCGGCACCGTGAACCTACCCGTCATCACATCACCTGACGCGACGGGACCCAAGAGGCACGGCATCCTGAAGCTCACCAACGTGATCCACGTCCCGGATGCCGTGTGCAACATCATCAGCAGCCACGACTTCATCGAGAGCATGCCGGATGGCTGCGGCTTTACTTTGGGGATGGGGGCGCCCGGCACCCAAGGCTCGGTTCTGGGCCCGGACGGGGAGTCGATCGCCTACTTCAAGGGCGACCATCGATTATTCGCGCTCGCGCTGAGTGAACCGCCTGTCGGACCCGTCACCGGACCGTCGCGTTTCAGAGACGACACACACTACGCCGTCAATGTCGAGTGGCCCGACTCGGAGTTTGCTCGCTTTCAGGCGCATATGGCACAGCGCAGGCAGGATCCGACGAAACAGAGATATTCTGCGGAGGAGAAGCAGTGGCTCAAGACTCACTTCGGCGGGGAGTACCATTTTCTTCGTGTTTATGGGCTCAGCATCTACAAGGAGGAGGATCGAGATGAAGGCGCCGCCATTGTGAGAGGGATGATGGCGAACGAGTAACACAGACAGGACTAACCGTTTCTGGGCTTAAGTGTTCATCGATGATGAGGATTTGGCTGGAAATCCTCGATGTCTCCCGTTACCGATATCACATCCAACATCAAAGCCGTTTTCATGATTCACGTCGGAGATTTTTGCAACTTTCATCCTGGCAGACGCATTCTCTCGATGCATTGGCACTCGTGCAATAACATCAAGTCAACAAGAACCAGCTTCAAACGCTTATGTGTTGATATCTCAACTAACAAGGTAGGCCTGACTCAAAAGCGTAGTCTCATCGAGCTGCGTTGGCACAGCCAGGATGTACGCAGATGCCAGACTCGAGTAGGCACCTCCAATATTCAGTGTCTTTGGAAGACTTGTCAGTATTTGCTCAGTCTCGGGATATGACGTTTCAACTTGCCTGGCGATTGATACGTCGCTCAGCGCCCCCAATACCACGCTCCTCCATGAAGAAGTCGACACCGTCGTGAGTAGTCCCCCATAACCTGCCCTCCACATGCTGAATTGTTCCGTTTTCGTAAACATACGGGTAGACCACCCCGCCCTTGATGGTAGCGTTGAGTGCTCCCGTGATGGTGGCGTTCAGGACATTGAAGACTGTGTTCATGTTAATTGGACTGATCTGGGTGGTAGGCTTGATGAGTCAAAGATGTACCTATCTGAAAACCTCCCGGGACTTCGATTGGGCCGTATTGTTTGGGATCAATATGGACGGTAGTGTTGAACAACGGCTCAATCTTCGGAGGTGGTTGGAGTTCTTGCGCGGCCACCTGGGAGATCAGAGCAGCGGTTGAAAGGATCGCGGTCAAGAACTTCATGTTCACATCAGAAGTAGACGACATGTAACATTACTGTGGGTGGTGAAAAGCACCTGTGAGGAACGCGGGGATGCGCTCGTATTTATGATGAATGTCTCGCTGCTCGTGCGCGTCACGCTGGGCAACCGGCTCGCATGCCACTGAGCAGATGCCTGGAACTTACCACCAAAGCCAAGCCGGGAAGCTCAAGTAAAGGTATGCATGAGAGACCTACACGGGTAGTTGGCTTTCTACCTGATGTCGGACTCGCTAAGAGCAATAGTCCGACTTGGGAAACTATTCTCAAGAGTAGGATTCAACATAAGCGAAGTGCGGTCAGCTTTGAAACTTCATGCAGGATGACACAGCAATTTTCATCAATAACGCATACCATAATTGCAACTTGACATGGCAGGGTAACCCGAGCTCAAAAGGCTTAAAAGTGATCGAAATTGGACCCAATGACGCCCGAACATATTGACGTTAAAGTCCTCCCTCGGCTATGTCTTCTCTTCGATTCCAAACCAAAGCTCCGGCTTGAATCCGTGTAAAACGTCCAAGAAAACTGGTTTTATTGTTGCTCTAAATCAGCAGAAAGTCTTGGAGGCCGCATTCCTCAAATAATGAACTTGTGCTCGATTGGTACTTTCCGTCCTTCATAGAGAGACCAAGGTCCTCATAAAGCGTTGGTACTGAGCGACAGCTGAGCTCAATAGTTCCCAATCGACGGAACGTATTGTAAGACTCTGCTTCCGGTACTCGCCGCAAGAAGATGCCTCCAATATTATTCATCCACTTATACTTTATGAGCGGCAGAAAGTGCGTGGGCTCTTCAAATCTCCAAACTTCGCCTTCTGCAACATCCCTCAACAAATGCTTATCAAGAGTGATGTTGATTCTGATCTGCCCAAACATACTTCCCTTGTAATCCCTCTCACCATGAAACTTTGCGGTAACTTCGTCTGGACATCGACGTAGCGGACCACGAACTGCTAGGGCTTTCACAGCAGATTTCTCAAAAGGAATTCGATGTAAGTCCGACTGGAAATCAGGAACGTCGGACAATGGTTTGATGACAATGCCATCTATGGGGTTGGTAGTACCCGCTGTGCGCTCAAGGTCCAACAGTGGATTTTGTAGAGACATGCAAGACCAGGATGGTGCTAAAGGAACGGGTGAGACGCTCGCGACCCTGTCCATTTGCCAGACAAGTGATCGAACAAGGTCACCCTCCCAGAACCCAGCAATGAAATTGTCGTTGAGAATTTCGCCCACAATCTTCGCTATGCCAATCATGGCCGGAAAACGATCCTTTTCAAAGGTCAAATGGGTCTTGACGTAAATGGAAATGAACTCTGTCCAGAAGTCGTATACTTCCTCTCGTGTCTTCTGTTGTAGATGGCGGATCACGCCTGGTTTGTGGCATTGTTGTCGGATCCAGCTAAAACGACCGCCCGTGAAGGCTTCGTTGACAACGAACTCGTTGCACTCCCACCAAATCTTCTCGGGGGTGAAGTGAATGACCGCTGGCGAAAGCGCCCGCTCTTGAGCAACCCATGCTCGCGAGTTGAGATGGTTGTGAGTAATACTGTCACTGAGTTCGGTTTTGTTAAGACTAACATAAAACCCGTCGTCGGCATCATCCCAACTTGGATGGAAGCGGAAATAGAAAGGCAGATGCGAAAGTTGTAATGCCTTTCTCTCGTGGAATAGCCCCGGAGCGGTGTCGCTACGGCTAGCTGCCGCTATGTTGCAGTCCGCGTACCGGTAGATATCTCCCATTCGTTTCGATTCGTGGGCCCAATCCTCCTGATTTGGTTGATCCTGGATGATACAAAGGGAATCGATCCAGATGTAGTGAACGCCAAGTTTAGCTGCAACGTGCATTGCGTCCTTCATCGTGTCCGGTAGTTCATCAAGTGGTATTTCTTGATGGAGTACATCGAAATTGTCCTCGTTCATCTTGAAAATGGTGTTATCTCCCCATCGGTGACTCAACGTCACGTATCGAGTCTCAGAGGGTAAGTCGTCCGTCTGGCAAAGCCTCGCACGTACGCTCGAGAATCCGTCGCTGCTCCAGACTTGAATAAGACGGGTGGGCAGAGTGCGAGATTCGAGTCGCCAACTTCGACAAGTCGTATGAGTGTTGAAACAACTAGAGAACCAGTCTTTTAAGAGCTTGATGCTTGCTGGAGAATTTGAATTCGACGTCACAAGATTCGGATCTGCAAAAGTTCAGCCTCGATTTCAAGGAGCTCTCAAGAACCGAGTATGAGAAATACCGAGGAAATCTGGACCCAGTCGTAGCCTGCTGGCTTTTACAAATCCCACTGTTCGAAAGCACCCAATCAGCTCAGTCTTGGACGAGTTCAAGGCCTCGTGGTTGCCGCGTTCGAGGTTGAACCAGAGCATGACTTGGTCGGATCCGGAGGCATATTGATGTCCTGTACTGTTTTCGAAAGTGCACTTGATGTAGAATAAGTCGTCCAGCGTGATGGAGCCCCTTTTGACAAACAAATCCAAACTCTGCGCTAGTGAAGTGCATATTCGGCAACCGAGATCAACAGATTTACGGAGTGACGATATCGTCGGGTGATACACCAGTCGATACGTTGGGAAAGGCCGCGAATCATCCTTGCTCTTGACGAGCTGCAGCCGAGTGATCGCGCGACATACTGCACACAACCTCGACACCATTTCATTCAGTGAGGCTTCCAGGTCGGGTGTCACGGTAGGATCATAGTACTCGTGACCGTCTGTCCTTGCATCGGCCACCCCTTGGTCGTTTTCGTCCACGTTCGAGTCGATGCGTCCTACGTCGTGGATGCTGGTACCGGGGTCATTGTTCGCTTCCGTCATCATGGTAATCGACTCGCCGTCGAGTGGTTTGTGATCGATGACCCGATTCCCATGGGAGTCTGGGCTCAGGTTCTGTTCTTGCATTGGGATGAGCGACGAGAGTTGGGCCGAGATTCGGCTACTCTGGTTGCACTGGAGGAGTCTTGTTGTTGGGACGCAGAGTTCGACACAGCGGGGAGAGGGGAAGGATTGAACATGGGGGATTGCGAGTCACACCGAAGTTAAGCAAAACGACTGCGCCGTTCGAGGATGGCGGTTGGTTGTGGGAAAATCTCGCTGCTGCAGGCTACTTCCACTTCAGACTGGCATGCGATTGGACGTCACATGCGGAGCGACGTAGGCTGCAGACGCAGAATGTTGGTGCGATATGGAGGCTGCAGCTTGCAAGCTTCCGGAAGTGAAGTGAAGCGCCGTCCGGAACCCGGTCATCTGTTGGGCATTTGCTAACAGAATGTGCTCTCGACAGTGAATCCAAGGCAGACTCGCAAAAAAGGCCTTCATTTCGCCATTTCGCCGATGTTGTCTTGCAAAGGTTACCTACAAAGCGGTCTACCGTCCAGCCCAAGACCCCTCGACCACATACCCAAAGCAGTTGTATTGTTCCACGCCGGGAGCGGGTCGTGGTTGGATCGCGCCCGGCGTTAAACAATACAACCGAGATGGCTATATGGACGAGGGATCTGGGGCTAAGGCCTGGAAGATGCGTTTTGGCAGCAGCCCGTACAGAAATACGGAGAGTTCGTCCGCCATACCACTATTGACCTTTCCTATCATGTCTCCTGCCACCCGTGGTCATCAATTGGGCATCATTTCCGCATTTCCTCAACGTACGTGTTCGCTCAATCAGCTCAGGCGACATCCTCTTCAGCATCCTTCTTCTCGGTCTTCTGATCGGCGTTTCCATCGATGATCTGTTTGATATCTTCCGTATTTCTGATTTCATCAGGAGCCTTCTCCGAAACCCGATGAGCTCCTATTGATGGTGCTTCAGGTTTCGGACGCCAGTAGAGACATGTACTCGAGAAGCTCGTGTATGTGCCATCTTGAGGAAAAGCAAACTGCTTGTGTGATCTGTGCATACCACTCATGCACTTGAACTCTCCATCCTTCATCGTTCCGGCTCTGCGCTCGTCAGTCCCTGTCCATAACCATCGGGAAAAAGACCTACCCATCCCAGACGTCCCAGCCGGTCCCGACAAACATGGCTGGCGAGGCTTTCTCCAACGCCAACTCGTATATCGGGCGATACATGTGAATCGCGAATACTAGGGTGTCTTCGTCAACAGCCTCGAAGGCAGCAGGCGACTCGACTACTTTGTGGCCAAGATTCGTCAGGAATTCGGTGTCGTTAGTCGTGAATCTCGGTTCTTGGAAGGAACACGGAATGACATCATCGTAAATCTCGGCTGAGAACGTGCGTGAGCTTGATTTGCACCAAAAGGATGACATTCACACATACACAAGACTTCCACAACAGTCAAGAATCCGTCCAGCTGAATATAACTCCTCCTCTTTGCGTCCCATCCGCCATCCTCCGGGTCAAACGTGCCGACACCGAGACATACCGCCCGCCGTACCCTTCTACCATCGCCGGCGTTCGCCTTCACTAGTTCCTTGATTTTGGAATGGCACGTCGTGTCGCGCCAGCGGGTCTTGAAGTTCTCGTACTCGGCCGTGATCTCGGCGACGGACTTGTAGGTGCGGGGTTCATTGTCGGTCTTGGATGCGTTTAGGTACTTCGCCGGTACCTTGGGAGGATTCCTACGGAACCGTGATTTGGACTTGACGAAGGACCATTCTTCCGGCTTGGACTCCGTCTCGGGTTGTCTCGTCTCCGTCGCTGCCATGATGTGCGCTGGATTTCGTGAGGGCTTGGTGGGGGAAATTGACTTGGTGGGTTTGACTTTTTGGCCGGCAGAATAGACACCGCCTTCACTTTCTTCGGGGCGGTGAGCTTTATGTCCGAACTTACGTAAGTATCTTTATCTCCGAAGATCCATGCTTTCCGGAGCTGTCACTGTCACTGTCACTTCCATGATTTTGGAAGGTCGCACGCCTAAAATCTCACGGCTTCACATCAGCACGGCCAAAAGCTCAGAATAGAAGCATCAAATGCAAGCGGCGATCTTTCCAACCAAAATACCTGGCAAATTAATTGATTTTCGACCTCAAGTTCCCATTCGAATCGCCTGTCAGTTCTTGTCAAATGCACATTTGCCGTCCACCATGAACATCTGGTGCAAGACACAACGTTGTACAACAGCCGGCCGCTTCGTCGACCCAGCCGATTCCTCCGGGCCATGAAGACACACCAAAGAAACCCGTCCAATTGGAATTTCGTCGCAAGTGGCGAAGTGTTGAAGTCCACGCGGCCGGGCCATTGATCGGTAGGCTATCGAAGCCAACGTCTCGGAGGTTTGCGCCGTCAGCTTACCTCCTTCGGCACTTTCGCCTCCATCACGACCGTCAAGCGCCGTTGGACTTGAACGACCTCCAATGCCATCACATCCAACAACACAACAGACGCCGTTCAACGCAATGGAATCATCACATTCGTAAATCGCACGACGCAAGAACGGAAATCGGTCTGCATCTCCCCAACATCGAATGCTACACCACCGAAGAATCCTGCCCGGCCCCCAAAAATAGGGCCCCCATTTCTGGCCGCGCCATGGATATTCAATCGCCCCCGGCCAGATATCCCAGGCACGAGCTCGCAGCCTGCAGCTCACAGCTCCCACAGCTCAGCATTGTTGGATTGTTGGAGAACAGCACAATCAGAACGTCCGGAGCACAGAAACCCACTCGAGCAATCAGGACGGCAGAGCGACGGTCCTGTGGTGACATCGCCCGCTCGACCTGCAGCTCCCGGCGCTTACACGCCTCTTGATCCTTGTCCGCCCCAACCACTCATCTCCCAGCACCACCACCGCCGAACGTGTGATATCGATTTCCATTCGCTCTTCTCCACGACGCACCCAGCGACTCGCTCGGCGCTCTCACCACCCCATTGGTCCTCCTCTCAATATGTGAGCGACAGGGTCGTCCTGCAGCCCAGCGCACATCGTCGGCCATCTTCACTGGCTCCTCTACAGCCAACCGGCGGCTGGGCGGTGGTGGTGCCCCCAATCTTGCCATCTCGTCCCCGGTGTGTGTGCGTCCAACACCCCGGCTCACCTCGACCTCTGCCAGAACGCAACATCAGACCTCGATTGGACGGAGGCCGCAGGTGCGCATGCGAAATGGCTCCATGTACGGCGGCTCGGCTGGAGACCGCCTCCGCGGGCCAGAATAATAGCCTGTACGGCCGCCGTTCTCGCCTCCTCCCGTCCTCTTCTGTTCTCCTGCTAGTGCGGACCGTTTTTTCTCTTTGAGATTTTGAAACTTACAAAGCTGTAATTTTCTTCTTACTTCGTGACGGGGCTACCGAGACATCTTCCTGTCTTTTGTCACGGCTGATACTCGACGACGACTGGCAAGTTTGCGGCCTCGGAGGGCAGAAAGAAGCAAACATCAAGCCAAGACCAACCACCCGCTGCGGGCAAACAAGAGGCGGGGTTCAATAAGCGAAGCGGCTGTGGAACAACGAGCAGGTCACGACAGAAGTTGAAGAGATTCGGACGTCGCAAAGAGGGAGGTTCCTCGATTTTCTCGAAATCACAAACCCACCGACAACACACACATACCGACAAGATGCTTTTTTCAACACTATCAGCCCTCGTCCTCGCGGCGACGGCATCCGCTCACATCGTCATCTCCTACCCGGGATGGCGCGGCAACAACCTCATCACAAACGACTCGTTCCCGTACGGCATGCAATGGACATACCCATGTGCGTCTTCCCCCTCGCTCCCATCGTTCACCAGAGACAAAATCGCTAACATCCCATCCAGGCGGCGGCATGGGCGTAACCCAGAACAGAACCTACTGGCCCACGACCGGCGGCGCGCTCGCCTGGCAGCCGGGCTGGTTCCAAGGCCACGCCACGGCCTTCATGTACGTCAACATGGGCTTCGGCTCCGACGGCCCCGACGGCGGTCCCTTCAACATGTCCTTCCCCATGGTCCCCGTCTTCCAGATCCTCGGCCCCAGCAAGAACCCGTACCCGGGCACCGTCTGCCTCCCGCAGGTCCCTCTGCCCGCCAACACGACCGTCAAGGCCGGCGACCACGCCACGATTCAGATTGTCGAGTTGGCCGTACACGGCGCCTCGCTCTTCTCCGTAAGTCCTCGCCCCTCGAGAGTGCAATTGAAAAAGCACATGCCTGGGAATATCAACTAACACGAACAAAAATAGTGCGTCGACATCGAATTCGCAGAACCCGGCGACCCCAAGATCGGCAACGTCAACGAGTCCAACTGCTTCAACTCCCAAGACATCGGCTTCGCCGACGTCTACACCATCACCACCCGCGAGTCCGGCCAGAGCCCCGAGCAGGCCGCCGCCGCCACCTCCGACTCATCCTCCTCCCACACCGTCACCTTCTGGTACTTCGGCAAGCGCCCGCAGAGCACCTGGGCCGTCTTCAGCTGGGTGCCCATTGTTATCGGGGGGCTGTGGGTGTTCTTGTGAAGGTGCTCGTGAGATGATGACGATTTGGGTCCGGTTATATATATACCTTTTGAGGGGAAACTTTTTGTATATTTGGCGGGGGCATAAAGATGGCGTTTGGATGGGGGGGATCTTTTGATAGGCGTGAAAAGCCTCGATATCTTGGTTTTCTTATTACTTGACTGCTACGCAAGACGCTGGTCTCTGTACGTTGCAGGATCATTCAGCTCTACGGACTGGAATTCAGAATCGTTATTCAACCATTGACACTTATCTCTGCGGGATGTGATGGTTTTGGATGGAGAGCCGATGGAATTCTCCAACATTAGCTTCCATCATGCTCTGACACGTTCCGGATCAACGAGATGAGACTCCAGCACAGTCGGTACGAGATCACGAACGACAGCAGCCATGATCTCAAAACATGTATCATTGGAGCGGTTTCATCACGCCCCGCATCGCGCTCTACAACTAGCTTAATTGTTCATGCCGGCTTCCAATCGCACTCATCCCCGCCCGTGTTTGGCCGTGGCTTCATCACGCGCGGGACACCCGTCACATCACCGTGGCCGTCACTCCCCGACCTGTCTTATACCTCCGGATCCGACGCTTATTAATAAAGGGTTTCGTCGCACTTGAGTGCTCACAGCTGCTGCAGGGCTTCTCTTCCCAGCTCCTTCACCCGGACTTCCGAGACCTTGTCCACGGCAGACTTGATCCAGCCCTCACCTCCGAGGGACTTAATCTCGGCCTGGCTGATGGAGGCAAAGGTTCCCAATGCGACAAGCGCCCGGTAGATGACCTCGGAGTCTGATTGCTCCGACAGGATCTTTCCGATTGCCGTGACGAATCGCTTCGATTGCGATGAGGTCCTCTCCTTGTGCGCGAAGACGGCGTAGTTGATCAACGTGGTTGTCACCGCGATGAGGATGTTGCGGTTGAATTGACCGATGGCGGCACCGCCAGAGAGACCGAGCACACGCTCGATGAGAGACGCGGCTGTCTCGGCCTCCTTGGCTGCCAACCCCTCGCCCTTGGGAGAGCCGAAGATGTTGGCGAATGTGCGCAGAGCCATCATGACCGAGTTCTCGTTCGGCGCAGCGCCGTCTGGAGCGTTCAAAGCGCTGGAGACAGCGACACGGAGGAATGACCCCTCTGAAGTCGAGACCTCGGCCGCAAGAGGCGACGGGGCAACGCATCTCAATAGGTCCAGGCCGGCAAGACGGTCCGAGTACGGCCACAGAGTCACAATCTTGATGGCGAGGTCGACACCTGCCTGGTCCACAGGCTTGGAGCTCTCGATGGCCTCCTTCACACCGTTCAGCGTGTTCTGCTCTGTAGGGTTCAGGGCGGCGTCCTTGCGGCCTGAGGAGATCATGTTGGCGTTGATGGTAAGAATTTTCTTGATCATCGCGTCATATTTGCCGGCCGTGATATTGAGGTACTCGGCTTGAGGCAGCACCTTGGGTCTCAGCTCCGACTCTCCGGGGCGATACCTCGACTCGGTTCCGTACGGGTCGGACGAAGCAGGTGCGGATTGGCCGAGGGTGGCACCCTGAGTGTTCTGGGTGATGAAGTTGGCGACATTGTCCAGGTAGCTGATGGGAAGCTCGTTGTCGTTCAAGAACTTAGTCGCCGCGTCGTAGGGGTTCTGGGAAAGGTTGTAGGGCAGCTTCAGAGGAGGCTTGCCATCTTCGATGTCGACGTCGAATACGTAGTCGTAGGACTTGCCGTTGTACTCCGTCTTCTTGCCACTGCTTCCAGCAGAGTCGACCACTGTGCCAATGTTGATCCATTGTTGTTGGCCTAGAAGACTTTAGTAACCCAACGGAATGAACATGAAAACGTGACTTACTCGCTGACCACTGATGTGCCGTAATGTTGCCATTGCCCTCGTTGATCATCTGTACTTGACCCTCCTTGGTTCCAGATTTGCTCTGGAGGAACTCCGGACCAGGTAGCTTCTCCTTGTTGATAGACGGCAGTTGTTGTTGAGGGATGGACGACGCCTTCACTGACTCTTCAAAGTCGGAGATTGCCTGGGGACTGGCAGCACGCTCGCTACTCCGGGTGAAGACACGCGCAACACCATCACTCGCTCCAGACACAATGTCACCAGTCTCGGCGTTGGCCGCGACTGTCCATACCGAGATAGCAGGGTGTGTGATGGTCTGAACGCAGTCGTTGCCCTTCCATATCCGAACTGTACGGTCCTCGCCCGAGCTGACCAACTCTCCAGAGGGCAGACTGGTGAGAGCGTAGATGAAGGACTCGTGGCCGTGGAGCTCGCCGACTTGCTGGCCGTTCAACTTCCACAAGCGAATAATACCGTCGTTGCTGGCGCTGGCGATATCCGCTCCGCTCGGGTGACCTTTGGGTACCTTGCAGAGGGCGCGCACGACTTCGGGGGTGTAGATGGTGGAGCGGGGTTCGGCATCACCGGCGACGGCGGCTCGGAGGTTGTATATACGGATGCTCGTATCGGCGCAGCCAGTGACAACAGTCTCTTCATCCAGTGCAAGCACGGCCCAGACACTCTTCTCGTGGCCGCTGAGACGAATCTCCGACTCCCACTTGCTAGTGCTCCAAACGAGGGCCTGTGAGTCCCAGCCACCTGACACGATGTATGTTCCCTTGGGCGAGACGTCCAAGCAGCAGACGTTGCTCGAGTGGCCGATCAACAGTCGCTCGGCATGGTCGCTGGGGCTGGATTGTAGTGGCCGCACCTCGACGATGGTATCCTTGCCGCCTGAGGCGATGAGGCCATCCGGGTAAGCCTCGGAGGCGGGGAGGTATGTGACGGAGTTGACGAATTCAGAGGTTTGGCTCGAGACTGATGGTTCGAAAGATGGGGGAGAGTCGGACGTCTGGCGCCAGACTCGTACGCTGCCATCACGAGAGGCAGACAGGATGGTATGGGGAGCTGGGAAGCTGACGGCCTTGACCTGTCGGATTACATAACGCGTTAGCATTGGAAACGAAGCAGTAGAGCTACGTTGTGTGAACATACGTCGGAGTCGTGACCAGCCAGCTGAGCGGAGAGCTTGAAGTCGGACATGGCTGTCGACTTGATTAGGGTTATGGAGGAAAAATCGCGGAAAAGAGGCCAGGCGTAAACAGCTCACACCTTTCGTTGATGATTTGGAGACCGAGGCGGTTGTTGTGAATTGGTAAGGTGAGGTGCCGTTGGCCGGATGCTGGCTGTTGCTGGTGCTGCTGCTGCGACTGGTGGCAGCTGGGCGATGACGATGGAAGCGGGAACGCTGAAGCTCCACTGCGCCACAAGGGGGGGCAAGTCGAAGTGGGGAGGAGCCATTGAGGGGTCAGTGCTTTTGTCCCCCAGGCAATCACCAGCTCCCATCCCTGCGCGCCTTCCTGCTTCCATTGAGTTCCCTTTCCAAAAACGGCAAGGCGGGATAGCACCAGCCACAATTGGAGATCTGCTTATGAAAGCATGTAGCTCCACTTCTTTTTATCCAATCAAACCAGCGCCAGACAGCCAACTTTCCTTCTTTCAAGCCACGATTCACCATCAGCAGGCGCGGGGTCAATTGGGATTCTGCTGAAGGGAAAGAGACAGCGGGCTGGTTTCAGGGGTCCATCGAATCGAATCTCACCGTGACCTTCACAAGTGTTCCTTCCTTCCAGAACCCCCATCGGCCCTGCTCCGAGTCGGCACAAAACACCCCCACTATTCCCTCCTTTCCGCCCTTCTCATTTGCTGAGCTTCTTTTTCTGTTTGCTCCTGATCGTCTCGCAGCTCTGGCTCCCAATTCCCGATTTTTGTTTCTGCTGCTTCCTCTCGCTGCGCTGCTTGAGGCGTTCACTTTTCCTGTCTCACGATCCTCATCGCCTCCTCCACGAACATTTACGACGTTACGGCTGTATTGACTGTCTCTCTTTTCCCTCGTCTTCTGACACTTTTCACGCTTTCCATATTGATCCACTGGCAATCGTCCCGCGTCGCGTCGTTCGCCGTTTGATACCCCCCTCTCTCGTCTCCTCTCGTCTCCCAGCGCACACGTTGCGACTGCGAACAGCTTCGAAACACCACACTTCGATACCAAAACACCGATACCATGGCTACCACCCCTATCGCCGCCGGCGAGACGTCACGCCAATATGTTCCTCTCACCTGCCACGGCCACTCCCGACCTGTTCCTCACGTCTGCTTCTCTACCCTCGGAGGAGAGCAGTACTACATGATCTCTGCCTGCAAGGGTAAGCTTGCGACCAAGAGACTGGCGCTGCGATCAGGGCTCTGCTAACCCTGTCGCAGATGGAAATCCCATGCTGCGCGATGGCATCACCGGCGACTGGTATGTCTTCTCTTTCTCCGCCTGCAACTGCGTCGCTAACCTTCGACCGACAGGATCGGAACCTTCATAGGCCACAAGGGTGCCGTCTGGCAGGCCAGGCTGAGCCCGGATGCCTCCAACGCTGCCACCGCCTCCGCCGACTTCACCGCGTGAGTACATACTTCGTGCGACACTACACAAATCAGCCATCGCTGACAACATGTAGAAAGGTCTGGGACACCCACAGCGGCGAGGTCCTTTATACCCTCCAGCACAACCACATCGTCCGCGCCGTTGCCTACCCTCCTGACAACTCCGACCTGATCGCGACTGGCGGCATGGAGAAGAAGCTCCGTGTCTTCGACCTCAGCGACTTCCCCTCCGACCCGAACGCCCCCGCTGGCACTCCCGTCACCGTCCAGGCCTCGGCCGGCTTCGAGATCGGCGAGGGCACCCACACCGGCTCGATCAAGTTCATCGCGTGGACTAAGGATCCCAACACGATTGTGACCGCTTCCGACAACACCCTCCGCTGGTTCGACCTCCCCACACGCCATGTCATTCGCAAGGAGGTTCTCGACGCCGAGATCAAGTCTTGCGAGCTTGTTTCTCTGGCTCCCGAGTTCACTTCTCCTGGCGACATCGGCAACGGTCTTCCGGTTCTGGCTGTCGCGGCCGGCAAGTCCGTTCACTTCTGGGGCGGTCCTCAGGCAATGGATGAGCTGAAGCGCTTCAACTTGGAGCACGGCGCTGCCAGTGTAGGCTTGGATCTCAAGGGTCGCAAGTTCGTCGTGGGAGAGGACCCCGGCACCTGGGCCCACGTCTACCGCTGGGACGACTGCAGCGAAATTGGTGAGTTGCGCATATTCACGGTGCCATGTTTACAACTGACGTCCCACAGAAACCCTAAAGGGCCACCATGGTCCTATCTGGTCCATCACCTTTGCTCCCGACGGCAAACTGTACGCTACCAGCTCTGAGGATGGTACCATCAAGCTTTGGAAGAACTGTGATGGTTTCTACGGTCTCTGGCGCGGTGCCACCAACGCAGAGCGGACCGTGGATTAGAAGAGCACGGCCTCCAGCGTGATGTCACGTTTCGATGATAGTGACCTATCCACCCCTGCCAGCAGCCGAGTCCCATCAAGCAACTATGACGGCTCGCACATGAGAAGCAACTCCGTCGATGAAACCCCAGCGATGTCTCATCACCTGATGGGTCGATTTCTGGCGTCTGCCGCTGATGAACATAGTTTGGACAAGGAGAAGGGGCTGTTGGCCCGGGTGAACCGCCGCCGCCTGGCTTGTACAGACTGAGCTAAGCGCGAGAGGAGTACCTAGAGACTCGAGAGATTCCGTTGCTGCTGGATCTGTCATAAAGCTTGTGCGCGTGCGGGTAAAATACATGTAGTGTTTGGGTTATTACAATGGGCCTTTGCGGATGTGGCCAAACTAGACATGCTATGAATGGCAATTAAGATTAGAATAAACGTTACCAGACTTTGGGTGCTCTCAACATTCACAATGCTGCATATCATTGCCAACATACCAGGAAAGAAGCATGTGCAAGACTCATCTCTTTGCTTTGTGTCTTCAGCAGCCTAGTTGTCCAGCACCCCCATCACCCATCAGACTGATGATCCTCATCCTCATCCTCCTCATCCACACTTTCATCACCATCAAAACCTTCCCCTGAAAAGAATCCAACATTGACGATATACGCTGACAGTACCCCACCAACCCCCTTTTCTAACTCCCGCCTTTCTGCCACCACCTCATCCCTAACTCTTCTAGCATCTGCCCTCGGAATCGGAATATCACCAATGTTGTCCACCACCATGTCGACCACCTCCTTAGGCAAACCCTTCACCTGTCCGTTATCTCTCGCGAACTCCCTGACCCACCACTCAGCCTGCTGCGGCGGCACATTAGCCGTCGACAAGACCTTGATCCGCGGGTCCACCAGATACAGCGTCAACACCTTCCTGTGTCCCGGTCTCGTCGGGTCTTTCAATCGATATGACAGGTTCTTGTGCTGCAGCACATTCGGGTAGGCTACCATCAGACCCTCCCGCATGGTGACGGACCCCACGTCCTGCAAGGAAGGCGCGGGCGGTCTGAACCCGAACGTCTGCTCCACGTATCGCTCGTCGCCGTCGTTATACCAGCACTCCTCTTCGAAATGTAACCCGTGGAATCGCGATTTGAAAGAGATCCGCGAGTCGGTGACGTTGTCGTCGTCGAAGAAGTAGACGGCCGTCGCGGCGATGCGGTCGTTTAGCGCGCCGTCCAAAGCGAACTCGCTCTGTGAGTCGTAAACTGGGTTCTCCGGGGTGAGATACACGGCGCTCATCTTGACAACAACCTGGATGCCGCCGACTTCGCCGAGCATCACCGTCTTATCTGCGATGGATTCCGGCGTCAATATGCACTTGTCCGCGCCGTAACCCTTATCCTTCTTCAGCAAGGGCTCCGGTCTGCGCGTGAAGCTTTGATCAGCAAGCCACTGGTTCGTCCTCCTCTGCCACTCATCGTCGTCGATGAGCCCGTTCATCAAGTCGTCCTTGATGTTCAGCGGGTCATACGGCGCCGTGCCCGGGAACTCCAGGCCGCCGCTGTTCCAGTCCATCCGCATGTCGCAGGGCATCGTGTCCTTGTAGACCGTGGCGTAGACGACGTTCCACAGCGGCATGGTCCTGGTGACGACCTCCTCGAGGAGGGGGTAGACGTCTGCGTGGTCCTTGGGGTGGAGGTTGTTGATGTAGCTCGTGATCTTGGCGTTGACGCCGTCTGGGAATGAGATGTTGGTGGGGAGCCATTGGGATATTCCGGACCAGAGGGTGCGTTGCTCGCCCATTAAGCCGTCGGTGTGGATTCTCTCGTCTTGGCTTGGTGTGGGGATCGTTACGCCTTTGGCGATGTGGTTGAGGCTGTCGTCGAGGGTGATTTCTTTGTCGGGGAGGACTCTGGAGCGGCCGTATATGAGGGGATACATGTTTGGGTCGATGAGGTTGATGGAGACGCAGTCGGCGCTTGGGGTTGAGACGGTGGCGCCGGACATGTCTTCCTTACCTGCGTTCCAGTCCATCCGACGAGTTGATGTCTCCTGGATGGAAACTGCGGCTTTCTGGAGTAACTTGTTCAACTCCGGCGTAATGGCTTTATCTGACCTCGCAAGGCGGACTTCGATGTCAAGAACCGGCACGATGCCCGTCTCTTGGTACAGCTTCGCTTTTCCCTGGAGCTCTTCGATGAACTGGCAGGCACATCAGTCACAACTCTTCATTCCACGAATCCGGGACTCTCACGCATTCGAACATGGTCTCGGTAAAATCTCCGTGCCGGATGCCATCGTCTCGCCGCCACTTTTTCGCCATGACGCGTTTCTTCCAGTCTGAGATGGCAGAGTCCGAGAACGCCTTGGAGTCCCAGTCTTTCTCAAGTGTGACTTCTTCCATGAGGGTTACCATGCAGCGCTCCCGGATTGTGTGCGGCCAGGATTGGAACCAGTCGTCCACGGCTGTGGGGAAGTGGGATTCTGGCTTGTGATTGAGGGGGAGGCCGAAGCCTGGGAGCTGGGAGATGGGTTAGATATTGTTCATGGACGTGAATGTGAAGCGTTTACCTTAATAGGGTGATCTTGCGCTGCTTGTGACATGATGATTGTGTGTGATGAACGATTTCAGATGTTGTTGTAAGGAGGGGTGTGAAATTTAGGCAGTCAATCTGTTGTGAGTCCCGCTAGCGCGACTTTAGAGCCAGGGGCTTGAATCCTCCTCTTGAAGTTCACTCAATTGAGACGTTCTTGACACTACATACATGAGAAGTGAATCAGTTTCATCAAATCTCATCAGCTTCAATAGTGGACACCATCTGGATACTGTAATGACACTGTGTAAGCACTTAGTGCTTGTCTATTAATGAAGTTGCGGTGTCGCAATCATTTCAAGCTGAAAGACGGCTAATGAGCTGAACGTAAGCGCATGCAGGCCGTCAGCCCCAACCTCCTCCTCATAAAGTCGCATGATACCAACTTGATATCTCACAATCCAGCATTTGCGATGTCAATCCGCACATCAACAACGCTAACATGATGAGTCCTGCGGAACCGCCCAGCCATGGTCGCCTGCGACGCATGTCCAACATCCCGGAATCGCCACAGCCCTCACTATCCGACAGCAAGACCTACGTGCCGTCGGAAACCAATAGCGACGATCGCCGTCGCGAGATCAAGGTTCGTCATCGCCGCGTTTTAAAACCTCTAGGCTTAAACATGTCGTAGGTCCTGTGTAGAGAGTGCAAAACTCTCGATCTAGGCGTCCACAGCTTCAAAGTCCAGTCTTCGGGATCCCAAGGCTCATCGTCAGGCCGACCGCTGCGCTCGTACACGACCGCGCGACAGCTGGGAACACTGAGGAAGATACGGGCTCGCTCTTCCTCGTGCCCGGTATGCGCGCTCATCGTCGACTCCGTGCAGGATGCGGGGACGCAGAAGGCCAACGGCGAATTCTTCGACAGCGAAGTCCTTGAAGATGCGTCTTGCTCACTCAGTTGGGAGATCGATGGCCGCGAGGCGGCGTCGTCGAGCAGTCGAGGGACGAACCCCAAGAACATGGTTCGTGGCCTGACCAGACGCTTGCATATCAGATGGGGCACGGCGAAGCTCTCGGATGCGTATCTGGTCTACGTGGCGCCGGAGACCTTTGCGCGGACGGCGTCCGATGCGGATCGTGTCTGGGCGAAGGATTCGTTGTTCTTGGGACGCACGATTGCTCCTGACATCGAGAATCAGGCATTGATCCGGTCCTGGCTCGATCTTTGCCAGAAGTCCCACCGGGGTCCGTGTCGCGAGGATCTCCATGATGGGGCCGATAGGTTCGATGAGATGGTCTCGCACTCCTATTTCGGGGTCATCGACGTACAGAACATGCAGCTGACTCAACTCCCTCGCCGCTCCGATCGTCGAGAGAGGGATGCTCGCAGACCTGCTAGCAACGGCCAGCATGAGCCCTACGTGGCGTTGAGCTACGTTTGGGGCGGCGACGACGAGGCGTACAAGACGACGACAGATAATGTGATGCTCCATCGAACACATGGGGGATTGGAGAACGCACTCAACGAGTTGCCGAAAGCGATCCAGGACTCTTTCGACCTGACGCGACGGCTTGGGTTCAGCTATATATGGATTGACCGTCTCTGCATCGTGCAAAACAGCCCGAGGTCCTGGAAGCTCAACGCCTATAACATGGACCTCATCTATGGCAACGCGGCACTCACCATATGCGCAGCAGACGGCGACGCATCGGAGGGACTTAAAGCCATGAAACCGGAGGAACGGAACAAAACTCAGTACAAGCGGGCCGTCATCCCTCGGCTCGACCTGATGGTGACGCGTCCGCCCGAGATCTATATCCGCGCGTCGGAGTGGAACGAGAGGGCGTGGACGTTCCAAGAGAGGCTCCTCTCCAGACGTTGCCTCATCTTCACAAACGGCCGGGTCTACTTCCAGTGCCGTTCAACCGGCATGTCGGAGGACATCTTTGGAGACCAGAAGGGCGCGGGGTGGTCTCTCGATCTGGTCGACGCGCCGATGCAGATGTTTCGGCAGTTGAACAACCGCGCGTTCTGGGTGTACATGAAGTGCGTGGAGCTGTACACCGAGAGGAAGCTCAGCCATGCGCAGGACATCCTGGCGGCGTTCAGTGGCATGGCGAATATGATGCAGGAACGGATGCGTGCACCTTTCGTCCATGGGCTGCCGAGCTCTCATTTTGATCTCGCACTGCTCTGGCAGCCTGTCAGGTCTCTGAAGAGGAGAATTATCCTGGACAAAGATGGGAAGCCAGTCAAAGACGGGAACCACACGATTCCGGACTTCCCAAGTTGGTCGTGGACTGGATGGATGGGGGAGGCGACCTATCAGGATGATCTGGTGGGCGGCGTGCTCGATAATGTGTCGCAGTGGCTGGATACCCATACCTGGATCCAGTGGTGGGTTAGAGACGGACACGGAGACTTGCGGCCGTTGTGGGATTATCACGAATCCGAGGAAGACATCAGCGAGAACTCCAACTGGAAGGGTTACACGCAAAGAAGAGGTGAGACGGCCGATTTACTATGGCCTGCAGACTAGAGCACTAACGCAGGTCCTAGGTGCTCCATATCAACGTGAATTCTCACATGGCCGGAGAGACAGAGATAGGCACGCAGATGGCTCTCGCAGCGAATCTGAGTAAGGACTTTCGAGAAGACTGGAACTTGCACTAGTCCGAACCAAGCTGATTCTGTTTACAGGGAAGACGATGATCGAGAGTCCGCCCACACGTTCACGGAAGATGATGTTGATATCGTGCTCCGGGAAAGAAGCTATGCCAGAGAAGTGCCCCCGCTCATGAGAGAAAGAAGACACGCGAGGTTCCCAAGCGAAAGAGATAGTCGGAGGCATTCTGATATAGAACGAAGGCGACGTGATAGCCCTCCACCTCCACCAAGCCCCGTCATAATCCGACCCTCATATTCGCATCCACTACCGCCTCCTCCGTCTTATCCACAAGCGTCTCCTTATTCCTACCAGCAGCTGCCCTTCCCTTACCCACCACCACCAGCTCCTCCTGCTCAACCAATTGTCATTAACAACAGGATCTACAACGAATCAGACGAGGAAAGAGGAGTCTCCTCACGTCATGACAGGAGACGAAGCAGCAGGGTAAGCCTTTTTCGTGAATTTTAGACTCTCCCTTGGGCTTTTCACGACAGAACAGGTTGAGAGTTGACAAGCATCAGGAGCGAGGGACACGAGAAAGAACACGATCGGACGTAAACAGCTTTCGGTACAGCGACGAGGAATCTGGGCCTCCGCATGGACGCCACGGAACAGGAAGGAGCCATCGGTAATCCCAAAGAAGTCACCTCCAAGCCGAGAAGAGATAGAAAGCTGATCAAGTATCTTCAAGCCGCCCAACAACTCGTGTGAGATCCGAATCCGATCAATCTGTCCAGAACATTGCTTTCTACGAAATGCTCTTCGACGAGGGTAGGAAAGAGTTCAACATCACGCTGAGGGACTACCCGTACCGCGTCGTCAAAGCCCCCTTCGACTCGCAGTTAGAGTCGTCCGAGTTCCCTCTCCTGCCAATCCTGCAGTTCCGCACGTGGCACACCTGGCTTCACATCACAGAAGCCGCGCCCCGGAAACCTCATATCGAGAAGTCTGAGAGCAGAAATTTTGATGTCGACATGGAAACGGTGAGATATCACATCGCCGACGAAGTTGGAGACTGGTGCGGTTCGATCGTATTGGATGCGGAGTGGGCGTACAAAGCGTCTGGTAGACAAGAGTTTATCGCCATCTCGGAGGCGAAGAACTTTACTCTTTCTGAGTGCCAGGAGTGGACGTATTATATACCAAAAGAGCGGGAACAGAGCGAATGGGATTTGTTCTATGTGCTGCTCATTGAGAGGAAAGATGAGAAGTGGGAAAGGGTCGGAGCCGGGAAGGTTTTCAAGGAATCGTTCCGAAGCGCGAAGTTTAAGGAGATAATGCTTAGTTGAGAACACAACAAGCGTGAGAGAAGCTTGCAGAACCAGGGAAAGAAAAGGAGCGATGATGCCGTATATCTACCAACTAGAACGCCTTTTCAGCAGACGTCTTGGAATCAGCACTATAAACAGCTTCTAAATTCTAGTCATTTCCTTATCTATGGATATCGGCGTCTTGATGACAGGGCTTTTATTTATGCTCGAAATGGACCACAACCTTCTCTATCGGACCATCCAGGGTATCTTTGCCACTGTTGAAATATCCTAAGGGAGGTGAAAGTTCCGCAGTAACGCCAGAAGGCAATGTCACCGTGACCGCAATTTGTCCAGACGTTCCGTCGACCCCCAAATCAACCTCGATCTTCCCCTTCGGTGTTTCATTATCGTAGTGGGCTGACTCAACTCCACAGACCACCGGTGCTATTCTCATTCTGCTCCACCCTGGTTCGACAGGCTTCACACCCGTGACGTACTGAGGAAGCAGGAAAACCGGCCAGGATGACCAGGCATGCATGAGAGACGTGTCGTGCCCAAAGGGCTTTCCATCTGCCGTCATCGCCTCCCAATGGCCACCCGAGTAGTTGGGACTAGACGAATCTGCCATGGGCTCCCAGACGCTTCGCATGAGCTGAATGGCTTCGAGCCCCTTTTGATGAGCGAACAAAGCCTCGACCGCGAAACCGGTGGCGTAGGGGCTGATTACCCCTGTCCTATCCCAGTGATTGAGCCCTTTGAATGCCACTGGCTTGGTGTCTGATGGGCAAATCAGATGTGTAGAGGTCTTCTCGGGTTCAGGGGAAACTCCGAGAGACAAGCCGTAGCCGTTGGTGTCTTGACAAACTCCATCGCTCGGCAAAGCTGTTCCCATGCGAACGCTACATGTTTCCGAGTTCCAAAGATTGGCCAAGATGCTTTTCTTCAGGTTCTCGGCCCTTTCAGAAAGCTGCGCCCTTCGATCAACGTCTGCCGTCATGGCAACTACGGCGTTGATGGCGTCGTAGTATGCTAGGTTCGTTGTGCCCGAGGCGCCAAACACCGGGCCACCGAGAGGATACCAGTGCACTGATACTGATTAGATCTGCCATACAACACAAGTGAACAGGGACTTACTTGATAGCTCCGGGTGTACTTCGATGAGACCGGACGGCTTCACCTGCGATCCCGCAAACTGAAGCAGTCTCTCAGCCGCTGGCAGAAAGCGTTTGGGGATTTCGTCATCTCCGGAATGCATCCAATAGTCCTTGATGGCCACCACCAAAAGAAATGCGTACGTCATCGAGTAGAATGCGTACGTCGGCGGTGGCTCATCGCCAGTGTGGATGGGGGCCTGGATAGGACACAGATTGCCGAGATAGCCGTCAGCCGTCTGGTGACTGGCAAGCAGCTCGATGCTGCCCGCAACTGCGTCCATGTCCAAACCAGCGTAGGCGACGCCCCGGCCTGATACGAAGAGATCCCCGCCGAATGTGGCTCTGTCTCTCTTGGCTCCGTCGATCATGCAAGAGACGGCGTTGGTCCCAACCTGGAAGTCTGCCATGGTCCTGTCTCTATTCTCCAGTCGCAGGTTGTTCTCATACAGAATGCCCTCGTTCTTATCCTTCACGACAAGATCGCGATAGACAGCCAACCATCCGTTCGGACCACCAAACGCCACAGATCCAGTATTGATACCAGAACCGCCAAGAACCGGTCGAAGTTGTACATCTGAGAGGGTTGCAACCTCACGGCCGTCAATGGTGACTGCAACGATGTTACCGGTCGTGATGGTAGACACCTGGATCCAGTCTCCCTTCTTTGCGATACCGTGGGTAGACCAGCTTCCGAAGCATTTCACTGGGAAAACCGCCGACTGGTCTGCCAAGCCTTCGTAAGCACGAAGCTCTTCGGCCTCAACATCCAGGCAAAAGATGATTCCGTTGGCCACCATGTGAACACCCCAGCTGGCACCAAAGTTCTCAACGAGAACTTGGAAAGATACTTCCTTGTCGCCCCATCGCGTGCCTTGTCTACACGGTGCCCAGTGCTGTCCGAGGACTCTGGTGCCTTCATTGGTGACCTCCCATGATGGGGCGGTTTCCCCCTTCAGCACGGTGCACATGTCGACGGTCCGAACGCCGTCGTTCCAGATGCGGTTGAGCTTTTCGTCAGAGCAATAGAAGGAAGCTTTTGGCTTTATGGGAGGCCTCAACTGCTCCAGCTCAACCTTGCTGACGACAACGGACGACTTCGCTGAAAGGAGCACCAATTTCAAGTACCTCTGCGAGAGTTGGGCGAGTGTCGGCTTGAGGATTTGGCGCGATCCTGATGGGACGATTGTCATTGATACGTTGCGGTAGCTGTCCATGGCATTCGAGAAGAAGAAGAATGGACCATCGCCTGTAGTTCAGACCAGTCAGCCACACCCGTTCCGTGCACATTTATCTGTGCATATTCTTACCAGTCTCGCAATTGATTCCGTCGCTAGTCTCGCTGTACACAGCTTGCAGCGAAATTGGACCCTCACCATGCGCGCTGTCTATGGTGAAGACCGGAACACCACCCACGCAAAGCCCAAAGTCAAAGACAACGGTTGCCCTCTCGGCAGCCTCTGAGACATCTTCGTTAGTGAGGGTCAGACTTCCTGACTTGGCATCACCCTGAACCCCAGCTGAAGCTGACAGGACCTTCTCAGGTGCGATAGAAAGACGACTTGTGACTACCATCGTGAAAAGCAAAGCCTAAAAGAAGTCTTACAGAATTTCCAACGAGATCTTCGGATTGAACCATCCATTCAGCATTTGACGCGGCTTCCTGTGAGTCTTGTAAGTCATCTTCGGCGGTTCATCCGGAGTGGGCCCTCGGCCCCACATGCTGTGTTTCCCCGTTTCGGGAAGTCCGGTAATGCACTAGTCCCGATATGGACGGACGTCCACCCAGGCCTGTGGGGGAGGGTGGACGGAACGCATAAGAAAGGGTGGACGTCCACCCGCGTCTCACAAAAACCACCGGTCTCTGGACCAGACGTCCACCTCGTCGATCGTCAACGGACATAACGACTCACTCCGAAATGGCCCCTAAGCGAAAGACCGGCGACTACCCCTGCCCGACGTGTTCCCGGATCTTCAATCGGCTAGAGAATCTGAAGCGGCACCAGAAGTCACGTAGGTTCAGGCCACGTTCCAAGCATGCATCGCGGAGTCCGGACTAACCCGGAAGCAACGTAGATCAAGGGAGCCTCCCGCATCTTTGCAGTATTTGCCAGAAGGAATTCTCCAGGAGTGACTTGCTCAAGAAACATCAGCGTACCCACGAACGGCAACAGGACCAGCAACCGCCTGAGAAAGAGGGGTCTCCCAGCAAAAGAAAGTTTGAGTTCGTATCGACCGAAAATGAGTTTCACTTCAATGGTGCGAAAGCTCCAAATATCGCCGTCTCCGAAAGAGACGCCGGGGTTTTGACGGAGAGAAGTCAGCAAGTTGATATTGGCTTGGCCAGCAATGGAACTTTCACCGATCTGGACGTCAACTTCGCCAACTTCGTATATCCGTGGACTACCGGAGACCCCTTGGATTCCAGCGAATGGTTCACGAAAGACTTTTATGATGCTTCTACTGAAGCAAACGGCTTGCATGATCCCAATGACTTCCTTGGGTCATACGACAACTCAGTCGCCGGTCTCACGTATGATCTTTGGAGCTTCCTTGGGCCGACCAATAGCACAAAGGCAAATCCGACCAACTCCTCTGCCAGTTTGACTACGACAAACGACCCGACCAACACTACATCTGCCTCATTCAGCAATGCTACAGCGACGGAACACTCCTCGAGAGCATCTTCGCCTCCAAATATGCCTTCAAAAGAGGATGCCATAGCTTTTGCTTGGGACCCTTCGTCAGAAACAATCACTCAGACGCAGCCCATCTTCCTCAGTCGCAGCCACAAACTGCGAGTAAATCATAATCCGAGATTCGACATTAACGAAGTGACATGGATTGAGATTCAAAAATTCTTAAACCTTGAGGAACCAGGTTTGGAAAACTTCATCCTACCTTCGCTTGAGATCTCGAATGTTTTTCTTGAGCTGTTCTTTGACAAATTTTACCCTCAAAGTCCTGTACTACACCTACCTACACTTGACAGCAACCAATTACCTCCAGCTCTGCTTTCAGTCATGATCGCGATTGGGGCTTCGTATAGCCATGTACGTCATACACGCCGGTTCTCCATCCTTCTTGTCGAAAGATCACGTCGGAATCTCCAAGACATGTTGGAGAAAGACAAGAGGTTGATACGAAATACGGAAGTCATTTACGCCTACGCTTTAATGGTTCACATCGGCCTGTGGTGCGGAAATAAAGGAGCTTTCGAAGTTGCCGAATCATCCCGGGGCGCTCTGGTGACCTACATCAGACGACTTCCTGATCCTCGGCGAGAAACAGGAGGCATAGTCGTGCACAACATTGACGCCAGGTGGAAAGAATGGGTCTACGCAGAATACATTCGCCGACTACGATGGTTTGTATTCATCATCGACTGCCAGTTCCCCTCGCTTCTCAACATGAGAAGCATGATGTCGGCTTCCGAGACCTACACCTGGAAGTGCCCTTGCGACGAGCGATGCTGGCAGACTCGAGCCTGGATCGAAACAACAGGCTCTTGGTCGGATCCGCCAGCTCCCTACCTGCGAGACTTCCACATGAATCACCCTATGAGAACTGTGTCTGGCAATGCAAGCAACTCTAAACGCTTTAAAGAAACCGGCGGGTCATCAGAGCATTGTTTGGCGGGTAATGAGTTACGAAGGGCTGCGAACGAATGGACCAAGTTTTTAGTCATCAGCTCCTTGTCTAGTCAGGCGCTGGATTGTTCGCACGATCTGTCGACGTATATGACTTTAACGGATACTTATATTTCAGAACTAAGGGAACTAGATGGTCTTCAAGCGCATATTGACGCTTTGCGAGACGAGCCGAGCTACAAAGCTGCAAATCGTGTTCTAGGTAAGGGATTCAAGTGTGGCCTAGTCCTGATGCATCAAGACATGAAGCTCACTACTTGTGAACCATTATAGAGTCTCTAGGGCCCTATGAAAAACCTGGAAATCACAACCACGAAGACCGAGAAGACGTGTGTGGAGTAAACACGTACTTCCGCAGTGCGTCCGAGTTGGTCATCGGCCTTATTCACCTTCAACTCGACACTCCAATATCCTACTTGCAAGATGCTCTTGGAAAAAGCGGGCATTCTAAAGTTGAGGATGGTCTGAGAATTTTTGGACTCACAATACGCAACGGATTCGACGCGCATAAGTCCACTGATCGGGGACTGCAAGCCCTCGAGTCCGAGCATCCAGGCTCACTGACAAGAGATTCGATGAAACTTGCGACCGTCTTTTCACGAGCGATTACTATTATCATGAGCATTGCAGACGACCCCAAACTGCAAGACGCCAGTCCGTACAGCGTCATCAGCGTTTTTCTGAATTATGTGCTGTTATGGATGCTGGTCGAGTCGGTCACTGAGCGGGATGAAGCGCTTCTTCTCCAGGAACTATTCACGTTCACCCCACTTGGGACTTCTTCGTCCACGGCATCACATCTGGAATTGAGGGAGTCGCTCAATCTGGCACTGGATCCCCGAAAACAAAGCCTGGAAAAGGCGGGAATAATCTTTAGGCACGGGTCGCAGGCTCTTGCTCGGCTGGGAACTTGTGGAGCGTCTTTGAACCTAGCACTGCTTCTCAGGCTGAGAGCTTCTCGATCACACATATGAATTGAACGTCTTCTTCTCTGGTCAAACGAAAGATCACCGTGGCTCCTCAACTACCACACCCTTTTGCAAAGCCTGTCCAATCAAGACTTGAGAGGTTGGACGTGCTTTCATATCAATTCAGGCAAGTAGTCTGAACACATACTGAAGAGTATCCTGCTGAAACCCCGTCAGGGAACCATTTGGGCCCCGAATGGTCACTGCACGTATACGCGGAAAGCCAACACATAACGTAGAACTATGCATCTGACCCATGCAACTAAGAACAACGAATCTATGTTAAAGTTGAGCTTTTCCATAGCCCGGTTATCTCGGACATAAATCTCATCTTCGCTAGCTGGAGAAGTTGCATCTACAGGCGTGCTTATCCGTGTTGTGGAGACAAGTCAGATGGCACAATAGCTGCGAAGACTTCGCAAGGGCTCACTTGCATTATCTTGTCCTATACTAAGGCATATGTCACGACTAGTGTCATTAGCACTTCTTGTCACAGTCAACTTTGAATCCATGTCTTTCACGTGGTATCGGGATGGATGCAGACACGTCGAGTTGTGGTGAAACAATTCGACCGCATATGTTGATGGTACTTTTCCACGGCAAGATCGGCTGCAACGCCAACCCAGATGGACGGAACCAATGCGTAATTATAAATCAGACTTGTTGAGGAAAGATTGACAAGCCTGACATGATCCCCCACCGTATTGTACCATGGAAGGAATGCATGCTTTTCCGTGCGGTGAGCCTCGTCATCCTCCCCGTTCGTGTTGACACCCAGCGAGACGGAAAAGTAACCACCTGCCCTTCAAGACACAACCTGCAGGGCTCTTTGGTCAATGGCTCTTTTCCGATACGACGCTCCCCTGTCTCTCGTCGTCAAGGGTTGCTACCATGTCGGTACTAGCGCAGGGTTCGAATCGAACACCATGCCGCCCTTCCCCAAACCCCGCACGAACGGAAAAGCTGGGCGCCCCATTTACTCCATTTCCCCCATGGGGGGGCTCCACGTAGATGTGGCCCCTTATCGTGACTTCGGCGGAGACTACGGAGACGCGAAGGGCTGGTTCGTCCTAGCTTCCCTCGGTATATATGTAGCTTCTGCACAGACGAACACGTCTTAAGCCGACGACGTCCGGTCTCTCAGGTTGCAGTCAGGTTCATCCAGCTCAAAACCTCGACTTGGCCGGTGTTTGAACGCGTTCGACGACGAAAATACGGCACAATCTCGATTCGGAGACAGCCAGATACCAAGATGGCCGAGCCAAGAAAGTCTGAGGAGGACAAGGCGGACGTCAGCCAAATGGAGCGCGTCTTGACCGCTAACTCGCTTGGCGACGCCGACAAGCCCAACCGGAATGCGAAGGTTGACGAGTTTGGAGCACACACCAAGACCGACCCCAAGGAAATTGCCCTTGTCAAGAAGATCGATCTGTACATCTTGGTATGTCTTGGCAAGAAGCTCTGTAGTGGTACTGCGACTAACTCAGCTCCCTCGGCAGCCCATTCTCTGGGTGATGTACTTGTAAGTTACTCCAATGTTTGAGTTGAGATGTCAAATGTTAACAACGGCTTCTTCAGTCTGAACTTTCTCGACCGCAATGCCATGATCAACGGAAAGCTCAACTCATTGTCGAAAGACTTGAATCTCAAGGGCACCGAGTACAACACCTGCGTCTCCATCCTGTTCGTTGGGTATGTCGAACGATCCCAATATGCAATCGCACTGGACTAAACGCTGGTAGATACTTGTGTGGTCAAGTGCCCTCCAACATGATCCTTAACCGAGTGCGACCGTCTTGGTACATGGCTGGTGTGTATGCCAAGGTTACAATGGCATGTGTGAATTGCTGACAATGGGTGTGTAGGCTTCATGCTGGCGTGGTCGATCATCTCTCTCCTCACATACCTGGCACACGACTACAAGTCGATGTTGGTCTTTCGGTTCTTTCTTGGCATCACTGAGGCTCCTGTAAGTCTATGGGCTTAAGGTCAATTTCAAGACAACGTGCATGAGCTAATGCTGCCCAAGTTCTACCCTGGAGCCCTGTACATGCTCAGCATGTTTTACACCCGCAAGGAGATTGCTACTCGTATGGCCATCTTTTACACAGGCAACATGTTGGCCAGCGCCTTTTCCGGCCTGATTGCTGCGGGTGTCTTTGCGGGCCTGGACGGAAAGCATGGCCTCGCTGGCTGGCAATGGTGAGTAACAGCCTTGTCTCTCTGTTGTTTGCATTGCTCTGACAAACCCCAGGCTTTTCATTATCCAAGGTGCCGTTTCGATTGGCGTTGCCTTAGCAGCTTTCTACCTACTTCCGGACGCGCCCCTGCAAACTCGATGGCTCACCGAGGAGCAACGCCAGATGGCTCACAAGCGCATCTTTGATGATACCACCGATCGTCGTGAGGGTGGAACCAGCGTGTGGAAGGGTCTGCGTGAGGCCTGCTCTGATTGGCGAACATGGGTCTTCTGTCTCATGGACAACCTGCATCTTTCGGCCAACGGCTTTAAGAACTTCTTGCCAAGTGTCGTGAAGACTCTGGAGTACAACACAACCATCACGCTGGTTTTGACGTGCCCGCCATACATCCTGGCTGGAATCATGAGTATTGTTGTCTCTCACTCCTCTGGACGTTTCAATGAACGCACATGGCATACGACGATCAGCAAGTTGATTGCTTGTGCCGGGTTCGCGATGGCTGTGGCTACGTTGAATACCACCGTTCGATACGTTGGAATTATGATCTTTGTGGGCGCCACGTACGGCGTGAACAACATCATCCTGGGATGGACTGCGGCGGTTTTGGGTCAAACCGATGAGAAGAAGGCGGTTGCTATTGCGATGTGCAACACCCTTGGCAACCTTGCGAGTGTTTATACACCGTATCTTTGGCCTGACTCGGATGAGCCTAGGTATCTCAAGGCTATGTTGGCTAGTATTGGCTTCTCGATTGGTGTTGTTATTTGTGCTTGGATTATGCGTTTTGCGCTGCAGAGGCAAAATCGTAAGATGCTTGCCTCGAACGAAGGCGTCACGAACTTGTATGTATACTAAGAAGAGCGGCTTACGGCTTTACGAATTAGATGGGAGACTGGCATCATCATGTACGGCCATTTGGATTGGCCTATCTAGATAGACAAGAGATTGAGCGGATCTCAATATTCACGTATGACATCTACACTTGATGGATCCCATTTGTCTAAAAGTATGTTACGGACGTAGGCCACTACTCCCTTTCATTGAGGACCATTTGAAAAGCTTCAACAAAGGACTCTTCCCAGTCTTGCTCGGTCTTCCTCGGTTTCCACCCCAGCTCAGCGGCCAAGGCTGGCGTTGTCGCGGAGCTATGAAGTTTAGCTGCGGTTCAACCAAGCATCAAAATAGAGGTTGGGCTGAAAATAGACTTACTTGGCTGCATAGTTCATCTCAATGATCTGAGAAGGCGCATTTAGAAACGTGGAGCGAGCCTCGTCAAATGAGATGGATCGCGGCTCCGCAGATTCCAGTGCACCAAGTCTGACACCAGCCTTCCCAACCTCTGTCGCAATCTCAAGCCAATTGTGGCTGCCGGTGTTGGAAAAGTAGATACCCCTTCGGCCTGAAGGAATGTCTTCTCCAGCTAGTATCTTGCTTAGAACAAGCTCATACAAAAGAGCCAGATCCGTCACATGGACGTGCCCAAGACTGCAAGAGCCGTCATTTATATACGGCGAATAGCCCAGTTGAATGGCGCCGCGAATGATGCTAGGTATCTGCATGGAGCCTTGGTTGAAAAAACCTGTTCCACGGCCGTAGATGGTTGGGGGCATCATGATGTAAGACTTTACACCAGTGCGCTCAGCCGTTTTGATGACAGCAATCTCGGTTGTGCGTTGAGCATAAGCCTCTTTTGCCTCTTCCTGCTCCTCGAACTCGAAGACTTGGTCTTTATCGGACCATTCACGGGCTTCGACAGCCTTTTTGTTGATGGTTGGTTGCGCCAAGTTGGAAGTCCCTGACGTCTATACGCCTCATTAGTAAATGTGTACATGAAAGTGAACCTTGATGTGTTGACCTACGTGGATGAAGTAGACATCTCTGCCAGTCTGCTTCTTGCGCTCGGCGAGACCTTCCACCAGAGCTACGGCTGAGCCAGTATGATGGCCATGTGTAGTGTGAATGACATAATCGTATCCGCTGGCCACCTCTTTCAACCGAGATGAGTCGTCAAGATCCTTGAATAGGATTGCGTTGATGCCCTTTCCTTTCAAAAGATCAGCTTGATCTTGCCTTCGAACCAGCGCAGTTATCGAGAGGTCTCGGATATCAGGGTAGGAAGAGTCGAGGAGCTGGGAAAGCACCGTGCCTCCGCTACTCGTCGCGTTATTTAGTTTTCGGTGGACATTTGCAGCGTGCGCCTAGGTTGAACCCACATGAACCCGGTAGCACCGGTGAAAAGAAGTTGCTTAGACATATCTCAGGAGTTTATCGAACAGCTTGTTGACGAGGATTGGTTGCTGTTACCTCGCTCGTGAAATCAAATGGTTTAAACAGAACGTCGGGTTTAAATGGTGACATCAGTATGGGTCTGACTATTACCAATTGAGACGGGATTTGTATTCCGCGGAGAGCTGCCCGAGAAGTCCGTGGAGAAATTAAGTTGCACTGATCAATAAGCTTAACTGAAAAACGGCCCAGCGGTTTAGGATCTGCTGATAGCGTGGTTGAACGTCATCGCGCAGATGAAAAGGACTCATTTAGCTTAATTTGGCGCTGTTATGCAAGAGCTCAGCTAGCGCCAAGACACGGAATGCAGGCCAATTTAAGAGCAGTCATTTAGCCTCACCACGAGCATGCTCTTGAAATGCTGAAGCTAGGCTCATTTTATTCGTATTAGAATACAGTTGTTTCATTCCTTTGGTAACGAAGATATTTCCACGACGCTAACCCAGATATTCTCCTTGTTCTCGCTGTATGCGACAATCAGCTTGTCACCGACCTGCACCGCCGTGGGATAACTGAATCCATACGCCCGATTCTTGATCCCATCGCGAGTATCTGGTACAATTTCCTTGGTCGCATTAGTACGCAATACGCCAATTGCCCGGTACGTCTGATCTTTTCCTCGAGAGACCGCGAGCGTCAACGGTTGGCGTTGGGGGTCTGCAGCGTTGTAGCGAGGGTTCGAGAGAAGATACCTGTCGCCATTTTCCTGGATTTGACCAAGAAATTGCTTTGTTTTGGCGTCTGGAATGTTGGTCTGGTATATCTCATTGCCAGTCTGGCTCTTCACCTTGGGGTACCAGCCTTCTCCCTCTGGGTCTTCGTTGTACTCCACCCAGACAGAGTGCGTATTGTCCTTTTCAGTCGTGATGTCGCGCCAGTGCCGCTGCCAATAACCTCCCGTTGGCGAGTCACCGTCGTTATGCCATACGGCGAAGGTCTGTTCTTCCATCTGATGCGTGCCGTCGGCGGCGAACAGTCCGGTATTGTACAGCCAAGGCGACCATGCGGGAGCTTCGTCAGGCTTCCGTAAAGCAGTGTTGATTTCGCAAGCTCTAGGGCACCTCTTCATACCGAATTCAGTGCCGTAGACGGTTTCTGCGTACAGCTCCGACTTTGTGTACTCATTTGTCTCGATCCAGCAGGGATTCTCGAGTGCTTCTCCGTCGAGAGAAATTTTGACTGCAATTCGACCGGCAGACACCCATCTCCCAGGGCACCAACGACTCCCAGATTGGCCAATGGCGTACAGTTCTCCGTCCGTAAGATGGACAAAAGATAGAGCCTGCCATGCGCGTTGCACGATCCCGCGATCACACCAATACTTCCAGTTGTATGTTTCCGTCTGGTTGGGTAGCAAGGCGGCGGGCATCAAACTCCTCCCGGGACTCCATGTGGTTCCGCTGTCCTTAGAAGTTGAAATCCAAACGTCTTGCCCCATACTGTCTTCGTCCACGGGAGCAGATGAATAGATAAGGAAAACATTGGAGCCAATGGCGAAGAGCTCGGGGTGATGAGCATATGTTCGGTTCTCAGCCACACCGTTGTAGATCTGAATTTCTTTCTGAACGGGAATTTGATCCCATCCTGCGTAAAGAACGTCGCTATAGTTCAGAGAGGGCTGGATTTGCCAGAGGCTCTCGGGCGCAGGAGGTGCTGCGAGGGCAACAGGCGTTATTTGGGAGACTGAAAAAAGAAGAACAGCACGAGCGAGAAGTTGCGAGGTGAAGATAGGCATGTCGAATCGGATACGCGTGTGATAGACCAGTCTGGAGAGGCGGTATCAGTCCCGAGAGGTGAGTTGATGAGACTGCTGTCAGTCAACGGCATGTGAAATTTCGAAGTAAAGCCCTTTGACGGGCGTATTGATTTTTACCTTCGGTTTGAAACATAGTGTCATATAATAATTAGCAGTCACCAGCTTGAGAACATAGTGAGTGGCTTCTATTGAACACGTTGATCCAACAGTTGATTGGGGGAATAACATCTCCGTCGCGCGGGGTTCAAGTGAGGGGCCTTCGAATTTAACCACACCCACCACGCTGGAGCTATTCTCCGAGATTTGGAACAAACAGCGCTCAGCTTGACAAGTCTAGTATGTGGTCAGATGCTGGGCTGGACGATGGGCAGGATAAGCTTCTAACACTTCGCCAATACTGTAGGTTTTGGGATCGATGTTTGACCCGCACGGCCCACACCTACAACATTGTAATTACTTCATGTGCAATTATGTCCTACATGTATGTGACTTGTAGAAAGTAATGCGAGGTATAACCATAAATCAAGCTTGTGCACAGTCATTTCTGCAAGTCCTTGTTCCTGGCATAGTCTTCATTCCATATTTGAATCCCGGAGATGGTCAGTATGCTGCGTCTTGCAATGGCTAACTGCGACGTTCTAGCCAGGCGAATCACGATGGCAAATGGCTGTGGTTTCGTATCAGTGTCAATTGACATGTTGCTCAATAGTGTCGAGACATTGTCTCGTTCGACTTAAACTCGACATCACGAGGGACTGCGAAGTGTTGATTCCACTCGACTTCAGCATCAGGATGAAAGCCAAAGAGCTCGTGAATGCCGTACATCGTAGACTGCTTGCTTCAGTTGAGGTTTTATCATTTGCTTATCAAAGAAAAAAGGCGCTTCATGTTGAAACGAAATCTATTCAAAATCAAAGTCGTCAACCTATGCAACTATCCATTAACAGCTAAACAGCACGTTGCACATAACACCCCAGATTTATCCAAAAAGACTATACACCAGAGAACAAAGGAATACGCGGACCAAAAGAGTGGTAGTCCGATTTTGTTTTGAACATCCTCCACAGAAATTTCTTCTTGCAGAGAGGTGAAAATAATCTTGAAACCCTTTTCAGGGTCGATGGATAGGCCATGGGGCCGGTGTCGACAGCGGTATCCAGCGAAGGATTGGACCGCCTAGAGCATGATCGTCAAAATTGATACCAACGGAGACGATTGAGTCTTTTGTGCAAGCTTTGAAGACTCAGTCGTTCAGGTAGGTTGGACGAGATGCCATTGGAGTGTGTACGCGGAATGTTGTCTGGGTTGACGGCCCCTAAGGGCTTTGTTGAACCATGTATCATCGTGATTGGTGCCACGCAAGCTCGAATCGGAAGCTTGGTTGAACGGCATTAGTCAAATCTCCGGTCGCTCCCTGCAGCTGTGCCAACCAGCTTAGATTGTCAGTAAGGCGCAAACAACCGGTTGCTATGGATTTCCTACATTAGGGGAACTCGGAAGTGCTGATCTTGCGCGGCTGTAGGGGCTGCAGCACTCGGCACAGTTGACTTGGAGGTTAAATCTGGTGGGCATGGCTGAGAGCTTAGAGACAATGATTATGACACCGTGGTGCTGAGAAAGTTTGATAGGGGAAAATTCGAAGTCCGTCAATAGTTATCGGAGGGAAGAACGTGTCAACTTAAATACTTCGACAACCAGAGCCATTACGAAAGACCTTGCCTGTAAGCATGTAGTTGCGGGGGTCTGGGAAGGCAACAAGGCGTACCGGCCCGCTGACGTCTTAAGGTTGCCTTTCGTTCTAGCCTGACGTTACTTTGGAGAGGGGAATACTCGGAATGAGGCGGCATTGGTGAACTCCGCCACACCACTGTAGTATTATATGGATTCTGCGTCGCCGAGAACTTGGCGAAGGGCTGTGTGAACATAAGAGCGTTAACCATTCCGCGGTCAAGGTTGGTAAACCGAAGAAGTGGGTTGGAGTAGGCTCCTCGATTTCATCGGAGGTCGTCAGGGCGCAGCCGATACGCTTCATTGCTTCGAAGACATTCATCGCGAGAATACTAAATGCTGCACGATTGAAACTCTTACTGTTTGCTTTCAACGATCATACAAGGAGAAATGCAAACTGGGCCCCAAAGAAGATGTTCCGAATTGCGTTACGCGGCAGGTCGAAATGATTGTCAAAATGGTTTCATACGGATCGTTCCATTATCTCATACTTCAATTAAACGCTGTGACCTCGCAGACCTTCCATAATCCCTTGGTTCACTAGATGCAGATGTTGCCTGAACGAATCTCGCCAGCCTGCGTATTGAAGCGCTTTTCAAGATGATATCTAAACTCAATGCATATTCACTCAAAGACGCACCCAGGGAATGCTCAGTCGCAACGAGAACTTCCCATGGATTTTGAGCACGGCCTGGAACCAATAATTATGTTCTTTGGCACCTCGTCTGTGAAGCATGATGCGATGTGAGAACGGCGGAAATAAGCACCAAGCGGGCTACTTCAGACATACCGGTGGAAGTTCATTTCTTTGAGAACTGCTACAGCTCCCGTAAAATATATGTCGTGGGCTTATGTCGAAGTTTCGATGTGTTCCCAAATTTCTGAAAAGCCATTAGCGCGAATACCGGAAAGTCAAGACTTTTTGAGACGGACGCATTTGGTATAGACACATTTCCCAATTCCAGTCAGTCTGCCATTGTGTCGGTCTTCCATCGCGCCCACTGTTCTCGCGGACATAACCTGTGGCTATAGACCGTTGGGCAAACGACCAGACGTGTTTGTTGTGTTGCGGTAGCAGGATGCTGCTACCCGTGATTGTTGGCGTTCACAGCGGACTGTAAACTTGCCTGTCGATAGGCCTGAGCATCGAACAAACGGATTAAACGATACACTAGGTCTGTCTTTCCAGAAATGAAGTTCCTTGGTCGCAATATTCTGGAGTATTGCAACAACACGGATGATACATAGGTTGGCGGCACTGGACCCATGCATCTGTTCGATTGGCGTCTCCGAAGCGTGACCAGCTTGGGGCAAGACGAATACCAGCACTTAAGTAATAGTAGGATCACCCGGTGGATAAAGAACTGATAGTTCTAGAGCCCGCCTGGCATCCCACTTCCTTGTGCAAAGGCCACAGCCAATACATCTTGCTATTCTTGTTGTCGTCTGCCACAAACAAAATTGAGGAAATGTGATAAAACAAACCACTATGAACTTCGTTACAGCTGGGGAAAACTCATACTTATGAATGTTCAAGTAACAAGATGTTCTTGCTTTCGTTACGTTGCTCCGTTCTTCATAGAGTGTCGAGGGGGGACTCTGCTAACCCCAGTACCAGACTGCGCAATCACAATGTTGATTGCCTGCGAAGAAAACCTGTTTTCACGCCTGCCTGCGCCATCAACATTGACAAAGAAGTCTCACTTCACTTGCTCTGGGCACTCAGCAATCCAATCAGAACTGCAGATATGTAGCATTCCAAGAGCTTGCATGCATGCAGATGCAATCCGCGAAATTCGCCTCGTCAAAAAGCGACAGTTCTCAGCCAGTCAAAATGCAACCTTGAGCTTCAAAACTCGGTGTCAGTGGAAGGAACCTCAAGTCCATACGAATTCCAAATGACTGCGCCGCTTAAACATTGGAAAATTGAAAATAGGGTGTACACGCTGTGACCTTAAATATGTATGTATGCAGGACTTGCGGATGTTAACGAGATGTATTACAAAACTCACGGTTCACATGCGTGGAGTATGTTGTATGTATTTGTGAGCTTCTGGAACTCTGATTTTCTATATCGACCAAGTATTGGCCGACAGCTACGGATAGAAAAATAAATAAATTAGTCTTCCTTTTTAAGGGCTCAAGGACTCTGTTTTGTGCGATCCAGGATATCTTAGACGCAACGTTCTACCAGCTTACCTGCAGAAGTCAGTTCCAAATTTCTATGGGAACCCCATCACTGCTCTCATCCATCCGCAGTCTCTAATGCATCCTGTCGACAAGACAGGAAGGTCTTTCCCACGACCATGATATTAATTTCTGCAGGCTAATCATGTGGTTATCGAAGTACTATATTTGAGGGGGGCTTCGCGGTTGCTTTCACTGCGCGGTCTGCCCAGTGCTGCCCAGTGCTCTTATGAGACTTGTAAGCAGGCTGGTTTGAACTGCATTTTCAGGCGCTGAGTAGCAGTAGTCAGCCTGTGACGAGGAGGGAACCCATGGCATCTGCCAATGAGAACCATGGCGAACAGTTGAGCTTCCGTGCGGACCATTGTGTGCCAGCGACCTTTGGTGAGGCAATGCGCATGCGTGTGCATCATGCATGAATGCTGGCACTAATGTGGGTGAAGACACACCCCATGTCACAACCAGAGGTTCTTTGCATTGGGAATTGGAAATAGCCCCGCTGATATGATCCGATTCCATCCGGCTTGCAGATAAGGGCCCATGAAAGTTAAGTAGGCAGACCTCACGGCTGAACAGACAATGTGCTCCATGTTCCCTGGGCCGCGAACCACAAGTGAGCACTAGCGGGGTACAAGAATCGGCCTTCAGTCCTCGTAGCAAACCTGTGGTGTTTCGGAACATTGACTGTTTAGCATCTTTGTGTCTTCGCTATCATCCATTAGAAGACAACATGGACATTCCCCAGCCCGAGGATTACCAGATTGGCTGGATTTATGCTTTACAACTGGAGCTTACTGCTGCGAAAGTTTTCTTTGACAAAGAGTATCCCCAACCTCAAGATGCGGCCCAAAACGACAACAACAACTATGTTCTGGGGAGAATGGGCAAACATCATATCGTCGTTGCAGGGCTTCCCCTTGGCCAAACAGGAAACAACTCCGCGGCGACGGTGCTAAAAGATATGGTTCGGTCTTATCCAAACCTGCGGTTCGTCCTCATGGTCGGCATTGGAGGAGGGGTGCCAAACGCCAAGAATAACTTGAGAGAAGAATGCGAAAACGAAATTCATCTGGGCGATGTTGTTGTCAGCGCTCCCTCTGGACAACACGGTGCAGTCATCCAGTACGATTTCGGCAAAGAGCATCAAGACCGCGGTTTCGAGTTCACCGGCTACCAAAACCTGCCGTCTGCTACGCTGCTTGGGGCTATCCCCACCCTACAGTCGAATCACGATATTGATGGCACAGATTCGCTTGCCAATAGGATCGAGGAAAGATTGAACCTGAAGCCCAAACTCAGAAAGACGTATGGGCGCCCCGAAAACAAGACGGACAAGCTCTACTCGTCAGACTTCGTCCATGTCGATGGCAATGCTACATGCAATGAATGCGACGAGACCAAGATTATACGAAGAGGGCGCGAAGACGAAGACAAGGTCCCCCGAGTCCACTACGGACTTATCGCATCCGGAAACAAAGTGATGAGAGATGCCAAGCAGCGAGATTTCCTGGCCAAAGAAAAGGGTGTCCTTTGTTTTGAGATGGAAGCTGGAGGTTTGATGAACTCATGGTCTTGTTTGGTCGTTAGAGGCATTTGTGACTACAGCGACTCTCACAAGCACAAGAAGTGGCAACAATACTCGGCGTTGTCCGCCGCATCCTACGCAAGAGAGCTGCTGGATCTGATCCCGCAACAGAGGATCGGAGGGGATCAGAAGATTGCCGACCAAATTTCCAAGGATGGTTAGAATCCAATCCCCGCTGACCAAAGAATTTGATTCTGACGTGCGCTTTAATTAGTTGAAGAAATCAAACTTGAGGTTACAAACATCGGCGAAATGATCCAGAAAGAACGCCTAGACAAGTGGCTGTCGCGCTTGTCTAATATTGACTATGCTGCTAAGCAGAAAGAACATATTGATAGTTGTGAGGAAGACACTGGAACGTGGTTCTTGGAGTCTACTGAATTCACAACTTGGAAGGAGTCTCCTGGCAAAGTTCTCTTCTGCCCTGGAGTTCCGGGGGCCGGGAAGTCTGGAATAGCCTCGATAGTGATCGAGCATCTGACTCGTTTGTTTCAGAAAGACGGAAATCCAAAGGCCAAGGTCGGATACTTCTATCACAGCTATGATGACAAGGAACAACCAGCTTCAACTTCAACTAGCGTACTCTCGACAATATTCAACCAACTCTGCAACAGAGGGAATCTACCACAGATTGTCCGAGAGTTGCTTCACGCTTACGAGAACAATCACAACCTGCCAACCAGCCGGGTCATGTTGACCGCATTGGAAGCTGTTGTGCGGCATAACGACTGTGAGAATTTCATCATCATAGACGGTCTTGATGAGTCCTATTCCAGAGCTGAGGACTCATTGCCAACTATGAAGTCAATTATGGGCCTTCGAACCTGCGGAAGAGTAAACATATTGGTAACTTCCAGGCCGAACAATTATATAGAAGGGTTTATCAGGACGCAAGTTCCGATGGTGGACCTTCTTACTCTCAGTATTGAGGCCAGCATAAGCGACCTAACGATTTATCTCAACAAAAGGCTGAATGACCATGTCCTTCAAGACTACAAGCAAGCTTGCTTAAAGCGAATTGTCAAGATGAGTGCCGGCATGTAAGTGAACTGCTAGTTGATAAGGTTATTAGAAAAACAAGCTTACGCTTTTCGGATTAGATTTCTCATCGCCAGAATACTATGCAAAATAGTCAACAGCATGATGAGCCCCGAATCAATTGCAGACAACCTTGCAAAGCTCCCCAGATCTCAGATGACTCCAACAGACGTATACAAACGCAGCATGGATCGAATCATGGACCTCAAAGGAGAGCAAAAGTTGAACACGCTTAAGACGCTTCAATGGATTGTCCACGCAGAGAGACGACTCACAAAACTGGAGCTGGAACATGCACTTGCAATCCGTGCAGATAGTCGCGAGTTCTCAGCCAAGGACATTGTCAGACTTGATGATATTCTACCACACTGCGCTGGACTGGTCAGGTTGAACCGCCATTCCAACAGGGTTGAATTGATTCATTCTACAGCGAAGACGTTTCTATCTACGCATGAAGAAATTCGCAACCAGAATGCTTTGGCATTGATTTGCCTGTCGTGCGTGACTTATCTGAGCTACAGATGTTTCGATTCAGGGCCTTGTACAAATGTCGCTGCTCTGGAAGAACGGAAAGCTGACAACCCAATGTTCATGTACGCCAGTAGTTACTGGGGAGAACATGCTAGCAACTGGACTCGGGGTTGCAGAACAGGTAATCATCTTCATCCCTCTGACGGAAGCCTGAAAGAGATCAACAGGGCTATTCTGAGATTCTTGACGGCGAAGAAAAACCTCTTCGCTTCAGTGCAAGGTTACATTTCCCGATTTCCCATCGACAAAGACATCGACGTCTTCGAAAAAACAACTGCCCTGCACCTCGCCGCCAGGTATGGCCTTGATACAATCTTTGGCGATCTCTTGGGCGACTCTCGTTACGCTACCTTCGCCGACGCCTACAGATACGGCAACACACCAATTTTGAACGCTGCCAGGCATGGGCACGGTCGAATTGTACAGGCGTTGTTGAGTCGTCCCGAGGTGAACATCAACCAAAGCGACAAAAACAAACGCTCACCTATTTCACTTGCTGCTTCAAATGTTCATGTTGGAGCCATAGAGGCTTTACGTGAACTGATTCGGAGTGGAAGAGTCAACGTGGAGTCTAGAGACTACAAGGGACGAACGGCATTGTCTTTTGCCGCTTCTAGGAGCGACCAGAGCGCCTTAGAAGCGGTGGAGCTTCTAGTTGATCAGGGCAAAGCCAATATTGGCTCTAGAGAAGCGGACAATTGGTCGCCTTTGGCACGAGCAGCAGCATACGGCCACAAGAAAATACTCGACTACTTGCTATCGAAGCGATACAATTCGATGACAAGACATCCAACCCGACGAAAGAAAACTTCTCTTTTGGAATCCGCTGTTTTGAAAGCAGCCGAGTATGGGCAACTCGACTGTGTGGAGATGGTATTTAAATCATCTCCGGATGAAGTCAATGTCGACTTTCAGAATTATCGAGGAGAAACGGCGTTGTGGCAAGCGACCAATAATGGTCACAAGAGCGTGATGCAATACCTCATCGAATCGCGCGCCGCCGATGTCAAGGTTTCGGACAATTGCGGTGTCTCTCCCATCTTGTTGGCGTTTCAAAACTTCGACAAAGAACTTATCAGAATTGTACTGGGTCTGGATATGCATGATCTGCATGTTGACAAGCGACCGACGTGGGACGCATTGTATTTGGTATCTCACGACGACAAGTATGATCATGTTCTTGTCAAGGCTTTGGAGGCTATGGATCTGCCTGCGGACTCAGCAGACCGCGATGGGACCACACCTCTTCAATGGGCAGTTCGGAAGGGACTTACCGCCTTGGTGAAGCAATTTCTCCGGCAAGAAGACGTTGATCTTGACAAAACTTCTAATGCCGGCTACACTGCATTATGGCATGCCGTGGAAACGCGAAACTTAGCTGTGGTTCGCCTGATACTCGAGAGGGTGAACGTCAATCCCAACATTCGGGCCCCCAATCCAGCAGCATCTGCCAGCAATGGTGTGCCGCGGTCATCATTGGAGCTTGCTTTAGAACACCGAGACGAAAACATGGTATCAGTACTCTTCAGTTGCGGAAGCATCGACATGACCCAACAGGACTGGATGGGCCGAAGTCCAATATTTTCTGCCGCGGAACGCGGGTTGACTACGACGGTCCAGCTTTTCCTGCAATCAGGCAAGGTTGATGTTAATGCAAAAAACAGCAGAGGACTTACTCCACTCATGGTGGCTGTGGGAAAAGGCCACGTCGATACTGTGCGACTACTACTTGAAAGCAACGCTGATGTCAACATTGGGAGTGGTAGAAAAGCAACAGCCCTTTCTATAGGGGTACAGAAGAACAGAGTTGAGATTGTCAAGCTTCTGCTGGAGAAAGTATCGGACTCTATGACGGCGGCAAATAGAACAGCTCGTCAAGTCATGATCAATCTCAGAGACTGCAAGGGACGCACGCCTCTTCATATAGCTGTGGAGAGAGGCAATCACAACATGGTCACAGTACTCGCAAGCTCGCCCAGAATCACAACCAACATTCAAGACCAGAACGGGAGAACTCCGCTTCATACCGCCATAAATGCCAATCGCCACGACATGGTATCGCAGTTGGCTCGACTCGGCAAAGCCGCTTTATCAAAGAAAGACCGGAAAGGCATGACTCCATTTCACCTTGCGATAGTGAGGAAAAGCCCCGACGTCGTCGCGGAACTGCTCAAGTTGCCTCCCAATTGGATCGAGGTTAATAAGAAAAACGCCGAAGGCTTTTCGGCACTATCTACGGTAGTTCGGCAGAGTCAATGGCCGATATTGGAGATCATGTCCAGCGTCAAAGGAATTGATCTCAACACGAAGGACAAGTATGGTCGGAGTCCGCTATCGGATGCCATTGGACGGGGCGAAGGTCTCAAATTCCTCAGTACGGTTCAATCAGGGCTTTCAATGAAATCGATCAATCAGCTGCTGTCATCTGGAAGAGTTGAGCTCAACTCAAAGGATAAGAAAGGAAAAACGGTTCTTTTCCACGCGGTGGAGAGACAAGACGTGCAATTAGTCATGATGTTGCTTCGATCCAGCACCATTGAAGCCAACCGCGCGGATGACAGAGGCTTGACACCGCTGATGGCTGCAGTGTCCAACAGAAGCATCAACCGTGATCTAGTTGGAGCCCTTCGACGGAGGATTGACGGCAATTCCATCAACCACCAGTGCCAATATGGGCGTACCGTGTTATCATATGCAGCAGAGTTTGGACATGAGGAGGTTTCTAGACAACTGCTCAAGATGACAGGGGCAAAGCCAGATCTCCCAGATGGTTCAAGCCGGACGCCACTTTCTTATGCCTGTGCAAAGGGGCAATTACGAGTTGTGGACCTGTTACTGGCACTCGGAGATGACTATGTGGATGCCAATCTTCGGGATCATAATGGCATGTCGCCTTTATCCCACGCAATACGGAATGGGAGAAGTCAGATTGTAGAGCGTTTGCTAAGAGTCAAATCGCTCAGGCTAGATGTCGAAGGACAACATCGTCGGACGCCCATCGAGGAAGCAACCAGTTGCGGTAAGGAGGACATCGTTCGTTTGCTACGGGACTCGGGAAGAGGTGGCCGTAACAGTTAGATGCGGTAGTAATTGTGTACCGATCAAAGCTCAATTCAAATGAAGGAAACAAATTGCAACAAGTCTGCAAACTCACCAACTATACTTCTCAACTCCAACCTCCCAAGCTTGACGCGCTGAAGTCGCGTGAATGTAAGTGGTACCGTGTACACGAGATTTTTTGAGAAATCAACCGTCGCAGGGTCACATGTATCAACTTCCTCGTCATAATAATACGTAATTTGCTACCCTGAGAAGCTTTCGTCGGGGTTTCACGCACCGAATGGTCGCCATCCCCTAACATACGTGATACCACAGGACCCAGTCCCGAGAGTCGCTGGATCAAGATTAGGGCAAGAGAAAGCCGTAACACATCACTCATAGCGAGTGGTAGTTGTCAGTGGAGAAATGCTAACAGCGTTGTTCAAATTTTCGTCTGGACCCTCATCTTCTGTGAGAACGTTGTGCCGGCATCGGTTCCCTGCTAGGAGTTGTGAGCAAGCACAGTTCTCCTGCTAGCCGCTTTCGCACGACACCACCAATATTTGGCTAATGTACCCTTTCGGTATACTAGGCGAGATTGACCTAAACGTCTTTGATGTGCGATCGCGGAACCGGCACGGTAGACTAGAAGAACCTGACGAAGCTAAAACTTCGGTAGCCAAGCCTCGCCCCAGTCTTGAGCCTCAGATCAAGACCCCGTCAGCAGATGGCAGACGGAGAATCATTTTCCACCAGTCAGAAGCTGTAAGATGCTCGCTAATACATCATCGAGCCCCTTATAACTCGCGGGTTCCCCGCAACGGTGGGTTCTTGCCCGCATCCCCAGCTTGCTCCACGAACGTTCCCCACGGGCAATACGCCGGAGGAGTGACTTAGCGGTCGGAACCCCGCGATAATGGAGCAGGCGTTATCCGAGCTGTAGCTATCTTCAGGTTGGAGATGGCTAACATGTAGATGAGAAAGCTAGCTCTGAATGGGTCGATGACGAGCCGAACATGATTGAAATCATGTCGAAATTCAATGACGAACTACAACCAACTTGTTCAAGCCCAGTATACTTGAGAAGGCGTTGATTATGTCAGTACCGATGCATATCCGGATTGACTGTGTGTTAATCTTCTGATCTTCAACGATAGTGAGTTTAATCATGACCTATCAAAGCCGAGACTACCCCGCATCCCCGGCGCGACTCAGGAAACCGTCATCCACACTTGTTTCTGACTGGACCCATGAAGAGAGGTGAATGGAGAATGGCGCGAAGGCTTGCCTCGCATTCCTAGTGCTAAGACGATCTCCGACGGGAGTTGACCGAAACCGAACAATCGGTTCCAACATCATATCACGGGGTGGATGTTCCAAGCGCTCATTGCCGGCATATCAAGTACTTGAGAAGGGATATCCCACGCCGCCAGATTGTTGACTGAGGTATTTCGATCGTCACGGGAAGCACTGTGTCGACTTTGACAGCCAGTCAACAATTACCGGCTCTGAATCAGAAACCGCCGGAATTTCGTCATCTCGCCCATCATCATGGCTGATAATGCCCCAGCGGCGGCGGACGCCAAGAACCGCAAGAGCGATGTCGAACACGTCGAACAAGACCTTCACAAGCCTCACATCGAGGACGAGGATATTCAGCAGCAACACCCGGAAATCTACCTCGAAGCCCTCGCGCGGTACCCGAACGATGAATCCATTGACCAAGCGGACGAAAAGAGACTTCTACGAAAGTTGGATATGCGCATTCTTCCTTTACTCGGAATCTGTTACTTCTTCTACTACGTCGACAAGACCACGTTGTATGTTTATCAGAACTCAGCCCTCTTCATAGGCATAGTCACTGATCTCTCATATCCAGATCGTACGCTGCTATCTTTGGCCTGAAGGAGGGCCTCGATCTCAAAGGCGAGGAATACTCTTGGCTGTCAAGTAGTTTCTACTTTGGGTGGCTAATTTGGGCCATTCCCTCCAACCTGATCATGCAGCGCAGCCCGCCTGCATGGTACCTCTCTTTCAATATTTTCATGTGGGGTGTCTTGCTCATGGCTCAAGCCGCTGCTAAGAATTTTGCGGGCTTGTTGTCTCTTCGCATTCTCTCGGGTGCCTTTGAAGCTATCGCGGATCCTGTAAGAGCTTGTCGCACATTTACTTGATATGTCTGTTGCTAATGGATTGACAAGGCTTTCATGTTGATTACTTCGATGTACTACACTCGATCTGAGCAGCCTTCACGTATCTCGGCATGGTATGCATGGAACGGGATTGGTGTAGCCGGTGGTGGTCTTATCGGTTCGTCCCAACTTTATTTGGCTTTTCTTTCGACCGTCGACTGACGTATCCCCCAACAGGTTACGGAATTGGAAATATCAAGGGATCCCTCGCTTCTTGGCGCTATGAATTCCTCGTTGTCGGTGCATTCTGCGCCTTCTGGGGCATCATTCTGGCCTTCTGCCTGCCCAACTCTCCGCGCACAATCTGGGGCTTCACTCACGATGAGAAACTGATCATGATTGCGCGTATGCGCCGCAACCAGACGGGCATAGAGCAGCGGAAGATCAACTGGGCCCAGATCAAAGAGGCTTATCTCGACTACAAGACCTGGCTCTTCACGTTGCTCGGTTTTGTCTCCAACGTCCCCAATGGCGGCATCTCCAACTTCTCAACCCTGGTCATCAAGGGTCTTGGCTTCGGGACGCTCGAGACGGCGCTTCTCGGCATCCCACAGGGTGCGCTAGTCGTCATATGGATCGGGCTTGGTGCCTTGGCAAACAGGTACATGCCTGCCAACAGCCGGACGCTGGTCAGCGCAATGTTTATGTTGCCAACTATTGGTGGTGCACTGGGCTTCCTCTTGGCTCCAGCAAATGCTTATATTGGCCGATTAATCTGCTTGTAAGTCCTCCAGCTTTCAATGATCTTGTCAGACAAAGACTTACAAGAATCTAGCTACCTCACCGGATCTTACCAGGCTTCTTTCGTCATCTCTCTCTCCCTCATCACATCCAATACAGGTGGCCAGTCGAAGAAAATGATCGTCTCTGGTATGATCTGGTTCGGCGCTTGCATCGGCAACATTGCCAGTCCTTTCTTTTACAAGACCGACCAAGCTCCTTCATACCATCTTGGCATCGGATCTCTTCTCGTTGCCAACTGCATTGAGCTTGCTCTCTTCTTCGTTTTCCGGTATGCATTCATCTGGGAGAACAAGCGCAAGGAGAAACAACGCGAAGAGTTGCGAGCGAGTGGCAATTACGTGGCTGATGAGTTGAATGCTACTGCTTTCACGGACCTGACCGACAAGGAGAACCCTAACTTTGTTTATGTCTACTAAGGCAGGTTGCATAGATTGCATTACTTGTATTGTACCAAATACCCTTCCAATGGTTCTGAATTGAAACGTTCTCTTGTATGACCGTAAATAATACAGTATTAACAAAACGTCAATGAGTCTGAGCCTTGATTGCTACTAAACGCTGAACATGTCTTCACTTCCTTGAACAAGACTTCAAGTCTATCTTGATATATGGATAATTGATTTTTGACACTCGCTGGTCTCATCCGGCTTTTATCGAAGAGCCTACTTTGTCAACCAATCCTATAATGACTTCTAGCAATTGTTCTTTCCCGTTCTGAAGCAGAAGATGTTGATAGTTCCATCTGCCTGTTTGCAGAAAGTTGCGCCCAAGTCCTTCACCTGACCTCCAAAGCAGTTAGGCTTGCAGTTTCCGCAAATTTCTCCAGCCTAGATGCAGAATAATATGTGAGAATGAAACAACTGAGAATAATGGAGCGAGCAAGTCCGAAGCTTACCCCCGTTTTAGTTCCTTTGTCGGCGGGGCAGCTGCCATCTGCTGGAGCACCTGCACAAAAGATGAAAGCGGCCGAAGCAGGGAGGATAAATTGCGCGAGTGTGGTGATAGCGATAGCGGACTTGAACAACATCTTGGTTGGTTGGCGGTATGTTTGAACCCAAAAGTAAAGATGGCTTGGTACCCGACGAAAGTTGAGAGCTTGAGAATCAGGGAGGTTTAGATGAAGCAGAGCTATGATATCTTGACGAAGAAGAGATGAAGCGCCCCGTATACTTGATTTGCTTCAAAGCCTACCTTTATACTAGATATTGAAAAGTCCAGACCATCTCGGTCTCGCTTTCGAGGGCATTTGGCTCGTGCTTTGACCGAACGCTGGCCCCTCCGATGAGGCTTAATTGTATGTGTATGGCATAAGTGTCCGAGGCAGGGGTTACATCTCCACTGCGGAACTCTTCTGATACGTTCCGATGGATTGGGGGATGGACATTAGGCTAGGGATAATGACTACAATTGCGCGGGTGTAAGACTGTTGACCAAGGATGGTATGATGAACCTACCCAGGAGTCAGGACGATCACTCGCTTCGTCATTCTCTTGGCGCTCGTAGATATTCCGCTATGGCATGGACGGCGAGAGATATTCTGATAATCAGACGAACGTCTCTGCTGCAAGTAACAAGATAGTCTCCTAGTTTGTCAAGTTCTGGCAATGAAAATCAGAGTCGCCGTGTCTACACGTGGCGGCATAAAACACGTTTTACTTAGATCGTAAGGTTGCTTCATAGAATACCTGAGACCCGCGCCTATGGTAAGTTGCCGGACGGACGGGCGTTTCTGCGCCCCGAGGCATTCATCCTACTGTGCCCACACAGCAGCTCAGCTTCTTGCTACATAATATGAACGCATGAGATGTTCAACAGCTGTGTCACGTGGGCCATAGACTAGGTATACCTTGCAAAAGCAAGAAACAGTCAATTAAAAAAGACACTGCAAAGGCTCAAGCTTTCTGGGCTGACGGACTTCATTCCTGCTCCAAGGTCGAGATGGGGTCGGAGCGAACTTTGGAGTGACCCTTCAAATGAGAAGTCGTCTGTTAAATCACTCATTATATCAAAAGTTCTTCAGGTGAGCAGAAATTTGATCTGCACATTCGGTGATCGGCAAAGTTACGATCTATCTCCGGGGTAGTTGGGATGACAGCCACATTTAGACTTTCTTCCCAACACAAGATGAGACGGCCTAAGTCGCAAGGTTTCCGCGCGGAAGGCAAGCTTTTTGATGAGACAGAACCCTTGTCGTGGCAGATGATGACCAGACTCGAGAAGTCCACTGCACTTTGGCCGTTCATGAAGATGAAGCTGTAACTCTTCATAGGGTCAATTTCATGTACGTCCTCTTCCACCCATTCTCAAACTTGAATGAGAAAGCTTGTGAGTGGGAGCTACGGGAATAAGGAGAGCTGTAACCTCGATTCACACTGCTCTCGGATGACCTTTGGCCATATTCGATCATTGAATTCGCTGGCAACAGTTACACAGACGCAAGAGGACCGGAAGCATGCTTCAATGGAAATCAAGCGTAGACCCCGTCGCGCACGGTCTGCTAGAACCAGTAGCAGCCTCTAACCGATTCTAAACCATTTCTCCGGTTTTATTTTTCCTACAAACGTAGTTGCGGCTTCTCTAATGAAAATGTTTGTCTTTCGAACTCGGGATCAGGCCCGGCCCCAAAGCAAGCGGGCACGCAGTCCGTAAGGTACTACCAGGAGAAGCGGCCGGACGCAAATCGTGGACCCCAAATCATGGGATAACCTTGGGATGGACAAAGTTCACAGTCGATGGGGGTACTGTAGTATTTTCCCTATTGCGATGCCGCGCGCGGCGCGTCAGATGATATTAACGTCAACACTACATTCGAAGCTGTTGCACTTTGCATTATATGTAGACCTTGGAGGCCACAAATAAGATGCGCGAGTCGCGTTCTAAGAACCCTTTATAGCGAGGGTACACAATAGCAACATAGATCAGCTATGCTATAACGATTCCGGCCTAGTATATAGCTTCAAAGACGTCAATAACCAAGAGTCGCCGTGCGTAGATTACAGCCGAGTTGCGCACCTTGAGAAAAGAAGTACAAATTGACAGTTGATAGACCAGAGTATTAAAATTCGTCTTTGCGTTTAGACACATCGTTCCACATTCCAAATATAGTTTTGACGGCAGAAGAGACCCAGGCAAAGACTACCGCTTTTCCTGCACTAAAGCCCGCTCATAAGGGGCGTGAAAATCAACGTCAGGCACATTCGATTATCAGCATTCATCCTATGTCTATACCTAAGGTTTCCAGTTTCCATGACCATCAAGAGGTTGCCGCCATAGAAAGATAGTGTTCGGGGACAATTGCAGTATCTATATGTCTTAGAGAAGTAAGGTACAGAAGAAACGTAGTTCTGCAGGTTAGAGAGACGGACAGCCTGAACTCCCAGATCTGTGTTCACCAGAAAGAGAGGAGGATGAAATAAGTATCAAGTGCAATATAAGAGACCTCAAATCCTAAGCAATTGTAGTTGATGACCTATGGCTCGTATCTTCTACTAGATGCTAAGGTTAGTAACTCTACTTGTGAGTTCTAAGCTTGCAGGCTTATGATTCTAGCATGTATTGAGGAACTTAGTCTTACATTGCCGTCCGATGCCGAGGTTAATAATGTTGTGCTGTGCGTACAGATGGTTCCCATTGGAGCAGGGCTTAATGGTAACTATATTGCTAAGCCCGTAGAACGGGACTGTCACAGTTACGATTACGTTTGCATCCATGCGCTGACAAGTAAGGCCGGAATCTCGAAGTTTGGGACTCTTTCATAGTCAGTTCACTCTTTATCCTATGAGCCGAATGCTGTAGAAGATAACACGGATGGAGACGAAACCTTCGGTTTCTCGTTCCCTCACAGCCACAGCAACGAAGCATTTGGTGCAAGTCGCTTTGCTCCGGTATAGATACTTGCGCTCTCATTTCTATGGACTGCTACCCTTCCGGTACTGCTTTGGCGTTGCTAGTGGGCAGCCATGATTCCATATTGCGATCTGTCGATTTTGTACTGATGCAATGCTGGTGCATTCCGCCCTCAAAGACCTACGACAGCAACTGGGAGTGACTGAGGCACTCGTGTCTAAATCCATATCCTTTCTCTTGCGTCATGCGCGATGTAATAGTTCATAACGCCAACCGCGAAATCGCCGTGCTTCTTCATGACCCACTCCATCCTCTTCCGCGCATCATCACACGTAAGCCGACTGCCGACGAGGCGACAGACTATCTCGCGCATCGCAACCTCCGCCTCGGTGGTATTCGTGTAGATCTCGTCAACAATATTGGGGAACTCATCCGCTACCTCCCAGGTATGCTCCGCCGACCTGTAGAAGCGTTCTCGGGCCAGAAGCTTGAGTGCCGGAACGTCGTACTTGTCGGCCATGATGAATAGCCGCAGGTGAAGGAAGAGTTCTTGGCGCATATTCGACAGCTGCCGAACTGCGGCTAGTCTCTCAGATTCGGTATTAAACACCTCACCAACTCCTAAGATGTCACGGCTTTCCACAGCTGCTTCATTCACGTTGCTGGTGAAGTCGTCGTACTCCTCATCGGGCTCGTGTAAATGATTGCCCATCCCAATCATTTGGGCATTCGGTTGATAATCGCCGTCCCTTGACGCGTAGTATCCGGTCGAGAGTCCTTCGCCATACTCTCCTTCGTCATACTCGTCATCGTCTTCTTCTTTTTCTTCTTCTTCTTCCTCGCCACTGGTCGAATCGTGACCTTGCCTTGACTGAGAAGTAGCATGACCGGGCTGCTTGCGGCGATACGGGATCGCAACTCCGATAGGTGCTGCCATCTCAATGCCAACTTCTTCTGGGCTCAGAAACGAAACTTCGGATGGTCTTTCCCGGTTGAAAGAAACGCCTTCATCGTAGTTCCCGGTGTAGAGAAACTGGAGTAGGCGTTGGAGAACATCAGGGTCATCCTCCGGTAGATTGATCGTGGAGGAGGAAGCTTCCTGTATCAGGGTTAGCAAATTGCCTTGTGGGAGCACGCAATTATCGATCAGGGCAGAGGTCAGATATGGATGACTAATGGAGTACCTTGAAGCCGGAAGAAAATGCCTTGTCGAAGAAGGAAGACTGGGGGCAGACTATGGCGCGATGCGCTTTGAACGTTCTTCCACCGCAGGTGATGGTCATGTCGGAGAACTTGTCGGAGAGAAGAAGAGATGACAGCCCCGAAAAGATGGAGGTGGTGCGAAGGTCGTCAAGGTGGTCGTACGTCGCGTCGCGTCGGCCACTCCCCTGAAAGGGAGGTCCAGAGTGTGAGGGCATGGCTGGAGGCAGGTTGATGATCTTGGCAGGCTTCAACTGCCGTCGTTCGTATGCGAGGCTCGTTTGGGGGGTATATTCTGCGTTGATTGTCGTAAATTTGTGTTTGGGCGTTTGTAGTTAGAAGATCAGTGGTCGGACGTCGATTGGAATTGATGGAATGTACAGGAAAGTGGCAGAATACTCCGCCGTCAATCTCCACTAGGAAGGCGGTGGGACTTGCGGGCTTGGACGCAGCATCCGCATATCGTTGGTCCTTCCATTCCACCTTCCTAGTTATCAAATGATATAATGGCAGTATATTGGGCGGTGCTTGAGTCTACCCAAGGATGCCTGATGCCCGCAGCAAATGTAGTTCTTTGCGCAATAAAATGCAGCCACCCTCATTGTTCTGGCTCGCCATACGCAACGAGTACACATTTAACACTCAATCTTCTGATCTCCATCCTGATAAGCATGCTAGTTGCAGAGCCGGGCAATCCAACTAGTGACAATGTTCGCCACACAAGATTAGATCAGTGACGACGGAAGCCAAGAGTCAAACGTACAAATAGCCCAATTTCAGCACCAAATTCTACACAGTTATAGACAATTTTAAAGCTGCAGCAATTCAATTTTAAAAGGGACAGGGTCTGTTTAAAAGCCTCTGAAGATTCCGATCCATCAGGAAGGTCATATACAATAACAGACCTAAAGGCATCATAGATAAGGCAGCGCATATTGTGAAAGGCTTCATCGTTTCAGAGTCCAAACATGTTCACTAGGAAACCAAGCCAACAAATACCTAATGGCTAATGGCTAACCAATATAGACTCCAAGCCTAGGTTCACATGGGTTCACCTACTATCAACTAATGTAAGTGTTAACCATTCCATCCTTGGTTTACAACTGGAGCTAAAGCTTTTAATTGAGGTAGATGGAGTGGATAAATGCAAGCTTTGCTCTCACTAAAGGACAGGCGTTAGCGGACTGCCTATACTGACAAACATAAAGGATCCGCTGCAGAGGATCATAAAGGATAAAAAGTATAACGCTAGTCAATTCAGCTGAGTCAGGTCACTTCTCAGGGACAGCTGGATTGAGGTACCTAACAGAATCTCTGTATCTTGAGTTATTAGGCCTCAATTTGTAATAAGGAACTAGGATAGAAATGCAGAAAATGAGAAAGGCAAGACTGCAGTGAAAGATATAAGCAATGTTATGGCGAAAAGAATGATAGGAAACAAGAGAACTAAGTTGAAAAAAGTATAGAGACGAGTTAGGAAGCTGTGAAGAAGCTACTAGATTTTGCCGCTGCGTCAGCTATTTACGTGAGTAAGCCCCTTCTTTTTGCAATTTCCACTCTTGCCTAATAAACAATGAAGTTGCTTTATCTCTCATACTCCTTTCAAATTTATAAACAAGACGGCAAGGGACATAGTGGGGATGCAATCAACCAGTTGCCATCAACAACATCAATGCCTCAAAAACAGAAAGATCTAAACATAGAGAGACTTAAGGAGGAGCGGATGAAATAGTATAACGTCTTAGATAAGTATATTAGTCTTGTGATAAATAGGATCTCTATACTTAATAAATAGTATTACTACTTCACCTTAGATTATAAATCTATAGGAGATAGGAGGAGCTAAAATGAGTTATAGGTGGTCACTAAAGGACTACTAGAGGGAGCTAAGAAGCATATAAAATGGCCTTTGATATGAGTCAACTAGTTATAGGTTTGGACTCTTGCTGGCAGTACCTTGTGTCTTTATGTTAGATAGCTCCTTCCTTCCTCAGCTAAGAGGGGCACCTTCCCTCTCTAAGTAGAAGAAACTTCACTTTCATTTTCACCTAATTCTCAATAGGCCTAGCCTTTGGCAGGCTTGAAATCTTTTCTCGCTTACTTCCTTAGCCCTAGAGGTCATTAAATCGTCAAATTGATTTTGCACTATTCCATCCCCAACATCACTATAAACTTCATCGCCAAACATCAAGTTTCGACAGCAACACCTACAGTCATGGACGCCAAGACAGAAGCCGATGACAGAAAGCTGTCAGAGCTTCAGACTGCTCCATTCATCACCATCTCTTGCGGCCAGAGAGTGTGTCTCATTGCGAAGCCGGCGACCTACGGCGACCTCAACAAGGCGATCCACGACCTCTTCTTCCTTCCCTCTGGCACAAAGTTCAGAATCTACCACACTCCGCGTTGGATGACCAGCGAGGTAGAGATTGGTGCCGATGCGCTCGCCTTAATCGCCAACCAAGACTCTCTTCGCATTGCCCTCATGGGAACGGTCGTTGTCGAAGTCCAAATCACCAGTGAGTTGCCAAATCTTGCCAGATGATCGTCTATTCTCATTTCTACTGCTGACGAATCTTTTCTGCAGCCTACGGTGTGCAGAATTACAACTACATTATCGATAGTTGGAGCCCTCTGGCCAAGCTGCTGGACTTGGTGAAGAACACCACTCAGCTTGGACTGCAAAACGATAGAATTGCCCTCTGGTACGATGGAATTCGCATCGGCGACTTCGATACCCCGGAGACCCTCAAGATGGCCGGAGGTGGCAGCAAGATCGAGGTTCGCAAGGAGAACGGATACGGCAGAATCGCCTGAAACTGAACCTACTTAATCCCCTTTATGCGACCGAGTAGAACTACGACAAAGGGAACTCGAAGGATTCTGGCCAGGGCAGGGGCCTGTCGTGGATTGGTACTTTTTGGCAACGTACACAGACACAGGCTTTACTGCTCGACGCCAGGAAATACAAGTTTACACAGCACGCAAGAGAAACATTTCAGAGAAAAAACGTACTTAATGAAGCGAAAGTAGCCGAGCGTGAACATAGATAACGTCCGCATTCATTTCCCGTCTCTCTTCTACCTTAGGTACCTACCATGTGGAAATGGCCTGCACGTTTCTCCGAGCCGAATTCCGAGGCCGGAGCGATGCTAAGTGGGACTCACGTCAACGACAACCATCCTCACGTCAACCAACCTCCATCGAGTGCCCCGGCCTCTGGGCACCATTACATTGCCGGTTACTTCACTCACGATTGATCTTGATGCCGACTTGTCAAGATTCGTCCTTCTCAGGTCTCATATTCACCTTCAGTTTTCTACGACCTCATCAACTTTCCCGCGCTACCGCGGCCTCTCCCCCGTGTAACCTGGGCTGACCGCGCCCTTTCATGCATCGAGTCTTTCTTCTAAAACAAGTCTAATGAATACAGAATCTCACGTCGACCAGTTCCCGAGCACTCCGACCGGCGAACAGCCGACCCTGAAGGAGCTCCTCAGGTCTCGACAAAGGGCTAGGCAGGGCGTTCGGGGAAACCCCAAATCATGTCTTCCGTGTCGAGAGCGGAAGGTCAAATGCGATAAAGCCCATCCATGTTCAACATGCTCCAGAAGAGGTCACCCGGACCTGTGTAATTATGAAGCGCGCGAGACATCGAGGGCCGGCAGATCCCCCATCCCGTCAGGGAATCCTCTACCCAGGCGCACTCCAGATGGTGATATGAGTCGCCAAGAACAAACTACAACCTTTTCGAACACTGAAACTTGCTTGGAGCAGTCGAACCGAAGTCCCACTTCTGACATGGTTGCTTCTCCTGTTGCAATCGGTCCGGAAGGTCGCCAACTCGGGACGTCAGCAGCTAGCCATGTAGACGCGACCTTTTTCGCCGACACCTCGGTGGTGAACATGGCGCGTCAGAGGTCTCCACGTTCGAGGGACGATCCGGCTCGTCAATCAGCTTTCGAGACTGGCATCTTGCCTTTACTCGGTGTGAATGAGGAAATGTCATCATCAGCTTTATCCTTGAACTCTCTGCCTAGCGACCAGGAAATCATCAGGCTGTTTGAGGTTTTCCGTCAAAGGGTGCATCCTTTTCATGTTATTACTTGTAACTTGGACCAAATTGAGAGGAGGGTATGCGCTCTCATTAACGCCCGTGGAAAAAACACGCGGGAGACGCCATCAGAATGTCTCGAAGATCCTCAATGGCTGTGTTTGCTGCATGCTATCCTGGCTACTGGGGCTCAATTTTCGGAATTGCCTCTGCAACAGCGCATTTCGTTGTCTCAACAGCACAGTATGACTCTTACCCGCCTAGCTTCAATGAATTCACTGACAAAAACCAGCAAAGCATTCATTCGACTTGTTGAGAAGCACAGACTATCTCGCGAGACCTTCCAAGCAAGCAGTGCAAACACTTCTGCTTCTCGGAAATGCCTTGCAGAATGATATGAAGCCACAAGCAGCTTGGGTGTTGGGAGGAACAACCATTCGACTCGCTCAGTGTTTGGGACTCCACAAAAAGCCAGATCGGTTGATACCCGCTCTGATTCCATCTGAAGAGGCAAAGTACCTGCGGTGAGTCGACGATGTTCATACGCTCGTTGAAGATGGCTCTGACGTGTGAATAGTCTTGCCATCGTGTGGCAGGACTCTCTTCTAGCACTCGCGTTTGGACGTCCACCCGCTTCTCACGAGATGGACTTGGAAGAGGACTTGCCGCCTCTTACAGATTCTGCTGGTACCGGTACGCTGTCGTACCTTGAGGCAATGAACTGGCTTTGCCATGTGATGCTTCGGCATCTGTCGAGTCGCCAACAGCACTTGAATAACCCACTAACCATGCTTGACGACATGCGGTTGGTGGAGAATTCACTATCACCACATCTTTCAGACGCCCAGAAAGCGGTGTCAGTCAGACAGCTTCAAGAACACTATGCTTTTGAGCTGCACAAGAACTTCGTCATCTCAACGCTTTGCAGGCCTTTCATCTCTAGTTCGGCTTCAAGACAAATGAACGAAACCGAGCGGCCTATCGTCATGGAGCGATTTCAAGACTCACTGAGACGCAGTGTGAGGGCGTATGTCCGTTTACGGTCCATCACCGGCCATGCCAGGCGATCCTGGGCATTCATTCACAACGGCTTGACTTCGGTGTTGCTTTTGAGCCTGATGCGACAGACAAGGTATTTGCCCGAGACTCGAACGCTGCAAGATGAGATGATCGCCAGTCTGTCGGACGGAGATCATGACTCCAGTATCCCAAGCCATCTTTCTGGAACTTTGAGGAAGGCTCTCAAAGCTCTTCAAACTCTGCAGCGACTGGCCGATAGGGACATAAGTACAAGAGGTGCCAATACAGATTCGAACGAAACAGGCGATCTGACACTACTAGACGGGAGTGGGAGGGCTGCTTCAGATATTAATCAGAACCAAGATGCAATGCTAAACAACAAGTAAGTTACCTTCTCTTAAACCTATCTGCTTGGTGCTGATCAACTAACAATGTAGTTTCTGGAATATGGAAGCGGCCGACTGGAACTTTCCAGTCGATTTCGACTTGTCTCCTCTCGGGGCTTTCGACTATATCATGTCCGATCAACACATGGCAGGCAGCGTGCAGTTCCCAAATGTAATCTAAGGAAAGTTTGGCGAACAATGTTACCAATGGAAAAAGAATTGCTTGATCTCCTGTGCCATCTATGCGTATATGGCTCAATTATAAACCTAACATTTGTGATGGCCCCCTGTTTTGCTTATGATTAATTTATTATTCCTGGCTATAGGGGAGTTTATTCGTTTCAAAACGCCAGGCGACTCAATCAGTTGATAAACCTACAGCTGGATCAATATCAGACTCCGTAAGTGGGTATCGTTTTGATAATAAATTCAAGTACCCATGACTTTTCTCGAATGCACTCCAATTGGTTTCAATTGCCAGTTTTCAATCAGCACAAGGTTCTCAGATGAGACAAAACGTTTGGGAGACAATCAAATTGATTACAGATCTTAGCTATCAGGTAAATTTTGCGACTGCCATGAGACTATAGTGACTCCAAGTCTGTCTTCAGTGCTTTCCAGAGTTTCTTTTAAATTGATGTGCCCAAGATTGAGAGCCTACTGATCTAAATATTTCACTTCTCTAAGTGTACCTTTTACAAAGACCCCCGAGCTTTCACTTCGTTTCAGTAAAGCCAAGAGCCTCCCAGCGCTGGAGCACATTTTCCTTCACCTCAGCAGGGAACGATTCCTTGAAGTCCGCCGCTTCCCAGTCTTTTCCCGTAGTATACTCAACCGGCAACAGACAATCGGAGACAATCTTTCCTCCAGTGTGCTTATCACCATTCCCATGGGACATGTACGGGATCAACGGGAAGCCTCGGACGTCTTCGAAATGGTACTCATCCAGGCCGGGGCGACATCTCGTGCAGAACGCCCAGATGACGTCTTTGAAGTTGTAGACGTCGATATCCTCTCCGACAATGAGGAGTCGATGAATTGTATATCCCACCTTGTCGTTGAAGACGATGTCACCAATGGTCTTGCACAAGTCCTTGGCGTTGGTGTTCATCGATCGGACCAACTTGGTATCAACTTGGAGTGCAACCCATGTCACTTGAGACTCGAAGGGTGAGAAGGCTTCTTTGACGGGGATTCCCTTGGACTTGAGAAGGAATCCAATCTCGGCGGCTGCCAGGGGTCCAATCATTGTGTGCTTCTTAGGTCAGCGTTTGAAGATTGTGTGGGAAGCATGAGCTTTCTTACTGTCTCATCGGTCAATCTGCCGCAGTTGGAGATGGGCAAAATCGCGTCCTTTCGGTGCGTGATGAGATCGACCCTGTACTTTGGCTGAGGCCTAGCCTCGCCAGGGAAAACGTAGCTGTTATCAAAGTCAGCCACCAATAGCTTCAAAGACTCGACCGGCGAATCGCGACTGACCCATGCATCTCTCCAAAGGGCCCCTCAGGCGCCGTCTCCGTTGCAGAACATACACCCTCAAACACAATCTCCGAGTTTGCTGGCACATAGAGGTCATTGGTATCACATTTGACGACCTCCAAAGCCGCGCCACTCAGAGAGCCCACATACTCAGCCTCGGAAAGTCCACCCGGCAACGGCATGCTCGAAGCCATGATAGCCGCAGGCGGCACTCCAAAAACAAGCGCCCAAGGCATATCCTTTCCCTCCTTCTTCCACATCTGATGGATCTGCCAGATGTGCTGCGGCTCGATGATCAGGCCCGCAAGGTGGTTCCGGTCGTGGACCATGGCTCGGGCGATGGACCAGTTCGTCCACTTCCCGTCGGGCGACTGCACTATGTGCATGCCGTAGGTCTGAACGTACTTTCCGCCATCGGATTGATGCAGAAGCGGCGCCGGGAGGGTGGTGAGATCGAACTGGTCTGGCGTGAGACGGAACTCCTTGCAAAGACCGGAAGGTACGACGACAGGCGGGATGGGGGTCGCAGTCTTGGCTGCGACCATCTTATCCAGGATCTGCTTCATGCCGGCTGTAGGCGGAAGCCCAAGGTGACGGGCAAGCCGGCCGTATCTCTGCGAGGGGTCGGATCGGAGGGAGTTTGGGGCGCCGAGGATGCGCCAGAGGCCATTTTCATGTTGACCTTTGAGGTTGTTGAACAGGGTGGCACGTTCATCTGTCTCGACGACTTTTCGGATGATGGCACCGACTTCGAGGTTTGGGTCGCACTGTTCGTTGATCTCGACGAGGTCGCCATCTGCTTTGAGAGCTTCCACAAACGAGCGGAAGTTCATATGAGGAAGGTCTTGGGGATTCGTGGAAGTCATGGTGGTGCTGTGGAAACAATCTCGCAAAAGTCTGCTGTGATCTAGAAAGGGTGACAAGTTTTGAATATGATTATATTGTTGTCGTGGAAGCCTAATACTCATGTCGAGCCAAGCATCAGTCATTTATATCTCTTGATTAGGTCGGACTCGGATTTGAGCCGGTATGGCAGTGTTGATGTGGATACCGAACTCGCCGAACACCATAGTCTCGACATCATCCCCACTCCGAACTCACCGAAATCGTGAGACTCCCCTTTCAAGGCGATTCGGAAAAGCTTGATTGGCCTTGGCTCTTTTGCATGACATGAGATGACGATCTTGCGGGCCTCGGACATTTCAACCGTCGATGAACTACCGTCGGACAATTCGGACAGGGGCCTCTTTGCGAGATAAATACTCTGAGTATTCATCACACGCGAAGTCAGTTGTAGGCAATAAACTGTTCTTTATCTCACCAAACTTAATTTCACACCAGTCATTTATACTCTCACGACCTACTTGGTACTTCTTCCTTGACCAAGTAATACCATCACATCAACAACAATGAGGGAATCATATCCCCGCAAGAAGATCGTCGTCGCCCTCACTGGCGCAACAGGTGCCCAAATCGGCATCCATATCCTCCAGACCCTCCGCCGCCTCAATGTCGAAACACATCTTATCATCAGCAAATGGGCAGCCGAAACGATAAAATACGAAACAGACTACACCCCATCAGCCGTAAAAGCCCTCGCCGACCATGCATACAGTTCTCACGACCTCGCTGCGCCGATAGCCAGCGGGTCGTACCGGGTGGACGGCATGATTGTGGTCCCATGCTCCGTAAAGACCTTGGCCGCGATCAACGCCGGAATCTGCGACGATCTGATAACCAGGGCGGCCGATGTGTGTCTGAAGGAGCGGAAAAGGCTGGTCTTGTCGGTGAGGGAGACGCCGTTTAGTGAAATCCATCTGAGGAACATGCTGGATGTCACGAGGGCGGGAGCAATTATCGCGCCGCCTGTTGTTGGCTTTTATACAAAGCCTTCGGGCATAGATGATATCTTGGATCAAATGGTTGGAAGATTGCTGGATTTGTTTGACTTGGATTCGAGAGCTTTCGAGAGGTGGGAGGGAATGGGCAAGAATGCAGCGAACAGCTAGTTATCGTTAACAAACAACACGAAAAGTGGTAGTTTGTGATTCGGAACCAAGTACCTTCTCCTTGCAGCTATAAGTGAATTCATTCAAAGTATGATGACTGAGGAACCCCGTTACTGTGCTCAGCCTGGACCGCAATATGGATCCAATCCTGCAAAGAGTTGATCCCAACCGTATGTCGCGGTTGCATCGCCGATGATTCCGTTCCAAAGGCCGTCCAATCCCAAATCGTCGTCATGGATGTTTGAATAATTCCCATCGACATCAAAGTCGCCATTCTTGAGTAAAAGGTTATTTCCGTGCCCGTCGTCCTGAGCTGTTGTTGAGGATAGCTCCGGTGCATGTCCCGAGTCTGATGGCATTCCTATGTCGTCAAACCCTTGAATTCGGTAACGACGCAGCACACAAGCAAGATTTCTAACGAGCCTTGCTGCCACGGCCGATTCCTCGCCTGCGGATGCCAAAGCCCTGCAAGCCTCAGCAACTTCGGTATGGGTCTCAGCCGTTGTATCTGGCATGGCGCCATGGCTGCTTTTACCGGGCTGCAAAGACTCACGAGGGGTATCTAGACCTGCGTTAAGGGCCAGAATGGTGCATGCCATAAACATGTGTCCGATAACACAGCCGAGGCGTCTACCCATCGCTCGTGCATTGTACGTTTGGGTTGATTCCCGGGCTTGCGAGTTCTTCAGCAAGCGTATGGCAATGGACAGAACTATACGAGCAGAACGGAGGCAGATTTCTCGTGAAGGTTGATACGAGGCGTCCTGTGTGTCGTGGAGAAGAAATGGGCGATGAAGGCGGGCACGTCGAGAGTAAAACCCGAGGAGCACAACGTCTCTTTGAAGAGCAAGATGCCGAGGTGCTCCTGGAGGTATCGGTCCATCCGGCTGTAGGAATGGCGGGAAACAGGATAGAGGATCTGCGAAGAGCCGGTCTAACTCAAGTACCCGCTCATAGTCTGTGATCTCAGCGTCGGGGTGACCAGCGGCTCTAGCGTCGATAATAGATCGAGTAATTTCGGCAAGTTCGATTCTTCGGAGGAAGCATGATAGTGGTGTTGGTGTTTCCGACGGATGGTTCACTGCTTCGTCTGAAAGACTTGCATCGTCGTCGCCGATGTTACGCGGATACTTGACGTTCATTTGTTTCGGGTTCGCGCTATATGTGCCGTCTGTTGGTCCTCCCATGAGACCAAGCATCCTAGTGAATAGTGAGTGATTGGAATGGAATGAAGAAACCTCAGTATTGTCCTACCAGTCAGTCGAAACAATGTGCCACCACAGTCGTCTTTTGATTTCCTTGGTAATGGCGTCATCTTGCTGTTCCATGCTTGGACTATCGACCAAATGCACGCAGCCTTCTCGAGCCGCTGCCAGTGAACAAGAATGCAGAAATCTGAAGCGACCTGAGCATCCCTCAAAGTTGTACATGAGATACGCGATAATAGCTCTGGCCTGGACCTCCTCAAGACTACCGTACGCAATTTGCTGGGATTGATCGAGGATGTTGAGCGCAGACTTGAACCAAGCAAGAGCGGCCTGCGTTGCTTCTTCTGACGAAGGAAACATTTTGAAGGATCCTGAATTCTCATTATAGAAAAAAGAGCTCGTCGTGGCAATCCCGAGTATGAGCGCCGCGTGGGCCGGGTTGGGTTCCTCGCCTTGGGAAAGGCAGTTGTAGAAAGCTTCAATCATGAACCGAGTGGTTTGGGCGTGGATGATTGGCAGCATGTGAAACGGATTATTGATGAAATCTTCGAGGAGACTGAGAGCCTCGTCTCGTGTCATCAACCATGTTGACGATCTTGCATCTGGTTCCTCCGTTGGTGTCAGGCCTGGTGTTGATGTGGATGGCGTTTTTGGGAATTGTGCAATGTTCGCGACCCGATATTCCAGTTTGTCACGAGGTAAGGAGATCTTTCACGTCAGTTAGGACTTTACGGAATACGATTCTCAGATTGACGAGAGACCTACATTGAGGCCTTGGCGTGTGAATGTGGAGTCCAGAAATCTGGCCGTCTGTTGTCTTTCGCTGTTCATCTTCGAGCGTTGGGACGGGCGCGGCGGAGACTGTCTGGACGGATGTCCAACGCTGTGACGACCATTTGGATGAAATACATCATTCAATCGTTGTCCAATGCCAGTCAATTCTCGATCCGCGGAAGCTCCGGTCTCAGCAGCGGGTCCGGAGCCGAACACCGCTTGCTCCAACCTCCGAAGCCGGCCGAGAATGGAGTCATCAGTACCCGGACTTGCCAAAGGAGCCGAAGCGCTTCTAAGCTGTTAGTTGCTGAAGACAAATCACCCTACTACTCAAAAACTTACCTCGCTGGCTGCGGGACGGGCTTTGGCGGACTTGGCTGACCTGTGCATGGCAACCCGCGCATCAGGCAGCTGGAGCAGGGGTCTCCTCGGTCGCATTTCAGCTTCTTCTTCCGGCACGAGTCGCAGGAGATCTGTGGTTGCCGCCGGCGCTTGTGAGGCTCATCTGACTCGGATGTTGTGCTACGCTTCATTTTTATGAGCTTGAATAGTAGGAGGTTGAGAATGAAGTCAGCGAGGAGACCGGAAGTGCTCAGATCAAATCCAAGTTGGCGCGTCCGCGGAACCTCCACGGATCATCCGCTTTGGCGCCGCGGATAATCCGCGGGTCAGCAAGACGCCTCTTTACGCTTTGTTGTTTTGGGCTAACACTCTCGATGAAAGCTGGTTATAAACCAAATAGAACCATCGTAGGAAGACCTTATCTCATTCAATGACAGAAGTATTGGCTTCGGTGATAATATTTATCTTGACACTTGATCCCAGAAACTCAACTGTAATTACAAGTCAATATGGAACCACCGCGGCCTCCGCCGGGCTACAATAGGTATCTGAAGATATTTCCTTCTTATTTCCGAAATCTCATAGCTAACGCTTCGTCCCAGCTTCCGGTCATGGCTCGCAGTCTTCGGCGCATCTTTATCATTCTTCTGCACAGTCGGTTTTCTCAATGCCTTCGGCGTATTCCAAGAATACTACCAATCATATTTTGAGAGATCCGAATCCGACATCTCATGGATCGGTTCCGTCTGCATCTGCGTTCTCTATCTCGGCGCCCCGGTATCCGGGATTCTGTGTGACAAGTTCGGCCCCACGGTACGGACATAGAATCAGCTCGCGTATGCCTTTGAAAATGAGACTTACACCAGCTTCAGATGTTCATCTGCATCGGCAGCGTAGGACAGCTTGTTGCCCTATTCATGACATCTCTTTGCACGAAATATTACCAGGCCTTCCTGGCACAAGGCATCCTACTCGGCATCAGCATGTCACTAATCTTCTGTCCCCCGATCGCCGTCGTCTCCCGCCGCATGCCCCACCGCCGCGGTCTTGCGCTCGGCCTCGTCATCGGCGGTTCTTCTATTGGAGGCATCATTTGGCCGATTATGCTAGAACAACTGCTGAATCACCGACAAATAAGCTTCGGCTGGACCATGCGTGCGGTAGCATTCGCCATGATTCCCCTCCTCGCGATCGCTTGCCTGACGGTAATCGATGCGCCTGTGATCGAAACTCGGCCGGCGCAGCCCGAGCCAGCTTCCGATAACAGTGAGAAGGGCGACCAGGCATCGACGGACGAGACGGAAAAGCAAAGAAAGACGGACTTTTCGATTCTCAAAAACAAATCCTTTATGCTTCTATGCGGCGGTCTCGCGCTTGGTTACTTCGGTCTTTTCACTCCACTCTTCTACGTCTCGGCCTACGGGATAGCTCGCGGATTGACGTCTTCGACTGCGTTCTATCTTCTCTCTGGTCTGAACGGTGCCTCGTTCTTCGGAAGAGTCATTCCGGGATTCATTGCAGACCGCTATGGACATTTCAACATGTGTGTAATCGCAACACTTTCTGCTGGTATCGTGGGATTTTGTTGGACCGCTGCGACATCCCTTGGTGGTCTCGCTGTGTGGAGTTTGGCGTACGGATTCTGTTCGGGCGTAAGGTCTCCCACATCCCGTATTGTCGAGCCCTCAACTGATTTTCTTTCCACCCCAGGCCGTCATGAGTTTACAGGGCGCCTGCGTCGGAAAGATTGCACATCATCGCAATCAAGGCATGGCTATGGGCTTTATGATGGGATCCATCTCCGTGACGTGAGTTGCATTGGTCGACTGCTTGCTTTCGCAATTGCTAACAGACGACAGGGCACTCGTTGGTCCGCCTATCAGTGGTCAGATGTTGAGTCATTCTGGCTATTTGGCACTGTCAATGTGGACGGGTGCAACACTTGTTCTCGGGGCGGTGATTCTCGGATTGGCTAGGTTGAGGTTGAATCGCAGCGTTCTTGCAGTGATTTAGTATGCTGTCGCTGGTGGAAGTGTCATCTCCTCTCTCATAAGTGCCTTTGGCCTCGTGACCTTACTGCATACGAATTGCATACGAATTGGCGCAACATGCAAGTGTATGGCTTTGGGTTTGGAACCACGCAGGATACAGCATTAAATACAAATAGAATATCATCAGGCAGGTTCTCGCTATTGCCAATCAGAATTTTCGGATACAATGGCCGAGCGTGGGGATAAGCTTATTCACTGCAGTGACGCGTCCTGTCTTGAGGTTGACCAAACTGTTGGAACCATTCCACGTCGACATCGAACGCCATTCGGCATCCGCAGCCGAAACGCGGCTTAGAGGGTCATAGGATATCGCCGACAAGAGGGTTTCCCGCCGGATGGACCTCTGCAAAGGTTCAAGTCGAGGAGTGCACGCCGTCGGTCGAAGGACACGGGGAACACAACACGGCGTCTCTTAGATTTCAATTCCAGGCAAAAAAACCTTTCGATATTGGACGAACAGGTTCGACGAGCTTGAGCGTTGGACAGAAAGGAGCCTCCCCGTTGTCAGCACCCGGTCCAGAACGGTTCTGTAGTGGCTGGGGTCCCCTGTCATTCACTTTATTTGAAGCTTCGCTACGACAGCATTATTGAAAACTCGAAAACACCACGCCGGTGGGAGAATCAAGATCCTCACCATACTCAGAAGTTGGCCGAAGTCCGTCTTATAATGAGGGCGGGCTTCCGGTCAAGTTAGAGAAGTTATTGTGAGAAGGAATAAGGGAAGAGCAGATGAACAAGATAACGATTACTCGCGAGACAATCGAATGAACTACCTATGCAATTGCTCACCGAGCCTCCTCGCCCGTGCGGTTGTACCCGCCGCCCAGCAAACCAACCGGGACTTGGCACGGCACCACATTCCGGCCCTTGTACGGTTTTCACCAACGCGCCGGTCCTTCGGCTGGATTTGGCGATATAGGCATTCGCTTTCGCATTGCGTCTGGTACGGCTGTTTACGTACGAAAGAGCCCGCTTCGATCCTCGTGATCACCAAATATCAAGGCGAGGGATTGCAAGTTGTGAAGGGCGCGCATCCCGTGGACTTTTCTAGGCCAGTCCTGCCTCACTCAACAAGAAACATCCGGTCAATGACGTATCGGCGTGTATTCTTATCAGACAACCCCTATTGAAACTCGCAGTCATGCGCGTTCGGAGCCGATGTTCGTCTCGACCTGAGCACGGGGTCCGTTGTGGTGAATGCTGCAAGCGGCATGATTAGACGAAATGTAACCCCAACCCCTCAGGCCATCTGACGATCATGGCGAGCGCAAAAGATCAGCGCGAGATGCTAGATGGATCTCTAAGCGCTGCTCGATCCGTCTCAGCCGCCTTGGATCCTCGCCCTCTAATAGGAACTTCAGCCCCATACGAGGAGCAGGGAGCATATGCAAACAATCCCATCACGAAGAGTGAATACGGTCGTGTTCCCACTCTTGGCAGCTCTCAAGGCGACAAACAAAGATAAAACTCCGCTACCGAGGGCATGTCAACCGCTGCTTGGCGGTTCCAAAAAGACAAACACAGTTACGCTTCTTGTCAGATTGATTAAGGGGGGCCAAATCCATGGGTGTTTCTTGTTTCGACGCCCCAAAAGCGGCCATGGCGGAGTTGTCCGTCACCAGGATTTCGTTCAACAGTTGTCCACGCCCAATCAAAGTGAACCTGCCATCGCATCAATTGTGGTGCGGACCTCGTCCGAATTCTCCGCTGCTTCCCGCCGTCCCCACCCGGACTGATCCTCGTCGGGCCCGTTCTCCACGGAGGCGCGAAACTTGGACGGAGATTAATTAGGGGAAGGGGTGAGATCACATATCGCTTTCTGCGCGGAGCAGACAGCAATAGCATAACGACGTTGATTGACTACTTAAGCTGAAATCTCGTCCAACTTTCGCTATGGTTCTGGATCTTACGTTCTCTAGCTCTCATTCCATTCATTTAGGTTGACCGTCGTCCTTCCGTTCTCTCGTTCTTCTAATCGTTCGTTCGTTCACTTCACAAAGACACAGGATGTCCGCTTCCATTCTTTTCGCCACCGGCCTGCTCGCCGGTGTGGCTCAGGCCTACACCCAGGTCAACGTGGCCACTCCCTTCATGACCAAGAACATCGATCCCATCGTCTTCCCTGGGCAGTACGACAAGTCTCACTTGCACTCCTTCTTCGGATCCGACGCCGTCACCATCAACACCAAGACCAGCGCCGAGCTCCAGAAGGGCTGCACCAACGCCGAGAACCCCAACGATCTTTCCGTCTACTGGATCCCCACGCCCCTCTACACCACCGACGGCGGCAAGACCTACGAGCCCATCCCCCTCTCGCGCTTCAGCGCCTACTACAACCTCGGCGAGACCCCGGCCGAGGTCCCCATCCCCCAGAACCTGCAGATGGTCGCCGGTGATGCCACCGCGATGACCAAGGACAAGATGCCCGCCGACGCCCAGGTCTCGTGGGCCTGCGAGAACGGCGGCGGTGGTTCTCTCGACGCCAACGGTTTCCCCAGTGAGACCTGCGGCACCCACCTGCAGCAGCTCCTCTACTTCCCCCAGTGCGTCAACACCGAGACGCTCGAGACGGGCTACAAGACCAAGCGCGGCGGCAGCTGCCCCTCCGGCATGAAGTCGATGCCCCAGCTTCGCTTCTCCATCCGCTACGACCTCCGCAAGGTCCTGCCCAACGGCTGGAGCGGAACCGCGCCCTTCAAGCTCGCCTGCGGTCCCGCCTGGTGCTCCCACGGTGACTTCATCAACGGCTGGACCGAGGAGGCTGCTCAGAACATGCTCGCCACCACCCAGGAGAAGCAGAAGTTCTCCGCTGTCAACGGCAAGCTGGGCAACTACAACGCCGGCCCTACCTGCAAGGCCACCGACGCCGACCCTTCCCACGGCACCGGCGACTACGCCGAGAGCGTCAAGGCCATGTCCAAGCGCTCCGTCGAGGCTTTCGGCTGGGCTTCCAAGTCCCGCTTCGTCCAGTAGACTGGATTCGCTTTTTGCGGAATCATCGTACATAAAACAACCACGCCAACATAACTTCTTTGTATCATAGTTCGGAGACGTGCACCTCAGGCCTTTGGCGCCGAGGTGCTGCGAGGCGGTCCTGAGTGGCCGGCCGAGCAACCCACAATAGTACATGCCATATTTCAAGCATCAAAACCGTTCAATTAGTAAATCGTGAATGTGGTATTGAGTAGAGTTTTAAGGTTGATTTGCCGTGATAAGATCTGCAAGTTTTTAGTTGTGACGTGCTGCTGTCACACTTACATGAAATTTGCCAGGATTGTGCTGGGGTCGGAAGACTGCCAACCAGCGGCTCCAAAATAGCGTTTGCCTCAGAACCTCGTCACATAGATGATGTCTAAGATCATCTAGATGGGTATTCTGTTAATATAAGCCTGCAGTTATTATTCTTGAGAAATGATACTGAAATAGCGAGGCAGTTTAAATGAACTTTTCCTCTAAAAATGCAATGATGGAAACTCGAGAACGGTACCAGAACGGCCAACATCCGGAAAATAGGGGAAACGGAGAAAAACCGAAAGTCTCCGAACCCTCCGAGAAAATCACTGGGTGGATCCACATAAGCCCCACATGAAATCCGGTCCGGATGGAAGCGGGTAAAACAATATTCCGGGTCGTCTCGCCGGGCCCCGGGCCCCACCTCATCCTGTAATTCGCTTATGTAAGGTGCCTACGACGAGGATTATCTCATCCGTTATCTTTATCTTATCAGTCGCCCGCTCACGCAGCTGTGGCTTGAATGTGGCTAAGGCCGAACCCAGGTCACTCCAGGGAAATAATGAACGAAAAACCTTTCCGACTCCCTGAAATGTTTACACGTTGAAGCTACCTTATTGCTTACGTCTGACCGATTTGTACACCCCTTTTGTTCCCTTTCTCGTCACTCTTTTCACTCGCCATGCGATAATATTCAAGTTATTGAAACCATTGCTTTCTATTTCCTTGTCGTTTTCTTTATAGCGCGCTTATATCGACGCATAAACCTACTCTCAAGCCACCGGGCCTCCGACCCTCGGCACCCCTGCCACGGGTGGTCGCCGGCCCTTTGACGGTCCATTGACCAACTCGTCCGGTACCAGCCGACTCATAAGACGCCATGTCACACCGTTTTCACGTCGCCGGCGCCAGCCATGTCCTCCTGGACCCATGGTCTTCAGGCCTCGGCGTGATGCGTGATGTCTTATCCCGGTGGTCCCAGCTCGACATCACCCAGATCGGATCCATTATTGCCATCGCCGGTACCATCCCGACGGCTTGGAGGTTTCTGCAACACGCCTGGCGGGAAGTGTACGGGTGTATTCGTCGTTTCTTTCTGGCTTCTGTTACGATACCCGGAGGTGACCCAGTCAATAGGAGTGTTGTGAAATGGGTTCTTGCGAATCGGCCCCAGCATTACCGCTCCTTCACCGGACGTACCGAGGTTGGACGGGGAGGCACTGATCGGGCTGCTGCGCTGAAGAAGACAAGGCATGCCATGCAGTACTCGCCTCACTGGGACACAAGGTGGCTTTGGTATGAAGGTCACCTGCTTGTGGTCACGCGAGCAGTTGGAGACTTCAGCTCGTCGTTGTCGGACCCTAGCTATGACGGTATCGGCGGCGAGGAATTGACGATTAGTTGCTTCGGATGGTCCGCAAGACCCGTGCAGCAGTTTATCGAGGCATGCCGCGAGTATGCCGACAGGCAAACGCAGTACTTCGTCATCATCTACTCGCGCGACCGGTATGGCCTGGCGTGGAAGCCGAAGGCCCGCAAACCTCTCCGTCATCTGGATACGGTCCACTTCAATCGCGAGGTGAAGCAGGAGCTTCTTGCCGACATCCGCAACTATCTTGACCCCAAGACGCAGATGAGATATCAAAGCCGAAGCATGCCTTACCGCAGAGGATATCTCTTCTACGGACCTCCCGGGACTGGCAAGTCATCTCTCTCCGTCGCCATCGCCGGAGAGTTTGGTTTGGATCTCTACGAAGTTAAGATCCCCAGCGTCGCGACGGATGCCGACCTCGAACAGATGTTCCAAGAAATCCCCCCGCGTTGCGTCGTTCTGCTCGAAGACATCGACGCCGTCTGGGTGGACCGCGCGAACCAGCAGAACGGCAGCGTCAGTGGCCGCTCTCACTCACCCGAAGGCAATCAATCGCCGAACTGCACGCTGTCTGGCTTGCTGAATGTTCTGGATGGCGTTGGATCCCAAGAAGGTCGCATCGTCATCATGACCACCAACCGGCCGGAGCAGCTTGACAGCGCGTTGGTTCGTCCCGGCCGCGTGGACATGAAGATTCTCTTGGGAAACATCAGTCGAAAGTCCGCCGAGGAGATGTTTGTGCGAATGTTCTCGCCTGACTTGGGCTGTACGTCGCATCTGGACATGGACGAGATCAGACAGCTTGCTGTGAAGTTCGCTAGCAACATACCAGAGAACACCTTTACCCCTTCATTATTACAGGGTTTCTTTCAACTACACTTAGATAGCCCACACGACGCCGTCAACAGCATAGGCGCCTGGGTTGAGAGAGAGCTGGCTAGAACTCCGTACAGAGAGTTTGAGTTTATTCATACCAACGGAAGCGCATGAGATCATCAAGATGCGTTGTATTATTACTGTTTACATGTATTATAGACATACTATTTCCTAGTCTTTGTATCATACGGCGGATGTAGAGCGAGTTTGGCTACTGGAAACTTGAAACTACCACTGATAAGATGCGTAGTTTAATTATGTTGGCATTCAATGGTGTAGCTACTCTCACTCTGTCAGTCACTTTTTGCATATCGTGTTCCAGCCCATGAATCTACACCTGGAGTATACAGGAGAGGGCGTCGTGGCTCGGCGTTCCGACTTCTCCGATGGTACGTGAACGACGGGCGTTCAAGATGTCAAATGTTACACACAATCAAGAATTGCCAATCTCATCGGCTCCGGGGAGTCACGACGGCCGAATGCCGTGTACAACGTGAAGTCAATACCCGAAACCGATCATCAGAAGCCGCCCGACCCATTCGGCACAAACGGCCCCTCGTCCAGCCCCGCCCCTGTTCATCAAAGTTGCCGGACCAAAACCTGGGGTCAATCCGAAGCGAGAACGGGACGAGTTAGTTCTAGATGGGAAGCTCGGTCCAACGAAACACAGCAACGTGGAACATGACACCAGACACGAACTTATCCCGTTCTCACCTAGCGGCTCGATCATCACAAGGAACCCCCAAGTCCGGACGACATGTCGAGATACGCAGGCCAAGGATACAGTTCGCTGATCGTCGCAACGCAGGCGCTACACGGGCAGACGACAGACGAAGCTGTCGGAAGGCACTCAGAGCCGATGCGATCACCGCGTCAGTATCATCGGACGAAGTGCCCCCAAACGAGCTCAACACCATCAGGGCTTCGCAAACCTTCGCAAAATGTCTCTTCATTCCATCAACCGGACCAAAACTCTCCAGCGTAGCAGCCTAATTAATTATTTAAAAGGCTTTTTATTAATTAGTTAATTAATTAAGGCTATTTGGAGCCCTTAATTAGTTAATTTATACCCCTTAGATTAGATTAATTAATTAACTAAAAGTAGATATAAAATAATAAATAGTTTAGGCTTTAGACTAATAGGAATTTTTAAAAATTTAAAAAAAAAGGTAAAATAAACTAATAATAAACTAAAGTTTAAACTTAAGTAGGGTTAATAGTTATTACTACTAATAGTAGCTATATTAAATTAGTAACTAGATTATAACTTAAATATAAAGTATATAGTACTATAAAGATAAACTATACTTTATTACTTATTATACTATTTAATTAAATAATATCTATAAAAAAAAAAGAGAGTAAATATTTTATAACGCTAAAGTTTTTAGTCTTGAGCTTTATTTAGGTTAGTAAAAATAGGGTAGGTTATAGAGGGTATAAGCGCTTAGCGCTTAGTAATATATATATATTATAGCCTACTTACTATTAGTAAATTTTATTAGCTTAGCTTAATACTATAAATATTATAAATTTTAATTAGTTTAGCTCTTATTACTACTCCTTTATTACTCTCTATTATATACCCTCTTTTATACCTAAATAATTAATAATAACTTTATTTCTATTTTCTCTAGTAATTATTTAATAATCTCCCTTTTTTATAATACCTCTACTATTTTATATTAAAGTTCTATAGTTATATTAATATATATTAATAATTGTATACCTCTTTAAATCTAAAATATTAAATATATTAACTATTAACCTTAATACCTATAATATAATCTATAGTCTACTCTATATAACTTAAAGAGGCTAATACTTTATTAATAATAGCTTTATTATTAAAAAGGGCTTTTATAGTTACTTTAGTTAGATTAAAATAAAGGGACTCTTTATTAAGGAGATTATTAGTAATAATATTTAAGGCTCAGCCTTTTAGATCTATTACTACTATAATAAAAGGAATAATATTAATTAGATATTTAATACTTAAGTAATAACTATTACTATCTCTTATCTTAAGAATAGGTATTATATTATTAAGTTTATACCTAATATTAATACTATTAATACTCCTTTATCTATTAAGATTAATAGTAATAATAATCTAGATCTACTTACTCTATTATTATTATTAAAGAGGTATTATTTTATATTTATTAATATTATTATAAAGGCTTAAGTTATAAAGTATTAAGATCTTACTATTATATTTATAATTAATATAAATAACTTCTTTTTTAACTTTTTATAACTAGTTTATTTAAACCCTCCTCTATAACTTTAATTTATCTCTTTATAATTAGGTCTTATAGTTAAAGATAAATATAAAGGATTAGTTATATAAAATCTATATAGTCTAAAAGGATATTATTAAGTTTTAATTATATTAAGCTATAATAAAGATCTATTTCTCTTTTAATTTATAGACCTCTCTTAATTAATATATAATTATTATAATTTTTTATTACTTTATTAACTATATAAATAAATAGACTTAATATCTTATTACTCTCTATTATTAGCTTAAATCTTATAATAATATTAATATTACTTCTATAATATATTAAGTTATTAATAAGTAGGGTATTAAAAAGTCTATTAGTATCTTTATCTCTAATAATGCTTTTAATAATAATATATATATTAAGTCTATTTTTAATTATATATCTATTAATTATATAGATATTAATATTTTTAATTAATATATAAAGTACTATAGCTATATTTTTAACTTTATAAATAGAGCTTTTCTATTTAGTATTAATTATAAGGCTTTTAAGTAAGAGGCTAATAATCTATTAACTTCTAAGTAACTAAGAAGTAATTTTATCCTCTAGTAGACTAAGGGGCTTATTAGTAAACTCTATAACGTTATTAAGTATATTAAGTTATTCCCCTAGAGGACTAAAAAGTTCTTATCTATTAGTAATAAAGACCCTTATATAGCTAATAATAACTTTATTATCTTTAAGCTCTCTCTTTAAGAGCTTAAGTTAATACTTAATAATAATACTTAATAGAATTCTATTTACTTTATAATTACTTAAGCTCTTATTAAATACCTTTAAATCTCTAGCTATATTATTAATAATATAGCTTTATTTAATATTAATAATTATCTACTTATTAATAACTATCTCTCTAATAAAGATTAGCTCCTCTTTATTAAGATTAAAGAGGTACTTAAGCCTCTCTATAAATAGATAATAAAGTATTAAAGCTAAAATAAAAATAATAACTATAATTAACTTTAAGAGGTTATAATAGAGATAAAGTACTTTATTAACTAACTTAAGGAGTAAAAGAGACTCTTTAATAAGCCTATTAATAAAGAGATTAACTTTATAGCCTTTTAGATACTATCTACTTATTATATATTAATAAAGTAATTAAGAGTATTATAAATAGCTTAAGCTCCTTCCTTATTAATAAATAGTATCTCTCTATATATTTAAAATAAATATTATTCTTATTAATAATATAATTAACTTTAATAGCTTTATAATAAGTAGTTTAACTTTTATAGATATTTTTAACTATTTATACTTAATAAATAAAAGGTTTTAAATAAATACTATATAAAGCTAAAAGACTTAAGCCTCTATACTATATTAATTATTCTATACTTAAGTAGAGGTATATAATAACTTAAAAAGTAATAAAGTAACTTAAACTAATAGATTTAGATTTATAATACTAAAGAGGGGTTATATAACTATTAATAATATTAATATATTAGCTAAAATAACTCTTATAATACTATATTAATTTAACTTATTATTTATAGGGTATTTACCCCTATTATTACTACTATATAAGCTAAAAACTCTAAATACTAATAATAGCTTAATAATTAGGCTTATAAAGCCTCTATTAATAAAGCCTCTAAACTAAATTAATATTTATAATAGTTTATTATTTAGCCTATTAATAACTCTATATAATAATAGTTAACTTATTATTAAACCTTTTTAATACTTAATAGACTTACTCTTAATATATTTATTATACCTATTATAGCTATAGACTATAAGAGAACTTTTAGCTTAATAAGACTTACTCTTATATTATAGAAGCTATTAATAAAGCCTTTAACTTTAAAAGAAGCTTAATACCTCTAAAACTAGTTATAAAGTAGCTCTATTACTATTAGTAATTAATACTTTATAAGGAGGTAGATATAAAATTAATATAGGGGGAGGGAAGAGCTTTTAGGCCCTCTTTAAGCCCTTTTAAGGCCCTTAATACTATAAATATATAAGTTTTTATCCCTAAGCACTTTATAATAGCTTTATTAATATCCTAAATAGGTAAATAGCCTAATTTAATTAAGTAATTAATTAATTAATTAAGTTTTAACTAAATATACTATTAGTTAGTTAATCTACCCCCCTTAAATTAAATTAATTAATTAAGTTGCTGCGCTAAAACTCTTGTAAGCCTTGGCTCCCGTACCTGCGTTAGTTGCCTGTGCCTCAAGCACGTTTCCAATGTCGTTATTATCTTGTCGACCGCAGGTGACGAGAAAGCATAATGACCTCTTTTCTACTCATCTTGACCCCTCATCCTTAGAGGATATCGTGGAAGATGGCGTTTCCCCTCACAATTCACATCGCCGAAAGCGCTGAGAAGAGCTTGAGCATCCCACCCTGTGACAGTAATGCGCAAAAGCTTAACCTACGCGGATCGAAACATTGTCGGCATACACCACGAGCAGGCCTTCAGATATGTGGATGGAGGTCATTTGTTTGCAATGATAAAGGCGAGCTTCGCACCCTCAGTATGCTAGTAGGACATGAACACCAGCTTCTTTCTTCGCTTCAACTATCCTGATTCCCCCCACAGTGTCGACGACTTTCTTAGAACACCGGACGAATTCATCTGAACAACATGGTTGCTCTTCGCCATCTCCTGGTCTTCATCCCGCTGGCGGCAGCGATGCCATCTCAGTTCGCCGCAATGCCCCTCGTTAGCAGACACTGCATGCAGCCCAAGAATTGTGGTGCCGTAGTTCAGGGAACGGCATGCGATTTCTGTTGTGCCGCAAACGTCAAGCCCGATGCAGGCGAGATGCACTGCAAGAGCCGGAACACCGGATGTGCCAACGGGGGAACTACATTCAACTGCGATGCCGACTAGTATAATCGGAAGTGAGTCGGTTTATACTTGATGACTGTAACATGCAATGCTGATAATATTAGTTAGGTAGAATCTTTTCCGACCATGTGGCTTGATCGGTTGATGGATTAGTTGATGATGCCGCGGAATACTGTAGCTACAAATCACTGTTCGATTCTCGGACAATGTCACAAGACATTCTAGGTCTCTAAGCCTCTCTTGACTGAATGTGCCATTGGTGGTGTCTGTGTCTATATATGGAAACGAAATATTCAACCTGATTGTGTTAAGAATGAAGTAAAGACAAGCCGACTGCCCACCCCAATTTCCCGGATCGGCCCGGCGTCCGCACCTGTGGGATTCTCGTGATGGGGCAGTCCTGTCGGACTCGGAATGCATCGGAACAACACATGCTCTAGATCTTTGGATACTTTGGGTCAGAGTATATCCTGCGGCGGTAGTGGAGATAGATTTAGTATCACGTTGTGAATCATGTCGCACTTGAGTAAGCAGCCATGATCTCGAGATGTTCATGTCACCGAACATAAGGATTGAGTCTAATCTAATTAGCAGCCAGTACTTTTTGAGGTCGAACAAGGCAGCCACACAGTAAAGGAGGAAACATAGCTGCGACTAGAGTCGTGCTGCAGCCACGGATACAATGTCTCCTGTCTGGTATGAGGGATGGGAGGGGGGGTTTCTTGGCTTAATCGGTGCTTGTGAGGATATAATGTGATCCTCCGTACGGGTGCAGATGACTGTCAGACTGGTCGCCAACAAAAATATCCACCTTCTGCATTCGTCGAAGTGAGATCCGGGGCTCCTTGCCGATAGCTAGGACTGGACTCTTCCATGGCAGCCTGGAAGCTTATTAAGAAACTTTTCTGAATATTGAATATTAAATGTGTACTCGTTGGGTATGGCGAGATATCTATGACCAGATTATAAGGGTGGCTGCATTGTATTGCGCGGCGTATTGCATTTGCTAGGACTGGACTCATACGACAATATATGCCGATTTAAGAGACAGAATCTGATGTCAGATGATGCAGTTTGCCTTACGGGAGACGAAAGTCCCATGAGATCTAGGCAGTTGCCCTTTCATTCTGTGGCATCGTCATACGAAATAAACAAACTACACATTGGTGATCGCAGCTATCGCCTCTTGGCTACTCAATATAAAGTATGTATGCGTGGCATTGGACGAAGACCTTTGAGTCGCCCGTCCTACCGAAGTGTGATCACTTACGCATGATCGTTCAGAATTATTGAACGCTGAACCTTCAAGCAGTATCACCAAGACGGGCGTTTGATGCCCAGCCCATCAATGCCCCTCATCACGCGAGTGGGAGTTGGAAACCCAATCAAATAATAGTGAAGATCGCCAGCTAGACATAAAATGAGCATTAAGTACCGCGCGATCAAACTACAGAAGTATACGCGGGGAAGAACGGGCCATTTTGTTGTGCCTTGGGTCGTATACCTAAGTGGCACAGTCATACTTGGAAAGCTGGTCATTGGACTTATATTCATGGACATTGACATGTCCACTGACCCATACACAGAGAAACAGGACATTGAGCTATCGCCGTTCTTTCTTGTCAGCTTTCAGAATATAGAGCAAATGTAACAGACTGACTGTCCTGGGCATTTCATAAACCATTAGGGTTGCGATATGCAAAGCTCACGATAGACGGGCGGTACCAATAATAAAGTGACGGTTGGTCGGCAACATCCTTGGCAAAGGCTTGACCGATCGTCCACGTAAGGTTAGTCGTGGATCCTGTACACTGCAAGGGTCCGAAGAGTGTTATTGGCCGGGTCGGTTCGTTGGATGGATCGGTCCGTTGCCGAGTCGTCGGGTGGTGGCCCAGGTGGTCTGGAGAGGGCATGTAATTGAAAACACCGTACACTGCCCTTTGCTGAAAGGTTACATTGAAGGAAGCTGCGGCTGAGGTCTTTTGATTGCAAGACAACTCTACTGCTTGCAAGACCAGCTTATTACTTACAATGAGAGCCACCGAATCTGCTGCAACCCAGCTCGGGCTGTGAAGTGTACATGTAAGATTGCACTCGACCCATGAAAATACTACCTGGTTCCCCGGATAAGCCGCGCAAAGGAGGAACTTTGAACACAATATTATTGGGCGGAAGAACTTTGGCAGGTCTCATGCAGACTGTGCCACTAGCATAGGTTACATGGCTTTACTGATCCGGCAGGTGATGAATTGCTGACATACATGAACCAGTGCGAAGAGGTCGTTAAGCGATTACAACGATGAACTAGGCAGAAAGAAACTAGAACTCTCCATATCCTCGCAAGACGTAGCCATTATAGTATAAGTCAACTCTCTGCCAAGACGTCGCCAAGAGCTTACATACTAAGCAATTGAATCCTTCTATCGACCACTTGCTCTTTTGAGGGGATTCCCCGTTCTTCTCACCTCATGTGTACGTGAATTAAGGCAGATTTGCATCCTAAGAAACTCGTACGACATTATCGCGATGGGGTAAACGCAAGAGTACTGCAGGTCAGTATTGTCGTTGACAGCACTAGCTGAAAGCGCTGTGCCTCTTTGCGGTTCGAGGTTATCGCGGGCTTTTCACTCCAAGGGACTTTGGTTCTGACTTGCCCTCTAGGTTACATCTAAAGAGAGCCCTGTTGAAGTAAACGAGGCTAACCTTCCGCCGCCAAGTGCCGGCGCCTCAGAGATGCATCGGGCAACGCACTCAACCGGTGCGTGGTAAACGACGGCGTGGAACGAGGCAGCCTATTCTGCTGACGATGAGGATCGAGTCCACATTGGAAGTTGTCACAGACGTGAGATGCTGAGAGTCTGGGCACAACGAAAAACTATAAGTTGAGGTCGTAACCAGCACAAAGAACATTTCCACCCAGGCTCAATCACAATATCAAACATCTTGCCTCCAACGACAAACACTGGTCAAGATGAAGTTCTCTATTCTTGGTTTCGCGGCTGCGGCTGCCATGCTCGTCTCAGCTACTCCCCTGGGAGACTCTTCCGTTGAGATTCGCGACGAGAGCAGCGTTCTCGAGACCCGCCAGACCTCCAGTGGCTGCTACTACTTGTGAGTGCTCATCCTTTTACCCGAAGAGTCTCGAGTACTCGATGACAACATTGGCCTACTAACATGGTTTTCAGTGCCTCTCCTACCTGCTGCGTCCCAACCGTCTGCATGTGCGCCGGTTCTCGCATCTACCAGATCAACCGCGACAACCAGAACCGCGGCCTGCACGGCTGCGACCCCCCTTGGGGATTCATCGGAACTGGCTACACCAGCTACCCGGGCTCTTGCTGTCGTCTGGCCTCCAACGGTGCCATTGAGAAGGCGGAGGAGGATGGCTCTGTCCAGACAATCGAGGCTTCCCCCATGGAGGCCTAAAGTTGTCCAGCCTAGACACTCACGACCTCCAATCTCCCAATCACTCGTTATTTCGTTTCTAGGTCGGAGGAGCACAAATCATCTTTAGAGATAGCTCAAAGCCCGTCCTCTAGTTAGTTAGGGTTCAGGAGGACTTGAGGAATAGCACCTCCTTTGGAAAAATACCAATAATAGTGGTTATCAAGGGCCCTATTTACCCAGACCAATGAACCGCATTAACATGTAATCAAGCCTCTGAATTTTGATGCGAACATAACTAGCCACCGTTGGAGTCATGAGTCATTCAAATTTTACAATCCATACGGCAATGTTCCCTACCCCTAGAAAATGTATAGTCATTACATAACATGAAGAAATAAAACTGATGTCGTATCGTACCTTGAAACATAACTTTCTGTATAGAGCATTACAAGAGTTCATAAGCCTTTTGATATATATAAATCCCCCCAGCTACGGTTTCAATCCACAAAGTTATGAATCGTCTCGAGGACTAAGGTCCTGAGGACCCAGGCGTTCCCAACTCCCTCCGTCAACAAGCAATGCGCTCCCTAGTTAACTATATCATAGTCACAAAGACATAGGAGATGTCTAATACTGATGAGCTTTTGACGGTCCTAAACTTCAAGTACGTATCCCTTTGGCAGCATATTCGTAGTAATCCAGAAATATCAGGTCCCCTTATCGCCACCAAACAACCCCTTTGACTAGTATGCAGCGGGGACTGTAATCTACTATGGGTATGATCCAGTGGATATCTGTTATAAGACTGTAATTTTGTGGCCGTTAGTGCGTCCTCAAAACTGCCGGACACAAGATACCTTAAATTTTGTTTCGAGGTGATGCCATAGGAATCAAAAACTCCTTACATCAACTGGAAGCCTTGATGAATGTTTGATAGAGCTTTCGGGGATTTATAGTCTGTTTTCCATCGGCCGAGAGAACCGAAGGTTTTAAAGTGCAAACATCTTTCTGATACTACAAACAACAACTCCAACTTCTTCGTCCGATAATAATTATCACTACGGCCTCATGACTTCATGTTCGAGACGGATTCAGGAACCGCCGTGGTCTCTTTTGATCAGAAAGACAAACTGACCTTAAGCCTTGATAATGACGAGTCGCTATTTTAGGCAGGGCGGCTGATTGGCAGACATAGTCCCGGTGGGAAAGTATTATCTGTCGAAGCTAGTTGCCCAGTACGTACATAGAGCATTGTCTTTGTGGGAAGCAGCATGATGAAGGTTGGCCGTAAGCTTTATTTACTGGACCTAGACCATATAAATGTAGCAATGGTTTAACGGCGTTCGACGGAGTTCTGTACTATCACTGTCTCTCCGACACAGACATAGCATGAATGGGCCACGTGGTGATTTAAAGAAGTCGGTCCCGAAACTAAAAACAAAGTCAAACCTACCAGAAGCTGTTGGGCAGTATTTCAATTACGATTTCCTTTTCGAGCCTGCACTACATATAAGATGAGGTTCTTGAAAGTGCCACCTAATGCAATCTTCTGGGCAATACAATGCAGCCACCCTCATTGTTTTGGCTTGACATACCCTGATCTTATCACTTACTTGAGATATCAGTGTCTTCGAGAATCTTCCCCCAGCAGATAAGTGCTCTAAGCCATGTAGGTTACACCTTCATCCCACGCAAGATCAGCGGCATGATTTTCGAAGATTTTATTCGCCGTCAAATTTTGAAGGCTAGGGTCAATGTATGCTTTGATATTAGGTCGACGTCTTGGGACCAGACTTCTTACTATTTACACCGCTAACCGGGTTGAAAGTTAAGGGGAACATTACAACATGATTCTATATGTGGGAAATCCAGTTATTGATGAAGGAGTCCCTACGATCACACCGGGTCATAGTCTCACTCATCGACTAGCATCTTAAGGGTTGAAAGGCTTGCGGCCGTAGACGATAGTACTAGTCAACACGTCAGTAAAACAACGTTCATGTGGATGAAAACTAGGAAATTAAACTTACGTCTCACACCAGCAGTAGTTGGACTTTTTCCTGATCTCTCGTCTCATTTGGGCTCCAAGGACAGTTGCCTCTCGTGGATCCCATCCCAGGATCTCCGTCATCAAGAAGGTGGCGAATCCTTCGAGACTCTGGTCAAACGCCATCTGGATTAGATATCCCGCGTGCTGTAATCTATCATCCCTGGGCCACCCGTGCATGGGAACCTTGATCTTCCTCTCCACGACATCCACGAAGCCGGCCGCCTCCATATTGTGCTTCATGGTGTGTCCTCTGGCAATAGAAAAAGAGCGTCCCATCTTGGCCCCGCCTTCGTCGAAAATACGCCTCCACTCGTGGAATATGTGATCCTCCGGAAGGTCGACGTGATCTGACTGGATGTTGACGTCGAACTCTAGGTTTTGGACCCAACCGCCTGGCTTCAGATGTCGGTACGCTGAGCGATACAGTCCTTCCCAGTCTGGTATGCTCCCGTAAAGACATCGGAGGTGGACGAAGTCGAAGTGGTTCTCTGGCCACATCCACTCGAGAAGACAGTCGTCGATGACGAAGCGGAGGTTAGCCGGGACCCAAGTCGGTTGGATTGGGCTAATATCGGTGCCAACAACTTCGGCATCCGGATATTGGTCCGCGAAGTCAATCGCCCAGATTCCCGTCCCGGTGCCGACATCGAGCACTCGTTGCGGGTTGTTGCCGATCGGCGCGAGGTACAGCTCATCGTCCAGCACCATCAACAAAGCGTTGTGAATCATATCAAGCCCGTCGTTCTGCTGCTCGTCGTTCGGAGCCCAGTATTCGGTTGTCTTGCTGTTCTGATATGTTCGGCCGTGCAGTTTCCGGTAGTCGAACATGCTTTCCGACAGCGATGCAGTAGACGAGACAACGCTCGCGGCGTCGATTGCCGAGTCGGCATCGTCGTCATCTTCAAAGCCCACGTCCGGGTTAGCTTCGATACGCGGTGGCGTCTCCGCCACTTCTGGCGTCTGTGGATGTTCAGGCGGACTTGGAACCGAAGGCCCAGGCCTTGAAGGGTTTGTCACCAACTGGACGAACGCAGATGCCATGATGTTCCACAGATATTGCGGCCAAACTCTCTCGCACGGATGGGGACTGAAGAGGTCTGCGGAAAGAAAAAACGTGGGGACGCAGAGGAAGGCGCAGAGGTTTTCGAAGAACTGGTCGGGGCGGCTCTTGGGTGGTATCTGACCGAGACAGAGTCTTTAAAGAGGGGTGTCATTGTGCACCAACTCGCAATGCGGTGAAACCTCGCGGGCTCTCCCGTTTCGCTGCTCGATCTCACCCAAATCAAAACTCTCCTCTCGCTAAAGCTAAAGGGGGACCAACCAGTGACGTTTTCCGATGAACATGGACGTAACGACCGCAGAGACACACCGTTCAGACACGCACCACGCTGAGGAGAATGAGGGGGCGCTCTGTCTCAGTCTGCAGCCGACAGTTGAGGCGTTGCCAACGGTTGGAGCATTGTGGAGGATTATTGGGCGCTCCGTAAGCCACGATTGTGGGAAAAAGCAATGAGGCCCTCCAGAATCGAGCAGCGGCATACACGTTCAAGGGCTTCATGGAGGTTCGCGTATGTCGGAGTTGGGCTTCCACGCATCACAATTCGCTCCCTGTCATGCATGGAACCGAGCTGCTTCTGCACTTCGTCGCGGACTGGGTTAGTTCTCCGATGCTACCATCTAGTCCAGCTGAAAACTCGCGACTGATTTGCTCTGCTCAAGGTGGTTCGGCCGGCAAACAAACCGGACCAGGGGGGTTGCCATCAGGCTTACCCGGTCCTTGGGAAGTATCGGGTCCGTCATGAACAATCGTCTGGATAATGATATCAATAGCCCCAACGTCGGATGGCGTTCTGGTGGGGGTGAGCGGGAGGTCCTCGCCGACAAGGGGTCGCCGGAAGCCAGTATGCAGCTAGACCTGCATTCCCGTGCCGAAGGAATCGCTAAGTCCGCTGGTGTGGGAGAATACGGGCGTAATTGGGGGAGAGATTTGGCCGTTTGCTCCCATGACGGCCCGAGACACGACCTACACGGCGACAACTGGCGCGACCGCTGTCTCTTCATGGAACAACGATTGGCCTTCGATCTCTGCGTGATACCAGTTGCAGGCAGCAGAGGACATTGTATTTGTCAACAGTATGCAGCACGTTTCATCGAGCTACTGGAGATGAACTGTCACTGCAGCCTGCATGAGATTACTATTCCGGCTTCCGGTTTTGCTACCACACCCTCAGTCAACTCCAGTCATGTTTGCTCAGCCTTCTGTGCAACATGAACTGCTTGCCTGATATCGACAAGGAAGGGTAGGAGGCTAACTCACACCGACTCCCACCTCGAGTTAGTGCGCAATCGGCAAATGAACTTTTCATGCGACAAACCCCAGCATCCGATATACGATATGAAGGGGTGATAGTCAGTGTCCAGCTGGGGGAAGCCGCCATGAAGCCAGTATCCAATGTCAAAATCGATGGTACGGTTCACGCTCGACGGCAGGCTGTATGCATATGGTAACGACATCAAATATCTCTGAATCACCCTGTTCGCCATGCAATCGCAGCTATAAAATCCCTCAGGATTGCGGATTTCCATGTTCCCCAGATGGATGCGATGAGTTCAATTAAGGTTGAGATCAGCCCGTAAATAGCTTCCTCGAACTTTAACTTTAAAGTGCATTAGATCTCCAGTCAGATTGTCACAGACTGGCCGCACGAGCAATGATTTCTTGCACGATGAGAACGATGAAAACGCCTTACGGATTGGAAAAATCATTAGAAAATGCAGGAGGGTGCTCTAGAGAGCTGCAATGTCTGTGAGCCTGGCGCTAGCGCAGAAGCCAGACGCTACTTTCAGCCCAAATTGTGACGGGGCTTGGATGCATGAGGAGTGCCTAGGATGGTTCTTTCATCAACAGCCGGAACCGTCACTAACATGACTCATCGGGAACAATTTCCAAGACGGACGCGGCCGTAGAGTGGCCTGATCGGCTCCAATTCCCCCTCCCGGCGCAGGTTCCGGAGTAAACGGGGTTTCGCCGTGGGGCCATCGGGGATTCAGCCGATGATCCCCACTCGCACGGCTCCGGGTGCTGCCGAAAAGCTTCCGGAAGTGATTGACGTGGCACCTGTTCGCTTGCGACTCAGCTTCATCTTGATCGAGATCTCACAAATGAAGGCGCTGGAGAATCTGATTTGTGCATTTTGAATGGTCCATCGTCAACTCCCCACCCCGGCAGGCGATCAAATGGCAGTTCATCTAAATTCAGGGATGCAGGGGCAGCTAACATGCCCCGCTGCCGCGAGTCAATTCCTGAAGCTTGAGCTTGCAATTCGCACCATTTTCTTCATCTCCATTTTCTTTTCGGCATTCGGCAACCGTGTTCATACGTCACACTCGTTAAGATGTCTTTGAAGTCTGTCTTGCCGATGCTGGCGCTTGTCGGCTCTGGCTTGGGATGGCAACACAAAACCGAGGCCTACGTGCGCGATGCGATCGCGACCAATGAGTACAGCTTGATTGCCTGTGAGTTACACTTTCGCCGAGTTCCCGACCACCGATCAATTCAAATTGCTAACGTTTCGTTCGACAGTTGTCGCGGTAAGCATTCCCTGAACCCCCGACATATTCCAACATCACATACGCCGCTTCTGTCCATATACTAATAAAGCAAGCCTTCGACGTATGTCTGCCAATCCATTCTGAAGAGTTATACCTGACCTAAAGCGCGCTAGCGACGCCTCCAAAGCTCTCGAACCGCACTGGGGTGCTGTTGAAGATGCGATCCCAACCGCTCTGTCCGTCGACTGCGAAACCTCATCCGCCCTTTGCGCCGACTTCGACGTTGCGTCGTTCCCCGCGATCCGCTTCTACCGCCCCGATGGCACGAAACGGCATTACCGTGGCCCTCGAAAGGGATCTGAGTAAGTCATCTCCTGATAAACTTGCTTCCGTTACTCTTGGTTAACATGCTCGCGAACAGGATCGGTTCTTTCGTCAACCGCATGCGTCGACCTGTCATAAACCCTGTTGAGAAAGAAACCATGTCTTCATTCCGCAGCAGCGATGATGTTGTCCTCGTGGCGCATTTCACCCTCGAAGAAACCTCCCTCCGCGACCGATACGCCGACCTCGCCGAACGCTACCACGACCGTTATGCCTTCGGATTGACGGACATTCCCGAATCGCCCGGTCGCATTGCGTGCTACAATAATGTGATCGGCGCGATGCAGATGTCTTCGGAGTTGGAGGACGTGGATGCCATGGATAAGCTCTTGAAGAAGTGCGCTGCTCCGTTGGTGCCACGTTTGACGAGGCGCAACGAGGCTGAATATCTGAATGTGCGTGGTTTCGAGCTTCACTCAAGCAAGCAATCCTGATTAGATTTGCATGAACGATACTGACTGGCATCGCAGGCTGGAAAGTCTCTGGTATACTTCTTCGCTCGCATTGAACAGTATCTCGATGCGTGGACTTCGGCCGTCGTACCCCTGGCCAAGAAGTACCACCAGTATATTACTTTCGTGACGGTGGATTTGACGGACTATCCCGAGATGCCTGCGATGTTTGGACTGCCCAGTGGTATCGAAGATGCCGTGGCGCTGCAGAACCCGGCCACGGGTCAGGTGTTCCCTTTCACTGGAGAGATCACCATTGATGCTGTTGAGCAATTCATCACCGACATCTCCGAGGGCAATGTTGAACCATGGGATGGACAAACTATCCTCGAGGTTGTCGAAGTGGACGCGGATGATGAGAACGGCCAGGGACACAGCGCAGGGCAGCAAACCCAGGAAGGTGCAGGGGTAGACTCTGAAAAGGCCAGCGAGAAGAGTCCCGAAGAAAAGTCGGAGACCCACGATGAACTTTGAGAGCGATTTCATGTCCAACACCACCCTCACCGTCTCCGCATCATCTCAAACTGTACATATATATGGTTTTAGTGTTTTGACAAGACTTAACAACTGTTCATAGCGTGACGTGTGTTTATGGCAACGTTCTTGAACACACTGCGTCACAAACACTGAAATTTTCATGGACTACAGGAATGCTTTAGTTGTATGTCGTCTGCAAAATATGACACCATTTCGTATCCTTCCCCAGACTGCAAGGGTCAGGCCCGATGATTTGCTCGCCATCTGCGCTAACTTCAGTTCCTTGCATACGGTGAAGGCAGCAGATCAGGTACACGTAGTCTGCCAGCGAAGACAACAGCACATGCACGACTGAATCTCTTGAGAGCTCGGGGCCGACAAGAAAGATGAGAGCTGATAGTTTCATACGACGATGATGAACAGCTAGCTCTTCGCAGACATCGCGACCCAATTCTACGGCACGCTCGGGTGGTCAAATCTTGGTGATGGTCGTGGTGAGGGGAACCCTGGACCCAAGGACCCAAGCCACCAAAAAGTCCTTCGCGTCGTCTTGGCATGCTGGCGAGAGTCACCATTTGTTGACGACAACGTGATGGGGCCTCAGAGACCACGAGTTAAACGTCATTATCAATGAAGATCGCGAATGGCGAGGTTTTCTACCTTGATCGCAGCTGCCATGCATTTGCTAACATCAACCAGGAAGGTCAATCGCTTCTCATGCGTCATTTACAGTAGTCAATTGCAAAAGGACATTCGAGCGTGCGCTTTCTTCTCTCAGAAGATGAGCATCGGGCTAATCTTGGCCAATGTAACGTCCTCATGTTGGTACCATCTCGCAGCACGCAATCGCCGTGACATTCTCCTCAGACTTGGCGCTTACTATGATACCGTGCAATCCCAAGTCTGTAAAAACGTCAATGGCGGTATATAAGCATTGAATCAACCGGGTCAAGACCACTCCCAGCGTGTATGTCTGCCACGCCCACGAATCGACTTCAGAAGTTTTGCTGTACAGAAACCTGCGAGGATGAAGCCAGTCGTTATTGCCTCCTTCCTCGCAACTCTTGCCACTGGGCTCTCCCTGAACAACAGGGCCCCCGTCTCGTACGATGGCTATCAGGTGCTCCGCGTCAAGACCTTGAGCAAGCTCGCTTCCGTCCAGGACAAGCTATCAGCGATTCCACATGAGCAATGGAACCACGACATCGACACCCACATTGACATCGTTGTGTCGCCAGACCAGATCGCGAATGTCGAATCGGCAGGACTTGACTATCGTGTCCTCCACAAGAACCTCGGTGACTCTATTGCCGCAGAGTCCCAAGCCAGGAGCGCCTACAAGCGTGATGTGAACGACTTGGCCTGGTATGATACATACCATCCTTACGCCGACCACGTGCAGTATTTCAGAGACCTTCACGAGTCGTTTCCCAACAACTCTGAGCTGGTCTACTCTGGCCATTCATACCAGAACCGTTCCATCCACGGGATTCATCTCTGGGGTGATGATGGCCCAGGAAAGCCTGCTGTGCTTTACCAGTAGGTATACTTCGACAAGTTGTGAACTTCAGAGTTACTAACACCATCGAAGCGGCACCGTTCACGCAAGAGAGTGGATCTCGGCTCCTGTAAGTCAATGCCTAATCAATCAAGCGTCAGTAACTAAGACTTAAAAGGTGGTGGAATACATAACTCTCCAGCTCATCAATGCCCACAGGAATGCAACCAATGCTTCTGATTCATGGCTAAACACCTACGACTGGCACATTTTCCCCGTCGTCAACCCGGACGTAAGTTGACTCATATCGCCTTAGTTTTGGGTACTGACCCGGTCAGGGCTTCGTCTACTCACAGGAAGTTGATCGTTTGTGGCGGAAGACGCGCACTCCTCCACCACCTCCTCCCCAGAACCAGTCCTGTTTTGGTACAGATATCAACAGAAACTGGGAATACGGATGGGATGTGAACCCTCTCGGAGCTTCCACCAACGCTTGTGCCCAGGCTTATCGGGGTCAACGGCCCTCTGACACCATCGAGAACCAAGGACTCGATGCGTACGTGCGCAAGCTCCGTGACACGGTGGGCATCAAGTTGTACATTGACTGGCATAGTTATGGCCAGTATATTCTCTCGCCATTTGGCTCGAAGGAAGAATGGTACGCTCCTGAGCTTGGTAAATGGACCAAGACGGCGTCTATCTTGAGCGAAGTCATCCGCGATAGCTCTGAGCGACGCACAACTTTCACTTTCGGCCCCAGTGGTGCGACACTTTACACCACTACTGGTGCTGCTCCGGACCATGTCTACGCCGTTGGCGGTGCCGACTTCTCGTACACTATCGAGCTTCCGGATACTGGAGACTACGGTTTTGTGCTGCCTCCTGACCGGATTAGGGGAGCCGCTGAAGAGCAGTGGGCTGGCCAACAGGCTTTATTCCCTCTTTTGGATGAGGTATTCTTCGACGGCATCGGCCCTGCGTAGAGGTTAGGAGAGCTACTTTTCGTGTTCCTGTGTAGTACTGGAACAAATCGCGCCACGCGTGGATAGTCTAATCTTAATGTAAATGATTTCCTGTCAACACATTTTTCTATATGATCTCAGCTGAAATGTCTTTCACTACTAGTGGAACTGATACTTGAAAGGGCGTTGAAACAGCGAGTGATTGTATGCACAATCTGTTGTCATTCCCTGCTACCTCATTCAATTCTTCTTTATAAGAAGACTCTTGCCCGAGTGCCAAACACCTTTTGCGCCCCTGGCGATCTCATAGCGTCCATCGTAAAGAGGGTAAACGACCACGGCCATGAAAGCGAAGAACTGCCAAATTATCGCCACCGTTGTCCAGCTCTTGAAGAAAGTCTTCTCAAAGATGTAGTCGCGGTAAAGCGGCATTGGCCACAGAATAAATGTGACAAGTACAATACCGATGAACATAATCCAGGCAATGCGGTACCACTTGTAAAGCAGCTTGATGGTGTCCTCGTCGAATGGATGGCGAACATCGTCGAGGTTCACAGCACCCGCCGAGGCTATGTCCTTGGATAAGATCGTGGACAATGCCTTCTGATCCTCTGCAGGAGTTGCTTGTCGCTCTGGGTCTGATGTCTTCTCAGGTCTCAGCACAGATGAGACAGGCCTCGGTCCTTCTGAAGTTGAAGAATTGTTTCCATCTTCAACGTCCTTCTCAGCTTTCGAACTTTGCTTTAGCTGAATTTCTTCTGCAAGTTCGACAAGCAGAAATCTTCTCCAGTCAAATTTCTCGGGTTTATACTGAGAAATGAGGACCGAGTACAGTGCGGGAGAGAAGAAAGAGCCGATGGCTCCGTACAAAGCCGGCAGGCTGCCTTCCGTTGACTTCATAGTGATCTCGCCGTATATGACGTGGGCAGTACCAAGCCATATCCCCAAGCCGGTAAGAAAGCCGAGAATCGGGGACGCAATTGCTGCAAGACGCGTCTGTCCCGACCAGCAAAGAGTCAATCCCAACGGAATAATGCCCGGGCAAGAAAGGATAGGGCGGAAATAACCGATCCATGTCATGTCTGCTCCTCCGTAGTTCAAAGCAAGAGAAATGGCAGTGATGAACAACGCGTGGAAGACAACAGTCAAATGACTGACGTGAACCAGCTTCTTATCAGACGCTTTCGGGTTGATGTAGGTTTTGTAGACATCGAATGACAAGATACTGCTAACCGCAATCATTGACGACGAGACCGTGCTGGTCAGTGCCATGAAGACCAGGACGAGAAAGGCGTCGATACCCTGATCTCCGATCAAAGCTTTGACAGTGTACGGCATAACCAATCCGGCATTGACTTGTGCCATGGTGAACTCTTGTGGATAAGCAGGCCAAATTGGAGTGTTGTGCAGCGCTCTTGCAGCGAGGCCAATGACGGTACCGAGACCCCATGGGATACCGAAGATAGCCACTGCAGCCAAGTTGTATCCGGGGACGGTCGCATTCACTTCAGTTGCAAACGACTTTTGCCAGAAGGCGGTGTCCTGATCCTTGAGTGAGTATTGAAGATGGAACAATCAAAGATGTAACGACGGCTTACCATGACCACAAGTGCCAAATTTCCAAATTTCAAGATCAAACCCCAGATGATAGCATCCTTGGACTTCATCGTGAGAAGAGATCCTTGGTAATTGCCGTCAATCATATTCTCTGACGCCGTAGCCATAACCTTGTCATAAAGGCCACCAAGTCCCCCGACGGCATCGTGGGTGAGGACTTTGAGAGTAAAGTAGATGATGAGAATCAGAGCAATGAGGGTGTGCAGGTAGTCGGTGATAAAAGTGGCTTTGAGTCCACCGACAGCCGTATACAATACAACTTTATTACTGTCAGCATCTATCGTCACTCATACGCACTTCATACTCAAAATTACTGACCTCCAAGTGGAATGAGGATTGTGGCAGCGACGAAATGCATACCAGAAATCCCATAGATGAGCTGCGAGCCCGTGAGAATCATACCTGCACAGCCGAAGACGTTGTTCGTGATGTTTAGGATAATGAATACAACATGACCAATCCAGCCATATCGCATTCGAATGATCTCGAGCGAGGTATGGGCATACGGAACGCGAATCTTAGCCAAGACACCCAGAGCAGCCATCAAAGCGATCTGGAAGCAAAGGCCGGTCGACCACCACTACTCAGAGTCAGTAAAACTCGCAAATAATGTGAGGTCTGCTGATTTCACGTACAAAAGGAACCGCCAAACCGAATTTGTAGCAAAATGCCGCCGAAAAGACTGTTTCGTTGATCCACATCCATGAGGAGAAGACCGCGGACGCTGTCAACCCTGTCCCAACGGATCGGTTGGCGACCATGAACATCTCGGAAGTGCCCGAGTCTTCAGCCAAGTATGCCTTCTGGACCTTCACGGCTGCCAGAATGACGCCGCAAAAGCCAATGCCTAAGCCAATAAGCATCCCATATCCAGTCGACTGGGGGATCAGGGTTTCCCCTGAGACGCCCAACTGAACCGACATTTTCTGAACGTGCTCTCAAGGCGGATATAGGTGGAATGGAGAAGTCATTCACAAGAAAACATCCAGCGCAGGAGAAGAACACGACTTAAAGACAAGCTTTTTTGTGAAGCTCAACCTTGTACCGAGATCGGTATCGAAGAGCCCCAGTTCTTGGTCACATCTTCGATGCCCCGCATTGCGTTATGGAACTCAATCCATGCCATTTCAAACGGGATTTGACACTGCTCGGATGCCAAAACCATGATAAGTTGGAATAATATGAGATGGACGGATTATTTCCGGCGGTACGTATTGAAAAGCTGAGGTGGTAACCGATAACCCTGGAGGTCCATACAGGAGAGGGATTGGCTGCGCAGCAGTTCGCAATCGGTTGCGTGCGATGGTGCAATATGCCGAAGGAGACTCGCGTAATCCAGTAAAACCTATTGGCTATTTCTAGGTGTCAAGGCCCGCGCTATCGGCATCTCTTCGAGGAAGCATAATAGACTACGACTACGGGAAGCCATTGAGGTCAGAAAGCAACCCTCAACTTGACCTGTTTTTCACCAGACAGCGCTACAAAGATCAAAAAACGAACATGGGCAGCGAAGAGCAATCATCGATAAACGTTTCAACCAATGGCAAGAAACAAATCATACTCAATGCTTTTGTCATGAACACCCCCGGCCACTTGGCCCCAGGTCTCTGGAAGCACCCACGCAACAAGACGGATCAATACAAGAAACTGTCCTTCTGGACCGACCTGGCACAGTTGCTTGACAACGCTGGCTTTCATGCCATGTTCATCGCCGATACCTTGGGTCCCTACGACGTGTATAAAGGACCGGCAAATGTGGTCCCGGCCTTGGCTTCCGGTGCTCAATTCCCGGTAAACGACCCGCTCTACCTGGTCCCGTCCATGGCGGCGGCGACCAAGAACCTCATATTCGGGGTGACTGCAAGCTTGACCTACGAGAAGCCTTACGCTCTGGCGAGACGACTTTCGACAGTGGACCACCTGAGTGAGGGCCGTCTGGCCTGGAACATCGTCACCTCGTATTTGGATAGTGCGGCCCGAAACCATGGCTTGAAGGAGCAAATTCCGCACGACGAGCGCTACGCCATTGCACACGAGTATCTGGAAGTTCTTTACAAGCTGTGGGAAGGCAGCTTCCGAGATGACGCCGTTCTGGCGGATCGCGAAGCCGGAACCTACATCGCAAGCGACGCCGTCACGCAAATCAACCACAAGGGCAAATATTTCGAGGTGCCTGGTCCCCATTTTGTCGAGCCCTCGCCTCAACGCACGCCTTTTCTCTTCCAGGCCGGCGTCTCGGAGGCAGGAAACGGTTTCGGTGGCAAGCATGGTGAGGCCATCTTTATTGGGGGACAAACGGCGGAAGGCGTTCGGAAGACAGTCGACAATCTCCGCGGGATTGCTGCCTCAGAGGGAAGAGATTCAAAACATATCAAGATTATCGTGGGTATCAACGTCATCGTTGCGCCAACGGATAAAGAAGCGGAAGAAAAACGGCAAGAGTATCTGAAGTACGCCGATACAGAAGGAGCGCTCGCGTTGTTTGGTGGTTGGACAGGAGTGGACTTGTCGAGCTTCCCGGATGACGAAAACTTCCTTGTGACCGAGTCTCCCCGTATTCAGTCCATCATTCGACGCTGGTCAGACACCGTTCCAGGAACCGATAATCTCCCGTGGACGAAGCGTCGTATCGTGGAATACCTCAGCATCGGTGGTCTGGGCGCGAAAGTCGTTGGCAGCCCTACCACTGTCGCCAACGAGTTGGAACGGTGGATTGAAGTTGCCGATGTTGATGGATTTAATCTGGCACACATCACTAATCCAGGTACCTTTGAAGACATCATTCAATACCTCCTGCCCGAGCTGCGCAAACGTGGGATTTTCAGATCCGTTTTCGAGAAGGAGGGAGCAACTGCGAGAGAGGTGTTCATTGGCTCCAAAAGACTACCTGAAGATCATCCTGGCAGCAGATACAAATGGCGAGCCGGTGAGAAAGAACCACCCTTTTTGACCAAAGAAGGGGAGAAATCAACATGAGCTAGAGTTGCAGTCAAATATTAGAGCCGAGGTCTTGATTGGCAGGGGAAAGCATATTCTTTTGCACTAGACATGTACGAGTAAGCGCATAAATGACAACAAGCAGTGAATAGCACAACAATACGTCGAGAAATTCGAATGCAACTCTGTTGATTTTGCTAAAATGTAACTACCACCTTCAAAGCAAGCCGGCACTGACTGGACTCACGCTTGGGTAATATATCACTACCTGCCAAAAGCCCCAATATTGCTGATAGACTGTCCAACAACGCAAGACCAATTCCGAACGCCCTTTCCACCACATGTTCAATTTTCTTTTCGTATTAATGGCCTTATGCCTCAAGCAATGAATCTGTTTGGACTGTGTCCCGGCACCTTCAAATTATGAGGGGGGTCGGCTCGTTGAATTTGTATGCCGATTGGTGATTGGAGAAATTCAACTACTTAGGTCATCACCAAAGAAACAAATTCAATATTCTGCGTAATACAATGCAGCCATCCTTATTGTTTTTGCTGCTATACCTAATGAGTACATGTTGAACATTTAATTTTCTGAAAGAATAAAACTCTGTTCTGATAAGCTTCCTGGCGGCGTATGTGGTGGCGCTTGCTTGAATGGCCATCAACAAATGGACTGCTTCACAGGCGATTTGGGCACAGAAGAGTCCCTGACTTCTTTGCATGCCCTCTGCTCGATATTGTTCAACTCTTGAAAGCACTGAACGTAATTATAATGCCCACTATCACAAGGCTCTTATCGGACATGTTTCAGAATCCCATACTTACCATGACCAATGAACGAAGGCCACCGTTGTACCGGTGCATGATCCTTCAATGATGTCACGAAGATTCTTCCAGCCGCATTAGGAAAAGCACGAGGCAAGAAGCATGCCTTTTCCATCTATTGAGCGCTTGGAATCCATCATATGAAAACACATGAACTTCTCCAGCATCTCCCCATCATCGCCCCATCATCACATCCTCTCAACAATCCAAACATGCACGAGCTCCTAAACAAACCCGGTCCCCGTTTCGCCACGGCTGTTCCAAAATGCCCCATTACCTACCGGCGACCACCTTCATGGCAGGCAGACAAAATCATTGAGTCGTCAGGGGTTGCCCACGCGAATCGCGCTCCGTCAACGGATCATCCAGAGGGCAGTGTCGAGTATTCTGAAACGTACAAGGACTATGTGAGCCAACGAGCGCAGCTCACCGACATGGAAAGAAACTATTTGACTCTGACTATAAATGCAGACTGTTTTACAGCAGCACGTTCTCTTCTGGGACCGCGACAACGATGGCTTCATTACTCCGATCGATGTATGGGTTGGCTTTCGAGATCTTGGTTTCAACATCCCGATCTGCTTGCTGGCAGCAACAGTCATTCCATTTGCATTCTCATACGGCACTATCATGCAGTATTCCTACCTTCCAGATCCGTTCTTTCGACTCTTCGTTGGGGGCATGCACAAAGCAAAGGTACAAACTCTCAATCTGTTAAAGAAAAGAAAACGAAACTTGCTTCGTAATCTGACCATCATCTTCTAGCATGGATCCGATTCAGGCATCTATGACACCGAGGGACGCTTCATGCCGCAAAAGTTCGAAGATGCCTTTACAAATTGCAGCGCCAGGAACGATGACACCCTCACCCTTGGGGAAATCTTTGGGTTGATGAGCAGGAATAGATGCGCAGTGGATCCATTTGGTGTAAGTGAACAATTCTTGAACAAGTATCAAAACAGGACAGTGCTGAATTATCTGTGATGCTCTCAGTGGACAGCTTCGTTTTTCGAATGGGTTACCACTTGGCTGCTCTTAGCGCAAGACGGCAAAGTGCACAAAGAAGACCTTCGGCGAGTATACGATGTAAGTATGTACGTCATTCTTTAGACCCGAGCTTATTTGCGTCACAGGGCTCACTGTTCTGGGAGATCAGAGAGAAACGGCGCTCAGGAGAAGGATGGAACCAAGGTTGGGGGCTTGGAGGAGACGGATTTGTTGGCTATCATAGAGGGCTCAATGCTCACGGCACAACTAAACCAGAACCAACGCGAAATGTTCTCCCCGGTTCGTGGGACACGACGTGAGCGTCACGTTCGTAGAACAATCCGTATTCTTCATATACCAACGAGTTTTGGCTCTCTAGCGCTCATAAACCTTGCGCAACCCTTCTCAGTCCCTCCGTACCCCGTCCTGATATCCCCGAGAAAGGTATGAGCGCGGGCACAGACGGCTTTTACGCAGAGATGTGCCCGCGTGCTGACTTAAGTCGTGTTTCTCGCTTGTGCAGGAAGCGAATGACGAAGGCGATTCCGATCAGAGCAATCGAAAGTCCAATCATGCTCGGGTAGCCCTTGGGGTAGGAAGGAGCTTCTACTTGCTGCCAGATAACCAGCGGAAGCCATGCTTGAAAGACGTAGGCCATTTGGTTCATGGCGCCTGTGACAAGAGCTCGTTCTTCGTTATCGTCACTGCATATTTCGTGTGCCCAAGCGAAGGTGAGACCACTGATCCCTCCGCCAAAGCCGCACAATATGAAGCATGCCCATTTCAGACTGTTTGGGACATCCCATACGGTCAGAGGAACGTATGCCACGATCTTGACCAAACCCGAAAAGACAATAGCTGGCCAACGAGCCCCACGAAAGAGACTGTCTGATGTCCATGCGTAGATGAGCGTGGTGATGATACTCACGACCTCAGTGATTGTAGGATAGATGTTGACTTCGCGCAAGCTGTAGCCCTCTGATTTCAACCAGAGGGAAAATGCCGGCTGCGAGTTACCACCATTGCCATTGTTGAAGACAATATAGAGGATAACAAGTGTCCAAATGTGCCAGCTGGAGAATATCTTGATGAACTTGGACTTGGTATAGGGGGCTCTTTGGGCGCGGCCTTCCAGCTGCATACGCTTTTGCGCTAGGACAATTTCTTCCGGTGTGAAGTATCAGGCGTTTGTGATCTCCGGTAAGTCGGGGAAAAAGAAGAATCCGGAAATCGCAATGGGCAGTGAGACGACAGTGTTGATGATGAACAACCATTGCCAACCGTGATAACCATGAACGCCGTCCAGGTTATGGGCGCCAGCCATGAGATATCCGGAAATGGCGCTTCCGACGTTGCCCATAGCATGGAACAAGCAAGATCTTTTGGCTAGCTCATCTCGCCGGTACCAAGATCCGATGATGTATTGCATGCCAGGGTAGAAAGTGCTTTCCGCGAGGCCAATGAAGAACCTCAGCACATAGATCTGGGTAGCTGTTTCGCACTTTGCGAGCAGAATTGTGAGGACAGACCAGGTTACCTGCAAGCGTTAGCTAATTCATACTAATTACTGTCCAGCCGGAGGATCATATGGCGAATGCTTACCTCACAGATCGGGATCCAAATTCGAGGTCGGATTCGAGTGAGCAACATGTTACTTGAAAACGGGTTAGCTCGGGTTCCAGCTATGAGTACATAATATGACGTGCTCACCTGGGTATTTCACCAATAACATATCCCACAGTCCAGCACACTTGCATGTAGTTCAACTCGTTGCCATAGAGGCTCAAGTCCTCTTTCATCCCAGAAACAAAGGCATTGTTGATGTTAACCTGTAGATGTGAGTCAACGTACATCTCTCAATCCACTGAGTTACTTACTTGGTCTAAATACTTAATGAAGTAACCCAGTGAAGCAAGTGTCATTAACACTGCGTCCAATTTGAAAAGAAACCGCCTTTCCTCTGGAGACTTGTCAAACGTATCCCAGAAGTACGACTTCCATGTCCCTTTCGGGGTCTCCTGAAGCACCTCCGTGACGGCAGGCTCGACTGATTGTTTCTCGCTGGTTTTCAATGAAGCTGAGGCGCTGACATCGGCGCCCACAGGGCGAGCCTCCGAAATGGAGCCAGACATCGTTGTCGCTTGCAGTCAGGCGTATTCCGAGTCTAGAAAGCCTCAAAGAATGTCGTAGATCAAAGATGCCGGTTTGCCGAAGGAACGGAGTGCGTAGGCATTTCCTTTCTCGCGATTGCGTGCACGCATGTTCTCCAAAGACGTTATATCTGTCGTGACCTATTTGCCAAGGCATTGCTACCCACGTACGATACCACAAATACCTGCAGCATTCTTTCGTCATGGAGGGGAAATAAGTCGTCACGCATGTTTATCACAACGAATGTGGCGAGAGCAGCCTGAGAGTCTCAGTCTGCAGGCCACGATCAGGAATGGCTGGCTCGCGGGGCTAATTTGGCCCCCGACATAACAGATCAGCCATCAGATAAGAGAGTTGAGTGAGGGTCATGACTCGAATTTTGGTAGTTTTACCTACAAAGCGGGCTTGGCCCGACGTGAGGCAGGTTGAGGTTGTGTGGAAAATGTTTGCATTGGCTGAACAGACATATAAGCCAAGACTTTAGGTAGCCTGCAAGCCATCGCGGAATCACGACTAGCCACATCGATGCCTGTCTGTACAGTAAATTTTCTCTGAGGCTTGGCTTTCGGGATTTTTAAGTAGGATCATCAATAAGATGCAGTTAGCTTACCATCTACATATGGCAAAGTCGGACAGATTCCGCGGATAGAAATGACACGAAACAATTGCATGGTCACGTCATCAAAAACAGCCAGTCAGATCAAAGGATTTCCGGCGTCTTCAAGGCACGCGAAGCTCTCCGAGAGTAGTTGAGTTTATCCCGATTGTCGGATCTCGCCGGAAAGTCCTCCGCCATGGACGTAGTCGGTAACAGACCCGTTGTTGTCGGGGACCGGTCATCTTGGCAATGATGGCATCAACCTCAACCGGCTTTGCATCATTTCGAATAAATCCCACACACAGGAATACGATAGCAATAAATGTAATTACAGTTGATAAGAAGTTTTCTATCTTCCCCATGGGTGGTGGTGTGGCATCTGGGCTTACACTAACTACCCCAGCTTGTGTGTGGACAAGATTGGTTCCGCCATACCCGGGGTTTCTTGCGTCATCGCGGGGTCGTCTGGGAGACAGACAGTAATGTATGAAATTGACTATGAGTAGTTATTCTAACTTCCTTTATGTGTTAATAGCCAGTTTGTTTTGCGTGATGGTGATTCTAAATTGTCTTGTTTTACTTGATGTAATGAGTGAATTCCCCTATGCTCTCAATCCAAAGTCGCAAAGTGTCTCCTGCTTGCAGGAATCTCCCCCGGCCGATTCCAACCCCTGCCCCAGTACCTGTCATTATCATATCTCCGGGGTGTAACGTCAGTTGAGAAGAAAGTGCTGCGACCTGTTCTGCAACAGAGAAGATCATATTTGCGGTTGAGCTGTCCTGCATGAGTTCGTCGCCAACCCATAACATCATCTTCAAGGCTTGTACGTCGGGAACTTGACTCGTAGGCACCAGCCACGGCCCCGTGGGGCAAGATTGATCAAAACACTTTTGTTGAAACCAGTCGTACTCGAACGGCTCTCCTGGTAGAAGGCCCTGACGGCGAACATTCTTTCGGAGAGACATGTCGTTGCCAATTGTAAAACCAGCGACAAAATCCATAGCCGAGTCTTTCGACACACTGCGTGCGACTCTCCCAATGACGGCGACGAGCTCGAGTTCCCAATCCAACATGAGCCCAGGGGAATCCAATTTGGTGGCTGATCCTGGTCCGCAGACCCCTGAGGCATTCTTGAGAAAGAAGAAAGGGGGCTGGCCTCGTTCTTTCAAGCTTGGAGGGGACTTCAGGTTCATTACACGAGACATCTCTTCGATGTGGTCGGTAAAGTTGCCGCCAACACAGAAAATGGACCGCGGGCCGGGTATTGGGGCTAGAAGTTTGATATCGGTGATTTCCTTGTATGGTATCTTGATGCTCAAATGATTGCTGGCAAAGCTTTCCAATCTCTTTCGGTAGTTATCCCAATCGTTAAGCAGATCGAATGTGCTGAGTAATAACTCGTCGCGGAGAATGTCGCAGAGATTGTAGATCCTCGCGTTGATGTGAAGGGCACCTGTCGGGCCTTGAGGGGATTCGTATGTGACAATCTGAAAGTGAGTTTCGGTCATTTTGTTAGATGAACAAAGCAAAGTTCCAAGTATTGTCTGTTTCACTTGATGATCAAAAGGACTTGAGTTGCTCGACTGTGACATGTTAGAATCAGGTTGAACGTCCTACCAAGTGAGGTTCAAATAGCTGAGGTAAAATCAGCTGTGAAGTAGCAGATCAAGCGTGAACCCCGCCATACTAAATAAACAAGCTTTTGATGCGCACCCGCGTGAGAAACCACACTATACATATCAACTACGTGTACTCGGATGCACCGGCTATACATCAGATTAGGGCATTCGGCGGACTATGATAAAGTTTAAATATCTGTCTTGGGGGGAATCCCTGCTGGATCATTGTCAGTAGGAATCGACATGCGTCTTGTTCATGTGATAAGACTTGAAATCGTTTGCGTCTGCAGTGGCAGGACACGTGAAAATTGTAGACCAAACAATTGTGGCTTGACTCAATGTCAGAACTCAGGCCTTCTCCTAGTCAAGATACTTAATAATAAAGGGCACCGTCTCCGCAAAATCCCAATCCTCACGATTATTGGGATCGCCAAATACTCGCAATCCACTGAACACAATCTTATACGTTCCCTCTGGCACTATTGTACCATCGGAAAGCTCTCCCACGAAGGCAAGCCTGTAGTTCCTTCGTATCACCCATCGCTCAGGGAAACCGGACAAAAGTCCGATGCTCCTTATATCAAAAAAGTCAGATGTAGGAAGCCCTGTCTCTGATAACGCGACCACATCCGCGCGTGCAATCTGGGTTCCAAAAAGAAGGCTCGCTTGAATGCTCGGAAAATCTCCGACGGGAGGTGTACCATCGGGGCGGGGAATAGTGAAAGTTGTGTTCGGCGGAGTTGGATTGTTGAAGTAACCAAGATACGTTCCATACTCGGGGCCTTCAAGGAAGACGGGTGTGTCTTTCATGTTGCCAGCTACACCCATGTAAGGTATATTTTGTTGCTCACCATTGCTTGCGAGGACGGTAATCAGACCACTGTACACGGGCAGTTGATTCGCATTCACGGTTTGAGGTGGAACAGCGCTGACCGTTACTTCTGCAGATGACCCCCCAGATATTGTTATCGAGCTATTGTCGCTGTCAGTTCTTGAGGTATCGACCTTGAGATCATTGGACTCGCTTACGTTGACGAAATGGATATGCTAGCCCAATCATCAACCGTCGGATTAGGGAATTGGGAAGCCGATCGCGACCCTGCGGCAAATGTATACACAGTAGCGGCATTAACATGACCGAGAGTGTATGTCATTTCCTTGTCATCCGTGTTTCTGATACTGAAGGTTCGACTCTTGACAAAGTTATCGGTGTCATTGAACGAAATCTCACTGATGCTGAGGACCGTTTTCGCGTGTGCGGCATCATAGGCTTGTACCACGCCAGAGCCCTGTTGGGGAATTGGAGCGAGAATGTCGTGGACCGTGGTTCCATCGTACCAAGATCGTGGCCTCGAGGTCGAAGAAAGAACGTTTCTTAACTCAGCAGGATCCATAGTCCCTCTTGCTTGGCCAACGAGAGCGAAGATGGCGGCGACCAATGGAGTGGACATGGAAGTTCCTGACAAGACAGAATATCGTCCCATCACCACTGGCCAAGTTGAAAGAATGTTGCCTCCCGGTGCCGTAAATTGTGGTTTGGATTCAACTTCCCAAGTAGGACCCCAAGCAGTCGTCAAACTTGTCAGATTTCCAGAGATTTTGTTTTCAACCGCTTCATAGCGGATACCTGCGATATCAGGGTCGTCAATGTTGATGTTAACAGTCGAACCTTCGCTCAGTAGGGAGATCCACGTCGCCCCTTGCGCTGGGGTGACAAGACCGACGCCAAGAATACCATCCCCGTACGCATAGACCGTTTCGATAGATCTACATGAAATTAGTGAAAGTCAACGTCTAGGTCCAGTCAGATGCAACATACGAGTTACTTTGGCTATAAAATAGCAGATACTTGGCCCCTTTGGCTGCAAGATTCGTTGCTTGAGCAGAAGAGTAACACTCGGACGTATCCGCAACTCTCAGGAGAACAACTTTCGACGAGAGATCGGGCGTGTCCTCCGGCAGAGGAACACAAGCGTCGTTCGCAGAGCTGGTGTTGTTGCTCACGGCCCACAGCGGCAGAGTGACGTTGTCGGCAAATCCTGGTCCACCATTAACAAAGCCGAATGGTTCAGGACTTCCCGTGGCGTTCCCGAGAAGGTATGAACCAGCAGTAAGAAGAAGTGGTGTTATGGTGTTTTCAACCGACCCCGCGGCTGTTACGTTGACCCCGGTGGCCGGTGAGCCTGACAAAAACATGCCGGACCTGCCAGAGTTACCAGGGGCCACGATCACCGAGACGCCTTGCGCCGCGATTCGGGACGCAGCTATTCCCCAGGGATCGTTGGCCCAGTTAGTGTACTGCCCGGCAGAGCATGATATGATGTCACTTCCGTCCTCAAAGGCAGCATTGAATGCATCCAGAAGGATGTCGTTCGTCGTCAGACTATTGCAGCCCCAAGCTCGATAGGCCCCGATAGTCACATCAGGAGCCGCGCCGGTAAAGCCCATCTCGTTCGCCTGGGCAGCGATGATGCCGGCTACGTGAGTTCCATGACCAACACAGCCGTCGTACGGGTCCGCGTCCGGCTCGGGAGCATCTGGAGGGAAATAGTTGTCGCCCGTGAAGTCCCACCCATAACTGACGATGCATCCATCACCGAAGCAGCCGCCGAGAGCAGGATGGGTGTAGTCAATGCCGCTGTCCACTACACCAACACGGATACCCTTGCCCGTGTACCCTTCTGCTCGGAGTTTGTCGACTTGTGTCATGACGTGTGGTGTGAATGTATCGACATCCTCGTCCTGTCGCTTCCCCATGGTAGCTGAATTCTTCGGGGAGATCGCGGAGTTCTTTCCGACAAAGAGTGGCTGGGGTGTTGGCATTCGAATTGTCTTCACAGGCCAGATGGCCTTTACCTCTGGCCTGGAGACAATTTGGTCCGCGATATTTTCATACGAAGCGTTGGTGATTTGGAACGACGCACCCTTGAAAAGTCGGCAATTGAGATCCCTGCGATGTTCGATGTCGAAGTCAAAATTTCGATAAAAAGCACCCGGTTCCTCCACATCTATTTCCCATTCGACAATGTAAGCGCCTGGAACATCATGAACGGCATCGTCGGATAAGTCGGGCGTGGTCAACGGCGAGTCGAGTGCGCTGACCGATGAAGCCAACACGAGACCAATGACCGTGGCCCGGGTGGAAACAGCGGCGAACCACATGGTAACTGAGTACAACACGAAGATGAAGCCGCGCAGACATCCAGTCTCAACAGAATTGCGCGCCGGGCTGGGTAAGATAAGCATTTTAAAAACTCGGCCTTCCAACAGGCAAGTCGCTGGTCAGCAAGCTGCATACCGATAGCTCCGGCGGGACATCGCCAAGTTCGTATTGCTCAAGCTTGACCGGGGCGCCCTGAAATGCCCAGCGTGTTTCTCGCGATCGATATGGTGATGATTGGCAAATGATTCAAATACCTGCCTATTCAGGCCACAATGTGGGTATCAATGCTACGCTCCAAGCCCGTCACGCATCTGAGGTTGCATGGCATGATGGCTCCAGGCACAAGACCATGTGCGCTCATGATAGCAATTCGAATGGCAGAAAGATTTATTGGTAAAGTCCACGTTTTCAACACCAACTTTCATTGCAGATTGCTCAACTGACAGAAGGGTGGACACAACTACGTTCTCATCGTAACGTTGCTTCAATTTTTTCCAGTTCCTTGTTCTGATAGTTCATTTCCATAATCAACATAAGCAAAAGCAATCCCGATGGGAAATCCCGTATGTACAGAGAAATTGTCCAAAAATGTACTCGAATGGAAAAAAAAGTGTTCAACCTGCAGAAGCTAACACTCCTCGCAATGCTCGCAGCTTTCAGCATCGCCCCTTTCCCTCAGGCGTTGTATACAGCAATATACTCGGCTTGAAGAGTTCCTCCCGAAACCGTGTTGGCGAGGGGCGTTGTGCTTCCATAATTGTTGTTAGGGAACGCACCACCAATAGCTAGGTTGAGCAAGATGAAGTGCGGCGAGTGCACAGCTTGGGCCCAGACATCGGCGGGAAGCTCGGTCTCGATGATCTGCCAGAACAGAATTCCATCGACGAACCACCTGACTGCTTCGAGCTCTGTCGTGCGGTCAACCTCGAGGGTGTAAGTGTGGAAGTTGCCCTGGCACGGGCTGTTCGGGCACTGCCGGCTTCCAACGAGTCCATCTGTTTCCTTGCAGGGGCCGCCGGGGTTGACGCCGCAATGCATGACACCCCAGACGCGATCGATGCCGTTCACGTTCTCCATGATATCGAACTCTCCAATTGCGGGCCAATTCCTACATCCTCGTCAAAACCTATTCGTCGAGACTGTCGTGGAGGATAAACAGATCACTTACCAGTAGTTTCCGCGGTAAGCGTTGCCCAAAGTCCAGAAAGCAGGCCAGTATCCGATTCCATTGCTACCAACGACAGGGAGGTTCAAGCTGGCTTGTATGCGCATCTTGCCTCCAGCTCGAGCCATGAAGTCGCCCCGCTGGGTCTCGATACGAGATGATGTCCACTGGCCAGCTGAGTCCTTGAGGGCGGTGATCTGCAGGGCGCCGTTTCCATTGAGACGAAGGTTGTTCACGCTGCTGGTGTACGTCTGAATCTCGTTGGTACCCCAGTTGGCTGGGCCACCGGGGTAGCTGGTACCGGTGTCGATGATCCAGTTGGCGGTGTTAGGCAGGCTGTTGGCAGAACCGACGAAGTCGTCAGACCATGTAAGAGAGAAGCCGGGAATGGTGGGCACGGCGGCTTGAATGGCCGGTAGGCCAATAGTAAGAGCCGTTATAACTTTGTTGAAGACCATTCCTATCATATGTTAGCTCGTGTAACTTGGGGACTTGGAGAATGGAAATATTTACTGAGTAAGTAATGCAGAGAAGTGGATAGAAGAGAAAACGAAGTGAAGCTTAAAGAAGGAAAGAGAGAGCTGGCTGCTGGTTTCTCCTACAATCTCATGATCATAGCCCGGAAGTCTCACTTATTAAGTACTCCTAGGATATGGGCGTGCTCCAAGCCTTCCCTCGGAGTGGCTCAAGAGCACATGTCGTCGTCCTGAATCTCATCTCATTCGATTGGGGCCGACTCGGTTCCCAATCCCTGCGCCGTCTAGCCATACCCGTAAGCTCCCCCGCCGCGATGCCACGCGGGGAGCGCCGTGGCCGACAGGCACCACCACGATCCTTGTCATGGTGTTGTCTCCTTTATTTCCCCACACTGGCCAGCCGACGACGATGGCAGACTACACGGACCAAAAAAAGGCCCTGTTGGTAAATGATACCCGTCGAGAAGAGTAGTGAAGACTTGCAAGGCGCTATTGGGATATTGCAACGATGCATGTAAGATCACTTGTCATCTCTCAGAAGAATGGGAACCAGGCCGGACGGACTGTTCGTCTGATCTTGACAGCTGACCGGGGTGGTCGCATATAGGTCTGCCCTGGATACCGTGATCTTTCGCGGGTAACCCCTGTCTTCATTAATGATGAGCTAAAATAAATCTTTGTCAACCACTGGTCGGTGATCTGTTTTGGGTTGCTGAAGATGCTCGTGGGCCTGATCGCGGAGAAGCCGAGGAGAAGGTCCAGTGAATACCACTGCGCAGATCTTTACAACACTTCGTCGCGTTTGAGACGCGGTGTCGAATAAACCCATGTTGAACCACTTGAGCGTGAGGAATGGGGGCTTTAGAGTGAGGGGGCTTGGCAAACCCGAAAGCTGAGTTTGTGGTTCGGTCCAAAATGTAACCCTAGGTCTTTGGTTCATCCTCTGCTCGGGGAAGTCGGCGGCGAAGTGGTTCAGCATTCAAATGGTCAATGTCACACAACTTTTGAACACTGTCATATGCCAGAAAAGAAAGAGATTGGGGGAAAGCATGCATGTGTGACACTGGCCAAATGATGCACAAACGTTGAAGAACATATTTTAAGCTTGTTTCTTGTGCCTGACGATCGGTCTTTCATCGGCTCCTCTTCCCTTCAACTCTGCGGTCTTAGGATATTAGAGTTGTGACCAAGACGCGCCATGTTCTCGATCGGGCATCTTGGCCGGGCTCGTTCGGTGCTTCGCCGGCAGGATTAAGGCATATTTTTTGCCGTCAATCGCCTTTTTTCCTCCACGTCGAAGCCTCCACTGCTAAAGCTTGGTGATGTCTCCTGACTCACGGTGTTGAAATCACGCGGGCGCTGCATGGGCTGCTTCTGGGGAAATCAAGGGGTGGATGAACAGGGGCTAGCCCCGGCTCAAGAAGCCGGGCAGGCTCTCCGAAAGAAGCCATGTCCGGGTCTCAACGGCCGCGACCGCAGAAACCCTCGCAACGGCCCGATTGACAGCAGCATCGGCGTTGTGATCCGCCATGGGCGCGAAGTCCAGTATGTTTGGCGATGTCGAGAGTACAAGTTGACCTGGCGTGTCGAAGCGAGGTCGAGCTCACGGTACACCATTCTGAAGGTTCTGGGGATGTTTTCCCTGTCGATGCCCCCAACGAAACGTTTCTCAGAAGTGAGCTCAGCAGCCAAGAGCCGCAGTCTTATTAACGGCCACATTGACCGCATAACTCGGAAGAAATCTTGAAAATTGTGCCACAGATGCCTCGGGCTCATGTCGGTGAATGTTCATTACCCTCTGCTGGGCTTGTAATGAGGACGTGGTTGAAGAGTGCTCGTGCGAAGCTGACATCGCACACAAAAGTTGAGTACGCCCTCAAGATAGGAGAGGTTAATATTTCAGTGGAAAGCTCGAAGTCATGTTCCGTGCGTTCGTCCAACAGAAAGTCAAAAGAAAACTTGCAGACAAGTCCCCTTCAAATATGTAGGTTTGTGGAGGTCCTTCGGTTCGTCCCGAGACTTGACGTGCAGCCGAGAGACGGGGGATTCGCTCACAACGGCGCCGCTGGTGAAGATCTCTCCACGGCACAATCTAGAACGCTCCCCGGTTCGGACGAACGCCATCCCAGGAATGCTGATCCGCTGGACTCGGCACCCGTGCGTCGGGGAGAGATGCCAATGTCAAAGGGCCATTGAAAGCGTAGTCGTGATATCGAGCGGGCGGGCAAACATGCTTGTTCCCCGAACACACCTCTGAGACATGGTCAACTGATTTGCGTCCTGGTCAATCAAAGTGCCGACTGTCAGCCGGCAGTTGAGCGGCACGGAGTCGGAGACGGGCCCGGACCTGGACACCCGCCGATCCGTCCGTCCATGCCATCTTTGGTGCAATCAGCGAAGAATAATGGCTTTGTCGTTTTCTGAGCCTTCATTTTATGATTTTATCATCATTTCCGGCTTCAAAAACATATTCGGTCGTGGACTTCAGTTCACCCGGTGGAGCTGTCCGCTGAAATCCGCAACTCCGCAGGACCAAACCGGCGGGATTATTCCTCCGATCAACCCAGGCCAACTGACTCTCATGCTAGTGTGATTTTGGCTGAGCGATGCCTCGGCATAAGTTTCAAAACCGTATAGTTTCACGGGGAGACTCTTCTCCGGGCTGTGGATCCTTTTCCTTCGCCCATGGCGCCATCTTTATTGTCTTTGTAATCCGATTATTCAAGGTGTTTCTACTGGGATTCCATCCCTATGTGGAGCTGAGGCCGTGCGATGGCGATAATGGAGTCGTTAATTGATAAAGAAACAAATTTTCCGTCCCTGATGCTGACGAGTTGGACGTTTTGATTGACGGTATTCTGCATAAAAACAAGTATTTCCGAAACATAGATCGTTTTCTCATATTAGCAAAATACCTATATTTCTAGAAAAACCCAAGCACATTATGTCAAACTCGACAATCGCTAAGCCGTTGACGCTCAAATGCGGCCTTACCCTCCCGAATCGCCTCACCAAGGCCGCAATGGCTGAGAGCTGGGCTGATAAAGACGGTTTGCCGGTCGAGGCAATGAACAAAGCTTACGCACAATGGGCTGACGGCGGATGGGGACTCGTCATGACGGGTATGCAATCCAGCGTTGCTGTGATCTCGGACTAATGATCGGTAGGCAACGTTGAAGTTGACGACAGGTATCTCGGCCAGCCCGGAGATGTCGCTTACAATGAAGATATCCCTTACGAGCGCATGCTTTCGGCCTGGCAAACCTGGGCTGCCGCTTGCAACCAGAATGGAACTCCGACTATCGTGCAGGTAAACCATCCGGGCCGTCAGTCACCATTGGGCGCGGGAAAGCGCGGGTTCCGTGAGAAGGCTCTGGCTCCGAGCCCAGTGCCGTTGAACCTGGGAGATGGTCTTCTCTCCCGTCTGATTAGCTCATTGCTCTTTGGCACCCCGCGCGAGATGACCGTTGCTGAGATTCAAGACGTCGTTCGCCGATTTGCGCAGACTGCGAAGCTTGCTTCCGACGCAGGTTTCGCCGGTATCGAGATCCACGCCGCTCATGGTTACCTGCTTGCGCAGTTCATGTCGGAGAAGATCAACAAGCGGACGGACGAGTACGGTGGTTCGTACGCTGGCCGCGTGAAAATCATTGTCGATGTCATCCGAGCCATCCGCAAAGCTGTACCGAAGGAGTTCTGCGTCGGTATCAAGTTTAACTCGGTTGATCACCAGTCTCAAGCCGAGCTTTCTGGCTGCATTGAGCAATTGAAGTTAATCACTGAGGCCGGGGTTGACTTCCTCGAGATCAGCGGTGGAACATACGAGGATCCTCTGGTAAGTAAGTCGAAACAACAGAGAAGTATGGAACTGACGAAAAATACAGATGTCCACTGGAGTCAGCGATGAGAAGAAATCCGAACGTACTAAGGCTCGCGAGGCATTCTTCCTCGAGTTCGCCAAGGCCATCCGCAACGACTTCCCTGACGTTCCCTTGATGGTGACGGGAGGGTTCCGCACACGTCAGGGTATGGAGGCTGCGTTGTCGAGCAAGAGCTGCGACCTCATTGGTGTCGCCAGACCGGCTGTGCTCAATCCTCACCTTCCCAAGAACACGATCCTTGCCGCCGATGTCAAGGACGAGGATGCGAAGCTGTACGTGAGAAAGATTGAGGCGCCATGGATTGCGCAGAAGCTCGGCATGAAGGCTGTCGGTGCAGGCGCCGAGTCGGTGAGTGCCCCCTTATGATGAGTCCAGCCCAATGCGAGCATCGCACTGACATTACATAGGCGTGGTACGGTGGAGAGATCCGTAAGATGGGGAAGTTGTGAGAACTTTCGGACGGGATTCAAGAGCATTCCCAATTTGCTTTAGACAAAGACGTGATACCAGCCAACATACAAAAGAGATAGTCGTACACTTATCGACAGACTAGGCGATATGGAATGGCGAGTGAATATGAGTTCAAGGTCGCTAATGCCATACTGCAGTTTGGTGTAATAAAAGCTTCAAGATTCATATCGATGGTCACAGCCAATGACTCATCGAAAGTTGAGAGAATGAATGGTGGCTTATTCGACCGAAGGTCATACCAGCATTTCCCGATAGATCCTCGGTTACCCTGCAAAACACGAACATCAAGTAGCGGTCACGCCCAGCGGACAATCTCAACCCCGGTAACTGTCCTGTCACAGCGGGGATCTTCACCCGAGCTCATAAATGTTTCCATCTCCAACCTTTGCCGTTCGACGATACCGGGCATCTGTTCCCCTCATTCCCTCTACACAATCCACTTTTCCGCGCCCCGGATTTTAATCCTGCGCAAAGTTGCCTCCTCCGAATACTGTCGGGGACTCGGGACATCCGTTTTGATTACCACCTGCCCACTGGATTGGGATTGCATGTTACTTCAGTTCTCTTTAAGGAGGGTCTTCATCTTATTTGTCTTGGCAGATCTGGAGTTTCCCCGCATCGTCGAAAGGGCCTCGGATTGTCGGTGAATCACGTAATTGAGAGAGCAAAAGAAGGCTGTACTATAAGAGCACCTGTAGAAATTGAAGCCAAATTTTGGGATGCAATCCTTCCATCCATCCCACTGTCTTCTTCTCGGAACTCCGCTCATCATGAAGTCCTCTACTCTCAAGACTCTAAGTGTCCTGGCCTGGGCGGTTAGCCATGCCAAGGCAGATCTCTCAGAGTTATTCAACATCACTACCTTCCCCAATGAGCAAAAGGATAATGTCACGAAGTGGCTGGCTGAAGCTCGCACGCTTGCAGGACCAGATCTGACCGCACACTACGGTCACCGCTGCATCCTCGGCCAAGTCTATCCCGTGCTATCGAATGCCGCTCAAACCCCCGGGTTCATTCAACCTCGCGAGGTCTTCGACCGTTTTTACTTCATCGGCCAGAGCGCTGTGTCCGCATGGGCTTACGATACCGGTGATGGCCTGGTCGTGTTCGACGCTTTGAATGACGCTGAGGAGGCCGAAAAGATCTTGATTCCCGGGCTTGAGGCATTCGGGTTCTCGGGCAACGACATCAAGCACCTCATCATCACCCATGAACATTTCGATCACTATGGCGGAGTCCGCTATCTTCAGGACACATATGGTCCCGCGACATACGCCTCGGCTCCTGCGTGGGAAACTCTTAGAGGGGAGGAGGATGGCCCTCTAGAAGATAAGACGATTGCGGATGGAGAGGAGCTCACTTTTGGCAACGTTACGATTAAGTTTTATGTCACGCCTGGCCACACACGCGGTACCGTGTCCTCCATCTTCAAGCTTTACGATGGCGGCGTTGAGCACACAGCTGGCCTTTACGGTGGTGGCGGCATACCCAGCACAGCTGCAGACAAGGAGGCACAGATCACATCTTTCAACCGATTTGCGGATCTGGCCAAGGAAGCTGGCGTTGACACCCTCATTGCAAACCATCAAACACAAGACCGGTCACTCTACGCTTTCGATCTACTTGAGCATAGAGCCGAGGGGACGGAGCACCCACTTGTGATCGGATCCGATGCGTATGACCGTTATCTCAGAGTAATGGCGCAATGCGTTCGCGTTAAGGCAGCAAGAGACGGTCAGAATTTGCAGATTTAGCATAGAACTCGACGTTCAGACTGTACTGAATGAAAGTTCGCGAACAATCAATATCCACAGGCATAATTTGAGATCGACATTCAAGTATGTACAAGAAGTGAGGATGTTTGCTTTGAAACGTGCACAAAAGCTCCGCCATTTCGAACTAGGCAGGCAACTTGCCACTTGTAGACCAGTAGACGTTGTAGTTGAATCCATGAGCTTCATAAAACGGACCAAGGTTGATGGTCTTTCCTCCTGCGGTCGCAGTGAAAGTCAGGCCAGTAGTGCCGCTTCTCTTCACCGAGGCCAGATCCAGAGCTGGTACAGCAGAGAGGGTCTCACTACCATAGTTGCCACTCAGAATAACCGGACCAAAAGCTACAGCTGCGATGTTGGGGTTGTCATTGGCAGGAATGGCTTGCAACTTCATAGGCAACTTGACCACAACCGTATCGCCGTTGGCCCAGTTGCGATTGACTGAAGCATAGGTTCCGGGGGTAGCCGTCACAGCTTGTCCATTTACGGTGATTTGGGCTCCTGAGGTCCATGCGGGAATGCGAACTCTGAGGGTCCATTGCCCAGAGCCGGAGATCTTGAGCGTCGTGGTGTCGCTTCGAGGGAAGTCATTTGTCTGAGTGACGGTGACTCCGCGCTGCGTCCATTTGAGGACAGACGGGATAAATAGGTTGACGTAGAGGGCGGAGTTGTCGTAAAAGTAGATGGAGTCCATGAGTTTTGTGTTGGTCTCAAGACCAGTTCCTTGGCAACACCAAAAGCTGTTGTAGTCCGTTGACCATGCCGATGGATTCGGATCCCAGGCGGGACCGACGCCACGGCGACCCCCGGGGTTAAGAGGGGTAAAGTATGTGACATGACCGTGGCTATCGGAAGGATTCTGCTGGCCCAAAAGGTGGTTCAGAAGAGCTCTTTCGTAGAAATCAAAGTAAGTCGTAGCACTCGGGTTCGTAAGCCACAGCTCTCTTGTCAACTTGAGCATGTTGTATGTGTTGCAAGCCTCACAGGTGTCTTTGTTGAGATACCCGGCAATGGCATTGGGAAGTCTAAAGTGCTCGGCTTGGCTGTTTCCTCCAATAGCGTACGAATGGGCGTTGACAGTGATGTTCCATGCGTTGCGAGCGATATCCTGGTAGCGATTGGTTCCTGTGGCTTTGTACTCACGCGAAGCACCGATCCACTTGGGGACTTGAGTGTTTGCGTGGAGTCCATTGAGGGAGTCCTGGTTGGAGGCCAAAGGATCGAAGATGGCGGCGTGATCGAAACGTTGAGCAACAGTAAGCCATCGCTGGTCCCCGGTTTGGTGGAAGATGTCGGCCATAACTTCGTTCATCCCGCCAAACTCGGTGCTCATCATGGTCTGCATCTGAGCGTACGTGAGCTTCCCCGTGCGAAGGTCGACCCAAGCCGCCATGGCGAGAAGAACGTCGCGAGCGTTGGTGTCACCGATGTGACGCCAGACGTCAAGGAGCCCAGCCATGGTCTTGTGAATGGCGTAGTATGGCACATTGCCGTTGGACAAAGTGCGTTTCTCAACAGCGTCGATTTCGGACTCGGGGAAGCCGGACAGGTATCCTGTGTTGAATCCGACTTTGCTGTTATTCGCCTGGCACTTCTTAAGCTCGGCTGCGAAGTACGTCGCCCGGTTTTTGCACTCATTGTCACGTAGCTGGGCGTAGCAGTAAGCCCAGGCATTAAGAAAATGACCTTGGAAGTGAGTTCGGAATGGGAAGTCGGGGGCATCCCAGCCACCGTTGGCCTGGGCGTTGTTTGTTGAAAGTCCATGGTTCTTGCGAAAGTTGTACAGGATCCGCTCAACATCAACCCATTTGATATAGCTGAGAGTGCGGGCCTGGTTGTCGAAGAAGCGGCCACCGCTGAGGGTGACCTGGCTCATATCGAATGCCCATGCCGAGACTCCCTTCTCTTGGTTGACAGGAGGGACTGCCTGCGCATTTGTGCCAATAGCCGAAATGGTGAGTGCGAGGGTTGCCAGGCCCTGGCATGTTCGCGGGCTGAACCACATACTGGCGATGTGGGATGAACCTCGGTTCAGAAAGAATAAACACGAATGTAAAACTTGGCTAGTTTGCTCGAGGAATCCAGGTTGCGAGTTCATCTGCTAGAATCACATGGGCATCATTTTCACTTTTATATTCACCACGGGATATCGGCAGCGTCTCAAGCCGTTCCCCGTGAGAAATACGAAGGCGGACTCAACCTGGCTTAGCAAGGCGACCCTCGTGATGGTCAGAGATCCACCGACGCTACTCAAGCTGTTCAACGACTGGTGCGCATCCTTGGTAGTGGACATGAGGTTACAGTCAATCACTGATGGCATGTTTACCAAGAACTCATGCAGGCCTGCCCCTGGCTTGTTTCCCCGCATGCCGTGGTTTACGCGGGGTACGACGCAATTGGCGCGGTACTCGCAGGGCTCTGAACCGTTCTGGAATATCTTGTGGTAATGTGTGTGCCTCGATTCTTGTTTCATTGGATGTTGCCGTTGGGAATCTGCAGCCATGAGCGCCGGCTCCCGGAATTTCTCTTTCCACCGCCAGTCTGATCGTCATGTATCTGCGAATTATCGCGAGAGGGTCACATCCTGCGAGGCGAGTTCCGAGATAAGGAACCTAGACTTTGACCTACTCATAAAATATGTTGCCACTCACTTCATCAACAAAAGTAGACGCCCAATAATCGCGAGCATAAGCTACTCGCCACACCCAACATCATCTTGGATAGCATCTGCAGAAGCCCAACAGCCTCCTATTCATGCAAGAATTGAACCTATGCAGCGTTTATTTAGTGAAAGCTTTGGCATGCACCAGCCTTCTTACTCGTACGCTTCATGATCTTGATCGCCACGTCATTGAAAGTGAATTGCCGACATCACTCTATTGGCAGGCTTGAACGAACTCATATTTCACCACAGCAATCCAATTCCGAGCTATCCCGACGAATCATTTCGGAAGAGACCTCCTAGCTTGCGGTACTAGACGTTTTTTAGGCCTTAGTTAATATATCCGTTTCAATCATGGAAGCACTCAGCCTCAGCGGAGAGCTTCATGTAAACAAGTTCGAATCAATGTGAGAAGGAGTTGCTGGAGCTGCAACATAAGTGATGTGCAGTACGCCTATGTTGAGCAGTTACAATGGCATTCGAAAGCCACTTACAACAATGCTACGATGCAGTCCAAGCGATTCGTGCAGCGGAGAGAACAAAGTCAACAATATATAAACTCATGTATCTGGGTACATACACATGACATATCAAGTTCATTTTTCTTTCCCAATCTGCTGAGGTTGAAGTAAGCATGCTGCGAATGTAGACTCTGCTAGCGTTGCGGGCTTCCAAGGCTGCCAGATTGAATAGCCGACTTTGTAAGTCACCTGCCCAAATATGTAACAACAAAGTTACAACATATTTGTGGCAGTGGCAAGCTCGCTCTTGAGCTAAGAGTTACAGTTCTTCTTCAACTTTCTGGGTGACTTTCTCGCGTTAAATTTGTGCGATGTCTCGAGAAAATAGTATCGACGTCTGTAATCTCACAGCATTTAGCCTAGTCTCTAGTGTAGGAATATACCGCTCAGGTGAGAGTATCGAAACATACTAATGAGTCGGTGTTCACGCAGAAGCTCCATTTCCCTAAGTTTGAGAAATTGATTTCTCTATATGTCGCTACTATTGGCCTCAGATGCTAGAGAGACTTGATCTGGTATTCGTCACCTCTATGAAGCTCCAAGTGCATCTCAAGGTTTTTCACAGCTCCGTTAACCTCATACAGAGCTTTCTCTGTAATTTGAAGTTCTTCTGACGCATTCCGGAGGGAGCCACACGGTTCACGACAGTCTTGAGGCCGTTGTCACAACTGAGGTATCCCCAATACTCCCACAGTGAGACTGAAAGGGTTCATGATACGAGACAATTCATTTCCTTCGAGAAGGAGCCGAGGAAGCCAATGAAGTGCAAGATTTCAAGTCAATGGCTCTGCCACAGTTTGAAAGGGGAAGGTGGATCCAGATATAACAGTTCCGTTGCAGCGCAAGGCTGACGGGTCGGAACGGGAGTTAGCAACGAGATTCTGGTTCGCTACAACCGCATGATGACAGCTTCCGACCGCAGCACAGCCACTTCCGTGGCTACATATACGGGCGTTAGGACATCATGAGGCAAACAGGGCGTAATGCCATGTCTAATGAATATCAACAAAGACGCTTGTTGAATTCTCTCTGCAATACAATGCAGGCACCCTCTTTGGTTTCCTCGCCATACCCAACAAGTACCCATTTGTTGACAAAGACACCCAGATCGTGTCAGTCGCAACAATGCCTGAAGTGGCTTCCGGAATCATTTCCAATAGCAGCGTGTCACGTCAGGCAACTATCGCCAAGCCAAAAGTTTCTCAGCCGTCAGATCAAGGCAGGAGGAGTCTACCCTAATTACAGGAAGTTAGGCAATAGCAGGCAGACTGAAGTGGCTCTACTTCGATAAGCTACCTAAATTTGACAGTTAAGACATCTAGAGACGCCATCATAAACCCAAGCCTCAACCAACAGCCCACCAATTATTCACCCCAGCGTTATTACTAGTCTAAGAAGGCCTAGTGTTGATCGTGGCTGTTTCTTTACGTCCAAGTCAGCATAGCTTCATCTTCCCACGAGGCACAAAAGCGCTCAAAATGAGATACTCACCCAATCCCCGTACTATCATGCCACCTGTTCTTGACCGTCCAGTCATAGATCTCATCCCAACTCCTACACTCATGTCGGTATCCCCAGCCCTTGCTGATCTCCTGCGTCGGGTTTGGCATCCACTCCAACGTCGTATCAGCCGCGCACATGATTGTCTGGCGGAGATAGTCCCAGCAGTGCGAAAGGTGGAGCTCATCCGTGTCGTCGGCGCGTCCATCACGGAGCCTGAAGTAGGATTCCTTGGTCGACCACAAACAATGAAGCTGGTGATACACCGAAACCAGTGCGTGCTGCTCGGGCAGGTCTTGGTGGAGCGATGGCATGTCCGGCAAGGCAGTCTGGTTTCTCACAACAACGAAACCACGTCCTGGAGGGATCAGAGAGCTCCAGGCCTGCATGTTTTCCTCGTCTGGAGGACGGCCGAACATGCGATCAAAAAAGAGTGTTTTGCTGATACGGGCTGTTCTTATTCAGTAACTGCCGTCCACCGGGGCGGGATCAGGAACGAAATGGGCAGAAATACTTACTTTCCGGTGGAAACCAAGGCTGATATGATGACGATTCCTTGTATGATACGCCCCTATGGTGAGGTCTGTCCGATGACAGACCCAAAATGAGAGAGTAGAAACCCGCACCCATAAACATGAAGGCAAGAGCGGAAAGAACTATGACTGTCAACATGAATGGTCTTGACCAGTGTATTCTCTTTCTTAATTCGCATTTTTCGCCCGGACAAGGTAATATTCGAGTCTCTAGACAGGCACAAGGATAAAAATGAACCTCATTATGAAGAAGACCTTGCTGATCTTCAGCAATCCTTTCATCGGTCGCCGGAAGACCACTCCCCTTTGAGCCGTACGAGCCGAACATCTCGCCACGATAGCGCTGACGGGACTGAGAGCCTTGATGTCGAAAGGCCGGTAGAGTGGTGCGTCTCCTCGTTTGGGAAAGTGAAAGGACCAGTCAGTATAAACGTGTTACTCAAGACTGCAGATGATGAGGAAGTAGTTGTGGGGAGCAGTTGTGGGGGAGAGGGTGCTGTAGACCTCGCCGTGTATCAAGTCATGGGCTCAAGCTTACGTACGATGATGGCATATCTATGGAGTGTCTGTCAATTCACAAGCAGGAGATAGATGAATAGCTACGAGTTCGAAGTGAGGTCGAACTCCGAAGGACCGAGGTTGGACGGCCAAGTGGATTGAGTTCATCGCGGTCCGAACAGTCTGACAAGCGCCGTTCGAGTTTGTACCTATCTGATAAGTTTGGTAAATTCAGCTGGAGCGTTTTTGAAGACAATGATAAAATTGAGTCATGATGCGATAGCTGACACAAGAGCCTGCATGCTGAAGACGGGCTGTTCAATGTCAAAGTCTGAGCAAAATTATTGCGTCTCTGCGGGCGGAGTACTTACTTTGGTAATATTGGCCATTCAAACAGGATAAAGTTAGTAAGGCGTAGTGAGATGGTGACTTTTTGAGTTTCAAGTCTAGGCAAGGTGAGATTTCTTTTCGTACTAAGTAAACCCTCAATGACAGCACTGTCAGGGTAATTGTGAACATGCAGTGGGTATTAACTGTTTCTTGCTAGCGCTGAAGCCTAAACACTTTCCGGTTGTATGCATGTACAAGTCGGCTGTGGTTTGGAGACCAGCCACGTGCGCCGACCTTTACCCCGGATCTCATTACCATGGGGGCGGTACTGGCGTGCAGGCATTCCGATGGCGTTATCACAAGGATCAGGGCTGGGATCGCGGTAGAGTCTTCGCCGTTGTTTGTCTTGTTTACGGACGAACTACAAGGCCCCTGTCCAACTCCTTTCCGCCTTGGTGACCCAGCCACTTACGTATCACCGCGGCCCATACTGCCGCAGAGTCCGCTCTGGAGGGGGACTTGGACAGAATATGAGACATGAAGCAATACGAATATAAGCATCTTCTACCCCAAGTATACAGCAAACTCACCACCTGGTGACAATCCAACAAACAGGCGTTGATGCACGAGCAGCACAACTTATGTAGGGAGTTATTTGATTGGTATTCAAACTGAGCCTAGGTTCCTGTGAAATCTTCAAGTGAAATTTGAGCAATAAATAAGGGAGGTTGATCTATCCCCTATCCCTGATCTGTTTCCCATCCGTTGGCTATTACTGCTCAAATCTATTTGCCACATAACTTCTCCGTCCCTAGTCTTCGAAGCCGCCAACGTAGTCCTCAACTGTGTTGGAGTTCTCCTCGCGCTTCTTGTCCTCGAAGCCGCCAACGTAGTCCTCGACCGTGTTGGAGTTCTCTTCACGCTTCTTGTCCTCAAAGCCGCCCACGTAGTCCTCGACCGTGTTGGAATTCTCATCACGCTTCTTGTCCTCGAAGCCGCCAACATAGTCCTCCACCGTCTGGCCAGGCTTCATGGTCTTCACAGGAACTGGCGACTGCGTGTTGTGCCATTTGTTAAGATATTAGATCCTTTCATGAGAGGGGAGTAGGGAACGCACGGCGTGATCACCAGCAGCCGGGAAAGCGGACACGGCCTCACCAAAGGCAACGAGGAGAGCAAGAGCCTGCTGGATCTTCATGGTGCTGATAATGATTTGATGAGATGTTGATGGAGAAATGTGTCTAGTCGACTGTTTCTGCTATGAAGAACTCGATCCAGACCAGTTGGGGAGTCCACGCGTATTTGTAGTTCGGTTTGACCAGGCATGTGTGTCGAGCGGAGCAGCGTCGCGGACTAGCATAACCAGGAAACATGAATCGTAGAGATAGTTCAAGATTCGGCGAGACTACTCACGTGGTTGCTTCTCTTGACAAACGAAGACTTGCTGTTTTCGGACCGACACATCAGTTTTCTTGATATAACTTTTAGCAAGTTTAAGTTGATCTGTAATTTCGTATTCGTGCTAGCACGATCGAGCATTGACAAACAGCGATTCAGGACCCTGGAACAGACACAAGCGCGGTCAACATGGCATATTCGACCGCGCGTCTAAAGCACTGTAAGTACTGTGGCACGCGAGAGATAGCAACAAAACTTTTACCTCGAGATGCGAAGGTGTTCTCGTTCGCCAGAGCACTGCGGTAGTAGTGGCTGTCGTAGGAATATCTTCAGGTCAAAGATCTCATGTTTTCTGATTTAACCCTTTGTTCGTCTTAGTTGCATCTCTCGCGACAAAATCTTCATATGCTACGTCTCTCACAAATACCTGTAGCAAAGCATACCACCCTCGGTATCCATCACCTCCTTCACCTTCACATCTGGAAGCAACCCCCCCGAGACCAACTCATCCTCAGTCGTGCTCGGCCCTCTCGAGTTGAACATGTGTCTCAACCTGCTCCCACCATACTGATATAACCTGGCCGCCGGGTCCTCCCGCTGCCATCGCCACCAGAGGCGGTCAACCTGAGCATGATGAAGAAAGAAAATGGGATCGTTCGCCGCCGTCAGGGCCTTGAAATCACCTCCAATGGCTTCGTGCAAGCCATTGTGCAGCGTGAACTCAACCCGCTTCTCAAAACCCGCGTACGTAGTATTGCCCATGATGGCACCGATGGAGTCTGGACTGAGGGCCTGTAGCGGCCGTCTCATCGTGTCGTTGAAGCCGCGGCTGAGACAGTGCTCGAGGTACGTGTGGTTGTAGAGCTTTGGTCTGAGGTTCCGGAAAGGTCCGTCCGTGACACAGCTGCCTCCGCCCACGGCGGTGTGCTCTCCGCGGGTGCCATCGCCGCCAAAACCCGTCTCGGCGTCCCAGATCGATGATGAGGCTAGATTTTGCCAGTCAAGTGTCCAGTCCCAGTACGGTATCGGGCTGTGAAAGGCGCAAGACTCTTTCAGAGTCCTCTCCCACATGAAGAGCGTGTATCGGTGCCAAGGTAGGAAGGACGCAGAACGATGCGACCATGATCCGACGCCTCCATGTAGATGGGCCCAGTCATCGTAGAGAGTCCCATTGGAAAGCCAGTTGCCTGGAAGGTTGCTCATGCATCGGAAGGCACGGATGAAGTCATTTCGCTCAGAAATTGTCAATGAGCGCCACTCACGGCGATTGACAGGTTTGCTGCAAAGTGATGTTGGTTGAGGACAGGATTCATCATCATGTCCGTAGTCGTGGTCGTTCTGGTCTTGATGTCCGAGACTGTGACTGTGGTGGTGACGAGGGGCCGGTGACAGCATGCTAATTGTCCCGCTGATGAAGATCGCGGCGGCCACGATTAAAAGTAGAGTGCTTATAACAGAAGAAGACTGGCGACATGAGCACTGCGGTGATTGCCACCTGCGATCGTGGAACGATTCCTCGTCCCTGTCTTGAGCGAGCAGGCGAGCACGGCGCTCGTGAGCTTCTCGGTTCGCCATGTTTGAGGAAGAAAGTGCTTTGTCGCGTCCTTTCTTGCTTGCCTCTTCTCTCTCGACAAAACGTCAAGTCGAGACCGGAGCCGGTATACCCTCGGATGTTCAGCGGCTAGAAGCCAGCAGAGATTACGGTGTATGTGATGTGATTTGAGTCATCCTACCACTCACTAACTCCAAACGTTTAGGTCAATAATTGATTCATGAACCTAGGGAAGGTTACGCATGTTGTTGAGCTTAAGAAGGCGCTAAATTCCAAAATACCCTGACATAATCGAGTCATACTACTGACTGACTCAAAATATTCGGTTCAACAGTTGATTCATGAACTTGGGGAAGGTTGTGCCAATCGTGAAGCTTAAGCAGAAGTATCCTAACTTGGTCAATTAGCTGCAAGACGCATACCTTGTGCGACAGCAAGCATGGGTTTCTCTGGCAAACGCCGCTGGACGAGGGCTATTGAATACGGTCGGCTCTCGCAAACGTGTTGAAGGCATTCGATTTGATGTGACAGTCAACACAAAACGAAGTGAGAAAAACCCCAAGGGTCAGATGCAACATGTCGAAAGCAACCAACGCTTGGGAGAGCAAGCCTCTAATGGGCGAGGAGAGAGAGAGCAATGGTGCTTGGGGGGTTCGTTCCGTGAAATCGGGGGCGGAAAGCCTGCCGAGTGACGACAGGCGTGATCTTTGGTGGCTTCAGCTACGGTGAGTGAACACACTGCCACCGAATTCTGTCTTTATTCTGACGACCAAGCAGACGACCACGAGTATCGAGGCTTGTCGTCGTTGTTCTTGCCGCCGTGGCAACTCTCAGTGGTACCGGATTCATGGCGGTGGTCTTCATGCTTGGCCACTCCATCATACCTTCTGGGACACAACAGTGCAACAACCCAATGTTGCGCCGCGAATGGCGTCAACTATCTCGGCCCGAGCAGCAAGCATACCTCTCAGCAGTTCAGTGTCTCGAGAGACGTCCCTCAATTCTCCTCCCGAGCCACGGTAGGAATTATTCATCGCGTTATGACGACTTCGTTCTCGCACATGGCCTCGCCGGCGACGTAGCACACTACGCAGCCGCCTTCCTGCCTTGGCACCGTATGTTTGTGCACGTCTATGAAACCACGCTTCGATCCGAGTGCGGGTACCAAGGTGCTCAGCCCTACTGGGACTGGACACTCGACTCGGCCAGCCTGTCTGCGGCACCGGTCTGGGATGCCGTCAACGGCTTCGGCGGCGACGGCGCGGCCTGGCTCCCCAACACGCCACGCATCATTCACGGTCGTTGTGTCGTAGATGGGCCGTTCGCGGGCGCGACAAGGGCCTGGCGCGTCGATAGTCGGGGTGACAAGAGACAAACTGTCCGGGATGTGCACTGCCTTAGCCGCGGCTTCGCATCGGCTCACGACGACGACGTGGACCCGGCCATGCTTGAGCGCATGCACTCGTATGTATCACCTACGCACGTGGAGGCAACGCTCGCGCAGACGGATTTTGAAGGATTCCTCCGCGCGTTCGAGAACGGGGCACACAATGCCATTCCGCAGTTTGTCCGAGGCGACTGGATGACCTTCTCGGCGCCCAACGATCCGGTCTTTTTTCTACACCACACCCAGGTTGATCGGCTGTGGTGGATGTGGCAGATGAGAGACCCAATGACGCGCTTTAGGGAGTATCATGGGCCCACCGAAGACTTTCGGCATCACCATCAGAGGAGAAGTGCCGGAGGGGCCAGTGATGTGGATGTGCTGCCTATGGGCGGCTTGATCAGTGATGGACGGGTCAGGGATTATTTAGACACGAGGCAGGGGGGTCTTTGTTACATTTACTAAGGAGTTGCATCCGTGTAAGTATACCTGTCACATCGATTGTAGCAGAATGAGCAATATTTTCCTTAAATCTTGGGCTTTTCAGCCTGGGCTTATGATGATCGGCCAGAACTCTACGGATACTGTACTCGAGCAATCATTAACTGGTGATACTCCGCACAGAGGTTGTTGGTGTCAAGCCGCGATTGATGAGATGAGATGAACACTTTCACACCACTATGTTCGTCCTTCAACTCCTACAAAGTGTGTCGTATTATGCGTATAGGTGCTATGCTAAGCACCACAAAGTGCATACTTTTAAGATGAACACTTCAACTTCCATCATGTTCCTCCGCCAAGGCATGCAACTTCGGATGCCCAGTCCCTAGGCACAGCTTCACCTCAACCCCTCCCTCAAAGCGCCATGTCGTTCATTCTCGCACCTCAGTTGGTGTTAGTGTAAGGAAGAAGAGACAAATAGGGGGTTTACCTACTAGTTAGTAATTTTATATAGCTAATAGGCTATACCTTAAGGATATTACTATAAAGGTATTACTATAAGGGTATTACTATAGGGTATTACTATAAAAACTTAGCTATTTAGACTTATTTACCTAGTATTTATAGAGGTTTCTATATATAACTATATATATAATAAGAGGGTATATACTTAGACGTAATTAGTTAGATAAAATATAGGTAAAAGGGGGTAAAGATATATATAGTTCATTCTTATATATTATGGCCAGCTAACTAATAGTGGGGTTTATATTAATAGTAAGTTAGGTAATAATAATAGTAATAGTTATTTATTATTTTATAGGTCTAATTAAGTAATTATAGGTCTTTAAAGGGCTTAGTAATTAGTTAAGTCCTCAATAAGAGTTATAGAGTAATTATTACTTAGGTATAGCTAAAAGTCTTAAGTAAGAATCATAAGTTAATTGCTAAAGAGCTATAGAAGTTTGTCCTTAAGCGGACTTAAGTCTATCCTATATATAGGTCCTGGGTAGTCCTATTGCTAGGTGCCGTACATGCCCTATATAGCTCCCATATCCTTAGCATATGGCTTCTGTCTTTCTGGAATATAGATGCTATATCTTGTTTATATAGATCTAATCTCTTATCTTATTATTATATAACCTATACTATAGTTCTTCTATTCCTAAGGGATCCTTATATATTCCCGTGATCCTATATATAAATATATTATTATAACCACTTAGTATCCTAGTGGGGCGTCCTTTATTAGTTATACCTAATAGGTTATAATATTAGGTCCCCTCTTTAAAGGTCTAGTCCCTTAGACTAATATAAGTAGGTAATATCTCTTAGGTTAGGGAGGCATTAATTATACTTCCTAATTTCTATAATGCTAATACTATATTAAGTTATATTTAAAAATTAAAAGATTTAAAATCCGTTCTTTATTCTATTTATAATAATATATTTAAGCGCTTTAGTTCTTCTAACGTTATACCCTATACTTACTATTTCTAGGTAAAGCATCCTTATTATATAGTAGAGGGTTTAAAGGTCTATTATAGGTATAAGAATTTAAAGCGTCCTTATAATAGACTAGTTATTACGTTAAGCTATAAGTCCTATTATATCTTTCTTTATAAGCTACTTCTAACTTATTATAGTAAAGCGTCTTAGTAACTAGCATTAAGAGTAGGAGGAAAAAGAGGAGTAAGCTAGTAATGCTCTATTAGCGCTCTATAAGAAGCTTACTTAGGTGCAATTAGAGGTAGCTAATATAGCTAGTCGTTTAGCTTATATTTATATAACTTAGAAGTTAATTAAGGAGCGTTATATAGAGACGTTTGCTTAGGGGATATAGGAACTTAAGGAGGCTAATAACGTTCTTCCTATATTAGAGGCTTATAAGTAATACGTTATAGAGGATCTTTAGGCTAGAGGTATTAAGAACAACCCTTTCTGGACTAAGTTTGGGATTGGGGAGGAGTTTGCAGACTTAGGTCCCTTACTTAGTAATACTCCTATAGTAGCTACTGGGAGTGCTGGAGGTTCTTAATGGGTTCCTATAAGTTGTCTTTATATCTATACCCCTTCTATTTAATGAGGTATTCTATATTTCCGTTATTTTTATAGTAGTTAATAATTTATTTAACTTTATATTCTAGTTCTAGTAGTTCTATAATAATATAGTCTTCTATATATAAACCTACTAGTACTTTTTTAAGAAGTAAAATATAAAAGACTAGATAATACTTTATAGTATCTAATAGTATAAGTTTAAAGTTAACGTTAGATACCTTCTTTATAATCTTAAAAGGTTTAAGTTTCTTAAAGTCTAACTTATTACTTAGTTATTTTATCTTAATGTTTTAGTAGAGAAGGTATATACTATCTCCCTCCTATAGAGTTAATCCCTTAACTCTTAAGGTGTTAGCATATTTATATATTTATTTATATATAAATTTAAGTTCTCTAGGTAGCTCTTACTAGATTTCCTTAAGTTTATTAATATCTACTATAGCTTTTAGAGCTGCTAGGCCTTGTTGTGGTTCTCTATAGGCTGTTAGGTTAAATCCATAGTTTAGATAGAATAGTAATTCTTTTATACTTTCTCCTACTATGCTATTATAGGCAAACTGGGCCATAGGTAGTAGTTAAACCTAATTATCTTATTAGTAGTTGATATAGCAGTATAGATAGGTCTCTATAATCTAATTGATTTGTTCTATCTAGCTATTGGTTTATAGATGAAAAGCGGTGGATATCTTATAATTAGATCCTAGCTATGAGATCAGTGATCTCCAAAACTTGGAAGTAAATAACTTATCTCTATTGGATATGATTTCCTTTAGCATTCTATATTAGCTAATAATTACCTATAGAAACTTATAGGCAAGGTCTTCTGCAGTGCTAGACTCTATATATAGGATGAAGTATAAGTACTTTATAAGTCTATTAATAATGACTAGGACGCTATTATAGTGGACCTTAGTTATTAGTTCTTAGGACTTAGGTAACTTAGTAATAAAGTCTAATGAGATAGATTCCTATACGTTTTATAGTACTAAGAGCAGCTATATCTTACTATAAGGCTAGTATTAGCTAGGTTTGCTTTTTGCGCAGACCTCATAGTCCCTAATTGCTAAAGATACTTCTTATTATATAGCTATTTTATTATAGTGTTATCTAATGCGTTTCTATATCTTAGTTACGCCTTAGTGGCCATATATAGGTGCAGAGTATACCTCCCTAATAGCTTCAGGAGACATTCTTCTAGTTGTGCTAGTACTGTCTCTTCTGGCCATCATTAAGAGTCTAACTGCTAGCATAAGGTCTCCTTCTTTGTCCTTTTTGAGGATAACTTGGGTTTCCTTAGGTACCTAGACTTTGTGGTCCGGTCTCCTACTAAGAGCATCTACTCTTCCGTTTTCTTTGCCTTTTTAGTAGATAATCTTAAAATTAAATTTAGAGAGAAATTTAGACTATCTAATCTACTATTTATTAAGTTCCTTTAATATTATAAAGTAGGTAAGGTTTTTATAATTAGTATAGACTTTAACTTTATACTTTATTCCTAATAGTTAAGGTCTCTATTCCTTAA